TTCCTTCACCGACGTAGGGAACATAACCCAGAGGCTTGGCGTTTCCTGTGAGAAGCTTATATCCCACGCCAAAAATAGGCGACAAAATACTCGCACCACCGTAAACGACGGATGGACAAACGATATAAGTATCAATACCATCATCCCCATTCCCAGCCTCAAGAACGAGGGTATCAGACTGTCCATTAAACATCTCCTTATGAATAGCCTTGATATCATCCTCATTCGCATCATTCCAAACCTTGCTCTCAGGGTTAAAGTTTCCTGAAGTTCCAAAGTCGATGAAGTTTCCTCCACCGCTGATATGGATCACTTTACCCTTTGAACCACGGGACTTTTGACCTGCGATTACAGCAGCGACTGGATCAGCAGTGAAGGAGTTTCCGGCGTTGACGGCGATGTCGTGCTCTGCACTGGCGGCCTTGACTTTTTCAAAGTCGGAGAAGTCACCGACTATGATGCGGTCTGCTTTGAGTTGAGAGTTTGCTTGGGGGCTGCGGACGTAGGCTGTGACGGACCAGTCTGGATGGGCTTGCTTGAGGGCTTTTGTGTAAGGAGCTGAGAATACGAAGTCAGTAACGATGGCAAAGAATGTTGAGAATGGTTGATATACCACCCACGAAGCCAGAAGCACCGAAGACAATTACTGAAGGCATTGCGAGGTTGTTAGAGTCGGTGAAGTGATTGTTTGAAAGGTTGTTGATAGTATTGGTCTGAAAGGATGAATCTCCGATAATATAAGTTGTTAAAGTTGTATCTGAAATATTTGAGAATACTAAAAGTAGCAGTTGGTATTGATATTATATAGATGGACGCATATAAGCAGATTTCCGTTTCCTCGAATCATGATCCAATCTGCATCTCACGTTGATACCAGTAACGTTAACATTGTTCAGCCAATCCACCCGTGCCGCATTTATCAATGCACCTGATCACTATAATACATCCCAAACACCATCTCACCACTGACGCAATAAACAACATACCAACAAACAATCCACGAAAGGTAAAAACGCTCAGTCATCCAAGGCCCCACAAATATCAATTTCACCAATCCCTTATCACAGCTCGTGACATTTCTAAGCACTAGCGCTGGTCGCTTTGTAGCTCGGCGCTCGGCATCGTAGAAAGTGCGTTAGTAATAGCTGATGGACCCTTGGAGCGCAGGGGTCTTCTGACTCTGAGTGGACGGGCAACTCGGTCGCGTTATTCAATTCCTCCGGGGACCAATGTCTTCAGCCCTAGTAGGCTGAGCAAACTCCTGTTTTGGATTGGTATGGGGTTTCAACTGCTGCAGGTGGTCGGATAGATTACGAATTTTAGTGCGGAAGGATTTTGAGATCGTGAATTGTGTTGAATCCTGTTGGATATGACGTAGAATGAACCAATCAATGTACTTCGGTTCCAGAATTAGATTCGGATACTTGATAGTTGATGGAAGAGTCATATCGTCGCAGCGTTGCTACGGAATGGGAGTTTGTTCACGATTATAAGAAGCGGTCGAGGACCACGACAAGAGACTTTCTCATCATCACAATTCAACCAACGACTTCATCCTCTCTACAATATTTTACCACCTAAATCACTTGAAAAACAAAAACAAATCTCGAAATGAGCTCTGAAAAGTATCTCGCCGGCAAGACTGCCATCGTCACTGGCTCATCTAAGCTCAACGGCATCGGTGCCGCCACTGCCTTAGCCCTGGCCAAGCATGGAGCCAACGTGAATACCTACTCTATCCTCCTCTCAACTCAACTTACTGACTGGTCTTAGATTGTTGTTCACTATGCAACCAGCGCCGAACCCGCTGAGAAAGTCGTTGCTCAGATCAAAGAACTCGGCGTTCAAGCCATCGCCGCCAAAGCAGATGCCTCATCCGAATCGTTCGGCGCCGATCTCGTTCGCGCAGCTCTAGACGGTCTTAACACGAAGACCATCGACATCGTCATCAACAATGCAGGCATCGCATTTGGGCACCCTGAAATTGCAGCCATCGAGACTGAGTCTTGGGATAAGATGTTCCACGCCAACGTTCGGGGACCTTTCCTTCTCATCCAAGCAGCACTTCCTCACATGCCCAGTGGAGGACGTATCATCAACATAGGCAGCATCGCTGGAAAACTGGGTATTACCCCACTGACAGTATATGGCTCGTCAAAGGCTGCTTTGCATTTCATGTCCACTGCTATGGCGGGTGAGCTTGCTAGCAAGGGAATCACCATCAACGTGGTCTCTCCTGGACCTGTCGCCACCGATATGAGTATGGAGGGTAATCCCATTGGTGATAAGCTGAGATCTCACCAATCTATTGCTAGGGAGGGTGAGCCCAAGGAGATTGCCGATGTTATCTCTTTCATGGCTAGCCCTGCTTCAAGCTTTATTACCGGACAGGTTATCCCGGTTGATGGAGGTATCAACATGCCGTAGGTTGTCAGAGGGGCTTTCATTAAATAACTGCTGCATTGATACTTGCTTTGAGAATAGACTATAGAGTATTTGACTTTCACCTTCTACTGAATCTTCAAAGTGAACATTCTATGTAGTAGGCTAATATGCTGTTTGTAATCGTGAGCCTTTGCATCTAGTGAGCGGCCAATTATCAGGTAGGATGTTTCTTGTCCGCGTAAGTTTGTTGAAGATCTTCCAATTATTCGCAGTGTTCCAGACATGAAGGTGATATAAATAGAATGATTTGCGATAAGAAGTCAAACCCGTTATCTTCCAGATCTTATCGGCTTCCAGAACGATAAGAATCCCCACAGTGGAGTTTCCGCCTCGCAAGGCATGAAACCTCAAACCGTACCTCGTAATTATCAACGGCCTCCGACCTATCCATTAACAGAATGAATAAGCGAACCAGGCATAAAAAGAAAGCTTTTCTTGCCAAAAACTTGACAGCGATGAGTCACTTGGCCGTACCTTTCAGTCCAAGCCATACGCAGTAGTTAAGTTACAGTGCTCAGACCGCATTAGGCAATTGCCGACTCTCAGCCGCAGCGGAATAAGAGCGATCAGTCTGTAGTGCGTATCAGGTGAGTGGGCCAAATTTCATTTGATTCTTTGTTTTAGTATCGGTTTTTGGTTAAGGACAAGTGCCGAGGAAACATGATCCGATGCTTGGAATGAACTGGCGTCCACTTTGCGCTCACAATTCTGGGAAGCATGGAGTCACATGCATCTACGAGCATAATCGCTCTGATGATGGATTCATCATAGGATAATAATGACAGAATATGTTACATCTCCGTAAAGAAAAGGAGCTTCTTATCTCCAAAACAAAACAACCAGCGCCCTGAGCTTGAAGGCTTGCAGCACCATGCATTAGCTCCCAACGTTCAATTTCATACCAAAATTGGTGGCGCCTCAACTAGCCCAACTGCCGAATCAAATGTTTCCAGCCTACCACAGGGCTGAAAAACCACTCCGCATGATTTTTTTGGCCGCTGCTTCTGATTGGTTGTCACACGCCCCGTGTCCAAGCTGTAATCTGCCAGAATGCTGATCAGAACGCCTTGGAGCGACGCTAATATCAGGCATTTTCAGCCTTTCAGCCACTTTTGGGTCGTCGTGAACAAGTAATGGTGGGGAGCTGGGGTGTGGAATGGAAGTGATAAGTATGGGAGGGATCCGCGTACTGTTTCACATGGTCTTGTCCATCACTCTCCTTCACCGTTTCCCATCTTCTACATACCAAAACCTTTCTTGTCACTCTTTCATCTCTACTTTCTTACCATCAAAATGTCTACCCCAGCTCAGACAAACGCTCACAACAACGGTCCTATTGACCATAACGACTTGAACGAGTGGAAGGACCGCTTCAACGACGTCCTCGCCCGTCCTAGCGAGCATGTCAACTCCAAGTCGCCAGAGTCTTCCCAGCCTTGGCAGAACAGCTTCTTCGGCTGCTTCAGCCCCATCAGTCTTTGTGCCATCACCTGCTGCGTTCCTTGCGTGACCTTTGGCAAGACACATCACCGTCTCCGAAAGAACGGTAACCTTCAAGGTTACGAGCCCATCAACACTTCTGTACGTATTCCCCAGCACCATGCGTCAATGCTTGCTAACACCTCGTCCAATAGTGCCTCCTCTTCTGGGGTTCCACCTGCGTCGGTCTTCACTGGATTCCTCTCGCCCTCCAGCGCGCGAACCTCCGTGAGAAGCACAACCTCCAGGGCAGCTGCCTCGTCGACCTCGCCACTGCATGCTGCTGTGGTTGCTGCGATCTCATTCAGCAAGACAAGGAGGCTGAATACCGTGAGGCTCAAACATCTGCTCCTGCCGAGGGCTATAAGGCCAACGAGGGCATGACTGTTCCTGCTTAAGGGATTGTCAAACCTTGGCGCCCTCAGTCGCCCAAGAAGACACAAAATCTTTTCGCGTTCTTCATCGCACCATCGATACCCCATCATGATTGACCAGAGGAATGATAGCTCGTGCTACGACTAATGCATGGGCCAAGCTTCTCAATGTCATGTAATTAAAATGTTATCTCGAGTAATACTTGTTTAAATTCAATGGCTGTTTCGTTTAAGGATCTAAAGATACTCACCAGTCTTTACCAACTACCTTCACTGACGTCTTGAGGCCAAGCCGGCTACCTTCAAGCTTCGCCCTTGTAGAAAATGGCGTTGACCTTTCTGAAGCGGGTGCTGGCGCCGGATCGTGGCGACCTGCTATTGAAGCCACAATGCCATTTGTTGGTCATTCGCAAGCCGAATTATGACTTGTAAGAGGAAGGGAATGCAGATTTAGGATTTGAAGTTGAACTCATGACTGTTGCTCAACGCCCGATGATTGCGTGGATTGTGATCGACCATTAACCGGTGCCTTATTGCCGATGCCCAACCACATGCGTATCCCAAAGTCTAACGCACATATTGTTCAGCGAACAAACATGACTACTATGGCGGTCTTTGAAATACGACTATAAAAGGCCCTCTTCTAATGACGAGATATGCTCAAGATGAACGTAGCAACGCTCGAACCCAGCACCGTTCCCTTTATTCTCCCCCATACCAGAGATCATCTTCTCTGTCATAAGCCGGGAACTCAAGGCGACTATCTGCATTCGGCCCTTGAATATACTGTCTCACTTGGCGCAAACGATATACCTTGTTACTGAACTTAACACCTGCCGCTTTAAATACCTGATCGAGGGTTCCTCCGCCCCTTGGTCCGAGGACAACCCACTTCAGAAAGGGGAACTTCTGGCTCTTTACTGCCGCGAGCCCATGTAAAGCGTCACTCACGAAACATCTACCATCGCGATAGGTTACGAGTGAAACTATGGAGCGAGGAAGGAATTGCACGAGTATCTCCGCATCAGCCGGCGTTCCCAGCGTTGGGGGCAGAATAATGGGAAATAGTAGAAGAGTGTTGATCCAGAGATGTTGAAGTCCTGTGAAGTCCCTCATATTCACTCCTGGCTTGACCCTCCTGATATCTTCACGTCGAGCAGTAAGATCCATGTGGAGTATCTGAAGGGTACTCTTATGAAGCCGGAGCGACTCAATCGCATCTGATAGTTGAAAGTTTGTGCCGCGAGTATCCTATGGTCAAAGAGATGTTAGCATGACGATAATAGTAGTGATGGCAGGTAGGGGGACTCACATCAGAATTGTAACGCTGTCCCTGTGCGGCTTCATATTCAAAAGCAACCAGGCCCCCGGTGCAGGCTCCCATTAGTTTTAACAGCCGCTCAGCTGTTAGAAAGCTACCTGTGATCCTCAAAGTCTTCAAACAGGGCATTTCGACCATAGAATTCTCCAAGTTTACCATAGTTTCATGAAGATTCAAGGTCTCAAGATTTCCAGAGAGCTTGATCAGTGGGCGAGCCGTCATACCTAGGTCTAGCCTCTTCACAGGCATATGAGTGACACCAAGCGCAGAGAGTGAAGACCCTGCAAGCCCGAACGTTGGCCAGTCACGGCTGCCTTGAATACTGATATGTTGAACATTTGGCGTATGTGCTAGTAGCATTGCTATGAGCTCGGCGTTCATCCAGCGACGGCCGGGTACCGAGTTCTCAGTCATTGTCCTCCGGAGTTGCCGTTCTTGCTTCTCTGTCAGTTTGCGATCATCATCGAGATAAGATTTGATAAATATGGGATAGACCTCTGGCCAGTCATGCGCTTCGCCCAGAGATATCATGGGCACACGTTCCACCCAAGCCGCTCGAAGATCTATGCGGAGAGCGTTGGCTGCCTCTAGTAGAATATCTCGATGAGACTCCTCTCTGCCATTAGAGGCACCGAAGATGCGGTGACTGAGATAAACAATCTTGACAAGGCGGGCAAGATCAGGTCGACGAGCTAGAGTACGAATAAATGGCGCAAGGCGATCTTCCCACGTATATACCTCTGAGATCCATGAATCACCGTAGCCCAAGACGAATTCATGATACAGAACAGACTGCGCAACGTCTCTGAACTGTCTACAGGTTAAAGACAGCGAGAAGAGGGCCTGTCTATCGATTGAGTACCACGCCTTAGCTTCAGCTTGTTGTTTCTTTCGCTGAGATGCGATCGGCTGAAGTGGTCTCTCGTCCCAAGATTCATTGTATGCATCTTGACAGTGAAGGCAAAAATGGCTGAATATGGGAAACAGTATATCATTGGGGAGACGTGGAGTTGATGAATGGGTCATTTCGGTATTATCCAAGTAATTGAAATGATAGGATACAGCTTACTTGCGTTGTTGGTTTCGAGATTGTCTTGGCGTTGTTGGTAGGTTCATCACGTGAGAGACATTGGCCGCAGCAGCGTAGCAGCGTTTGAAGGTATACCAGTGATGGGAATACTCTTGTTTCATCATTTTTCACTGGTAAGAAGTATTGCCGTCTATTATACTTGTGTCGTAATATCATCGTCGACATTGGCCTGATGAAATTCGAAATGAATGGGGGCGAGGTCGGTAGAAGATCAGGCATCTTTTCATTTTCTTAGAAAGAAAGTGTTATCAGCTGTAGTCTGATTGTGCATTAATGATACCCGGAATATGGGCGAAGCATCTTTTGAAAGAACCAGCGTCTTCTTTTCGCGTCGTGGGTCATAATACCCAAAGCTTGGATTCCACTATATGTGGTCCAACGACTATGGGTAATCATGTCAGGTAGTGGCAGATAGGAAAAATCTTATATTGCACATAGTCTAGGAAGATAAAGGCTATAAGAAATGAAAATTCTTTTGTTCTTCATCGTTCTGTTCTCCTCTTCTCTGGGGTTTCACATATGTTGACTCAAAGATTGGCGTCGGCATGGCTTCTCTAACAGTATGCACTTAAAAACATCTTTCTTTTACTCTGTTAGACCTCAGATACTTCTATCTCGAAATAGTCCGTTCTCACAAGCTTCCCGAATAGCCCCGATAACTATCCTAGCGATCAATGGGTACTCGTCATTACTATGTGGATAACCTTTAAACGTCGCAAGAAGCTCGCGTATAAGTGGAATAAAGATAAGGACCAAGGACCTCTCCGTTTTTATCCGTTGTGCAAGGGGAGCTTGACTCGTTAATTGATTGCATTGATCAGTGCACGTAAAGATAAAGTCCACAGACGCGTGGAATTTTCGCACGTGGAATGACGATTAGCAAGATATCCAACATCTTACAACAAGGGCCCTTGTGCATTTTAAGGGGTGAAAAGAATTTTCACGTCAAGGCAATACAAGTGAAACCTCCTGAATGGCAGAAGAAACGCAGCTGAATGATCAGCCTGGCCCCATGACTGATTAGATCGACAGAATGCTTAATGGAACTCCACTGTATCCTTGGCATTGGGCTGATATCGTCAGAAAAGCTTTATCTCTATATATTAAAGGGAAGAGCGATGGTATAATTGGGCGTTTGAGGCTCAAAATGGTCCCGATGGTGCCCGGCAGCTAATTTTAACCCTTGGGTTGGGTTTGTTTAATCCTTGGCCGTTGGGCGGCGAAACGGAATGGCCGCCGAGCTTCGGTCGGAAGCACTCCACTTTGAACGTTGACCGTGGTGAGACTGACAGCATTCTCGCAACGTAGCAATATGTTATCTAGACAGCATTTTGGATGGTCAGACAAGTAGGCCATGCCTCGTATCGTATATCAGGCAGTATTGATAGCTATTCATGATTATGGACTCATAAGAGGCCTCACCAGCATTCTTATCAGTACAGTCTAGACCCAGTGGCGAACAAAACCTGTTTGACAACCAACAAATTGAGGCTCGGCCTTATCTCACCCCTAGTCCAAACTAAAAGCATGACACCGACCATTTGGAACCGGCACCGGCGCACCGGGCCATATTCCGCGTAGCCTCAGCGTCACGTTAATGTGCGGCCCATTTGGTATGACACCCATACCATTAAAATCCCGGCCGCTAGAACTATAGTGGGTAGCCCCCTGTAATGAGCCTCAATGCCACGGCAGTTCCAGCGCCATGGCCCACTGTTATGCAGGGTTTAGAATCTTCCATCACGGTCTCATCACGAGATTCTGGTCGGTGTCATGATTCGCAATCTTCGTAATCGCCCCTTTAGGCGAGACCACAATGAGCCGACTAGTCTCTTGCAAAATTGCATCTCCATGGACATTATCTTTTCTTAGGGTCTATAAATACTGCACTCTGCTACTTCCATTTCCGAATTGCTTCATCAGAGCTTTCTTCAATGATTCACCATCAGCATTCGCTACGGCTTAATTAAGCATTACACTATCGTTTAAAACACCAACGCAAAATGGATCGCCTTCGAGATCTTGAAGTCCCTTGGACGGACTCAAATACCCCCACGCGCCGAAATTCGGTCGATTTATCTATTCCTTCGCCACCGGCTGAACACGACCCCAAGGCATTTCTGAATCATCATACAGCAAAGTCAGCAGCGAAGACTGATCCCTCACAACTCGAGAAGGGCAGTCAAGATGAGAGTATCGACCAAGAGCCTTCACAACAACAATTATCGTTCCGACAACGCTTGCATCATTTTACGTGGGCTTGGTTTACACTGCCCATGAGTGCAGGTGGATTGGCTCTACTTATTCACGTACAACCCCATCAATTCCCCGGTTTGAGAATCATCGGTACTGTACTTTACAGCATTAATCTTCTCATCTTTACGCTCTGCTGCATTGGTATGATGTGTCGCTTCTTATTCAACCCCGGCGACTTGACAAAATCTGTCACGCATCATCGAGAGGCATTCCTCTTCCCAACTTTCTTCCTGGCTGTTGCTTCGCTTATCACCAGCACCCAGCGATATGTCATCCCCAAGAACGACCCCTCATATGTTTGGGCCACCGAAACCATCTTTTGGATCTACGTCGTTGTCACGTTTATCCTTGCAGTCTGGCAGTACTCGTATCTCTTTGCAGGACATAGCTTTAACCTGCAAACAATGATGCCAGGCTGGTTGCTGCCTATCTTCCCAGTCATGTTGGCTGGCACCGTCGCAACTGTCATCCTAGACACACAGAGTCATCTCAATCCTCTCCCAATCATCTTCGCTGGCCTGACATGTCAAGGCCTGGGCTTCTGTGTCTCCATGATGATGTACGCTCACATGATCGGTCGACTCATGCAATCTGGTCTTCCCAATCGAGAACACCGAACCGGCCTCTTCATGAATGTCGGCCCGCCAGCTTTCACAGCCCTGGCCCTTATCGGAATGGCCAATGCACTCCCCAAGACCATCTCTGGAGCTGAAAACCTTGCTCTCAACGTCGACACCGTCCGCACAGTAGCTCTCCTCTGTGCAGTATTTCTCTGGGCGCTGAGCATGTGGTGGTTCCTTATCGCTGTCGTCGCAGTGGTTTCATCCCCACCAAAGTTCTTCCATCTTGGTTGGTGGCCAATGGTCTTCCCCAACACTGGCTTCACGCTTGCTACCATCTCTATCGGCAACGAGTTCAAGTGCGAAGGCATTCTTTGGGCTGCGAGCGGTATGACTATTATTCTTGTCATTACATTTCTAATTGTCTTCTCATTTAATATGAGAGCTGTTTTTGTACGAGATATCATGTATCCCGGAAAGGACGAGGATACAGATGATCACTAGACACTATTTAGAGCTGGGAGTAATGGTTTGGGTTGGGTTGTACTATTAGAGATACCACGGGATACAGGTTTAGACAAAAGGCTACAAAAGGGACTCAGAGCAACAGCGCTCTCATAGATACAATCCCACAGGAATTAGAATAATCATCATCATTCTCAAACATGTCGTCCAACATGGTGTAAACACCAATTCGGTTCCCACCGGGCTGGAAGGTTCCATGTCAAAATCGTGCATCAACAGCAGGGAACAAGGATTGAGCCAGCAATGATTTTTCCTTTATCGGACGAGATTTTTACGATCCTTGGATCGTAATCGCAGGGATTGGCACGGTCTTACGCTTCTGTGAAACAGGGCCGATGAGCTCCCCTTTTTTCTAAAAGCGTCGATCCGATTCTCGGCGAGACTCGCTTCGGCAAAACGGTCATTTTTGCCGACCTTCCTTCGGCGCCATCAAAAGCAACACACGGTCGACATATTGATGTCAAATAAAGTCTACTTTATAGATAAATTCTCAGTGACTAAGGCAATATTTATGCATCAGGACATGAGAGGCGTTGGCAGGCGAATTTGTTTCCTTTTTTTCATTGTCTAGATATATAACTTCGTCCGCCTTGCTGAAGGCATATCAGCGATGCTGCGATATCGCATCCATGGATCATGGGAGTGACTCAATACAGAAGCTGACTCGTTGGGTAGATAAAGAATGGCATGACGAAATGATATCTGAGTACGCGACTTAGCTATTAGGGCCCAACGAATAACAAACTTAAGCTGATGTTCTCATAATTCCACTTGTAGCAGTTACCCTGACAAAACCGGAAGATGGCGTTATCACATTCACGTTGTTCCATGTGTCTTTCAACATGGCGTGCTGATTCAAGTGCAGTGGTAGTCTTATAGTCTCACATGGCGTATAATTATTACACCTCCTAATTATATCCTTAGCACAAGATCTCAACGCATAGCACTATCATGGTAGGCAGCTGTTTCATGGCAGCCCTTTAGAGAGTTATTCATCGATTGCTTTATCTTGCGTCGAATCAGGATCGATAGATAGAAAGTGACTTTGAACTTGCTGACCACCTACTAGCATTGGGTTGAGTAATGTGCAAAGAGGGGGCGGGGAAGAGTCTTCTATGCTGGAGAAACATCAGGAACTGCCTTTACCTATCAGCTCATGACCATTAGTTGAATATTGGATATTTAGAAGAATGCTGTTCTATTTTCTGAGACATATGATTAGGCCATTGCATGCCGAGAAGCATATCAAGTTGTTGACAACGGAAACTCTGCTAACACAAATACAAAACTGCATGCAGTCAGCGTCATAGCATGAAAATATTGTTCCCGTGATGTATATTGATCAATCATTAGCCGTCTGTGGTAGTACAGCATATGTTGCAGAATACTACAACCAAGGAAGTAACCATTGTTGCCCCAACCATTAAACGCCCACTTCTGCCCACCAAATCATCCGTGAGCCTCTTGTCTTTGAGGCCCGAAGTTTTGTTCTTAAATATCATGCTTTCCCTTATTTCGACAGAAGGGCGATGCTTCTCATCAATCTCACAAAGCAACAATCTGGATCTTTTCGAATACACCATACCCAACGCTGAGTATCCCACGTATTGCAGAGCCTCCAATCCGTCCAATATGTTAGTCTGAGTTTCAATAAGCATTAGTACACCATCTTTCAAGATATACTCTTAGTTTGTACTTCTCAGAATTCTAATACCTAAATTGATAGGTGCCAGAATATTATCACTACCACGGAATGCCACTGCGGTGCTGTTGTCGGAATTGTCGGGGCAGAGATCATTGCATGTCAGAACAAGATCAACGGACAGGGTTGCAACATCTTAGAAGAAATACCTGTAATAGTCCTTTCTAACTGCCCCATGCACAGTTGAAGAGAAGTGCGATCAGGCAGAGTATTGGAGGTACAACGAATCTTATAACTTTCGCAACGGCCTCTCTTCAATGGGGTGCAATGTAAATACAGTCTGATACTGAATGAAAGGGACTGGTTGATAGTTAAGTCTATAATATCCCAACAAGATATATCAGCCTAAAATTTAACTTCATGACCAGCAAGTATGTCCGGAAATCAGCAAGATGTATCAAGCAAACACATTGAAAAATCTTAATTAACTCAAGCTTTAGGCAGGCTACATGTTGAGAAAACGGGACTCTTGCTCAGAGACCAGAAATCGTCTATTCCCAATCTCAAGGTCTGTTCATACGCTGTTAACTCTATCATTATGCAATCTTTATTGCGGGTTATTCACTCCATCGATTTTATATAAAGTTTATCGTTAGATTGGTACAGGAGGACAATGTGTCGTAGTCCATTTCACGACCGTCGCAAGTAACAAGACTTTGTCTTCTAAAAGATATTCAACCTCTCTGCTTCAATTTTATTAGCGAACTCTTCCTACGGGCGCCGAGTAAACGGTTCAACTCTCAAGATGTCATCCATCCACTAGTAACGTCGGTCGCTTGATCGTCCCTAGCCCAACTTCCAACTTCTTAATATTTTCCACTCCATGCAATTTGAAGACAAATCATGACAATTCGAGTAAGCTAGATGAGTCACTCGGCGGGTGGTAACCGTAGGGAAGCATATTGGACGGGCTGGTGGCTTCGGTCGGACAGGTCAGCCGTTGGACTTGAAAGGAATATGGTATTATGTTCAGTCAAATAAGGTTTTGCTGAATCATAAAGGCTCTGAATTTCAATATTCCAAGCTCGCTTTGCCTACTGCACTTAAATAGTACATTCTACTGGCAACAATCTCCAACCCAACGAATGATCTGGCAAGACAGCGTTCTGCAGACTCGTGAGATTTTAGCAAGCTTAATAACCTGTCCGCTCACCACACTCGTTGAAAGGCTGGCCTTGCTGACTTTGCAGTTCGCGATACATCATTGGATGCCGAAATTCCAGCACGCGTAAGCACGGGGCATTTGAGCCTCCGACTCATCGGATACGGCACACACATATAGTTGACCGTACGGACTAGGACTAGGTGACTCACCTCGTGGTATTTAAAACGGCATTCATAGAACTCTATCACAGTCAAACAAATAGCTTTGACATCAATCTTTGTTACATATCCAACAGGCATATCATCACAATGAGCCAGACCCAACAACCATCGGACCCGACCTTCCGGGCGTATAGCGCCCAGCAAGGCGCAACTTACGCTGAACATCGTCGGAACTACAACCCAAAGCTATACGATGCAATCCTAAACTTCCACAAAGAAGGGTCTGGCTCGTTTGATATCCTAGTCGATGTTGGCTGCGGACCAGGAACAGCAACACGAAGCCTCGCTCCTCACTTCAAGACTGCCTATGGACTTGATCCCTCAGAGGGAATGATTAGCACTGCGCGATCTATCACCACCGTTGACAATGTCAAGTTTGAGGTTTCTTCAGCTGAATCTCTGGGATCTGAACTTGCCAACCCCATTCCTGATGGCAGCGTCGACGTGATCACTGGAGCAACCTGTGCCCATTGGTTTGACATGCCGCGATTTTGGGAGCAAGCTGCCAAGACTCTCAAACCTGGAGGTACGGTGGCTTTGTGGACGGCTGCGGGTGTTCGTGTCGATCCGTCGATGCCCGCTCATGAAGCTGTTCAGGAAGTTATCGATGATCTTGATAACTTGGTTCAAGACTATATGCTGCCCGGCAATCTGATGGTTCGTGATCTATACCGCGGCCTCCCCCTGCCTTGGACTCTTGACCCTCCCTTGTCTGCGTTTGATCGCCACTCATTCGTGCGCAAAGAATGGTGTACAGGTCCGGAAGCTGAAACAACCTTCTTTGAGCATTCGCCGCCAGTCAATTTGGATATGGTGGAGATGGTTCTTGGAACCGCTAGCCCGGTGACCAGATGGAGGGAGGCCCACCCTGAGGCAGTCGGAACGGAGGACGATGTTGTTCGCCAGATCAGAAGAAGGATTGAGAAGATCCTCACTGACGCGGGCGTGGAGAAAGGCAAAGAAATGCTTACAGGCGACATGACTGGAGTCTTGTTGCTTGTCAGAAAGAAGAGTGACTAGATATCTACAAGACATGAACTAAATATTGAATGATCTGCATTGATAGACATCACAATCAACTATCCTAAGCTTTGAGCTGGCATTCTTGTTCGCTTCATTTCCATGACTTGTTAAATTATTCGCACTGTTACTCATCATACGCATCACGAGGATCATGCTCCTTCCAGAACTTATCATAGTCATCCCAGCTCTGAGAAGGAAATGCCAAGGGAACCGTGATGGGAGCAAACGGAATACCCTTCTTCTCGAACTCATCAAGACGAGCCTTAGTCCTCTCCTTGGTTTTGTTGACACTATAAATCGAAATCCTATGGCATGAACTAGTGACGTGAAGTCCCCAATTCCAAGCTGTTCGGACATCAGGTGGTTGAGTATTAAGGGAGTTATCCCAGCAGCGACAGACAATCTCAACCCAACCTTCAACATCACATGGAAGTTCAAACTCCCAAGTGCGCCAGGTCCACTTACGTTTCTTGGAGAGATTCTCAAGTGGGACGGTGTACCAGTTGAAACCACCATCATTGGAAAGCTCAACACGCTCAGGCCATCGACCACCACCAGAGTAAGCCCAGCCCTTGCAGCGAATCTTGCCATTGTGAATGACAACTTGTTTCGTCCAAGGTGACATGATGGCAGAACTGACAGGCATCTCCTGAATCTGGATACCATCTGTAAGTTTGAAGTTGTGCTTGCCGACTTGCTGAGGGAAATAGAGGTATTCCTGGCTTTGAACAGGTGCTCTAGTGGGCTCCTTGATAGCCTTGATGCGGTACAGCCATTTGACACTTCGAGCGCCGATGTAGCCAAACACCACGATTCGAAGAGGATATCCGTGGATCTTGGGAAGTTCTTCACCGTTCATCTCCCAAGCTAGCATGACTTCATTTGCTTTGACCTTGGACCAAGGAACACTGACGAGATAATTCATCGTCTTGTCATCCTTGAAGTAGGTATCAGCACCATAGAACTCCAAGTGCTTGGCGCCATCGATCAAGCCACCACAGGCTTTAATAACCTTCTTGAGGCTGATACCAACGTAGTTGGCAGTGCCGATTGCTCCTTCGGCCCACGGTGCTTGGGGAACTTCGTCGCCCTGGCCAGGGTATTTGAGAATCTGCTCAATACGACGAGTTCCAGAGCACTGGATTGTAACGTTCTTTTTCATGCGGGGGAACTTTGACTCATCCATGAGTTCATCAAGTGTGAAGGACTTGGGGTTTGCAACGAGACCGTCCATGAGGAAACTGAAGTCTTCTTTCTTGATGAGAGGAATTCCACCGTGGTTTCTCACAAAGTGAAGGGAGTTGGGAGTGAATTCCTTGTCAGTTACTAAGCGCTTGGGTGGCTCGCCGTTGTAAGGGAATTGCAAGAGGTGCAGCATGTCAGGGTGTTTCTCTTTGAGGACAGTAGCCCATGAGTCCTCGGGCACGGTGGTAAGTTCACCTCCGATAGCATGATGCCACATTTTCCAATGCGTACCAGGAAGAACAGGGTTGGAACCAGGGATAGGACCAAGTTGGAACTCGGGGTTGGGAGGGAAAGTCTGCGACGTCAAGATCTTGTGTGCCGCAGCTTTTTTATCGGGGTAATTCTCCCACTCAACGAAGCTTCACGAGTCAGCTTGGTATGATACACTTGAGAAGAGTCTTACCCAACCCAACCCTTGCGTTCACGAGTGAAGAGCTTCTCACGATCACCGACCGACTTGATAGCCTCTTCATCTTTAGTGAGATCCCCAAAGACCTGAGGATCTATAGCCTTGGTCTTTGGACCGGTTTGGTCCAGAATAGGCAGGACCGCTCCGGAGAGACCTTGCTCGATCTTCCATTCATCAGGACGATTGGTAGTCTTCATGGTTGACAAGTAACAATTAAATTGGTCTTTTTGGTGTAATTAAGCAAAAGAGGGGGAAGACGGCGAGCTCTGGGTTTAAGTTAGCATCCCTTATACGACGACAGAGAGTTAAACGAGCGGGCGTAGCATAAGGTTGCAACCCTACGATCTACTCAAAACGATCTTGATCGAGTAAGACTAACAGACCAATGACGAAGCAGGCCATAGTATACCCAAATGCAGCCACGATTTCACACCATTGGCTCGATAAGCCGCACCCTGCAGGTCAACCATTGAGTTTAAGCCATAGGGCCGATTCAACCGTCGATGCCCTGAGCTGTGTAATGGTGTTGTCGTGAATGGTTGGTGATTACGCTGTGAGAGTGGGGTCATTATCAAGAGCTGACAGAGCTGGGATGCATCAGAAATCATCATGACAAAGTGGCTGCTGTACGAGTGCGGGGTCAACCTAATTCAAGGCATCCGAGCTTTCCGTGCAAGATTGGGGATGGGCATGATGGAGGACGAGGGGGATAAGATGAGCTGTGCTGCGTCTGTGAGGACGATGTTTGCTGCGTAGTACGATCAATTGAAGTGACAAGATATCATCACATTAGCCATGGTGAGTATCTGCTAGGAGTTGTGATGTTGTATTCGAAGGCTTACAATATTAGTCTCAGAATAACCCCATGTCGACTCTTGCCAATGGTATATCCAATTGAATTCGCCTCAGTTATGTGCCTGACGTTGTTATCTAGGGCAGCCGAGTGAGAACCCAGGTTCAGTCCAGCAAGTTCGCTATGGAAAAAGCAACGGCGGCCTCATCGTCTTGAGCGACACTCAAACTATCGAAGTACTCGCTCACTTTGCTCGCGAACGTATTCCGGAGAGGTACTTGGTTATCTGACCAACCCTGGGCCATTGGCTGATGGCAAGTTTAGGAGCGTACATGCCAAGGCCGCTGGAGCCTTTGGCGAATTCGAAGTCCTCGAAGATATTTCGCATCTGACTGACGCAGACTTCCTCACGGGCATCGGCAAGAAGACCAAACTACTCTCACGAATCTCAACTGTCGGTGGGGAGAAAGGCTCCAGCGACACTGTCCGCGATGTTCGCGGTTGGGCGACCAAATTCTACACCGAAGAAGGTATCCAGGATTTTGTCTTCAACGATCTGCCTGTGTTCTTCATCCGAGACCCAATCAAGTTTCCGTCCATGAATCGCAGTCACAAGAGGCATCCCCAGACTAATGTTCCTGATAACACCATGTTCTGGGACTTTCATCTGAATAATCCTGAGGGTATTCATGCTCTGATGCACCTATTTGGGCAGCGCGGTATTCCTGCGTCGCTGAGAAACATTAATGGCTTCAGTGTTCACACCTATACTCTCAACAAAGCTGTACGTCCGTACTCGACTGCATATATCAAGCTAACACATGTCAGGATGGCAGCTATGTTTACGTCAAATGGCATTTCAGGCCTGACGACGGAATCAAGACAATGGATGCAGACACTGCTCAGCGACTAGCAGGCTCAGAACCGGACTACCATGTCAAAGATCTCTTCAAGGCCATTGAGAAAGGTGACTTTCCTTCCTGGGGTGTGTACATCCAGGTCATGCAACCTGATGAGGTCAAGGCTGCACCGATTGATGTTTTCGATGATACATATACTTGGCCTTTTGAGAAGTATCCTCTGCGACTTGTGGGTAGGATAACTCTTACTCAGAATGTGAGTTCCCATGGCGCTTGAGGCTCTTGGGTGCTGACGAGTTGACGTAGCTCAACAACTACTTCCAAGACTTGGAGCAGGCATGTTTCTCGCCCTCAAACATGGTTCCTGGTATAGGGCCTTCAGCAGACCCTGGTATGTCGCTCCACCGACCGCTGGCTCACAGTCTAACTCGGGATAGTCCTTCAAGCAAGAATGTTCAGCTACCCAGATGCCCATCGTTACCGGTAAGTGCAATCACTCCCTCCCATCACACCAGGTCTAATGATCCCTAGAGTCGGACCCAATTACTTCCAACTACCCTGCAACAAACCCATCAACAAAGTCTACGCCCCATACGTCCGCGACGGCCCTGGCACAATCAACGGCAACTACGGAGGCGACCCAGACTACGTCGGCTCAGAGATTCGTCCAGTCAGTATGAGCAAACGAGTTCAAGTGCCTACCCATGAAGATTGGTCTGGCCATGTCACCGCTTTCGCAACTTCCATCACGGATAAGGACTTTGAGCAGCCTAGAGCACTCTGGAAGATCATTTGTAAAGAGCCGAAGGGTAAAGAACAGTTCTTGCATAATATTCTTCCGACGTTGAGGGATATTCCTGATAAGATGAAAGATCAGGTCGTTGGTGAGTGTTGAGCGGTTACCAAATGTTCAATTCGTCGTTCCGCTAACTTTGTCGCAGAGTATTTCGGGCGCGTTGATGGGGATTTGAAGACTTGTCTAAAAGAAGGTCTTTCCAAGTAAGACCGGCCATTGCTATTAGTCACAGTATTAAAACAAGGGTATTAGTCGATTCAGTCAATTGACATGATTCTGCACTGGGGCGCTGATGTGAACAAACCTTTTCGGGGCGCGTAAATCGTTTCAGGGTTGGATTTTTAGGGACCAGGGGGTGCTAGAAGACCCCACTGATGTGACGCTGCTGATCACTGTAACTATGAGCTAAGCCTCCCGTCCACTTGCTCGATTGTTTCACGTCGAACCAACATAAAAGCATCGGCTGCACGCCCTCAAATCCTCCTCTTTCACCTTACTCGTGAGATCTTGCCAGAGCTCTGACTTCGAAATGGCCCCCATATCATTTCTCGACTGCCCCCAAGAGGTGCAGCTCAACATCACCGAATTTATTTCCCAAACCGATCTGGCCAAGCTCTCCATGGCCTGTCGCGCCCTGTACAGCCTCACCAAGCCTCTAATTTATTCCTCTGTCAAATTTGAATGGGCGAGGGAGTTCCACCCGCCCATCACTCAATTACTCCAGTTACTCCGAACACTGCTAGAAGGACCGGACTTATGTCCTCTGATACGTCATGCCGACTTTGAAGGTTATGGCTACATCGACGAAATCGGCTGGTATCGCTCAGATTGGACAGAAGAGACTCCCGATCCGCCACCTGTCATCCCAGAGCTTCCTACCAGCAAACTCTCGGGGGCCATAGGGAAGACAGGCGTTTCGAAGACTATCGCCGACCAGTGGAATGACAAGGTCCAATCAGGATCTCCTGAAGCTTCGGCCGCAGTTCTTGTTTCTTTACTACCAAATCTGGAACGTCTTTGTCTTTCCTCCAATTGGACCAACGACACGCATTTCCTGGGGAGTATGTTGCGGACTGCTCTATGTGAAATGCCTCAGCGCGTGTCAAAGGCAGGTTTGCCTTCTTTTACGTCGTTGAAGCGCGTATCGCTTGCACAAATGTTCGACGAAGAAAATCACCTCGATCCAAGTAATACAGCAGATGCCCTGGCGTTGTTCTACCTGCCGAATATCGAGGCCCTGTCAGTATCTGTCGACAACCCCACCAGTTTCTCTTGGCCTTCCCCTTCCCCTCCAACTCCAACGTCCCTAAAGTCGCTCGAGCTCTTTCGGCTACGAGAGAGTCGCCTGGCACCAGTTTTATCAGTAACAACGAACTTGAAGAAGCTACGATACAACTGGCTGTACCGTCCTGACCTCGACGAGGAGGTCAGCAAAGAGGTTGTCACGTTGGATATAATGGCAGAAGCCCTACTTGAGGCTAAAGACTCACTTGAGGAGCTTGAAATCAAAGCAGAGAGTCTCCCTGCACTGTCGCATGGGGAGTACGAGCCGCCTGGCGTCACGTTCCATGGATCAATCATTCAACTCCGTGAGATGCATAAGCTGAGAACTCTTCATATACCTTGGACATTTCTCACAGGAATAAAAGGCTTTTCAACCGGACCTGGACTCATCGGGGCTGCAGTTCCGCCTAATGTTGAACATTTGGCCTTGGATGGTTACTTCACGTGGTCTGAGCATGATGACTATGAAGATGATCCAGATAAACTGATGGTTGAAGCTTTTGCTAAGGAACTCGAAAGCGGCGCTTTGTTACATGCGAAGTCATTGAAGAGCGTTTGCTTACCAGGATCCATCTATCTTATTGGGATGTCGGACGTCTGTGAGAAAAAGATGAGAGTCCTTGAGGATCGATTCGGATTGGCATTGAGCTATGATAAAAGAAGAACGTGAAGCTGCTTCATCTTATGGCTTGTATATCTAGATTTCATTCTCTTCTATTCGATCATTTCCGAGCTTCGCTATGACACGGTGTATAACATGAACTTGATGTTGAAGCTCTTATTGAAGAATACATGTAACTGAATCTACCTGAATTAAGACAATGGGAGAGCTAGTATTTACTCCCCATCCCAAATAATATGATTTCTAGTACACATCTGGATCTGGCCTTTCCTCTGCACACCTCCAGCAATCTTATGAAGCGCAAACGGTAGAGCCTTCTCTCCCCGTCCAATATAATGCACATCTTGGTCGCGTACTAGCAAGTTGCACCCCCAAAAGTTCTAGTATCTCGTTAGCAAATCGATAATCTCACATATACTGCAATCGGGCTGTACTAACTTTCTCATCCTCCCCATTCCTGGTGGTGCCACAAGGAGCCAAGATAGAGTATCCTTTACTTCCTTTGACAACAGTTGTAACACGGACTTTTGGATCAACCTCTGGAATAGGCGTCGTGTGTGTCATATAGTACTGGTGGAATGAATTGACTTCGCCGCACTTAGCCTTGTTTTTGTGTCCGGCGGCGGGGTCCGCATTGCTGTTTGCATCATTGACAACGCGATCTCGCCAAAGAGCACTGCAACGATCAAGAGCCAGCTTGACTGGACTTTGAGGCCACTCGTTAATAAAGCCGTCCTGTCCCTTCTGGGAAGAAGACAAGATAATCTCGTTCCCAAAAGCCACGATAGTCATAACCGAAGGGAGATATACTGGCTTAGTAGTCCCCTTTACAAAGAATCCAGGCTTATATTGCCGCATATCCTTTTCCATCTCTTGATGGCCAACTTGGGCTATCATCCTCAGCTGACCATCTGTGATAGACGAGACAGGTTCATTAAAAACGAGATACGAAGACCAGAGATATCGATGCTGATTTTCTGTCCTATCTCTTTCTGACACGCCCGGGAGGGGCTGAGTCGCAAGACCGTAGTCGAGTCGGACTTTGAGTTGTCCTTGTGCTGGGTGCTTGACGCTGAGGTCAATGGCATCAAGAAATTGACCAAATAGGAGAAGTACAAACAATAAGGAAAGGTAAAAAGTACCCAAAAACGGCGCCATAATGTCAGGAGTTGAACGTAAGTTCAGAATGATTCAACGAGATAGAACCCCGGAGGAAACCAACACAAATAAATGACACAGAGACATATAGCATAGCCTGAACACCATCCAGGCCCACTGGGACTGAAATTTCCCAAATGATCAACAAACAGCCCAAAACCGCCATGTCTGCGCCTTTCATACAGCGGATAAGTCGGAAGGCAGACAGGATGATCATGGCAACACCATATTGCTTAAAATTAAAGGCTCATATTCTGATTCCTTCGAAACAACTGCCGAAGCTGGAATTCCGGAAGCATTTACCTATCATTACTCGCCGAGTTGAGAGTACAGCCCCGTTTGCCAGCTCGGTTACAAGTTAACTACGCGCTGTGATAAATACATGGAAACCTAGTTGGTCCCGCTGCCAATCAAAGCTCAACTAGCCTACCATGCAATGTGGGTGTTGATACGAGTTTGTTGCTAGAACCAACAACAAGACGCTAACAAGGTGATGAAACACGGTTGTTGGTTCGAAATACCATTTCGACAGTGGCTTTTTCTATAATTAACGGACCGTGCTACGACTTATGCATGATGATCCTTTCGATTCAGGAAATGCCCGACTAAATTTATCCCTCATGTGTTGGTTGTCCCCTGTTGAATTCATTTACATGTCACCGCGTGGGTCGAATGCGAGCTGAGCTTCTCGGCCGGACTGGATCATGAGGTGATAACAAAATCACGCAGGACTGTGGGGACCATGTTGAGTGGTCTGGGCGAAGTGCAGATCTTGAAACTAGATTGGGGGCGAAGAGGAAAAAGACAACCCTACAAGGCTGACTACCGGCATGCTAACAATAGCTCATATAGCATAGATATGAAAATCGCCAAGTACCTGTCTTTACCGAGATAGAATAACACGTTTTGTTCGTTTGTAAATCATATCACAATGCAGCGTTTACGCTATGTTTTGGCACTCTTGGCCACCTCTGGCTCAGTAATAGCTCGCCCTTCTTTGGCTGACTTTGGGTCTATGTCTATGAACAACATATTCGGCAGGGATACAGCCGATTTCTTCAATCCAGATGACTTGACGTTTATCAAAAAGCTTGCAGCTGTTGGGGACTCATACTCAGCTGGTATTGGAGCTGGAGACGGCTTACATGGAGAAGGCGGTAAGTTTAGTATGTTGGTTTGTAGCAACAAGATTTAACGAGTCACAGATGAGAACTGTCGGCGATATGACCATTCTTACCCATATCTTATCAATCAAGACGAGAGACTCGGGGATACAACAAACAGGAAGTTTCAGTTCAAGTCATGCTCTGGTGCAGTTATCAAGAACGTGATTGAGGATCAGCTCCCTTCAATAGACTCTGATCAGCAAATCATTCTTTTATCTGCGGGTAATTTCGTAGGCAATCTTTGGACTTGAGGACACCATTGACAATGTGGCAGGTGGTAACGATGCTGAGCTTGTTAACATTCTGAACCAATGCGTCTATCAATGGTTTGCGCTGAAAGACCAGCAATCTACTGTAGGTAAAGTTGCAGAGATGAAAGGTGAGCCTTGGGCCAAAGGTTGGGACTGGGACGCTGCGTCTCGCGGCTGTTTAGGTCAACTTCAATACTCTAAGAACATCATCAACAGCAATGAATTCTCCCAAAGGATCGACTCGATGATCGAGGCTACCAAGAAGAAACTGTCATCAGAGTAAGCCCTATTCTGGCGCGCTTAACTACAGCTTTACTGATGGCTACCGTTCGAACAGTGGAATGATATACTACACAGGGTATGATGACGCTCGATAAACTGTTTCTAGTCTCAAGCTGACCTCAGTCATAGATACGCCAAATTTTGGAGCACTGACTATGGTTCTGCTTGCGACAAAGTGTCATGGTCAACCTGGATATTTGTAAGTAAAACGGATCGGTCCGTGAGTTCCTCTGACATTTTCTTCACAGAAATCGTATAATATTTGGGAACCTGCTGCTCGTCTAGAAGAGTTGCGCCGAAGAGAGATGAACAGGCTGGTCGATCTCATCAATGACAAAATTGTACGTGCTCACAGATATTGAAGGGCTTCAAAAAGCTGACTTGACTTGTAGGAAGCCGCTGTCAAGAGGGCTGGTGACAAGGTGACCTTCGTCAACTACGACGAGTATGTCGGCCACTTTAAAGGTCGTTACTGCGAAGATGGCGTTGACGAATCGGTCGTCGATAGCAATACAAGGTAAGATATGCCGCCCTGAACAGTGTTGCATACTAACTACTTTAGGCCGGAGCTGATGTTCTATGAGCTTGATACCTTCGATCCATGGGGTAAAAAACCATGGAAGCGAAGTGCCGTCGAGCACAAGAACGGTTCATTCTCTGGTTATATGAACATGATGACACGGGCAGCGGAGTTTGTCGCACCCGATGTGACATTCAGACAGCAGCACAAGATCGAAGAGACATCTGAGATACAGGGTTTGCAAGAGGTGGCTCAAGATGGTGCTACTGAGGATGTGCCAAATCTTTTGCCTGACGGGTAAGCTGGCGGCAGCCTTGTTTCGTCCAAGCGACTGACCTCATTCTTTTAGCTACGGTCGCGTATTCCATCCACAAATCTTGCTGCATGAACTCATCGCCAACCTTGTCCTCTTCCAGGTCTCCAATCGTCGAATGGAGGAGAACAAGATGACTCCTGAACCTCTGCTTGACACATCGGTAGCGCAGTGTCCGATCAATCCATCAGGCAACATTGTCCTGAAGTACAAAGAGATCAAATCGGGAGAGGCGGTCAAGAAGGGTACTGAACTTCGGATTCTTCCCGTCGGTGATTCTATCACAGTGGGTTACCTGAGCGACAGGAAGGGAGGTGACGGGAATGGCTACCGAGGGCAACTGAAGAAGGACCTTTCTGGTAAGAAAACACGAGGGCAAGGTATTCATTGCGAGACTAGTTGCTAATGTGGAACAGGAGATAAGGTTGTCTTTGCTGGGACAGAGTCATCGGGCACAATGGCCGACGGATACTATGTAAGTGCATCAGGTTATTTCGGACAATGTGACTGACTCCAAAATAGGCGGCATGGTCTGGAAAGACTATTCAGTACATTTCTGATCACGTCGACCCATCACTTAAGCAGCGTCCCAACATTATTCTACTTGCAGCTGGCACCAACGATATGAACCCCAACCATGGCATCTCGAAAGAAGGGAACGATCCGAAGGGCGCTGCTGATCGACTTGGCAAGCTCATCGATAAGATGGTCAAGTCATGCCCAGATGCAACCATCTTAGTCGCAATGATTATCAACACTTGTGATGAGAGACAGTCACCTGCCACAAAGGAGTTCCAAAAGCTTGTTCCTGGTGTTGTTAGGTCGCGTCATGACGATGGTAAACACGTTTTGGCTGTGGACTTTACCACCTTCAAGACAAGTGATCTCCAAGACTGTATCCATCCTACCAACGATGGGTACAAGCTCATGGGTGATTATTGGTACAGCTTCGTTCACCAGATTCCTAGCAGTTGGATCAAGAAGCCTGTTGGGCCTGACCCAGACGGCGGCGACGGTACCAACGGTGGTATTGACAAGAACATCCCTGCTCCAGACTGGGGCCAAAGTCCTATTCAGGTGACATCCAAGAAGACGGTTGCAGATGCGGCAAAGTATGCTACTGGTGGAAAGGATAAGTATGTCACTTGCAATGGTAATCCTTGGTACAAGGCTACAGGAAAGATCGCGCAAGGCAATGTTGGTAAGAATGGGGATTGGAAGTATCGCAAGAACTGGGTTTCCGAGGGTCAAGTTGCTGAAGGACTTGGCTTAGATAATCGCTATGTCAGGTTACATGACATGAATGGCGATGGCAAGGCGGGTAAGCATTACGCGTTTCCCTTACCACTTTGCGCTGTCGATACTGAGACTAATGGCCATCTTAGACTACGTATGGATTCATCCCCAGACAGGAGAGATTACATGCTGGCTTAACAATCTCCCCAAGCCGTGGTCGAAAGCCGGTAATAACAATGGTATAATTGGCAGTGGTGTTGGTCCGGCCAAGACTATTTATCTGGCGGTAAGTTCTCACACAAACTCTAGTGGGCAAGACTAACTCATAACAGGATATGAATGGTGACGGGGTAAGTGATCAGCAGGTTAAATATACTTTTGCTAACATGTACAAGATGGATGATTATCTCGTCGTCGACCCGGATAACGGCTCCGTTCGCGTATGGTGGAACTTTGGTCCCGACGAAAGCTGGGACAATGGTTGGAAATTTGTTCCTGGTGGCGAAATCGCTTCGGGTGTTCCGCATGCCAACCTCGAGACCTTGAGATTCCCCGACATCAACGGTGACGGACGAGCTGACTATGTCTATATCGGTGAAGGTGGTTCGTTGAAACATCATATGAACACTGGTTCTGTCGGAGGGCGAGATGTTTTGTTTCATGCTATGGGAGGCATTGCTACCGGTGCCGTTAGTGATATCTCGAAGTTGGTATTTGCTGATGTAAGTGAAGAGATACCTGCCTGACTTGGGAGTCGTACTGATGATGAATTCCTTTATAGATGAACGGTGATGGTCGTGATGGTATGTCAGGATTCGGTATATCTCATGGTCGTCACTAACTGATATAGACTATCTGATTTGGGACGAAGACGGTGGCCTGACAGGCTTCCTCAACCAGCCAACCAATAAAGAAGGTGTCCCTCTATACATCAATCAAGGCACTGCCAAGACGATTGCAGATGGCATCAAGAAGAAGCCAAGCACCATTCGACTTGCTGACATGGACGGTGATGGGAAAGACGACTATGTGTATGTTGGTGACCATGGTGCGCTCTCGGTATGGTACAATCGCGGGACTACTGACGATTCTATGACTATTGACGGTCTGCGCTTTGCTGACATTGACGGTGATGGCGTTAATGACTATGTCTGGCTCGACCCCAAGACTGGTGCTCCTACAGTCTAGTAAGTGGACTCTATAATCCTTTTAAAAACTTCAAGCCTTCTAACCTGTGGATCAGTCTCAACTCTGGAGTTGACGATGCAGATTCCCTAGGGTGGGCATGGAAGCCGATGAATGGTGGGAAGCCCATTGCTACTGGTGCAGCACCAGCAAAACAAGTTGTCTTCGGTGATATCGATGGGTGAGTAATGGGCTCGTTTCAGTCTGCGAAGGATTTGACTTACATTAATAGTGACGGACTGGACGACTACCTGGATCTGAATCCCAAAACAGGCGAGCTGAAAGCATATCTTAATCTCGGAGGCGAGTTCGACTACAAATTTCGGGATGTTGGCACAATCGCGTCAGGGCTCGGACCTGGAAAGCGAGTACGCATTGCTGACATTGATGGTGATGGGGTAAGACAAACGCCCATGACGAATAAACGCCCGAAGGTGGCTGACCATATTCCCAGCGTGATGACTACATCTTCCTCAAAGATAACGGTGGCACGACCATCTATCGCAACGTCTACAGCCCGGATGTCACAGTTGATAAGTACGCTCCAATGCCGGACGCAGATGCTTCAGGCATCAACCAGTCTCCCGATGAGATTGACTTTATCGACATGAACGGTGACGGGAAGGCCGATTACGTCTGGACTAGACGCCTTGACGGTCGTGTCAAAGTTTGGTACAACGACTATCCCAAGAAGCCTACTTGGCGAGAGGCTGGTGAGATCGCAGGAGGCGTAGGAACGTCCGGCGCCAATGTCCGCTACGCAAAACTTCAGTCTACTGGCCGGTATGATTACGTCGCCATTGACCCTGGCACAGGAGCTATCGGTGCGTGGCTCAACGGCTGCGGTGATCCTGACACTTCCAAGAAGAAGCACAGAATAACTGTCGTTCGTGATGTAGATGATCGAAATGGCCGATGGAATGTTTTGGAGAAGCCGGTGGATGAGGACTGGCCTTCCAACTACTGCTTCAGGTCAGAGGACTCGCGTGGTACACAGGGACTAAACAGTGAGCCAAAAGATGCTGACTTCCCTTTTGCGCTGGTCACTATTAAAAAGTTGTATGACCATACATGTTTCTATCTCGGAGGCGCTTATAGAGTTGGACAGTTGGTATGTGATGGAGTCAGTGGGATTAGGTGCTATGAGGACAAGAGGCATGGGAAGAGACAGAAGTGTCGGACTGGGTCTTATACGCATGCTCTGTACTGTGAATGGTAGTGGATTGAGCGTTGGATCTTGACTCCATAGACACATATCGAAGCCTGGAATTATAGACTTTTGATTATTAAAAAACTAGAATCTAATAGATACTGAGCCAAAACAACAAGTCTATGACACATAATGAACTAAAAACATCCCTTTCATATCTCATTCGTCCAAATCCTTGATCATATCTAACCATGCGCCACTCTATAAGTTAGCATTTGATGCGAGAGGAGAAGCTTCTTGAACTTCATGCACCTCCATCTTGAAGCCCTTGAACCTTCTCGCCGGTAATCTCATCTCAAACATGTGATCAATCTCAATCGCACTCCTTCCCTTCATCTCAGGGATAAAGAACCAGGTCAAAACAGTACCGACCAGACAAAGCCCGCAGAACAAGAACCCAGTCTTTCCACCCAGAGCCGCCTTATCTCGGCTGAATAGCATGGGCAAAACAACAGCCAACATGATAGAAAAGCCTTTCTCGGCGATACCAGCCAAGCCCTGTGTGAGAGACCGAAGTTGAAGAGAACTGGTTTCTCCCAGGATGGCATATCCAGCAGGCCATGCACCCATACCACAGACGACAATAACAGCTGTCATGATCCCTCCAGTGGCCCAAGTAAGGGTCTCGCTTCTCCAAAAGCCAGTCACGCCCATAGCTCCATAAAGGAGGGTTGAAGATGCCAATGAGAACAAGGTCAAACTGCGACGACCAGCGCGGGAAAGGAGCCAGAACCCGAGACCGTTGGCGAGCATTCCGGCGACTACACCGGCGAGTGTGAACATGATAGCATAGCCTGACTTCATGCCCAGTGACGTCAAGAAGACACTGGCATTAGAGAGCAGTTCCAGACCGAAAAGCGCAGGCATGATGGAAGCCAATACAACAATGAGAGTTCTTCGAAGGTTCGTACCCTTTAGACAAGACCAGTAGTTTACTGACGCGGTTATCGCCTTTTCTTCTTCAATTGTAGCCCGAATTCGCTCAAGTGCACCATATGGGCTGACCCTAGGTGCGAACAGTCGAGTTGCCGATTTGATGGCCCTCTGTTCTTGTCCAGTTCTGATCAAATGAGCAGGACTTTCAGGCATGACGATAGAAAGAATGAAAGGGCCGAGGGAGAGAATCCACTGTGATCCGAAAGCACCGAGATAGCCACTACTGCTCTCGATGTCATTGATGAACTTGATAACAGCAAGACCAATGAGTTGACCAAGCAATGTGAAGACCGGAAACAAAGCCATAGCTGATCCACGCAAAGCCGTCGGTGTATTCTCAGACACCCACGTAACGCACGTCGTCTTGATAACACCGACCGAAAAACCCTGAATCGTCAAACCAGCAGTGAGGAGCATGCGCTTCGTATCAAGCGGTTCAGGCATATGCGAGAAGAAAATGCAAGCAATAGCAATAACAGAAATGATCGTTCCGAATAAAAGCGTAAGTTTTCGTCCAAAGCGATTCTGTAGCCATCCGCCCAAGAAGCCTCCGAGAGCTGCACCGGCGGGCGGAAGACCAAGCCAGAGGGATAGCCAGTTACCGGGAATATCCATTTCACCGTCGATTTTTGATCCGTAGTCTGCTTTGAAGGTATCGACGCTTGCGACGGCGCCGACGATGACGAGATCGTAACCCCAGCCGATGACGGGGACTGTCATGGCGAGGCAGTATCCTGCAATCTTGGGGTATTTTTTCAGTGCCTGGCGCAGTGGCATCTGAGCTTCTTCATCATCTTGTTGAGGCGGCGGGTCTTGTTTGGTGGTTGAGTCTTGTCGTGTGATTTGGGGTGTGTAGGGATCATAAGTTGTGATGTCTTCATCTTCTTGGGGGATTGTCTGCCATCTTCTTGTTGTTTCGAGCTCATGGTAGCTTGGCGCAATACTACCCTCTTGGGGATCGCTGTTCTTCCGGTCGTGATAACTCATAGTTAGCTAGCCGAAAAATAAAATTATGCTACTCTCTTTCAGCGCAGATATAAGATAGTGAATGATGCGAATGCGAAAGAGGACGGTAAAGGTGGCAATCAGCATCTATAAAGAAGAGTAATACAGCTCAGACCTCGCTTTTTTTGGGTGAGGGGCCCATCGGACTCATGATGATCTGCCCTACGGACGTTAAATCGTGGAGTAGCAGTTATCTCGCAGGGTAAATCCTTCAGTGGGCGATGATACTCTAATTCTGCATCTTGGCCAATTATATTAGCGCTAGAACGAGGATGAAACTCGGGCTTACAGGGCGCAGTCAGCAGTGGAGCGAAGAGAGCCCTACGGACCTCGGACTAGTGAGGCTTGGGACGGGGCAATCTTGCAGGATGAGGCTGAGTTGAGAGGTCATTAAAGTCGAGGTATTAGTTTCGGGGACGAGAGACTGTTTCTTTGGGAAGGTAGTGTTTGTTTGTGATGGTGAAGAGATGCAGCTCTACGCTCTTGATGCCTTCGTGAACTGGCTGTGCCGCAGAAGGACAATTGCCACGTAAGATGAGGATTCAGCATTCATTACTCCGTACAACACCATCTTTAGACATGGAAATCAAGCATAAACTTCCAATTAACCTCCGGCATTGCTACCAATTGCCGCTCGTTAGTGTGATAATGTCGAGATCCGTAGGACCTTATCCCCGTCGGACTCTGGATGATGGATGTGACATGCATCCACTCTGTGGGGTCTTGCGAAATCCGCACGATCGAGCGAAGTCCGCTTCGTTGAAAGGACGCTTGGCGGTTTGTGTTGATATGTAAAAGCAATGATTTCACTTGATAGGAATACAATGTTTTGAAGAATAATCTACTTTAAGGATCAAAGATTGTATTGACACGTGTCGTGGATAATTTCCTGCTTTGTCACTGACATTCAGCTACGATCACCAACTTATCAACTCCCGCTTTATCACCGAACTTCGCGCCAAAACCTGCCGATCCCTAACGTATCATTGCATATCTCGTATCATTCAATACTCTCCGACTTGATAATGCAACTCAACAACACCGAGAACCGGGAACTTAAGCCAATATGCCAAATCATCACTCCAGTGGGTATGTTAGGCTACGGCTTCGACGAAGGCCTCACGCACTACGAACTCTCCCGCCTCGTACCAACCGGCATCCCAACAGCTATCATCTTGGACTCTGGATCGACAGATAGTGGCCCGCAGAAACTAGCTTTGGGATCTATGTCTTGTCCAAGGTCAGCTTATGCAAAGGATCTTGCCAAGTTACTTCGCCTTGTTCATACGTTTCGTGTGCCCTTGATATTTGGGTCTGCTGGTGGCGATGGGACGGATGAGCATGTCAAGATCATGGGGGAGATTATTGAAGAGATTTCATCAGAAGAAGAGAACAAGTAATTCACAGTCGCAATGTCGATGCCATATTTGCTGATGTTTCTACAGGGACTATGTTTTCAACACGATAACGCTCTTCTCCAACATCAACAAAGCAACTATCCTCAAACGCCTGAAGCAAGGCCGCCTGACAGGCTGCGGTCCCTGTGTCCCACCCGCAACAGAGTCCGAGATCAACGAATCTCTCCGCGTCGTCGCTCAAATAGGCTACGAACCCTTCTTCGACGCCATGAACGCCAATCCCGACTTCAACATCATAATCGGCGGACGAGCCTACGATCCATCCCCATACGTCGCATTCTGCGTTTATCAACTGACCCGCCAGTCAAACCACCTCAGCATCGAAGAGCTTCACGCTAGACTTGGAGGGTTCTATCACATGGGTAAGATCTTGGAGTGCGGTGGACAGTGCTCATTCCCGAAATCTCATGGTGCTGTTGCGACTGTTTATGAGAATGGTTTGTTCGATGTTAGACCGACGGATCCTGAGTCGATGTGTACGCCTTTGTCTGTTGCTGCCCATACGCTGTATGAGAATACGAGACCGGACGTTTTGCGTGGTCCTGGAGGGTCACTTCATCTTGGCAACTCAAAGTATGAGCAGCTGTCTGATGGAAAGTCTGTGAGGGTGAGTGGTAGTGTTTATCACTCGTCAGAAGCAGATGGAAAGCCTTATCAGCTCAAACTTGAGGCTGCACGTATTGTTGGATACCGCTCTATGTTTATGGGCAGTGTCAAAGATCGTGAGAACCCTTCCTTCAAATTTGTAAAAGTCTTCTAACATCTAAAGATATCCTCGTCTCGCAAATCGACAAACTCCTCGCCCGCGTCAAAGTCTATGTTGATCAACAACATCCCGAGATCACAGGCCAGTGGAACCTCGACTTCCACGTCTACGGCAAAGACCAGTACGCACAAGCCGGACCAGGCCAACTCTTTATCGTCGCTGAAGCACTTGCGTCAACGCAGCAGTTGGCCAACAGCATTGCTTCGAAGGCACGAGTTGGAATGATTGTAAGCCTCCTGATATACCGTCGGATTAAGCTAATTCGTGACAGCATGCACCATATCCAGGGCAGAAAGCGACTGCCGGCAACTTTGGCTTCGGTCTTGGTGGCCTTATGGAGATTGAGTTGGGCCCTTGCGCTGAGTTCTCGCTGTACCATCTCATGGACCTTGAGCCTGGCGAAGAGAGGTTGGCTCCGGGTGGTGATGGGTCCGTGCTTGAGGGCTCGTTGCTGAGAGGCACTGTGTCTCGAGTTGGCAAAGGGGGCATCAATAGGACCAACGGGCACTTCACTGTGCCTGAGGTTGAAAGCAAGCCTCTGCAGCGGACGAGCGCAAGTCCCCAGCGCTCACCTAGTCCCCCAAACCAGCATATCCAAGAACCTGAGACGCTATCAGACCTATGTCGCATTGTCCGATCCAAGAACGCTGGTCCATACGAGATAACAATAGATGCCATGTTCGCGTCGAAAGAAGCTTATGAAGCGGTTAAGTCCTCTGATCTTCTCTCATCCAGCAATGTTGCGAAAGCCATCGGTATCCCTGAAGAAGATATCATCTGGATTGGTTTCTTCGACCCTGCTATCTCATTCAAAGTGACCATTCCCAGAATCCGATCAGGGAAGAAGAAATCTGCTGGTGGATTCATGGAGAACGACATCCATGGGTCACAAGAGCACATGGGCCTTGCAAGTCTCAAGCTTCCAGCAAGTTTCGCTCTGTAATTTTGTTACCAAGTGTTTGGGTAATCGCTCTCCAATGTCGTCGGGTCAAACTGGAGCAAGCTTGTATACGGATCACTCCAAAAGCTCTTCAAAAACTCTGGATTCCCATCCACCTGACTCATCATATCCTCATGATCCTGTACCATCTCTCCCGTTGTCTCCTCAACAGTCCCCCCATCACCTTCCTCGACTTCAACAGGCTTTCCTCGTATCTTCCCCGCCGTATTAACAGCATCAAACATCAAAGACACGCCCATTCTATGATTAAGCACTAACTTTGTCTTATCCTCCTCCTCCGAGCTGTCCCGTTCCAATGCTTCAAACACACTTGCGATACGACTAAATTCATCTTTCGGACCAATTGTACATGCTCTACAAAGCGTCTTTGTCATAGCAACATGATTAGCGACTATCTGTCGCTCTTCAGGACCGTCGGAACTCTGGCGGATGAAGAATTTGAGGAGGAAAATTGTTGAGAAGCCCAGACATCTGTGGCGATCTTTCGGTTGGCATTTTTCACGGCGGACGAGGGTGGTGTTTTCGGGGTTGGTGCGGATGGCGCGGGTTCCGATTTCGACGATTCTTAGGGCGATGTCGCGTGTTGTTCGGAGGAGGATCTGGCGGGATGATGAATTTGCTGGGGATTTCGTGATTACAAGTGTGTATGTGTGTATTTTAGCATCTAGGATGGCGTATTCAACTATGCTTTTCGTTTCTTCATCTGGTAGTATCTCGTTTTTAATTGCATCAAGTTCAGTGTCAAATAAGCGGAGGAAAGATGAACTTGTGCCGTCGGCCAGCTCATGGTTGAGTAGTGCTGTGAATTTTGCGACGACTAGTTGGATGCGGACTTCAATCGCAAAGGCTGGTGGCACTGTTTGTCGTTTCAGGAATGCATGGATAGCAGCAAAGTCCAGCTCTGATTCGATAGGACAGGGAAGACCCAGATGTAAGCTCAGTCTGTTTCTGTCAGCAAATTCTAACAAGTTCTGATCTTCTCGGTGCAACTCACGATGTCGAGACACTGAAGCAAGACAGCCAAGTGTTTATTCTCGACCGAATGCTCCCCGATGTGACTCCAATTACACGAAGTGATGGAATGGTTTGCTGGCGATCGAGACTCAGATATCGAGCAGCTTGGATAGCAACACCGCAGTAAAGCCAGCTTGGCTCTTTCCATTGCTTATCAGTAGGCAAAGGCCAGTTGCAGAGAAGTAACAGGGCTTGGACTTTGTACAGCGGCAGCGGTGCATCGGTTACAGTCTCCTGAACTAACCTCTCATACGGCGCCCGGAGCAACCCGAACAAGGCGATGTTCTCTGGTTCTGATAAACGACAGAGCACAATCGTCACAATCGTCCAGAAGAGAAATGGCTGGTTTTCGTAAGCTGCTTGAGCAGAGAGCGATGCAACCACTGGAAGCCTCGGACGCATATACTCAGCGAATCTAGGGAATGGTTAGTAGGTAGTTGGGTAAGTGGGAGGCAGACTTACACTATGAAAGCTTCTGTCGCTGTAGAAGAGTCAATAACCAGTCCATTCAAACTCACAGTAAACGATGTAAGCTCAAAATCGTCTACACCTTCATCCTGAGACGAAGGCGATCTACTCTCAGTTTTAGGACTCGTTCCAGTCGCCAATTGATCTTCCATACGATGAGTCTGGTTCCGTAGTTCTTGAAGTTCCTTGTTCATAGCCTCCAAGCGTCTATGCCATCAGTAGATTAGTAATAGTTCCGGATCAAACAATCTTATCACGTACTTTCTCGCCGGCGTCCTCTTAAAAGTAGCGTCTACCGTGCAGAACAAATGTCTTGCATGGCACCGGGAGCACGGATCAGGGAACCTCTCCTTGGAATCACATCGTAACTTGCTAATCAGCTCTTATCTATCTCATAATGAACATAGAAGCTCATACCTTTGCCTGCTTACACTCCGTGCACGCCTTGACCGGCCGTGAGGCCAAATGACTCTGCGGCATTAAATAAATCTGTTAATAATCAGATGTTTGTTGGTTACACAAACATGCGGGCGTCTGGAACTTTAAGGAAATTGCCGACGTTGTTCTAGCCGTTAGACGGGCCGTTCGTGCTACAAGCTTATCGATAGCGTTGTAAGCCACCCACTGTTAGTTACTGAAGCGGGGAAGGCTTGGCGGCTGGTCTGGATTTAGCCGGAAATGATCCAAGATCGGGCGGGGACAGTCACTCCTTGCCGGTGATTGGCAGACTTTGGAATCTATTTTTAGGTCGTAGGGTAAGTCGATATCGTGAGGTCTTGACCAAGAGTCTCAATGAGTATATGGCTTCTTTAAAGATTTCAATTACTTTAATATTGTGTGTAATAGGAAGAGAAACTAGCAGTTTAACATATGGCTATCCAGATTATGTTGTATTATACCATGGTGAAATGTTCTTGGTCATTCATAATCTCCTAGTCTAACATAATTGAAAGTAAATGAGAAAAACATGATACAAACTACGAAATGTTCTTCTTGAAGTTTCCCTCGTTCTCTTCCAACCAAGCTCTAAAATCTTGCATCTCGGGATTATGACCACGGCACTCTTGCACATCCCCACCATAACCCTCATCTGCAAACCACTTAAACATATCACCAACAGACCCCTTCAACACAAACTTTACCGCGCTCGCAACCGGACAAGGCGCCAGAGCCATCTTCTGGCCAATGACCGTATAGTAGATAGCATCCGCCTCACGCTGCGTCAGCTCATCACCCACAAGCGTCAATGCTGTATTCCTGTACATCTCAGGCCAAAGCAGACTCTGAGCCGCAAACCAACCAATGTCTTTAGTCGATATCATCTGGAGCTTCTTACTTCCCAGCTGCTCCCACATACGCGCGAATCCCTTTCCGTGAATATCTGTCGTGATGTTTTCGAAGAAGGTCACCGGTCGGAGAATAGTGTATGTCATCTTCTGCACGCTTTCCTGTGCCTGCTGTTCAAGATGTTTCTCAATGGCGTGTTTCGCGGCAAAGTTCTTGACGTAGGTAGGATTGTTAGGTGAGCGCTCAGGTCCACCACGGTCTCCGGAGGAGTAAACAATGTGCTGGACACCATGTTTTACAGCGGCGTCGATGACAGCTTTGCCTTGTTGTTCCTCTGCGTCCGAATTGACCTGGACGCTATAAACGCCCCATACTGAGCCGGCTTTGCTGAAAATTGCATCGGCGTCGCCCAAATCACCCTCAATAACAGATATATTGGGGTTGGTCGCAAGAGCCTGAGCTTTGCGGCTGGTAGGGTCGCGTGTGACTGCAATGATATGAAAGGGAGAGGTAGGCGAGTTGGAGCGGATGTTGTCGATAACAGCACCACCTTGCTTGCCGGTGGCACCAAATATCAACAGCGTCTTCTGTTCATTGGATGTTGACATTTTGGTCTTTGGTTGCGAGAATGATTGGTTTCAGATAATATTATGGATTGAAACTCTGCCAAAGACGAGAACTGTCTTCAAGTTCCCGGAAACATGTGTATTGATATAGTGCAACTACTCGCATTCTCTTATATGAAGACGGCGCCCGGACCGACATTGCAGCATACACAGATTGAGACGGAGCAACTCCAATCCTCTAACACTCATATCTCGAAGATCGCTGTACGAGTGCGAAGAAACAGCGGAGTTTCCAAAGCGGAAAGGCGCTTTGCTTGAGGGTGACTAGCCCATTTCAGGTTAAACTGGCGCTTGGATTTCCTCTTTTGAGCTAGCAAGCGAATGCGAGCCGGCCAGTTTATTCATCCATTTATCCTCACTAAGTTATCCTCACTGTAGTTTTTCATTATTGTTATTCTCTTTCCACAACTAAGTTTATAATGTCCGCACAAAACATCCTAACAAGATAACCCTGCAGACTAAGACCCTTTGTCATTTCAAGCGCCATAAAATGAAAAATAGATATAAATCTCTTATTACACACTTCTACTCTAAAAAGTCGAGTCTAGCTCTATCATGTCAACTAGTGACAAGAATTACAAACTGAATCTCCAGCCTATCCCCTAGTTATCACCACTATAATAGTGGTTCACAGCCGGAGGCTTTCCACCAGTACCATAAGCACTACCGCCATAGTTCAGATAACCCTGCGAGTACGGCAGAGCAGGGAACTTGCCCTTGATCTCCTGTGCATCGCCAAACACCCAGACAGTCGCCATACCCATAACCTGATGCTGAAGAATATGGCAATGCATCATCCAAGCTCCAATGTTTTCCTCAGTAATCTTGATTCTCCACGCTCTCCAACCAGCTGTATGGTGAGGTACGCCCTTCACGGCATATCGATAGAGATTAGTCGAGTCTCGAAGAACAGGTGTGAAGTTCTTGAAGTGCTTTTCGTTCTCGTGGGCATCGTACGTGCCATTACCTGCACCTAGATCGTAGACATGATAGCCGTGGACATGCATCGGATGAAAGTCCCAACCTCCTGTAGGGCCGTTGTTGTTCTGCCATACGATATCCAAAACCTCGCCGACTTTAGCTGGAAAAGCTTTTGTGTTGGGATCAAATCCGCCATGCTCCAAAGCGAGCGTGTAGTTGGGTGTTTGGCCGGTTTCATAGACCTGGATGAGATATGGGACTTGGTTGTGATCTGCCTGGACACTTTCCTTCCATGGGAGACCATTTTGGCTAGACGGATTTGTTAGTAACGTTGATAGAGTAATGTGAGGGAGTACCTACGCCCAGGCGACTGTGCCGTTCAAAGTTCCATTCTCATATTGTCCAGTCGTCAGAATCTGATTAATCTGGATGGTCACGGTTCTCGTAACCTCGCTCAAACGCGGGAAGGCCTTGTTGTTATACTCCGAAAGACCTTCAAGCTTGTACTCAAGGTAGTCGTAAGTCTTGTTTGGCAAGACAACGGGCGACGCAGGTGGCAGAGTCCTTGGTAGCTTTGGTCCCTTCGGACATCTGTACCTCAGTATAGCGTAACCACTGATCTGCTTAGGCCGATCACGACTTTCATATCGGACCCAAAACTGGGAATCTTCTCCATGGCAAACATCCTTCGCAGACTTTGCCTTTAGCAGGTAGCTGAAGCGCTGACCGGATGAAACTTGAACGTGATCCACCTTGGCTGGCTTGGTGTATGAACCATCAGCTTCAATGACTGTCAGCTTGTCGTGCCCGTCGATGCCAAGCTTGATCATCGACAAAGCAGTCGCGCCGATAAATCGCAATCGATAGGTCTTGCCTGGATCGACTTCAATGACATGTGGAGTGCAGCTAATGTCAGAAGCAGTATCGAAACTCTGATTTCCAGAATTGCCATTTATCGTAATTGCTTGAGGCTCTCCAGACCACTTGAACGGATCCCCAAGAAGTCCTGTCTCGATTGTTTCATCGTCTGCAGCGTAGTTATCAGCGACGATAAGCGCAATGTCTCCGTCGTACTTGTATTGGGGTTTATCGGCATCCTTGACGATCAGCACCCCATGCGCAGTCAAGCTCTGGAGTCCAACGTGCGAATGATAAAAGTACGTTCCCGCATCTCCTCGCTGAGGTCGCACTTCATAATCGAAGAAATGATTCGCGGGAACGGGCCATTGGCTGACGAGAGGTGTGCCGTCGGAGAATGGTGCGGCTCGTTGGCTTATTCCATGCCAATGCTGCTCGTGTCAGATTACGATATTGTGGTGTGTACAAGTGGACTTACAACAGTGATATTTTGGTCTGGTACGCGATTGTAAACACGAATCCAGGCTGTTTGTTCTTCTTTGAGGTAAAGCGTAGGTCCAGGAAAAGTCCCGTTAAAAATGACCGATTGACGGGACTTGCAATTGACTTTTATATCCTCAAGCGTAGCCTCAAGTACATAATCCGGCGTAAACGTCTTATCGTGCACTTTGCATTTGGCAGCTGCCAACGTCAACAATGGCAAAACAGCCAGAAGATTGAACATCATTTTGCAAACCTTGCCTCAAATCATAAGAACAAGAATCAATTGCAAAACCCAATTCCTATATATACTTCAGAGTGCGGCACGTCGCATTGGGGGCCAGGCAATCCAGGCCCTCCGAGGTGCATTGTCACCCAACAAGCTTTCAGCCCGGATCACACGGCGTGAGCACTAAAGTATCACCTGAAGAAAGGGGTCTAGCGACTTTCCAAAGCAAGCCTGGCACGGTACACAATGACGTCTGTGATAGTGTCAACAGCGGTACGATTTGGTAATAAGCGGCCATCCAGCAAGAAATACGAATAATGAAGGAAGAGCTAATGAAGCAGTAAGCAAAGACACCTTGATAATTGGTCATGAAATTCAAGATCTTCGGTGTTCTCACCGTTTTTCTGGGCGCTGAGTCTGACGATTTTGGGCTAGTGCATGGCTTAGACGGATCGACGTGTTATGGCTTGGGGGCGTAAGGTTTTATCTAGGCGCTATCTAAGCATCTGCCGTGTTTGAAACAAATTGGCGTATGCAGAGAACTTCGTTAGCAGCTGGGATGGCCCCGCTTGCGTTAATTACAGCCCCGTTGATCTGCATGACAGTTATTTCGGGGCTTCGGAAACAGCAAAGTTTAAATGGGAACTGTTACGCGGGCTGCAATGGTTCGGACGCCGAGCTTGTAGCGTGGGTTGCGAAGGCTTCCATGAGACTGTAATAGCATGTCACGACAGCGCGAATGTTTGGGGACTGGTAGTGTATTGGTATCTCAAACTTGGCAACTTCTCTGAGTGAACATTCCCTCGTGCAGCGATAGTGCTCCCTTGCCAGCATGTCTAGCGATAGCGTCGAATCCGAGACCAAAGATACCAGCCGCCGCAAAAGTCCGGTCTCGATTAGACAGGCTCTTTTACATTGACCATCTGACTGTAGTCAACCTCGCACCTGCTTTGAGCTCACATATCTTGTCGATCTATTGGTGCTTCAAAGTTCAAAGGCGATCTAGCCGATTTCATTTGACTGGCTCTTGTCAGAGAGGTGTTGAGTTTTGTGGACTTTCATACTCACATCAAGAAGACTTTCGTGCCCTTGAACTCTGGGGCAAGGACGTTGGACTGGACGGATCGTTTGAGGCCTTACGCTTAGCACCAGCGATAGTTGTTTTGGCAGATGAGGCTGCATCCCGGTTGTCTGATTGTCGTTTTGTTGATGTCGAGGAGCTCGACCCAGATTGATTGTCGGATGCGTCGTCGCTGGTAGAATGGACGTAGTAACGTTGAAAGAAATCACTTCGAGGACTGCTTGTTTCCTCTGCCTCCTCGAAGTCCACGTCGGCAACAAGCATGCGGACGTCAAAGTAGTGCAAGGCCCTGGTGAGATGCTCATTGGTAACTACACGTCGTCCCCCAGAGAGACTGCGCCGATTGGCAAGACACAAGAGGGTGTGTTTGGCCTCATTTACGATTTCGCTTCTCCAGACATTTGTCTGAGGACAGGCACTGGTGATTCGGTTGAGAAGGAGGTTGAGATTTTGAAGCCACGAAAGTTCCATGGTAGGAGGTGCTGCTACGCCTAACTAGAGCCAGGGCAACTCTCCAATGATGTCCTCGATCTCTCTGCAGAGAATCGTCTCAGGTTCAGTTTCACGATTCAAGTCTATGTTGCTAGGCTTTTTTCGGGCTGCGAGACGGTCCTTGGCGGACGACATAGTGTGTGATCGAGAAGCAAAGGCTTCAGAAACGATGGTGTGGATGGATGGATAAATGAGAATGGTGTTGTAAGAGGGAGAAAATGAAGGGACGCCTTCATTGCGATGGAGTCAATGATTCAGAGGCATCGGCCGTCTCAAAGCTTTGTTGATTGAATCATCCCAGCATTTCACAGATGGACCAAGCAAGTTCCACAGAAGAGAAGTAATCGCATACCACTTCGAATGGTCTCATTCAACAACCATCAATTATCATTCGGACCTTCTAGCAACTACAACCTCTTGATCAACTTTTTACTCAACATAAGTCTCGAAACAGCAATCAAAAATGTTGCAGCCGACCCAACACCCGCCGCGTAAAAGATAGCCGCTCTATACGGTTCAATCGACGAAGCCTCGGAAGCCCCCGCAGCATCAATCAGAATCCCCGCCAAAGGCGCGCCCATTAGATATCCAGGTGTCCAAAACGACGTCATCAGACTGATAGACGCAGCAGCCGATCCAGGCGCAAGCGCAGCTACAGCTGTAGGCAGTGCAACGAAGAAACTCCCATTCGCACATCCGTTGATGATGGCGAAGGCGAAGAGTGGCGGGAGGGATGAACTGACGGGCCAGATTGCGAGCATGGACACACTGTTGATGAGAGCTGCAAGGGCGAGAGAGTTGAAGGCCCCGATGCGATCGCAGATCCAGCCACCGAAAAGTCGACCAACAGCTGTGGATGCACCGAAGCCAGCGACAAGACCAGCGCCTGTTGATGCTGAGAGACCGATTGACCTTGCGAATACGGGTAAGAAGAATGGAGGCACAAACAGAGCAAATACCCCGACAGCGCCTGACATGGTGAGTGTCAGAAAAGGCATGCTCTTCAACTGTGACCAGTCAAATCTCGATGTTGTTCCACCACGTGTAAGTTCTTTGAGGAGAAATGCACAAGGTATTCCAGTGACAAGTATCGAAGCACCGAGAATTCGAAATGTCCACTGAAGTCCAACCTTATCGATCATCTCTTGCGTTGCCAGAGGAAGAACAGTTGCACCAACACCGCCTCCAGCTTTGACGATTCCATTGGCTGTACCGAGTTTCCGACTAAACCATTGAGTAGGCATTGTGTTTGTCGCCGTGTAGAGCAGCGATGTTGATAACCCGACGAGTAAACCGGCGATGCAGAAGAGTCCTGCGAGATGCTCGAGGGTGAAACTCGTGATGATCAACCCTGATCCAAAGAAGATTGTCGCTACGAGACTGGTGATCCGTATTCCAAATTCTCTTGACAGCCTGACCGAGATTAGACCAAACGCGACCATGCAGGCCATGTATAAACTTCCAACGAAAGTGATGGTTCGGATATTAGTGTGAAGTCGAGGTGATTGAACAATGGCGGCTTGCAAGACTCCCCATGCTGTGGTGTATCCATTTATCCAAAAGAGAAGAATGAAGCACGATGCCACAATTGTCCAGCCATATCCACCGTCAGGAATTGCACTCATTGCATGCTCCGGAGGTTCTTCCTCGTTTTGAATGCTGTCTTCCGTGGTGTTGAGGGGATTCTGGCTCAAAGACGTCAATTCGATGGTGTCGCCTTGGCGTGAAGGATCCATGCTCGACGTCCTGACGGACTCTGCGACTGTGTTTGTGGCCATTTTGAAGAAGAACGATGCGCGGTGGATGAGCTACATCTATCACGAGATTGAAGCACTATATACCTATATACATAGAGAGGAGTGATTGAAGAGAGTTACTTGCAACTCGAAGCATCATGCCGTCACATGAAGGGCGCACTTACAGGGCGGGCGTCAAGAGTCAAGACCTGAAGGGCGCATGGGCATAAGCAGTGACGACATTTTGCTGTGCCTTTGTCTTGGACATGGATGACCAGTTTCCCAGTCAAGCTAAGCTCCCTTTCACCGCCGATAAACTCTTTCCCGATGCGGCTTCATCGTGGGGTTAGGCATTTTCTGCTTACAGATCCAAAGATTGGGACTCGACCAACGGTTACAATTCACCCCTCTGGCATCATTGGCAATGAAAAATGTTTTCGTTATTACTGATAGACGAATATTCTTCTAATTTATAAACATCATTTATTAGAAAATATGAAACGAGAATCCTCTGTAAGTCTGAATAGCCTGCATGCATTTCTAAAGACTTCATGTTTGTCAGCCTATGTCACTGTGATGCCATGAAGAACAAGCTTGCGGAGAGCGATATACCTTCAAATGATGAGCGGAAGGTCGGAAACAATTCTATTGGACGGAAGAAATTAACTAACGAAGCCTAAGCAAAGACACACAAGTCATCAGCCACAGTTATAAATCGACGCTATACTGCACATCAAAGAGTTATCCTCCTCCATCGGAAACGGCCATTATTCACGTACGGAACTCCTTACTCGCAAAACAATGAAGTCCGTAGGTCCTTCTAACAGTCATGCACAGAGCATCGCTATCATTCGGCCTTCATGACAAGCAAGACGCGACTTATCCAACCAAAGAAAACAACCATCATCCGGGCAGTATTTTATCTCCTTCTTGCACATATTGTCTTTGATTTATATCTCCTGATGGCTGCTTTGAAAAGTGATTTTTTAAGTATGTAGAAACCAATTGCTATTATTTCAAAGGAAGGATTTGAAATAGTCGTATGGCTTGGATTTACATATACCTTAACCTCCTACGTATCACGTGCCACGTAACTCTGAAGAGATGTGAAATATAACAATTTTTGAATACTCACATTGAGAAACAATCAATGAGATTACCATCTAGTGCACACTCACCGTTGAGAAGGTGTGAGCTCAGCTTTACATCAGGCTACCGAATAACTAACTCGGTGCTACCTATCTACTAACGCTATAACATTAGTCCTCAGTTCCTTTTCCATGCTCCTCCTCATTCACATTATCACCTTCAGGTTGTTTCTTTATTAATTTCTCCTGCGCCTCCTTCGTTTCCTCCTCCCCGGCTTTCTTACTAGGGCATGCTGGATTCGGGCAGGTCTCAGTGGTAAACGTGCCGCTCACTGTAGTTCTCATTCCTCCACTGATAACCAAGGGCGAAGGGTGAAAGGTCGTTGAAGTGGTCAGTCCTAAGTATGACAACATACCCACTTCAAAGTTTCGGTATGCTCGCAGGCAATACAGTATATTATCTCGCGGATACACATGTCACCGTTAGTGTGAAGAATAGCTTTAGTTATAACTGCTTCACAAATCGGTATGGATCTTTTCTTGCAAAGAGTTTGTTGCTGGAGGGTTGAGTTCGATCTTTGCACTGCATTTTATAGGTGTCTTTTGTGGGATGCCTTGCTCCACCGGGCTCTGAAGTATGGTATGAATGCTGATCCACATTGAGTGACCAAGTGACAACTGAGTCCTCCATAAGAAATGTCGTGAATCATTGCCTATGCTACTAAATACATCTAGGATTGAAGGAATAGACATCATACAGTACTCCCATACCGAAACCATCTCTTAACCAATGGTCAGAGGGAACATTGAGACATGGTCTTACCTGGCCATAAGAATTGCAAAATGCATTCAAAGTCTAAAGTAGAAGCAAGTATAAACCCCAGAGAGATGAAGACATGACTCTCCGATGGAGATGCGATCCCATTACTTTGATTCCGGTCTCACAGCCATTACGCCATAGGTAGTCGCATACGCCAAGCGAAGTCAACACATCTCCCTGGATGGACTACAGGCTTCAGCCATCGAAGTCGTCATAGCGAGAATCATGTTCCTGTAAAGCAGATGATACACACTGCTTTGTGTCATAATTATGGTCACTACGGAAACTAATAAAATATCCACTCGATACCACGGTTTTCGAAAGCTAGCACGATACCAGTGTTTTTTTTTTCGGCTATCTGTTGTCGACCCCCACCCGCTGGACTCCTTCTTAGTATCCGGCATGAGACCAATCCATACATCATAATTCACCAATGCTGATAACTGCCATTGACCTTCCAGCCCACCAAGTGGATGCTCAGAAGAAAGGGGGGTCAGGGTCGTAGGACTTGCCCGAATCCAGCCAGGCATTGTACTGGGCCACACATGTTGCGCAATGATCAAACGTGGAACTCCTATCCTGATCCACTTCGGAGCAGTTGCTCAAGTCGCAACGTTCCTTCTTATCCTTGCGAGCCTTTTCACACCGCTGGATTTCAAGGTCGACGCCTGTCGACATATGGCAGCGTCTGCAGCGGTAGGTGATGTTTGTAAGCCAACACATGGTGGGCTACTAGTGCATGAGAAGTTTTAAAAGAGGGTTAGTGGTATTATAATATTGTGGAATTGTAATGGAATGTAGTGTTGATGTTGATGTTGGAGGGAAATCTTCTTGAGGCTAGGATGACGGGGTTTATATACTTGGGAAATGCCAGTGATTCACGAGGACAACAAACCGATTTCAGGTATCTCAGCCTACAGTGTTTATTAACCTGGAATGTAACGTCCTAGGTTTGTAATACAATATCAGGCTCAGCGACTCACGTTAACAGTCTCTAGGGCTTCTAGAGGGGATAGAGCCCAACGGAACTCAACGATGCACGTCAGCTCCCATGGCCTGATTTAAGGCACACCTCGAGATGTTTTAGGTTTGATGAACAGTAACACATGTCAAGTCCGATCTTTCTGGAATCGCAGACGATAGAATGTAGGTATGTGACTCTTTTGAATCTTCATCAACACATTTTGATTATCAACCATGAATCCTATGAGCGACCCTGCTCAGATGATCTGCAAAGCGACCTTAAACAAGCCATTCTTTCATCAGCAGTACTTACGTAACAGTTGGAGATCAACCAGTGGCCACGAGTTACAGCGGCACATAACATGCTTACGATACGAACTAGACACTCTACAGCCCTCACGATTCCATGACATTCTACTTTAGCCTTCTCTATTCACGAAAATAGTGAAATCATATGTTCGACCGTGAAATAACTAATTAAATGTCTTTTAGAACCAGCAGTATGCTTGAATTGATTCGGTAGGTATGTCATTATCTAGCCAACCTCAGGCTCAAACGACAGAAGATATGGGTAATCTGTGTCATGAGAGCCACAAACTACCAACCGAGACTGACAGACCAGTCTATAATATTATTTAGGCCCCTAACAACTCAGAAGGATGTACTCTATGTGAAAGGTGGGATAGGATAATAGGGTCTTCCCGCTGCCACTGCTGCCTGCCAGGCATTGTACTCCGCCACACATGTCCGGCATTCACCCCATAGCAGAAGTTGATTTTCTATGTCGTCGACACAATCCTCTAAATTACAACGCCACTTGCCCGCCGCAACTGCCCTCTGACATTGCCGGGTGCTGTATTCGTCACGTATAATTCCGCCGCACCGTAAACACCGGAAGTAAGTGGTAACAAGGATGCACATATTAAGGCGTTAAATTGTTTAGCAATACTATAGTTATTTATAGTAGAATAGATCGTAACGAGAATGTTGGCGAAGGAGGGAAAGCGTTCCAAATTCTTAGGTTGAAGAAGTAGATATACTTGGCGACCATCAGTGATTAGCAGCCAGAAGATTGCATTCGTGGAAGGATTTGTGTTCCACTGAATGTAGCAAACAATACGTCTCTTTATATATGTAACTCGAGTTTCACAATTGCAGTGATTATATTAAGATTCTATATAAAGTGTAACATGCCGGATTGGCTAACATAGAGGCACGCCGTATTGCACCACGTCAACAGAATGGTTAACTAACTTAGTAAAGTTAACGAATGTTGCACAATATCCATTCCAGAACAATACGTTTCAAATGAATTAATCTACTCCGTCACACATTTGTTCATAAATTAATCAGCTCAGGAGCACGATGTGCCAGCGGGATATGCTTCTATTGTATTTCTGGTACATTGGAAGGTATTGGGTCAAGGCACATTCTTCTTCCAGGCTATCTAAGACATCATTTCCCGTAATTCTCATAACCAGGAAATGGTGGATTAGGCCTTTTAATAGGTTCTCCCTGTTGTAAATATAACATCCATTGACTGAAATATGAATAACATGCCGTACATTCTTTGAATGGCTTCTTATTCTCCGAAGGCGTTTGCCAATTGGCATCCAGGCAAATGTGAATGCCCTTTGCGATTGCTTTGGAACATCGCCGAACGTTGGCATCAGATCCAACCTGGCCCTTACAGCGTCCACAGACGTAGAACACGTTTTTGGCTTCGCACATATTGAAAATCGTTTCCTGAGGCTCGAATGATCCAGGAGGTTCTCTCAAAAGGCATGTGAAATAGTTATATTAGCGACAACGGGTCTTATATGTTGAGGGAGAAGAAATATTTTGAAGGAAGAATAGTCAGGTTTATATACATTGAGAAACTTACTGATTCATGAGCCATATCAGTATCAATAACCGCTGCAAATTGATCACGCGATCAATTGTGAAAGAAGAACAATGTTTCATCGCACAGAGAGGCAGCTCCACTGAGTCACGAGTGAAGCCGCGTAATATAAGTGTCACGTCTCAGCTGGTCAGCTCTAAATAGTACAACTCGAAAAATAGCTGTAAGCACTATACTAACTGAACAATAAGAACACTTTATAATCTATCACAGTTCTGTACAAGGTGGCTGCCCACGTACCAACAATACTTATCGGCACAGTTTATCAGGGACTTGACGGCTTAGGTACACAGGTAATTATATCATCAAAACTTCACTGGGGCGCTGATCTGATAAAAAGCCAAGTATAACATAGAATATTTAATTCAAGACTTCTTTACGATAGACCAATCCATGATTCCCTACATCCATAGCCTCAATAACCTGGAAATGGAGGATAAGGGTCCGGAACAGGCCATCCCCGTCTCAGATCCTCCTGCCATTGATTGAACTCTCTTGTACATGCCGAACAGCTGGTCCACGGTTTTGTCCTCCATACTGGGGGCATCGAAGTAGTATTAATGCAGGTATTGACGCCTTGCTTCAGTGCCTCCATACATCTTGAAACGTCAATTTCAGAACCGAGGTCTTTGTCGCAGCGTTCACATTTGTAGAATATCACTGTCCTGTAACACATGAGGAAGGTTCCTGTTTGAGGTAATTTCGAAGTCTGGGAGTCTCTTCGCTTGTAGTTTGACAATAGGATATTGGTTCTTTGGCTTTGCTGGTGACGGCAGGCTCGATGCTTTGTAAGAAGGAAATTTATTCTCTGGGGCTGTGGCCTTTATATATATATATTCGACAACGTCGGGCTATTCACGAACTAAAAATCATTGAACGTAATAGGCTATAACATACCACGACACACCATACAAGTCAGTGACAAATCTTAGGTGTGAGTTCTCTGTACATGATCATGCTTCGGGTAGCTAACACGGTTTGGAAGAGCCACGTATCTTGGTCACTGTATGTGTCAAAAGGTACGATTGTTATGGTTGGTACGCTTGATCACTAGTCAGCCAAGCTACCTTATTATAAGGCGACTAGCACCTCCTCTTCTTATCCTAGAAATCAAGGCTCTTTAAACCCTCTCTTATGTGCCACTCTGCTATGCGTGCCACAGCATGAGCTTCTACTAAAGTCTTCTACGAGTATTGTGACAAAAGGCATTATTGGAGAGGAATACAACACTGTTCACGGTATACATGAACTGATAGCAAGTTAGAACCTGATTAGAATTCTACCTGTTCAACTACAAGAAAGGCGGAGTAGGCTGATAATAGTATCCTTGTCGCTGGGAAGCCAACCATGCGTTATACTCTGCCATGCAGGATGTACACTGCTGCCAAGGGGATCTCATATCTGAGTTCCGGTGCTCGCAACTGCTCTTAGGGCAATCCCTCCCATGTGCTATAGCCTGTGCGCAACAGTGACGACGGTCCTCTTCTAGCGTAATTCTTCCACACCGAACGCACGTATATGTATATTTAACAATAACACACATAGCTAACAGAGTTCCTCAAGGTGATATCTTGGTATAATGTGGTACCGCAGAGTTTAGTGAATTATCTTGATGGAATGGTTTATTTAAGGAAAAGAGAGCAACTATATTTCCGAGTCTCAACGAGATTTTATACCTCAGGAGACATCGTGACTAACTCTCATATCTTGACAAACTGTATGATTCAGTTTCAAAGATTGATCATCTCGAACGGCGGATTTGGTTCGTAATAGTATCCGTTTTGCTGGGCCGTCCACCATGCTCTGTATTCTGCAGCACATCCGTCACATTCCATCCAAAACACTGGTCGTGTGACACTGCTCGATGTGCATCGATAGGCCGGGCAAGGAGGCAGATTGGGGTCAGGATTTTGTCGACATTTTGCATAATCCATCTTCGTTCTGGTTATTGCGCCGCAGCGGCAGCAGCGGAATGACACGTTAATGATAATACACATTTTCTTATCTAGTTGTTGGCGCTTGGTATCAGGTCTGATGTTTTATAGATATTTAAAATTGTGTATTGAGGAGGTTTATAGGAAAGGAAAAGACTTTCTAGGTTTGAGTATTATAGCATTATATACTTGGAGGAATATCGTGAATAAGGTGCATCTCAGAATGTTCCGGGGGGGCAGGTTACCGACTCTGCGTTCCTATACGCCTCTCAAGTATCGGTAGTGGGTGATTTACTGTAGTTATTAACGCAAATATTACACGACATGGGCCACATGGTGTATTTGAACCGCGCCAATATTTTGCAGCAAGCAAGCCAGACGTTTGGCAATCATAGTTCCGATATAGTACAATGAATCATTAGAATTCTTCATATTCAGTCAATCAGAGGTGCCTTTTTCTAGCAAATACACTCAACGTTACTGCCAAGCCGTGCCGCCGTCACATCACAGCGCGCTTACCAAACTTGGTACGATATAAACCCGCCATTTTCTTCCTCCACTTTCACTGCATAGTACTCCGCAACACAAGTCTTGCAATACCACCAGTTTAGCACCCTGTCTTCAGAACTATGTGTAGACTTACGACTGGCACATCTGTGCCGTCGTGATCTTGCCCTAGACGGTCTACAGCGCCGGATATCTCGCTCTGTATCTATTGCTCCTCTGCATTTGGCGCAGATGTACGTTACGGCTATCATGTGACACATTAATTATGCTATATCCTCTTCTGACTAGGTTAAGGTTAACTTTAAAAGGAAAGGTTCTGCTTGTAAAGATGAGATTTGCGGTTTATATACCTGTGAAGCATCAGTCATTGATCAACTTTGTGGCATGAACTTGACATCTACAAAGGCTATCGGCTACCTTTGATTAGCGGTGACAGGTCATCGAAAGCGTTTCATCGTTGAAATAGCTAGGTCTAAATACTTCCGCTACTCGGGTGACTCCGTTGGCACTGCCAACCAGTAGGGCAAGCCTGTTGGTCGTCTGATCAGGCGTTGGGATTTCATAGATTGGTTGTAGCACTAGACAAGCGCGCAAGAGTGCTCCCCGGAGCTACATAATATATTCTACCTCTCTTTGGTGAGCTCTTAATTCCCCTCCTACCGGTTTCTTTCTAATTTGTTCTAAATGCGTGAACACCTTGGAAGTCTTGCGCTCAATTACAGAGCGTATATTACAGGAACTTCGATATTCTTCACGGAAAATGATCGAAGGCTGCTTAAAATGAATTCGGCACCATCTTTTTACTTTTTAGTCACAAAGTGATATCTCAAATCCTGTTTCCCTGAAATGAGGCCGCGTAGACATCATCTCAGATAAGGCTCTCGGAATCCCGAAAAAGCGTCTGACGAATGGCTGGCACTTGGCGCTCGACCAACAGACCAATCACGGGCCTTTGAAATTGCCGCCCGGTCTGCACAAGTGGCTTTATGTCTAAGTTTAAGCATAATTTGGACGATCCGGGATCCCGATACCGCCGTCTGATGGTTTGATATAAGGTTGAATAGCACATCCCCCCCAAGGCGACGCGGTTTGCCAGTTTTCATTGCCACATTGACGTAGCCAACGGGATTTCCGATACCGATTATCATCAACTGCCGAAGATAAAAGAGCCGCGTTCTTCCAGTCCGACAACCAAGTCTTCATCAACAACACTGAGACTATCCGCCTAGTCTGTCTCGAAGGTTTCCAACCATTCGCTGACTTCCTCTTTTTATCGCCAATCTCGAACACCTAACCATCGAAAACATGAGCAACGATCAGAGAGAACGATGTGAGAAGATCTCTCCCGACTGTCCCCTCGAAGATACCATCTACGGCTATGTCCCCAACATGGGCGGTAACGCCTTCTTCGGCGTCATCTTCGGTATCTGCACCCTCGTCCAGGTCTACTTCCTCATCCGTTATTGGCGTCTCTGGAAAGGCTATACCATCCTCGTCCTCCTCGGCAGTATGATCGAATGCTGCGGTTACGCGGGTCGCATCCTCATGTCCAAAAACCCATGGGATGGTGCAGCTACATCAATCCAGTTCGTACTTCTCATGGTCGGCCCATCGTTTCTTGCTGCCGCCTTATACATGACGCTTCGGGCTTTGGTGCAGTACTTTGGGGAGCAGTATACCAAGCTACCGGCGAAGTTTTGGACGTGGCCATTTGTTACTGCTGATATGTTGGGGTTCTTCTCGCAGTGCGGTGGTGGTATTATGGCGTCGATGACGGAGAAGTATCCTGCTGTTGGAGTTGCCGGTCGAGCTGTCATGGTGTTTGGCGTGACATTCCAGGCTGTCGTCATGGCCATTGCAGGTATTCTTGCTACCGACTTTGCTTTGCGTATGCGTCGACAACGAGGAAGTGTCTTCAGACATCTGCCTAAAGACCTCAACATCTTTCTGATCTCTCTGACAACTGTATTTCTTCTCATCCTTACCCGTTGCGTCTACCGGTAAGTTGCCATCATCCCATAACTTTGTTGTGGGACCTTTGGCTAACACTTCTAGTATCCCTGAGCTGGCTGGTGGTGTTGGTGGACACATGATGCGACAAGAGGTTGAGTTCATGATCCTTGATGGCTGGTACGTTCACTTCATCTCCTTCCATCAACTTACTCCTTGTCTGACATTAAGCCCTTGCCAGCATGATCGCCATTTCCGTCCTTCTGCTCTCCGTCATCCATCCCGGTATCTACGCCACCGCTATTCATGGCCGTGCCGACCATCGATCCAAGTCAGTCAGACTCATGGATCTCGAATCAAGAGCATCTCGAGACGGATCACGCAGAGCACCTTCAAACAGATCACGCAGATCACCTTCAGACAGATACGAACCTCGACGAGAGCATCGACGAGAGCCTTCCGACTACTGAGTCAGTAGAGACATCGCAGGGAATACGAGCACCATGGCAATAAGAGGCATCGTAGTAAATAGTGGGGGTTAGACACCACAGGTCAGTGATCGTTGCGATTTGGTGTTCTGGGGGTTTCTCCTATGTCTACTGTTCTATTTGCAATTGATTCTGTCTTTATTTCATGTAAAGGATGGCTGTCTTAGAGTTAGATGTGTATGTCAGGCATGTATATAGACTGTCATTATTCCATTTATGTATCGTAATACCGTCCGGTTTTATCCTAGTAATCCTGACCCAGGGCTTGATATGTCTTTCTCAAATAGGCAAAAATTCTGCTTCTACCAGCTACTACCCTAAGACACCGGTCCAGCTGGGATTGGCTGTTCCAGTCCCATCAAAGTACACGAGATAGTAGAAGGCAGTAGTGATAAGGTTGAATACTGTCAGCGTGATGCTCGTACTGGCTGTCGTGTTCAATGTAAGACCCCGCATAACCCATTGGTCTGGAACAACGCCTATCCTTCCCAGCCATGCTCCGGGGTGGCCTGCAAATAGCTGCTCCTTGGTCTCATCCTGCTCTTGGGCAGTATCTTCACCCGAGGTGGATTGCCCATCCAATTGCACGTTTTGTTCATCTTCCGAGCCATCAGGAGACCATAAAAGCGCTAGAAAAGTTCCGATCGTCTCCAAAAGCTTAGCAATAGCTATGCTGACAATCGCGGTGCAGACGATTAGACCCGTGCTATGCTTGAACACGTCCATCCACCTTGGTGGCGGCTTGATGGTCGCTTGCGATGCTTTCTTCGGAGAAGGATGTCTAGAGACCCCAAGGACAACCATGGCCAAGTAAAAGCCTCGCATCGGGACTATATACAGCGTCCTTGAGAGGTCTGGGCGCCGCCGCGCGACAAGATACGCAATCCATATAATGGCCTGTAGTACCATGGAGAAGGTAACAACAGTCAAGGCCCATTCGCAAAAATTGTCCAACTGAGTGGGAAGTTGGAAAGAGGCTGCTCGGCTGATATTGAACCATATCCAGAATTCAAATGGTGCTTGAATTATTGACGCCAATAGCACATCGATGGATGTGGAATCATTTTTCTCTTCAGAAGTCCCTTCTGGCTCTAATCCACAAATAGATACCAGGAGTTTGGTAATGGTAGCGAAAAAGAATGCAAAGGCACAAATCTGTGTCGCAGGAACGCCCTTGAGACTAAAGACTTTGATGGTCTGGGGCAGGACTGTAAATATTGTCAAGGCCAATCTGACGACTAGACCAATCGGTTTTGGTGAGTTGCGACGAGTCTGCTGGGTTGAATTGCGTGACGAGAAATATCTCGAAATAGCTCCGCCCAGCACAAACAAGTCAAAAAGCGAATCAATGAAACAGACAGCAGGTATGGAGCGAACAATGTCGATGCTGCCTCCGAAGAGATCATTGTCCTTTCTTCGATTGCCGGATGGTTGTGCAACTGCTGCTGATGCTAGAGAGGCGAGGATCCAGAATGCAGCTGGTCCGGTGACCTCTTCAGGTGATTGCGAGTCGTTGGACATGATGTTTCGGCTTCGGAAATAAGATGCATTAAAAAAACCGGTTTCGATGTAAGATGACATTCCAGAGTTATGTTATCATTGATAACGATAAGCGAGGAGGATTGGGGCGGTGTTGTCAGCCTTGAATCTGCCTGATGGCGGTAGAGTCTACGGTGTTACTGCTGTACGCAGATGGAGAGATAGACTACGACTTGATGTCATGAAACTGTCTGAATATGGTGGACACTTTGCCGATAAGAAGTACAGATAGCGATAAGATAAGTACTGCTTTAGCAAGTTAAGCAAATCGAAGCCAGCCACAATTCCGGTCCTACCCTGCGGCACGCGATCTACCAGTAATGCTGTTAACAATAAGCCAGACCAGTTGTGAGGCAATACGATGAAGTATTTTGATCTGTAGCAGAAGTAGAATAAATTAAACTAACAAAACTTCGAGGATTCTTACTTTAAACACTATGGAATAAGATCCCGGAATTTCGTCTCCAGCTCGTCTTAGCAATAAACTTTGTTCCAAATTGATATGACTTTGATAAATAGCTTAAGCTTATCGCATGTCTTGTTTCTAACCACCGAGAAAGAAAAAAAAGGTATCATCGTCAGTAGTAAAGCCGAGTTGGGATATATTGAAATGAACAACTATGCAACTGACTTCGATGTAACCTGCCAGTTGCGATCATTCACCGGCACTAATGAGAAACGGGCAGACCCGTGCCTGTTAATCTTAAGCTCATGAGGAGGTCATCTGTCTTGTAAATAACTGGTCGGTCTCTACGCGCTGAAACAAATGTTTTAACAAATCAAGTGACCATACAGATTATCCTGAATGAATTGGAAGGTCATGACTGGAGTTCTAGTCCGATTTAGGTGCATCCTCCCCGGACTTCGGGCCAATCACTCTAACCAGCACGGGTTAGTTTCCTCCTCGGGAAATATTCCTCCAGCAGGGTTATTAGGCATAAAATTTGCTCGCTCCTGATGTAACGCTCTGATAGGTCACGCATCTTGATCATAGGAAGAAGAGGCGAAAATTCTTGTCATTGAGAGTCAAGTTGTGACTATACTTGGCATCACGCCTGATAGATAGAGAGTCATTGTGTCGAGATACTTGAACACGAGAAATGTAGTTCAATAAGAAACACTTATGTTTTGAAGTTAATCCTTGGGTTCAAGTTTTCACTTTTTAGAAGTGACGCGATCACTAGATCGACACGCTAGTAGCATGACATGTGGGAGGCTGTCAATGCAGGTCCGTTGGCATTGAACCATGAGATCTCGAGCCCTTGCATCCGTTAGCATGATGGATAAGACCCATGGCAATGGGACAATAAGATGGGGATTATATCTGATACGTACCAAATGCCATACTTCCCCCTATCCTATAAGAAGAAATGGATTCAGAGTCACTGTTCTCATTCTAATCAATCTAGTCTGATTCAGACATTACTGACCAGTACTTCTTACCACCTCCAAGATGTTTTTTAAGCAACCATTTACAGTGCTCTTATCCCTTTCGGCCACCGCTCTGGCTTGGGACGCTCCTGGTTACAGTGGCTTCACACGTGTCTGGCAGGACCCCTTCTCTGGTGCAGCCGGCACTTTGCCTGACACTAGCCGATGGAACATCATACAGGGGTATCTCAACGTCAACGCGGAACTCGAGGTCTATACATCATCCAGCCGTAACGTCCAACGAAGCGGCGGCGACACCCTCCAGCTAGTCCCATGGCGAGACGCTTCAGCCCTCAAGGGCTGGACTTCTGGCCGTGTTGAGAGCAAATATGTCTTCACACCTCAGCCAGGCAAGGTCACACGAGCCGAGGCCAACTTGCGATTTGGCTCTTGCTCCATTAACAACAAGCAAGGAATCTGGCCCGCCTTTTGGATGCTTGGAAACATTCTTCGCAACGGCGGTAGCTGGCCTTCTTGTGGCGAGCTTGATGTGATGGAAACTGTCAACGGCCAGCTGACGGGATACGGAACTGCCCATTGCGATGTTTATCCCGGTGGCATTTGCAACGAAGGTACCGGCATTGGTGGAACGGTTGGGATCCCGAATCAGGACTGGCATACCTGGAGAATTGAGTTCAATCGAGCCAAGAGCAGCTGGCGAGACGAGACTATTACCTGGTTTTTAGACGGACAGCAGTTCCATCAGATCTCAGGTGCGAGAATCAACAACGAGGGAGTCTGGAATACCTTGTGTCATAGTCCAATGTATTTCATCCTCAATGTCGCTGTTGGTGGTACTTGGGTAAGTTATTGAAGACTCCATGATCTGCTTCAAGCATAAACTGATAATAAAATAGCCTGGATATCCTAACGGCAACACCTGCGACGGTTATGGCAGCATGATGGAGGTCGGTTATGTCGCCCATTACTCTAACTAGGGATGAGCTGATGGCCATACTTTTATCGCTTTTGTTATATACTGTCGTTTCTGCTTTTAGATCCTTGTCTGCATCGAGATATCCCATTAGAGGTACATATGCTGTTTATCTGGTCGTCTTTTTTGAGTTCTTCGCCGTCTCTACGCCTTTACATTCGTTTCTTCTTGTATTACTACTAGAGATAGTATAGAGTATATATTCAAGTTCTACATAAACCCAAAGTCTTTGTGCAATCCATCACACATGTTGCCATTTTTATTTAAGTCCAAAAGCTTGTATTTACCTCCTGTTGCTTAATCTACTTACCAGGAAAGCAATCAAAACTGTGTTTATCAATCCACCATCAAATAAGGTCTGTAAACTGCAGATAACGACTAAAGTATCCACAATAACACTTATCGGTAATGGATATCCGCCACTGATAATATAAACTTTCCCGAATAGGAAGGATCAAATCTCGGGCTTTAGGCTACTCTTGTATATTGTTAGTCCACTGTCTGGGCTAGTACTGAGGGACGATTGTTGCTTAGAAATTCACGGACCCAGATGTGTGATTTGTAGCCAGGACGTATGGCATAAAGCGTATCTTTCTTCAAGCCTTAACTAGGCTTAGAAATTTAGTGAAAGCTGAGACTGCCACATTAGGAAGGATCAAATTTCAACGAAAACAATGGAGACATCGTTTGGGCCAGCCGCTACCCCAGTAGACCAATACATTATAAAGAGGCAGGATACGAACAAGACAAAGGAACTCAAAATCATCAGACTACGAGAACTTTCACCTCCTACTTGCTTCATCCATTATCACAACCACCAATCTTTTTGTACTCATTTATCTCGAAGTACAATGTTTAACTTGAAGCCTTCGAAAATCAATATTGTCCTGGGAGTAGCAAATGTAAGCTAAATTCTCATTTCTATTCTTTACTATGACCTATATCTGATATTTCATGAAAAGGTAGGCGATGGCCAGGCTGATCCCATGGTACGCTTCGACAAGCCAGGTGAAGTCAATGCTTTGCTCAGTACCTTCACTAAACGCGGCTACACCCAAATTGACACAGCACGTCTCTATCCAGCTCATGCGCCTGCAACATGCGAGCCAAAGATTGGATTAGCTGCAAAGGAGAACTTGGTGATCGATACAAAAGTCAATTCTATCCAAGAAGGGGGCCATTCCAAGGAGAACATCCTCAAAGATATCGATGCTTCATTGAAAGACCTCAAGATTGACCAAATCAACATTGAGTACTTGCATCTTCCTGACCGCAAAACAGACTTTAAAGAAGCGTGTGAAGCCATGAATCAGGCCCACGAAGAGGGAAAAATCAAGTACTGGGGCATATGCAACCATACAGCTCAAGAGGTCGAGACTATTGTGAAGATCTGCGAGAAAAACGACCTCGTCAAACCTAGTGCTTATCAAGGACAGTATAATCCAATTGTGAGGGGAGCTGAGAAGGAACTTATTCCGATTTTGCGAAGTCACGGCATTGCATTCTATGGTTATAGTCCTGCTGGAGCTGGGTTCTTTGCCGGCAACCATAAGAATGTCCAGCCAGGAGGCCGCTTCGATCAGTCTGTACGTGTCTTATTTCTTCCAGCCAAAGGATCTATAAACTAACTCGTACCAATGGAGCTTTTCCTTGGAGGTTTATACTCGGGGCTTTATCTCAAGCCGGCCATCGCAGAAGCTACAGAGAAGGCGCTCGCGACAGCTTCACGATACGGAATTAGCGGGCATGTTGCTGCTCTTAGGTGGAGCGCTCACCACGGAGCCCTGAGCAGCAGGTTCGGCGACTCTATACTTATTGGAGCATCGAGCCTGGAGCAATTGGAGTCTAACATAGATGCGATCGAGGAGGGGCCGTTGCCTGATGACGTGGCAGGCGCTTTGGAGGCTATCTATGAAGAGATTGGGGACGCCATTTCGTACCATATGTAGCGCGAAGAGTAGCGGAGACCTGGGGCCGGGATCACCTTGCAGCTATTAGTTCGAAGGTTAGTTATCGCTAGGCTGTATTGAGTAGGATCAATACTGAGCTAGAGCATCTGTAAGCTGCTGACAAATGGAAAGTTCACACAGTGAATAACGTCCCTCAAATGGACAAAGACCGATCCAAGATTCTATAAGAAATGCCTAGTAATTAGGCGCAAAAATACGTTAGTCTACCACTGCGAAAATGAAGTTCATACAGGTGGTACATAATCCACGTCCTGAGGCTCTCCGAGAGTCTAAACGCCAAGCTCGTTCATACTCTGCCCAAGTAGCGCATGCCAGAGCACGGAAGCTCCGGGGACAGGGTAAAAGTCAGAATGACGCAAAGGAAAAGGGTTTAGAGGCAGAGATACCCTCGACAGAGCTACAAGGATCTCAGGGCCAAATTCTGAATCAAACTTTATCTGGATATGACCATGAAACCCTGTCGACTCCAGAGCTTCGGCTATATCAGCCAAACCTAGTCCCATACATAAGCTTCCTTGCAACGCTCACTGTGGAAGAATGTTTTATGTTCGACCATTGTAAGTTAACATGTAGAAGCGAATAGGATTCTAGTCTCTTGCTGATGAGTACAGATATCAAAGTTGTTATGCCCTACTTAGACACTCACTGTCCAATTGCGAGATCTGTAGGCCAGTACCACAATTATATAAAAAGTAACTGGATCGTTGTATCCTCGCAAGATCTCGACTTCATGAGAGGGTTCTTGCTGGTAGCTTCCCGGCATTTGTCCATGGTGGCGTCGAAAATTGAGTTTGAAAATAAGGCTCTTCAATACAAACTGGAGTATATCAAAAAGCTCCGACAGGATGTTTCTATGCAGCCAATGTCGATGAATCCTCGTTCAGTTACGAGTGCTCTAGTCCTGGCATACGATGAAGTAAGCCTACTCCAAGAAAGTTGAGGATAGTATGATTCATTGACGCAAATACTAATAACAACGTTTTAGATTCTGCTCGGGGATATTTCTATGGCTTTACAACATGTTCGTGGGGCTGCGAGCATGGTTCAGGCCGCTGGTGGACCCCAGGCACTGGGCCTAAGCCAATTCATATCTTACATATTGTTCAGTTGTGTGCAGGAAGATCGAATTGGAGATTGGGCCTGGGTTTTGAAGTATAATTCGAGCTTTATGAAGGCGGACAAAGAGGGATGGTAACTAAGCCAAGAGCCATTCGATCTCTCCCATAACGATATTTATTATTGCCTCCTCAGCCATGGACTAACCACAATACTTCTCAAAGAAATAAAAGAAGTAAAAAAAGTTACGTTAATAATCTAGATGGAAAATCAAGTAACTACAATAATTGGGAGAACCCAGGTCCCTTGCATATCAATGCCAGAGAACAGTCCCAAGGCAGGCCTTCACACTTATAATCAATGTGACAAATTGAAGCGAAAGACACAATTCTAACATTCATGCGCTAATTAGTATTGTCGAATGTTCTTTACCAATTTACTAAGAGCCATAAATCTATATCCCGTGCCTGTACTTGCTACTGTAACACCCTTATTGCTTAGGGTTGACGTAAGCTACTACTCGAAGATTACCATTGTTCTGTATCGAACAACCAATGTAAGTGTGAACACCTAGACCATTCGACAGTCTCTCTGCCCCACTGCAAGTTGTCAGCCATAAGGTGATCTAAAAATGTTTCCGAGGTTCGTGATACTCACAAAATACTATATAGACAGTCCGAATACCTCTTGGTCCAGATCGAATCGATGGAGACGTCCGGTTGCTTAGTCGCTTGGTTTGCCAAAAAGTCCCCCAAAGCCTCAATGATTCGTGAATCGTTGTTCGCATAGTGCCTGACTGGTATGTATATCTTGACCTTTGGTATCGTGCTGTTCGTACGGAACTCGACATTGTAGAGAATGCCAGCTGTTCGATGGTTTTTGTGTGGGAGAGAAACATCATCAGGCACTCCGCTCGTTCCTAATAATGCGTCCCAGAAACTCCTCAGATTTCTCATGCCGACTTCGAACTCCTTGTCATGAATTCTGCCTCCAAGTGACATCATTTCTGTGACTGATCGGAAATCTGTCCGCCTGTCTCGAAAGTAGATTTTTAGTCTCGACTTCTCAATGGGAATCAAGTCCAGTGCCAGCATATCCATCTCGAGGTTGAGAGTCTGACGTTCATTGACGAATCTGGCGAAACTAGAGAAGGCACTGATGTTGTTATGCCGCCATCCCGGAGCAGAAGATATAGCATCCGTTACAACGTCAATTGTTGATTTACTTATCGAGTGAGCCACGACACCAGGGAAAAAGTAAGCCTTATTCGTAGTAGCTGACTCTTTCAGGTCGAATGCCCAGAACATCGTGCTACGATGGCCTTCTGGTTTATCTGCGGCCCATCGTCCATTGAAGTAATCATCAAAGTGGTTAAAGAGTGTTGTGTCGATATCGGGGAATGCTCGGATGACTTGTTGTGTGAAGACTGCAGCAGCTTCATCATTGTATAGATCAGCAGCTGTACCTGCCTCACGACCGATGGGCTCGATAGAATATCTGATTGTGGGCTGGCTGGTGCCGATCTGAAAGTCCCAGCTCAGCTCCGCTGGGCAGTGATTATCTGTCATGAAGCTCTTCCATTGCGGTTCACCCAGCACGGGCGACGATCCGAGAAATGGCACGACATGGTTGGAGAACTGGTCTAGGATGAGGCATTGGCTTCGAGAGCCATACTCGGCGCTGGACAGGAAGGTCTTTAGTGTAGATCCGACAGTTTGGTTCCAGTATCGCTGATGGATGTCGACTGCAGGCTCAGTCTTGTTCTTGATATGATGTAGTGACTTAAACTCCCCAGGGGCGATCGTTGGAAGATCCAGTTTTCCGGGCATTTTATTAAAATTAATAACGGAATATAAATGATAAAGAATTTCCCCCGGCCTGAATAGGTAGTCCTTCACTTTATATTATTACCCGGCGTTCATAACAACTGATACAACTCTAGTTTCCGAGATGTTTATCCCGATCGCGGCATGATTCCCTTTCGGAACAAGCGTGATAAACAGATCGGTGCCTCAGTGAGACAAACAGCTCATCCCGCATGACATCAAATCCACACTTATGCTGCCAAGAGAAGACAGTGAAAGAATGGTGACGGTTTTGGAAAGCCACTCGGAGCAGTAGAATGAGGTAATTGTTTCATGATGCATGGATGATGAGTAAGGCTCATGCAGATGTATGGTGCTCTAGCTTCAATTTGGCAATATTCAGCTGACGCAGAGAGTATAGCTCCGATTTGACATAATGAGTAACCGCTGACTACACTAGATATTTTCCTCAATAAACGGTGTTTTCCATATCCTCTTGCACTGCAGGTTTGTACTGCTTGGCAATGACATTCTCCTTCGGCTGGCGATCCACTCCAAGCCACAGCAGATCCGGGCGACTGTAATGACCCACAATGTCCAAAAATCCCCGAGTAGCTACAACCTTTGTCAAATCCAAGTCGGCATAGACAATACCCTCGGTATCAGCCTTTCCATCACCCAACGGTTCCGTCAAGCGTCGTCCATCGGGTCCGATAACGCAACTATGGCCTCCACCCGGCTGACGACAAGCCAAACCATCTTGAGTCTTCAAAACATCGATGCCCTTCTGTGTGCATACAGATGTGCAGTGAAGCACATACGTGGTGCTCTCAATTGCATATGTCTGAGACAGGTTCTGGGACCCATCGGCTGTCATGCTCCACAGACCAGGATGATCAACGCCCATGCTGGGGTCAATAGGTGGCCACATGGAGATATGGATCACTTCGCCCTGCGAGATGCTGTGGTACTTCAGAAGTGGTTGCGTATGCTCCCAGCATGCAAAGCAGCCCACCTTGATCTTACCATGTTCGGCTCCAAAGTCCACTTCCACGACATTGTTCAGATCAGCACCGGTACCGTCCCCAAAGACAGTACGCTCCATGTGAGTGGGCTTGATCTTCCTTCGGTGCAGCAAGACCTCACCCTGAGGTGAAATAATAGCCTGGGAGATGTACACGCTATGAGAGGGGCTCTTCTCGGAGAAACCAAGAACGACAGCGATTGAGTTTTCCTTGGCAGCTGCTTTAACCATATCCATAGCCTCAGACTCAATCGGCAGTGAATTGTAGATGTATCGCGTCTGCAACTCAAAATCAACAGATCGAGCCCTACCGAAATTAGCCAAACGCACAAGCCAATCGTGTAAACGAAACATAAACATACCAGATCCACGCGGGATATCCGGGTAACCAGCACTCGGAGAAAGCAATAAGCTTCGCCCCGTTCTGCGCCGCCTCGGCAATAAGACCACATGCTTTTTTCACAGATGCAGCTAGGTCAAGGTAGACAGGCTCAGCCTGTGTGACTGCGACTCGGATGGGGGCGGACATTTTCGGAGTTGCTGTGCCGAGAATAAGAAAAGAAGGATGGATGGATTGGATTGGGAGATTGAGTCTGAATGGGCCGACGAATAAATAGTATCGGCGATGCAGTCACCTTCCTTGTTAAGAGGATTGAAACAGTGTTGGCTCTATATTGAGCTTACGCGGAATGTGAACTGTTGGTCCGGTGCGTGTTGGTTTGTCGTTTCATGCGCAGGGGCGTTGTTCTCTCAACTGGGGGCTTAGCATTCGCATTATCGAGACCATGAACTTCAGCTCGGGCGACGTCCGGAAATGACTGTATCTGGGCAATATTCGCAACGGGATATATGATGTATCATACTCCCACGTAGCTATCACTTCTCAAAGTCCGGTCGTGAGCGTTACAATCATGCCATGACCTGTTCTTACCGAATCAACTGCCGACATAACTGAAGCATTGTCAGTAAGATACACAGCCAGCAATTTCACCATCTGAATCTGGGAATGCCCCTGACATCTGCAGCTCACAAACCCAGGGATCTCAATCCCACCAGGATAGTTACATCCCAGCGGGCCTTTACATAAAAAGCTTAAAAACATGTGATCCTCACCCCAGGAACCCTCCATCGAGAATCTTGGCGTATCCACTGACTTGCCAGAGCGGAAGACAAGATGTAACAATCGAAAAGGAATTACAATTGTGAGTCTGCTCCCGAGGCATAAAAGTACAGGGAAGGGAAGATCTGACTGCTTGTGGTTAATTGCTGGGCTATGAATTGTTTTATCTTCCGCTGGGGGCGATATAGGGAGAAAGTTTAATTGAAAACATGCCGCGGGGTTTCGATTCCTGGTTTTTCGATGCTGAAAAGAAATTCTAAAGGATCACGTTGCCATTCCTTCATTTACATGCCTTGATATGTTTATTTGTTAGTTCGCTCAGCTGCTTGCTGTTGTCATTTTCTTTTTGTTAAACTTTGTTCTTTCGTTCGTTACAATGACTGCACTTGCTGGTCAAATTGCGGAGATATGGATTCTCTATGTTATTGGTACCGCCATGATCGCGGCGCGAATATTCTGTCGCACCAAAATGGTTGGCTATAGGAACTACGACTGGGACGACTATTTGGTCATTGCGGTCGCTGTAAGTCTCCATTCCATGACTGACGTGTTCCATCATTAACGGTTCATTGTAGTGTATGTGGACTGCTGCACCCGTAATTGGCCAAGTCTTCGTTCAAGGCGCCGAAGGCCGCCATACCTCCGATTTGACCTTCGAGGAGAGAAAGAAAATGAGTGAGGAGGATCGTGAGAAGTGGGCGTATGGCTCGCAGATGTTTCTTCTCGGGTTGACTGGATACGTGGTCATTCTCTGGACGCTCAAGTTCAACATGCTGTGCTTTTACAGCCGTGTCGTTAGGGGTCTTTGGACGGAGCGGTTTGTGAAGCCGTTGATGGTCGTGGTGGTTTTGTCAGTGGTGGTCATCATTATTACACTGGCTGCGACGTGTCGACCGTTTCATCACCTTTGGCAAGTTTGGCCAGATCCAGGGCGTAAGTATTGAGGCATCAGAGTAGACCGAGACTTTACTGACGTTTGCAGGTCAATGCGTTCCTCAGAACCTTACCTTCTTTGTCGTGATCTTGGTCTTCAATTTGGTCACGGACATTTGCATCATGCTTATACCAATTCCAGTACAACAACCACTATCCCCTCTCCGATATCTACTAACAGATTAAAGGTATTGGTCGGCATTCAAACTAATCGTCTCAAGAAGTTCGGTCTCTTCCTTCTTTTCAGCCTGGGCTTCTTCTGCATGTTCGCCGCCATTCTCCGCTTCGTCCTCATCTTCAACGCAAGTCCCCCAAACGTCAATCTCTTACATCACCAAGTACTAACACCGAGTCAGTTGAATCAAAAAGGTGTCTCAGCTCTATGGTCAATGCGCGAAGATTGCGTCGGCATCTTCGTCGGCCAGGCCCCCATGGTTACACCTCTCCTCAAGCGTCGCTTCTGGGTCATGGCCGGCTACGCCACCGACAAAACCGGCAACTCCCAAACACCGCACTACAACGGCAGTCGGCTGGAGAGCCATGAGCTTCGGTCTGGACGCGCGAATAACAGCAAAGTGCATGACCCTTACTCAATAACCAACGTGGTTTCTAGGTCCGAGAGCCAAGAGGAGATCGTGCAGAAGGACTTGCCTTCTTTGCCGGAACAGTCACGTCAGTTTCTGAGTGGTATTAGAGTGGAGCAGCGTATCGATGTTGAGGCAGTTCAGGGGACGTATACGCAGCCGAGAGATCCTCGGTGGTAGCCTGTGTTGGTTGAGTTATTTTCTTAGATCTAGAAATGCACCTTCAGGGTCTTGCATCTTGCTTCTCACATCAATGCTACTGAGTCAATTAAACGGATGTACCCGAGACTATCATTAGTCCCCGCGAACTAAAGAGATCGTTACCTCCGGGGAGACTTCCTAACGATCCAACTTGAACCGTGCCCCTTTTCTGTGATACTGAAGCCAGGGTTCAAAATTGCTTCAAATCCGGGACAAGGATACATCCTCCAATGAAAGTTCTCTCTAAGTCCCATGTGGTATCATCGGATACCGCGGCCCGCCGAAGCGACTCCACGCGAGTAATGAGCGACAGGGTATTGCAACCTGACGTACGATTTTGTAGCAGCCAAGAAACACGATTGACCTAACTTAGAAGGTGGAAACTATTCCCGTCTGATTTCTCAATTGACAAAAGCAAATAAGGTTAAATATCGGCGAGGTATCCATAAAAGCCAGGCATTCTAGAGCAAGACACTGGCGAAACTGTTTCCTGTTACGTTTACCCTGTTGTCAAGGTATCTTTGCATGATGCAGCAGAAAAAGCAACCAAAACTCGTTTCATTGACGCGCGTTTGCACTACGAAAAACGATTCGTCGTACGAAAACTGCATTGCAAACAGTTCCAATGTGGATTTTGAAATACTTGTGTGTAATATGTGACGTAAAATTGTTTGTCAGCTGCAAAATGCTTAGAGATGTTAGACAACACTCTCTCGTGACAGTGATAACGGCATTAGTGGCGGATGATGCACCCTAATTGGGAGTTTCACAGCCTCGGAGATATTGCGGATCGACGCATGCCAAGACCCGTAGGGTAAGTGGCATGTACCAAAAGATCTCGGCAGTTATTGTGCTACAAAGGTCGATGAAACCGAATGCTTCAGCGAGAGAATTGATTTCTTCCAAGCTATTCTTCTAATTATTGGATAAGTTGTAGACGATATGGATCCACAAAAGGAAGAAGCCATCTTCAATGAACGCTTCGTCAAGATCATTTGTGTTGGCGCTGGCGTTTCTGGACTCTGCTTGGCTTACAAGCTGGGGAGGTCTTTTCAGAACTATTCCCTAACTGTGCGTATACCGAATATGACGAATGATGTTTACTGACAGATCGCAAGATATATGAGAAGAATCCGGAGGTAGGAGGGACTTGGTTTGAGAATACTTACCCGGGCTGCGCGTGCGATGTCCCGTCGCACAATTACACGTATTCTTTCGAGCCAAAGGCAGATTTCTCATCTGTTCTCGCAAGCTCAGGCGAGATCAAGGAATATTTTGAGGGTTTTGCTGTTAAGTATGATCTGCTGAAACACATGCGGACCGAGCACCAGGTCATTGAGACTTCTTGGGACCAGCCTAAAGGCCAGTGGAGCGTCAAAGTCACTAATCTTAAGACGAACAAAACGATCGATGACTGGTGTCATATTCTCATTCATGCGACTGGGTATTTGAACAAACCAGCTTGGCCATCTGTACCAGGACTCGAGAAGTTCAAGGGACCCAAACTTCATAGCGCCAAGTGGGATAGCACCGTATCTCTTGAAGGCAAAGATATTTTGTTGATAGGATCCGGAGCATCAAGTGTTCAAATCTTACCAACGATCCAACCTCACGTCAAATCCGTGAAGGTATTTATTCGAACACCTCGTTGGACCTTACCCTCAGTCAACTCAAAGAAGGGTAAATTCTCTCCAGAAGAAATTGAGAAATTTGTCAGTGATCCAGACTCGGTTATGAAGCTTCGGCTGGAAAATGAGCGAACGTTAAATAGTTTCTTCAGTAGGCCATCCCAACTACTCCAAAAGGCTTTTTTCTAACCGAGGGTTAGCTATGTACATGAAAGGAACTGTCCTTCAGAAGCAAGCTCGTGAACATTTGGAGAGCGAGATGAAGAAAGTTGTTCTTGACGAAGAAGCTCAGAAGAAGCTTGTTCCGGACTTTCCAGTCGGGTGCAAACGGATTCTCCCTTCGGGGGATCAGTTTCTTCATGTGAGTCAAGTCTTATTTTGATGTTGTCCAAGTCTGACAGAACACGTAGGCGATCAAGAACGACAACGTCCAAGCGGTCTACTCTGGTGTCAAAGAGATCACTGAGAAAGGCTGTATAAGCGACGACGGGCAGCACTACGCAGGCGATGTCATCATTGCAGCCACTGGCTTCGACACGTCGTTCATCCCTCGTTATCCCATCTACTTCAAAGGGCATAACCTCCAAGAAGATTGGAGCACCTCTATTACAGGCTACATGGGAGTCGGCATCTCGGAGTGTCCCAACTCATTTACCCTAGCAGGTCCATGGTCCCCGATCTCCAACGGCCCCGTCATCGCTCCCATTGAAGCTCAGGCGGATTTTATCTGTGCTTTTATCGACAAGTACCAAACTGAAACTGGTATGCATAGCATGAGCCTGAAAGCAGCTGCATGCTATGACTTCAAGAGCTACATGGCACAGGTTACCCAAAAGATGGTATGGTCTGGTAATTGCCGCCACGCACATAACATTAAGCCAAACTGGGGTCAGTCTTCGATTACGTGGCCTGGATCTACGCTGCACTACTTGGAAGCAATGCGAGAACCCAGGTTTGAGGATTATGACTTTGAGTATAGTGGGAACAGGTTTGCATGGCTGGGTAATGGGTTATCTCAGACTGAGTGGGACCCTACGGCTGATTTGGCATACTACGTAAGGACTGAGGATGATGGAAGGCATTTGAGTAGAGGCGCGCGGACAAGAGTCATTTCGAAGAGTGGAAGTCAGTCACCGAGGGAACTTCATCGTCAGGCTAAGCTTGCAGCCAAGAGCTAGTTTCAAACGGCATGGCCATTTACCTCACAATTTCGAACCAAGCTATTGCCATCATGATCGGATTGTAGGGTAAACCACAAAAGATCAACTCGATTCTCAAGTATTTGGCTTGGATATGGCCGATGTTCAGGGACTGTTGGCATGGTATGTCTTACAACGCAAAGAGGTATGATGCTGGTAGGCCCTCGGCAAGTAGTCAGAAGATTCCAGGCGAGTAAGAGAAGATCTGTTATGTCCATACTGAAATGATTGGCCGGTCCTTCGGTTAGGAAAGCCACAGCAATCAGTTGGTGTCGGGGCCAGAAGCGACGGGACGGGACGATTACCAAGCCGCGCTATCGTTTCGCTTCCTATTCACTTGAACGCCAACTACCATTAGTTACATATTTACGGTCTGATATAATATACTTGAATCACCAGCGGTTCCTTTGGGTCTGACATCTCATAAAACGGGGTCTTCATCATCTCCGTTCGTCCCCTGCCACGTCATAGATCCGGGATACGAAGGCGACAACAGGCGAAGAATACCGCTGTTCCTGGATGAAAGGTGGTAAAATCAGGATAATAGAACGTTGGGTTGGAGCACCTCTGAGGAAAGACGAATTGCCGTTGTTTTCTGCAGGGTTTTGCCATCTCCGATCATAATTGAAAGTAGTTCAACGCATGCTTGCCTATATTCACCTTAAATCTCACGTCCCAGAACCGCCAACACGGTCGGAAAGCCACTCGGGGCGCTAGTAATGACGACTTGCCCATCGTCTTTATGAACGGTACATCTGTCAGCTGTCATTCCCAATATGTTCTTCTCCTCTCCGCCCGAGCCGATCAAAGCGTCTGGTAGCTGACTCTTCTTGCCGTTCGTAGGTGTCATTCTAATCTCCACTTTGTATCCCAGCAGGATTCTGGTGATCTTCATCAGTCTGCGGGAACGTCCCTCATTGCCCACAACCGAGCCCAGCTGAGATCGGGCAGCGGCGCTAACATCCCTTTCACCGGCCAACAGTATTAGCGAGTTCAAACTGCAGTTGTTGAAAACTTACCAAAAACCCCGATCAACGTCGAATGCTTGCATACCCCCAGCCTTGAGTGAGAGCTTCATATCGGGATAGGCAGCGTTGACCAAGTTGGTGTCGTAGAGAGGGTTGCGATCAAGGTTGGGAAACCCAAGGCTTGCCCAAGTAGCTGTCTTGGCATTGGCAAGATCGAGATCTAACTCAACCTCTTCACGGCCGCCGTCCAGGACGCCAACCCAAGAGTCAACTCTCCGGTCGATGCCATTGATTGAGTACAACGGCCTATAATAGATCTGATCAGCAGGAACTGCTACAGGAGCTTGTACTCGTCCCACTGAAGAAGGAATTTCCATATTCGAACATGGCATATTGCTTCTGTGATAGACCCAGCGAGTTAGTATTTAAAAAACTGAGGATAATATGGAACAACTCCAACCAAAATGAGCTTACCCAATTCGGAGCGTTGAGGTATCCCGTGCCAAATCAAACGCGGCCAATACCAACCCAACACTGCTTGATGTTTTAGTGGCAAGGGTGTAATCCGATTCGAGCCCAATACGTCCCTTAGTATTCCATCTCGGGCTACGCTGCCATGCTCGATGGCTGGGTTGGCTTCTCAAACAAAAAGCCTAATGAGTTCGGTATCAACCTCTCTACCGGGGAGCAGTCTTCCTTCAAGGACATTGGTTTCACTGAACCTCAGGGCAGTGCTCCCTTCAGTCGTGTCCCCGTCTTTGACTTCTACGCCACTGGTGGCGGACGAGTTGAGCACTCCAACTTCAACATGAGCTCCAACGCGAAGGACGTCAAGGTTACTCTCAAGATCCAGCACTACAAGACTGTCCCATTTGAACCTGGTTCATGGTAAGTCTCCCCAACACTGTTTCATCATCAATTATCTAACTCAACTATAGGAACGTCGATGTCAAGAGCCTTATGGCCAAGCTCGGTGCCAAACCGCCCGCCATGTTCCAAAAGGTCCGCCCCACGCAGATGCTCATCGCTCAGGGTGTCAGCATGGAGATCAGCTTCGGCGGTGACGCCAAGACGGCTTTTGACCAGGACTACAAGAAGACGGTTCAAGGTGGCGGTGGAATCAGTGTTTTCGGATTCCGCATCGGTGCTTCCGGCTCCTCTTCTGAGGAGAATGAGTCTCACGGTAAGACCTGGGACTCTAGCTCCGGTATCCTCACTATCAATGCTGAGAACTCTCGCGCGTCCGCCAATGTTCTGGCTGTCATGGGTGAGATTGTCAGCGCTTAGACTCTTTGTTTTCTTTAGAGGTTGAAGTATAAGAGAGATCACAATGTTTTTGCGTTGAAATGATGGAGATCCGAAGTTGGTACGAGTTCTTTTGGTAGTTCAGCTCCAGCCAGTCTTTCCGTTTGCGCAGTCGCATTGCTATAGTTTAACTCAATTCATTCCTTATCACCTTCACTAACCAAGCTAATAAAGCGATGGACATTTTTATCTAATGCTCACAATTACTAATAGCATAAAAGAAAAGCAGATAGGCATATACAGAATCATGCACCCATGGCCCAATCTGCAGCTGCAATTGCATGGATCTTTGCAGTGTCAAATATCGGCAGCTCACTCCCAGCCTTGTCGACCAAGAGTCCGATCTCTGTACATCCCATGATCAAGCAGTCAGCGCCAGCAGCTTTGAGGTTTACAATAACTCGATGATAGGCTTCTCGAGACTGATCCTTGATGATTCCGTTGCATAACTCTTTATATATGATATTATGCACAGTCTCCCTGTCTTCGTCATCCGGGATGATGACTTGCAGCCCAAACTTGTCGCTTAGCCGTGATTTATAGAATTCTTTCTCCATCGTGAATCGCGTCCCGAGAAGGCCGACGGATTTGTAGCCCGCTTCTATAATTGCCATGGCTGTTGGGTCGACGATGTGGATGAGAGGTAGTTGCGAGGCATCTTCAATGCCGTGAGAGACGAAGTGCATCGTATTGGTGCACAGAACGAGAGCATCGGCACCAGCGAGTTGAAGTTTAGTGGCTGCTTCGTTGAGCATTTCACCCGCTTCGTCCCATTTGCCGGCATGTTGAAGGGCCTCAATCTTGGCAAAGTCGAAGGAAAAGACGACACATTGCGCAGAGTGAAGGCCGCCTTGTATTTCGCGCACGCGACGATTTATCTCTTGGTAGTAAGTCGTAGTTGACTCCCAGCTCATGCCGCCGATCAAGCCGAGTGTTTTCATTATGGTGGTGTCTCTGTTTGTTCTTGAAACGTGGCTTTTTGGTGGAAATGAGAAGTCCTCGTTGTAGTGTAAGATGAAGGTTTGGTTATTCAAGACCAAGCCGCTCGGGTTGTCTCCCATGTAGGGTACGTACCTTGATTTTGGTGACTCACAAGCCAATAGTGTCGCAGCTGAACTGAGACAAATTGCCGACTGCTCTGTAAATCTGAATGAAAGAAGATGAGGACGACAAGACATGGTGTAACTGAAATGTTGATCAGTATGGTGGAAGGTGTATTAATAATCGCAATTAGGGAACAAATCGCTACCATTTTTTTTTGATGGTGAGGCTGAGACATATGTGACACCATCGTCATTGATGTCTTCGGCGTCCCTAAGGGCGGGGTGCGATGATCTATCAAGGGAACATGAGACATATCTTAATGCTCTGTATCCTGATATAACTGCCAGTCTTGTAACCCAACTCAGATATTGATGTTTGTAGCCCTAAGCTCAAAGATACGGTAGTATTTTGCTGAACCACCACTCGTACACTCTTATTTAGTACTGCCTGTCATATTTTCAATTCCTGTTGTTTATCCCAGTTGCCTTCCTCTAAGATTTCTCACGGCCTCTATTACGCAGAGCTTTGGAATTCAAGACACCATGTCTGAGCGATCACCACTCATCCATCCAGGCGGCCAAGAGAGCCCAGGCTACGGGTCAGGTTCCCGCCATGCACCCGAACCAAGTCAGCAAGACGATGAAACAACAATCATCAGCAAAGAGCTCTCATTCCCACGTCTGGCCATGATATTGAGCACAGCTTGGCTCGGCGTCTTCCTAGGAGCTGCCGACACAACCGTCATCGCCACTCTGTCTGCCCAGATATCTAGCGAATTCAACTCCCTAAGCCTCCTCTCTTGGCTCGCAACCGCATATCTCATAGCCAATTCTATCAGTCAGCCAATTTCAGGTCGGCTTACTGATATCTTCGGCCGTGGTCCCGGTTTGGCCTTCTGTAATGTTGCTTTCGCGATTGGGAATCTCATATGCGGTGTCGCTACGAGCCAGCGGGTGATGGTCCTTGGAAGGGTCATTGCTGGTATCGGTGGCGGTGGTCTAATGAGTATCCCAGTGTTTCTGGGCTCGGATCTTGTCCCGCTTCGGAGGAGAGGTTTGGTGGGTGGAATTGCGAATCTCTGGTATGGGTCTGGTGCCATGGTAGGGGCTGTTTTTGGTGGCTTACTGAATGACTATACGATTTGGGGATGGAGAATGGCTTTCTTGATTCAAGTTATACCTTCTCTTCTTTCAGCTGTTATCGTATACGTCTTGATCAAGGTTCCGCCGAAACAGTCCGAGAAGTCATATATCAAGCGCATTGACTTCGGGGGTGTCTTTCTGGTCTCTACCTTTCTGGCATCACTTGTGCTTTGCCTGAGCTCAGGAGGAAACATAGTCCCATGGATAAATCCTCTGCCTGTTATGGCCATATCACTCTCAGTCTTCCTATTCGCGACATTCATTTACTGGGAGCTGAGAGCGTCTCAACCGATCATCCCTGTCAGGCTTCTGCTCAACCGTACTGTTCTTGCTTCTTGCTTAGCCAGTGTATTTTGCTCTGCAATTGCCTTTACAAGCATATTCTATATCCCTCTTTATCTCCAGGCTCGTGGGGACTCTGCTACCAATGCGGGATTGAAGATATTACCAGCATCTCTTGGGACATGCCTTGGAGGACTTATTCCCGGATACCTGATGAAAAGAAGTGGGAAATATGTAGGCCTAGTGATAGGCAGCATTGTTGTTCTTATATTCGGGACTGGTCTATTCGCACTTCAGGATGACAATACTCCTACATGGATGACTTGCCTAGCATTCTTTGTCGTTGGCCTGGGATATAACGCGGTCTTCACCATTACGCAGATCGCTTGCATCGCTGCAGTAGGTCACACGCAACAAGCCGTTGTCACATCCTCCACGTGTAAGAATCTAGAAGTCCAGGGCGCTATTATTACTAACAGAGCTCCAGACCTAGCACGCAGCTTAGGCGGTACGGTTGGCATAACACTGGCCTCTGTCCTATACCAATCGAGCTTAGATATGAGTCTCTGGGCACTATTCGGGGATAAGCCTAACGCAGCGGATAAGATCCAGAAAATTAAGGACGACCTGACTGAGATATATTGCCTACCGAAAGCGTGGTACGAGGGGGTTCTCGAGTCACTTATGCAGGCATTCGGACGTGTATGGTTGATGATGCTAGCTTGGGCAGTGCTGGCTCTGGTCTGTATATCGCCGATCAAACAACACAAACTTTTTACTACGTTGGATCGAGAGTGAACAACAACAATCGGGCAAAGTCAAAAGGAAATGTCTATTGGGCGTTGTTGGTCTCAAAAAAAACCTAGTGACAACGCACAGTCGGGGATGGCGGTTAAGATTACTTCGGGACAATGGATATGGAATCAATGGGTGAAGAGCTCTTATTTTGTTTCCATCATGGATACTAAGATTATATAAAGATTACAGTTTCTCATGAACTTGATGTCTTGTTCCCAGCCACGAGTCCATCATCATTCTCCATCTCCTTCCAAGCACTCTCCAAAGCATGAACCTTGACGCTAACTTCAATATCCTCCGGCAAGTCAGTCGCGCTAAACACCATAAGCGTCAACGGCTCAGTGGAGAAGAAAGTGTTGGTAACACTATCAACACCATCGTTGAGGAAGGCCTCATAGATAGACCTATCGATAACACCGGTAAGACTCCAGGTGCCATTCTCGGTAGCAAGACTGCCAAGGGAGGTCTTATCAGTGAAGAAGATGTTATCGAAGCCATTTACACCGCCCCGGTCGAGGAAGAAAACGGGATCACCGCCGAGGTAGTAGCCGCTCTTGATGGCTTCGTTGGTGATGGGGCTTGAGAAAGTCCAGTTCATGGAAGAGGTTGAGGGAATCCCGCCGTCGGGGATGCCAGTGACGTTGACTTCCCAGTAGATAGCGTTGGACTCAACGTCAGAGTAGTCAACAATGAGTGTCCCGTTGCCAAAGCTACTGTTGGAGGCAAGCTCACGACCCAATACTGGGCTGAGATCATACGGCTTGGAAACAAGCTTCCAGCCAACACGCTTCGCTTTGGTGAGGTAGTTCTCGCGAGGGAGACTCATGGCACTTCTCCAGCCTTCATCGCCTGTAGGAACAACACCGGTGTACTGCCAGTTCGACGCCCAAGCAATAGAAACAGGAAGCTCTTCTTCTGAAAGGCCATAGAACCACTGTCCAGCGTAATTGTCCTTGCCAAAGTCTGCGATTCGTGCAGCAGCATCAACAGCCTCGAAGTGAGTACCGTTGAAAGTGCCAGGGAAGTACTCAGTGATAGAGCCTCCCAATGGTGCACCAGGGTTGATGCTTATGGCCATGAGCCACATATCATCTTGCCTCTCACCGTCTTCATCCACGTAAGGCATGGGGACCATGTTAGGGCACTCGTACTGTAAACCGAGAAGACCATGGTGGGAGAAATTGCTGGTAGGTGTCCAGTCCTTGAGGTTGGATGACTCAAAGATACCGATCTTGAAGTCTTGGGGATAGGCTACTACCATGATCCAAGAGTCGTTGAAGCGAATAACCTTGGGGTCACGGAACTGATTGGAGGTGCTGTTGATGACGGGATTGTTGGCATATGGAGTAAAGGTGTAGCCTCCATCTCGCGAATAGGCGATTGCTTGGTCTTGGATGGTAGGTGATGCTAAGGTCTGTGAAATGTTAGCTGGGATATGGTCTCATTGCAGTTGACAACTTACGTAAATCGCAACAACACCATTGTCCTGGTCAGGGAAAAATCCAGACGTGTTGTTGACATCAACAACAGCACTTCCAGAGAAGACAAATGTGTCGTTCTCCGGTGGGAAAATTGCAATAGGCTGATTCACCCAATGGTACAAGTCCTTTGAAGTTGCATGGCCCCAATGCTGGTTACCGGCTACAACAGCAGTGGGATTGTACTGATAGTATAAATGCCACAGACCATCGGCATCACGGAACATGCCATTGGGGTCATTCATGAAGTGCTGGGGAGGAGAAAAGTGAACTTGAGGACGGTATGTGCCATTGTAATCACCAGTAATTGGTGTTCCCGTTGGTACAGAAAGAGAAGTAGAGGACTGGGCAGTGCCGAGCTGGACGAGACCAGCAAGGGTCGAGAACAAAAGACCTCTCATGATGATCAAGATGACAGAACTGTATCTTGCTGGACTGTTCAACTTTTTGAGGATTATATGACGCTTATATACCTAAACGCCCTCATCAGCCCATGCCGTCCCATCCCATCGGCACCGAACAAACTGTTTAGCGTTCCATCTTCCCCGCGTTCATCTCCAGCAAGAAACACGCCGATCTGGAGAAGAAGTGATGTCAGAGACATAGGTTAATCTGCTGGTTGTGGGGGAAGACCAGAGAAATGGACCGACTTGGCGAGGTGGTGTCGGACCGATAATTATCGTCATCGAATCGAAGACGAGGTTCAAGGTCTCAACGCAGATCTTGTCTTGAATGGTGCTACTCTTGGAGTTTGCTACCCCACATCAACGGCCCGACAGTTGAGATGATGGAAGTTGATCGTGCAAGTCGAATCATGGGGAAAGTTTAAGTGAGGTGAGACATTCTGATATGAAGCGATTTATTACCGGTAGTTGAGGAATCATCCAATAGAGCGAACATGAGCATGTATTTATTGCAATAGCTTGATTGATTGAGCATTGTTGGAGGATGAACGGTGAGAGAGGCATTAAGATGCAGGGTAGTTGGTGGGGTTGACTGCAGGGTTGATGTTGACGGTAACATTGTTCCCGGATACTCGGATGAGAAAAATGCTCGCATGATGAGGATACATAGTCGTCTATTTACAAAAAGGAAAGAGAAAAAAAAGTACATGCAAGAAATATCCACAATCCACAAACTCCAGGCACCTATGTCATGCCATATAACTAACCTGGCAAGGGGAGGCAAGAAAACTTAGGACCTCTTTTCTAAGTAATGAAAATTTAGGTAAGTTTAGTATACCTTAGCAGATCTTTAGACCAGTTAATTCTAGCACCCTGGCTCAAGGTCAGAAGTTTTCTTGCCCCCAGCGGCCTGGCCGTATTGCTCCGGACCATCCGTACAGCGTCCTTCATCTACTCATCACGGCAGTATCACCCTTGTCATCACTAAACTCCACCTCCAGCGCCGTCAAAAATTGCTTCAAACCCTGCTTCTTCGCTTTACCGAACCATTGAAGCACGTTTGCAGTGGGGAGTTCCTTTAACTCTGGCAATTGCTCGCAAAGGTTCGCGAATTCGCCCATGCTCAATGTCTTCGTACCCGCGTGTTCAATAACCTGAACCTTGTCTTGCGATTGAGTGGAAGACTGGAGAAGAGCGTCGATGATGCGATTGGAGATCTGATCAATTGGCGTGAAATGACCTGTACCATTCAGACCTGTTGGATCGGGACGCAGTGAAATGGCTTTCGCGAGGCGAAGAAGCCCATCTGACGTGATGGTATCCTCATCGCCAGCCTCTGCATCACCCAATACCGGTGCTGGGCGGTGAATAAACACAGGCAACCCAGCTCGCTTCGCAGTATCACGCAACAATCCTTCAGCAGCCCACTTTGACGCGACGTATCCATCGTTGCCATCAACAGGTGGATGTCCATCTCCATACCGTTTGACAGCTCCACTGGACAACACGTGAATAGGCAGGCGACGAGGCAGCGCAAGGCGGATGAGTTCCGCGACGCTGGTAACGTTGACGGCGCGTAGCGAACGGTAGTCATCCCAGAACGAGCGATTGGCGCCGCAGTGGATGATCGCGTCGACACTGTTGCTGAGACGCGTGAAGTCAGTGTCGGATAGACCGAGGTTCGGCTGACTGAGATCTCCGCGCCAGAGAGCTACTTTGTCGCTGGTCTCCGTGATTGACGCGTCGCGGATGAGGCAGTGTATCTCGGACACTTGGGGCGACTCGGCAAGATGAGACATCAAGTTCCTCCCCAAGAACCCACTCGCGCCGGTGACAAGAACACGAACAGGTCCATCCGTCTTCTGTGACGCGACTTGAGGCAAGCTCAACCATTCATCGGGAATCTTGGTCTCCCGCTCCCAATCGATATCACCACCACTGACCTCATCGTTCACCAGCGCAGCCATCTCACGAAGCTTACTAGCAGCCATCAAGTTCAAAAGCCTGAGCGACACATTGAACTCCTTCCTGATCATGCCCTGGAGCTTGATCAGAAGCAATGAACTTCCGCCGACGTGGAAGAAGTCAGTGTCTGCTGTAAAGGTAGCAGAGGCACTCGCTGGAACCAGAGTCCTCCACATCTTGGCGATCTTCTTCTGTGTCTCCGACTCAAGACTACCTTCTTCAACATTTGCGTCACTGGTCGAGGCTGGGGTGAACGCGGGCAAAGGAAGTGCTGCGATTGCGTTGCGATCAGGCTTCTGATGCGCTGTCAGTGGGAAGCGATCAATTGGTAGCATCAGGGCTGGAAGCATGTAGTGAGGCAGAGGGAGCTTCGAGATGATCTTCCGCAAGAAGGACTCTACTTCAGGACGACGAAGACTCTTGTCAGCGACAACGACATGCGCGACGAGGAAGCCATCGTCATCGTGATCCTCATGGCGATCCTCAGGGTATCGTAGAGTCACAACAGCATCCGAAAGAACGCCCTGGGCTGCGCTCAAGATGGCACTCTCAACGTCGCCCAACTCAATACGGTAGCCTCGCAGCTTGACCTGGGTACCGCCCTCAATGCGACCCAAAATGTCAACCATACCGTTCGCACGAAGTTTACCACGGTCGCCGGTGCGATACATTGTCTTCCACTCCTTTGACGAAGTCCATGGATCAGGAATGAACTTCTCCTTGGTAAGATCCGGACGTCCGAGATAGCCATCTGCGACACCAGCGCCGCCAACGACGATCTCACCAGGATAACCACGTGGAACGAGCTTCATGTTCTCGTCGACGATGTAAGTAGAGTAATTGGCACAAGGGAAGCCAACATCAGTGACGTATCGCATCTGCGCCTTCTCACCCTCAGCATAGTCATCAAAGTCGAGCTCAATCCTGTTAGTAACAGTTGTCTCTGTCGGACCACAGTGATTGAAGACTCTGAGATGGGGTAGCTCAAGGCCAGCAAACGCACGAACAAGCGCAGTTGACAGAGGCCCGCCCGACGAGGAAGCATTCTCCCAAGCTGTGCAGTCAAGAAGACGGTCACGAGCAAAGCGGTGCCAGATGCTATACTCAGACGGCGTGCACATGGTATACGTAATGTTGTGTCGGGCAATCATGTCGACTGTACGAAGAGGATCGCCGCGCTTCGAGTTGGGAACGACAAAGACGCAACCGCCGTTGCAGAGCGCGAGCATGGTCTGATCAATCGAGAGGTCGAAGCTGAAAGCGCTCTGTTGAAGGACTCGAGTGGCGTAGCTGGGTTTGTCTTGTTCTTGGACAATGGCGTGCGGTTCAACGAGAGCCTTGAGACTTCGATTTGTGTGGACGACAGCTTTGGGAATACCTGTTGAGCCGCTCGTACAGAGGATCATGGCTTTGTGACCAGGCTGCGCTCGAATAGGCACACCAGCTGGAGAAGATCCTGCGGCGGGAACGTGGATCATCTGAGCAGATTGCGTTCCTAGTTGATCAAACTTGTCGGCGGTAGAGTCGTCAACGAGAACTGCTTGTGGCTGAGCGACCTGGACATTGGCTGCCAGTCGCGGCATTCCGATGGGAGGATACAAGGGCACGTAGGTCATTCCGAGCTTGAGGATCGCAAGCATGGAGCAGATCCAGTCGACACCGGTTTCTTGAAAAACGCCGATAAAGTCATCCTCCTTCAGATTGGCAGTGGTCAAAGCACTGGCGATCTCATCGATACGACGACCCATTTGTTCGTATGTCAATTGACTTGTCTCATCGTCAAGCGCGGGCGCAGACGGGTTCTCTCGAATTATGTCTTCAACGCGATGCGAGAGCGTGTCGGCGTTCGGCCAAGCATCAATCGTAGGACCAAGAGAAATAGACAAATCATCCTCATTCCAAGGAGGAAGTGACTTGAGGGCCATCTTCGCACCAGCCTCATCCTCTGTAACCTTTCTCAAAACATTGGTATACGCCCGGATAAGCATCTCAGCATGCTCCCCATCATACAACGACGATTGGACCTCAACACCAACGCGAACACTCCCACCGTTCTTCTCATCAGAGTCATCAAGGATATAAAACGCAAGATCGCTACCTTGGCGCTCTGCTCGACCAGTGCCCATTTCAGCTCTGCAATCACCGAGTCTGAACCACTCTTTATGCGAAACACGGTAGTCAATCAGGACTTGCGCAACGGGTACAGCGTCGCCGTGGCGGGTGATGCAGAGTTCTTTGAGGAGAACGTCCAGGGGAAGAACGGAGTGCTCAAGGGCTTTGTAAGTCTTTGTGCGTGCGGCTTTGATGGCATCTGAGAAAGTGAGTTTGTTGTAATCGTTGCGATCGAAGCGGAGGAAGAGGGTATTGACAAAGAGGCCGATTGTATCCATGAAGTCTTTGTCCAACCTGTTTGTGTCGTCCATAGCGATGAATAAGCGATCCACAGAGTTGGGCATCAGACCAAAGAGCAGAGTCTGAAGTGCGGCGACGTAAACGTGGAACGAGGTTGAGTGATTGGCCTTGGCAAGCTTCCTGATGCGCGCTGCTTCAGAGGGTTCAAGAGTAATCTCTGCGTTGTAACAGCTGTAGTTCTCCAGTAACTTCCTATGATTGACTTTTGCAAAAGGCAGCAAAGGAAGTGGTTCGGGCTCAGGCATGATGAGCTTGCGATAATACTCAATCGCCTTCCTCCACTCAAATGGCTTAGACAGGTTCTGTCGTCGCTGCTTGGCAGTATAAGCTCGGTACTGTTTCGCATCAGGCAGTGTCGGAATTGATCCATTGGCGTTGTAGGCTTGTGCCAGGTCGCGCCAGAAGATCTCGAGGCTGTACCCGTCGAAGGCGATGTGATGGAAGGCCAACACTAGCCAATGCTCCGTGTCGGACTGGGAAAGGAGTGAGAGTTTGATAGTTTCCCAGTCATTGAGATTCCACGGGCGAGAGTGAAGCCATTCCATCTCCTCGTCAACATCAGCCTTACTGGCAATCTGTCGAGACGTGAGGTGGACTGTTGGCTTGGAGAGAACGCCTTGCATGGGGGTCTCGAGGGAATTGCCTCCAAACTAGCGTACTGATCAGCAATGCTCTCAAGGAAGGCAGCATCAATTGCTTCGGGAAAAGGATCGAGGTCGGAACTTACAAAGAATCTCGTTCGTAAAATCTCATGCCTCCTCGCAACACCCTCCAACGCCCTCTCCAACTTCCCAACATCAACCTTGCCCTTCAAATGCGCCGAAATCGTAACATTAAACGTAGTCTTATCCTCCAACGCCGTAGTAAGGAACCAAAAACGACTTTGAACAAGAGACATCTCATCGACAATCTCACTCGAACTCTTCACAATCTCCTCCCGCCTCTTCGCCGTCGCTTGCTTAGCAGCTTCTTCATCCTCACGGCGCTTTTTAGCTGCCTCGTCTTCAAGCTGTCGCTTATGCCTGTCGTCCGATCCATTGTTATTCTTCATGTTGCTCAGAGATGGGGGGATGCTTGCCGTGTCAGCTCCCGCTGTGCTCTTTGCGGTTGTGGAAATGTCTGTCGCTGAGCTTTGTGAGACAGCGTCGGAGTCGCCAGTTACAACGTCTGAGCTGGAGCTTGATGTGGAAGTCTCGGGGAGCTTCTTGTCGCTCATGGGCTGTGCTTCATTGCTAGCCTCATCATCATCACGGTCCAGGTCAAGAAGAGCCTTGGGGATTCTCTCCAGCGCGTCGCTTGCGAGATCAAGAATTGAGTTACCGCCCAGAATCTTGAGAACAGGCATGTCGGTATCAAGTTCCTTCAAGAACCACGATCGCACGTCGACAGCGACAAGCGAATCAACACCTTGATCAACCAAAGCCAGCGACTCGGGAACATCAGTCTCTGCAGGAATGCGCAGCATCTTCTTCAGCTTAAGAGTGAAAGCGTCGGTGATGACCCTTAACGCCTGGTCCTTGCTCGTCACACGCTTCAATTGACGGCTGAGCGATACAGCAGCTGCGTTACCCGAAGCATCAACATCTGCATCGCCATCGATTCGTTCAATCAGCATGTTACTGAACTTGGAGTCATGAATGAAGAACGACTTGTGCTCATCGTCCGAGAATTGAGGCATGATACCCTGCGAGATCTCACCTCCCTCGATATCCTCATCAGGACCGAATCGTTGGCCGGCGAGAATGGCTTCAGCAATGAGTTGGTGAAGACCTTGAGCAGAGGTATTGGCGATACCAATGTCCTTGAAGAAGCTCGCGTCGTAGATCTTCTGTCGCTCAATGTAGCCTAGACCAATGAGGGCACTGATGTTGATGATGGAAGCAGCGAGGCCACGCTTACGACGGTTGTTGACGAGGGATGCCATGAACATGTTAGCAGCGGCGTAATTGGCTTGACCTCGAGATCCAACGATACTAGCTGCTGAACTGAACATGAGGAAGAAGTCCAGCTTAGTATCAGAAAACAGTTCGTCCAGGTAAATACTGCCATTAACCTTTGGCGCAAGGACCTTGTTGAGGTTCGCGGCGTCCATGTCCTTGAAAAGAACATCCTGCAAAAGCATAGCACCATTAGCAACACCAGCGATCGGTGGCAACGTGCGAGTAATGGCCTGGTAGCACAGATGAAGCGACTCCTTGCTGGTGATGTCAAGCTTGCGAGGAACAACAGTGACACCAGCTTGCTCCATGTTGTCGACGAATCGCTGATCAACCTTGGGATAGCGACTAGTCAGCACGACGTATCGCGCTCCATGTGCGGCCATCCATTCGCAGCACGATTGGCCCATTTCGCCCGAGAGACCAACAAGCAGATAGGTCTTGTCGGATCGGAAGATGTTGGTGTGGTGATCCAAAGGATGGACGCGCACTGGCACTGATGGAGCGGTCCAATTAACGAGGTGAAGCGATTGTCCGGTCGGTTCCGTGAAGCCCTCGATGTGGTTAAGAAGGATGGTCTGACGATCGCGAGCTTCAATAACCATGCTGCTCGCCTTGCTCCAAGCAGCTTGAAGTGCAGCCTTCGCATCTGCCAGATCACCAGGTCGAACTTCAACGCGACGTCGGATCAGTGACTTCTCTGTGCGAGCGTACCATGGAAGGCACTCAGTCATGGCAGACGCGACAACTGAAGAAGGACTGTTGGGCGCTGAGAAGTCGACCAAGAGCGAGGCACTGGTCAAAGACGGAAGAATCTTTCTGATAGCGCGAGATGACATTTCCGGCGCCAGCCAAGTAGTCTTACCAGCAAGATCCTCAGGCTGCTGACCTTCAATCAAGCAGCCTGTGAAGCTGACGCGCCAGGATGGGGCGGGATGCGACTCGAACAAGTTCATGATTGCAGTGCGCACCAAAGGATCCGCCTCATGAATGACGATGTGACTACTCTTCTGCCGAGGGGCTAACGCGGCAATCTGAGCAGCGACGAGATGCGCCGCGGTAGACAACAGAGCGATGGAAGATAGCTCCTCCGAAGCGCCAGCCGGGAGTGCGACGGTGAGGTCCTCAGGCGTTGCCGCTGGTGTCTCAGCAGAGGGTGTCAAGGCGAGTAACCGTTTACCATCAGCATCGCCAACACAGAGACGGAAGAAACCCGAGGTGCCAATCCTCAAAGCCTGGAGAAGTGACTGAAGAATGCGAACCTGGTAGCTTGGGAGTGTATCATCAGTCTCCGGTTGAACACGCAAAGGCGAGATCTGTCCAATGATAGGAGCTGACAATGGTGAATTGGCACTGGCATTGAGACTGAAGGAGGTCTTTGGGGACTGGGGATCAACTTCCTCATGGATGATACGACGAATTGAGTTGAAGCGATGGTTCAATTCCTTGTTGACGTTCAATCGCGGCATGTAAGTCTTCTTGTCAACAACCCGCACCTCAGACTCTTGAGTCCATTGAAGCTTGTCGTTCAGATCAGTGCCATGGGCAATCTCCTCACGCTTCCACTTGTCGAGAAGTTCAATGCGCCTCAGAGCACTGGCGACAAAAGGAGGTACCCACGATCCATCGCCGACGGTCGTGTTATCGAGATCGACCGTCTGAAGAGTGATGCTAGGGTACTCTTGACGAATTGATCGCGCGAGACCGACGACCATGTTGTTGTAGGGCTGTTCGGAAGCTGCGCCTTTGGTGACCCATAGGATGTTGCGGCCTCGTGCCCAGAGGTTCTTGAGGCCATCGAGCTTGGGGTCTGTGACGGTACGGAGAACAGGCTCATCGAGTTCTGTGAGACAGAGAACTGAAGAGCCTTCGGGGAATTGGTCTTCAGTGATGTCGTTGAGAGCTTCAATGGATCTAAAGTGGTTTGTCGTCTGGTAGAATGGCGCGACGAGAGACTTGGTCTTCTCAACGAGATCCATCGTACCAAGAGACTTTCCGCCGACGACCACCAAGCTCTGCTGCTTCTCAGGCACAACAGTGAGTGGTTCCCTCAGAAGATCGACCTTCTCATCTCTCGCCATCGAGACCCAGAGACACATAGGCTGTGTCTGATTGTGGCCAACAGTATGCGTATCAACACCCGTGAAGCCCGTTCTCTTCAGAGCATCGTCCCACTGCTCAAGCGTCAACATGGGACCCCAAGGGCGACCATACTCAGCGCCAGACCACCAGGCGGCAAAACCACCCATACCGATACCCAAACGCACGGCGTCGTTGTTGATGTTCTCGAAGCCGATGAGACGACCGCCGGGCTTGAGAAGACGACGGATGTTGCGGAGAGCTCCCTCAACATCGCCGGTCGCGTGCAAAGCCATACCAGCCATTACGACGTGGTAAGATGACTCGGTAAAGCCTTGTTCTTCGATACTGTTGTTCATATCAAGAGCTTTGAAGTTAATGCGACCGGAGTAATCCTTGAACTTCTCCTCTGCTTTGTCGAAGAACGCGGTGGAAATGTCTGTGAAGGTGTACACCGAGAAGGCACCGTCAATAGCAGGCAACGCGTGGGATGTCGCACCACCAGTACCGGCACCAACTTCAAGGACGCGCATCTGAGGGTAGATATGGGCAAGTTGGCGCATCATGTTGTACATCTTCTGATCACTGGCCTCGTACCGAAGAGTCTCCTCGTAGTAACGATTGAGCATGTTGTCCTTGGTAAGGTACTCATGCACATTACCCTCATTCGCAGGGACGACTTCAAGAAGGGCTCTCGCAGCGGCGTGCGTGAGCCTGAAGTCATTAGAGTTGGCATACTCAGCAAGAAGACGATCGACTTCAGTTTGCGTGTCATTCATCATCTCTGGAGTCAGGAAGTGATGTTCCCCACGGCTGACAAGACCGATGACGTGGTCGCACCAAGTGAGAAGACGCTTGAAGGGCTCTTGGGCATCCTCCCGAGCCTTCGAGCCGGCAGGGATAAGCTCAGTGAGACGTCGAACGTAGAACAATGACAGTCTATCGAGGTTATCGGCTGAGCGAATCTCTGCATCAGCAACTTCTTGAGGGCGGTTGACACGCGATGCGAGAACACCATCGGGCTCAGAAGGGCCATAGACCCATGTAGAGAAGATGGGTGAGTCATTGGCAGCAGTAGCAGGAGTGAATGGCCTCATTCTGGCACCTTCGACGGCAATGTACGCTTGCTGACCATCAGGCGACAGCATCTTCATATCACCGACAGCCTCACCCAACGAATTCGCATCCTCACCGAGAGTAGTACTCGCTTCCCAAGCCATAGTTGCGCCCCGAGCAGCTGAAGCGAAATAAGGGTTGACGTGAATGGCATCAATGCCTACCAGCATCTGCAAGCACCACAGACGTCCATCGCCAGGCGCAGCCATAGCAGCAAGAACAGTCTGTACACCAGAGTCCATGAGACCAGGATGAGCGAGAGCGACTTGGTCTTCCCATTCAGGACCAGATTGATCAACGATCTTTCCGATCGCAAAGTCGGACTTGCGCTCAATCTCGACGATGCCTTTGAATGGAGGAGAGTACTGGTATCCGTGCTTGGCCAGCTCAGTGTAGAAGCGGTCGATCTCAATTGGAGCGAGGTTGAATTGTCGAGATGGGTCTTGGGCGGCCTGGCCAGGAATGGAATCTGCTGAGGGAGCACCAAGACGAGCCACGACGCGACCATGAGCGTGAGTAGACGTAACAGCTGGTGCCAGTCCGTGAGTGTGATAAGAGCAGCAAACAAAGTCAGCGATCAGCTCATCGTGGCTGCTCTCAACAGTCTTCATAGTAACAAGTGTTTCAACGCTGGAACTGTCATCGTTGAAGACAATCGCCTGATCCATGGTAAGATCATAAAGACTCAACAATCTCACGGTCGGAGAATCCTTGAGATCTCGCACCAGTATCATCGCCGCTTCAAGAGCCATAGCTGCGTATCCACAGCCAGGGAAGATGACTTGTCCCTGAAGACGATGACCACGGAGCCAGGGAATCTCACGGGCGCGAAGAATGTTACGCCATTGGGTCATTCCTGGGACGCTGTTCTCGACCATACGGCGACCTAGGATAGGATGGACGGGCTCATCCATTTGACGAAGGGCGGCACAGAGACGAGACTCAGACCAGAAGACTTGAGAGTCTGCTGAGAAAGGGTATGGAGGGAGGTCTCTGACCACAGTAGGTGTTGATGAGCGACCGGAGAGCGTGGCGTCAATTGAAGCAAAGTTGACGTGGCCGCGACCCAGATTGCGCCAGACAGCACCAAAGCAATCCGCAATACTCTCAATGTCGTCTTTACCACGGGTAAGGACACCTTGGTATGGTGTACCGCTTCCAAGACTCTCGAGAGCAGGGCCCTTGAGTGCAGGATGGGGTCCCAGTTCTAGCGCCATGTCAAAAGGTCCCGAATGCCCCAGCGCGCAATCAAGAGCTGGGGCGAACATGACTGGCTTGACCATATTATCAATCCAGTACTGAGGACTCAAGTTCTCACGCTTCATAGGCGCAGCGTTAACCTTAGTACTTGAGAACCACAGAGGGCGCTGCTCAGAAGCGACGTCTTCATCGAAGCGGACACCGCTTCTCTGAAGAGCCTCAAGATACGGACCGGCCGCCGCCTGCATGTGACTAGAGTGATACGCTGTATCAACTTTAAGTCGTCTCGCAAATTTGCCTTCGTCTTGGAAGACAGCGATAGCCTCTTCAATAGCATCCTCATCACCAGAGAGAGTGACGCTAGAGGGAGCATTGACAGCTGCAACGGTGATGCGACCAGCGTTGTCTTCAAGGGCGCAAAACTCAAGTGCGTCGGCTTCGTCTGTTCCAACTGCTGCCATAGCGCCCTTGATCTCGTTGGAAGACGGTGAAGCAGCGAGTTTGGCATAGCGTCCGCGGTAGTAAGCTGTTACGATTGCCGCGCGACGGGTCATAAAGCCAGCGGCGTACGCTGCCGCGATCTCACCAGAAGAGTGGCCGACTACAGCGCTGAGCTGGATGCCTGCCAATTCTCGGATGAGATCAACGAGGAGGACTTGAACAGCAGTGCAGAGGGGCTGTGAGATGGCGGCCTCGGCGACGCGACTAGTCTCCTTGAAGGCGAGTAACTCCGACTCTAGTGTGAAGTTGGGTGCGTCTGGAGCGGGAAGCTCAGCAAGAAAGCCGTCAAGCTCAGCGATCTTACCACGTGCCCAAGCAGATGACTCAAGAAGTATGGCGCCCATGCGAGGCCATTGAGCGCCCTGCCCGCTGAAGACACCAAGAATCTTAGGTGCAGCGACACTTGAGGATCGGTGGAGCTTGTGCGTCGAGTCAGTCAGACGCTCAATCTCAGCAAGAATAGCACTTCTGGCAGCCTCTTGAGGATTTCCAGAAGCGCCTGGAACAACGACGCTACTCCTGTAAGGTAGTGTTGAGCGTCGGTTGTATAAGGTCCAAGCTAGATCGGACATGTTTGTCTCATATCGCTCTTCCAAGAAGCTCAAATATGACGAGAGAGCTTCTCTGAGAGCCTTTTCGCTGTTGGTAGAGAACAAAAGTGGTGTGTACAGACGAGGAGACTCTACTTCAGTTGCCGCTACTGCCTGGCTGTGAAGAGCAGGCTCGTAGCTCTCCAAGATTGCATGAGCATTGGTACCACCAAAGCCTACAAGTAATCAGCTAATGTCAAAATTGGATGATTGTGCTGAGACTCTTACCGAAGCTGTTGATACTAGCACGTTTGACACTTCCATGTACAGAAGGCCAGGCCTTTGCAGTAGTCGGAACTTCAAGATTGCTGTAGAATGGCTCAATGTCAGGGTTGAGCGTCTCAAAGTGCATGTTCGGGGGCACAGTAGCATTCTTCATCGCCATCATGGTCCCAACCAGACTTGCAAGGCCCGCCGTGCCCTCCGTGTGACCAATCTGGGTCTTGATGGAAACGACGTAGAGTTTCTCATCATAAGATTGGTCTTCGCTGAAGAATGCTTTGGAAATGGCCTCAGCTTCTTTAGGATCTCCGGCTTTGGTACCTGTCCCGTGGGCATGGAAGAGCTGGGGACGATCTGAGGGCTTGGTGATGTCTAGACCAGCGCGTTGGTAGACATCATGGATGAGAGCTGTTTGAGCAGTATTGCTAGGTACAGTCAAACCTGGTGTTTTGCCGTCCTAGAATGATTAGTAGTTATCTCATGCGCAGAGCCACCCGTCACTTACTTGGTTCACGCCAGTCTCGCGGATGATGCACTCAATAGGATCTCCATCCGCGAGAGCCTGACTAAGCGTCTTCAAAATAACCGAGGCAAATCCTTCACCTCTAGCATACCCATCAGCGTTAGCATCCCACATACGACTTCGACCCGTAGGAGAAATCATGCGCAGCTTGCTTTCGCAGATGTACATGCCGGGAAGCAAGATGAGATTTGCACCTGCAGCAACTGCAACGTTGGACTCGCCGCTACGCAGAGTCCTGACTGCTTCGTGCACTGCAACCAGACTTGAGCTGCATGCTGTAGATCATTTTTAGCTTGTGGGGTTTGTAGATCAGAGATGGAGAAACTAACCTGTGTCGATGCTCATGGAGGGACCGTGCCAGTCAAACTGGGTCGTTCATGTTAGTTCTGCACAAGTGCCGTAGCGTTTCACTTACTGTTACGACGTTAGCAATTGAGATCTGAGATTTAGGAAGTTACTTACCAAAGTATGATACACGATTGGACATGACAGCGCGAGAAACGCCAGTGCCCATGTAGGTGGGAATGTCGTCCCAGTCTTTGGCAAGCATTTGAGCCCTGTATCATGCATTGTCAGTAACATATTGAAAGTGCAGGTATATGATCTGAGTACGCACCAGTCGTCACACATTTGTCCCACAAATACTGATGTCTGCATGTCAAGATCGGTCAGTTCTGTAACAAGAGATATGATCTGTAGTGTTGCTTTCGAAACTTACATCTGAGCCTTTCAAGTCCTCCATCGCCCTGCATATTGTCAGTGACTATCTCCCCAGAAACACCCGGTGTAACTCACAAACCAGCATCAACAACAGAGTCATAAACGGTCTCCAGCAACAATCTCTGCTGAGGATCCATAGCCTCAGCCTCCATGGGCTGAATGCCAAAGAAGCCATTATCAAACTTTGTAACATCCTCATCTAGGAAGTAACTCTGCGTAACATTGGTAGTACCATGATGCGTCGGATCAGCGTGGTAGAAAGAGTCCACATTAAAACGAGCCGGCGGCACCTTCTGCAGGACATCTCGGGATGAGCACACCAGATCCCAAAGCTTGGAAGGTGTGTTACAACCGCCGGGAAAACGACACGCAGTGCCAATCACCGCAATGGGTTCATTAGTCTTTGAGAATTTTGTCATTGTAAAAGATAGTAGTGTTTCAAGGAATTCTCAAAGGCAAAAAAGTAAGGGGGTTCACTAAGTTCAGCTTGTTACGGCTAACTGTGGCGTTGACTTTATAAGATAGTGGGTGGGAAGACAGAACCTCAGGACTTCACTTGTTTTGCTAACAGATGGGAAATCTACTCGATGCTCTATCACGGCTACATCCTAGATGGGAATGGGATTCCAGGGGCTCGACCATCAAGGATTCTGAACAGCTTCTCCACTCCGCCTTCACAGCCGCTCTCACTTACCGGATGAACAGTTCGTTTCCCGGTCCCGATAATCCTACTGCCACGCTCGGCTACCGGCTCAAAACTCTTGGGATTCAGCCCTCAGTGTGTATGATATCACGGTCCTTTGCAACTCTGCAACTGTAAGCTTATCAAAGAAAGCGGAGAAGATTGGTCATTGGAGTTGACTTGTCAATAATTGGTGATGAATGTTGCAGAAGGATTGTGGTGAGGTTTCAGGAGTGGCGTCTTGGAGAGATACTCTTGAGCCAAGTATAGAGATGTTTTCGAATGATGATCCGATTATTGGTGGAATAGGGTTTATGGAGTGCTGATGTGATCCGAAGGATGGGCAAGGTTCATGCAGGTGTTTGTCATATCAATGGCATGCGTGAGTGAATCGGGTTGAAAGAGATAATGGCCTGATATCTGTAAATAAGAGGTGCAGCATGATGAAGTCGCTGACTTTGATATGTGTAAGCTTGTTACATAAGGCTTGATATATGCAGGTCATATAATAGCTATTACTTATTGGATTTATTACTATTCAAGTATAAAAATTTAAAATTTAAAAAATTATATAAAGATTTTATTAAAAATGTTTTAAAAATGTTTTATAGTTAAGATAAATATTTTTTTAAATATTAATAAGTCTTTTATAAAAGTATTAAATTATAAAAAATATATATAGGTTTTAGCCTTTAAGGGGTTTCTTTTTATTAGTAACTAATTATAATAATATAATTACTACTTAATAATACTTATTATAACCCTCTTATAAGCCTTTAAGGGCAGTGCTTAATTCACACCAGGAGCAAACAGTCCCACATATGATAACAAGGGTCCTGCATCTCTAACCGCCTTGCATCATCCCACTCATCCACTCGCCATTCGTGCTCAATTTCTCCATATCAACTCCAGCATTCAGCTCCTTCAGATGCAACAATCATCAGCCAAGCTATCAATCTAGATTCCTTCTCTAGTCAAACCTGCCTACACCCTCAAATGGTGTGATATCAACAACAACCTGCATACGTCTTACCAGGATGCTGGCATCTAAACAAGTTAAATAGAGCATCTATTTCGACTCTTCGCTAACAGGGCCCAAGCAGGCAACGACAAACAATGGAGCCAATCGCCATCCCCAAGACGCAGCGTGCTCTTATCGGCACCGAGCGTGATACCCTCGAACTGACAGACACTGCGCCGGTTCCTACCCCTGGAAAGGGATGGGTACTGGTAAGAAACGTGGCGGTGGGCCTCAACCCCATTGACACTAAGCTTACAAGCGGATATACCGTCCATGGAGCAATTGGCGGCTTTGACTGTGCTGGTAAAGTCATTGCTCTTGGTCCAGACTCCTCAGACAGTCCTCTTAAAATAGGCGATGAGGTAGGAATCATGGTGCTTGGCATGAACCGTTCCATGCCGGACGTGGGAGCGTATTCCCAGTACACTCTCGCTCAGGAGGATTTCATCCTTCGCAAGCCACCCGGGTACTCCCTTGCTGACATGGCGTCTCTCGGCACTGTCTTCATGGCTGCAGGCCTTGCCATGAGGCGGCTTGAGCTCCCCGGGACACCCCTGCAGCCCTCGCCAACACCCCACTACGTGCTCGTCTACGGGGGTGGGACAGCAACAGGCACCATCTTCTGCCAGTTGACGCGTCTGGCTGGTCTTCTGCCAATTGCTGTATGTTCCCCCAACAGCTACGAACTCGCCAAGAAGTCCCAAGCCGTTGAGTGCTTTGACTATCGCGATCCCGACGCTTCCGTGGACGCAATCAAGAGGCTCACCAAGAACGGACTCAAATACGCCTTTGACTGCATTGGCTCGGTTGACTCAGCGCGGTTTTGCTTCCGAGCAATCGGCCGAATGGGTGGTCACTACGAGACGGTGCATGTCCCCCACGAAGCCATCACGCGAACGAGAAAGACGGTTAAGTCGGGATTTACGTATGGGCTTGAGATGGCGGGGTTGGACATCGACATGCCTCCGCCTCATGGCCGGCCTGGTAATCCCGAGCTGAGAAAGTTTGGTGTCGATCTTGCGCGGATGCTGGAGGGGTTGCTCCGCGATGGTAAGATCGTTCCGCATCCTGTCCAGGTGAGGGAGGGTGGATTGGAGGGCGCCCTACAGGGCTTAGAGGAGATCAAGGCGGGGACTGTTCGGGGGCATAAGTTAGTTTACTTACTTTAGACAGCGATTGTTGGAGTGCTTCAACATGGTAGTCACGGAGGTAGTGAAAGCAGTATTATTGAACATTGTTTCGTAATTCTGCCCTTGATTACACCATGTCAAATCATGAATAAAATGTCATATCTCATGTTTCTTTTTCCTTCTTGAAGGAATGTCCTACCCTGCAATTGATCAGACCACTTTCATGATCCCTGCTCCACAGATGTTTGGTTGGTCCATACCCAATTTACGTCAGGACAATCGGTGTCTTTCTTGGTTCCGTGTCAGATTTCGTGTAATGAGTTCTTTTCCTTTTCGGAAACAATTTCCATGTTTCTTAGCCCCGCGGCTCTACAGATTGACTATTGATCTTTTCCCTTCGCGCAGCCACCGTGGTCAGCTCGACTGCATCACACACAGCGCTTCAACATGATGTTCCTGAAACGAAACAAGCCTCCCAACGAGGATGAGCACCATGTTGTTCATGATGCGAGAGCTACTGCGGAGGAAGAGGCTGCCATTGACTACCCTCACGGTATGAAGCTCGCTCTAATCATGACATCAGCTTATCTGAGCATGTTTTTGGTTGCTCTGGTACGCGAAGACCCCCTTCAAAAGTCCCAATTACTCGCAAAATTGTCCTCAGTACAATAATGGCAAAGGCTAATGGATCGATTCTCTACAGGATCGATTAATCGTCTCGACCGCCATTCCAAAAATTACAGACGAGTTCCGCGCCGTTGCCGATGTCGGCTGGTATGCATCTGCATACTTCATGACAACATGCGCATTTCAGCTCATGTTCGGCCGACTATACACATTCTTCAGCGTCAAGATCATCTTTCTAATCAGCATCTTGATCTTTGAAGTTGGTTCAGCAGTTTGTGGCGCTGCACCATCTTCCACTGCGCTTATCGTTGGTCGCGCAATTGCTGGCGTTGGAAGTGCTGGGATTTATGCCGGTGCTGTTATCGTGACGGTGTACTGTATCCCTTTGGAGAAGAGAACTCCTTACCAGGCTGTTGTTGCTGCCATATTTGGTGTCACCAGCGTTTTAGGTCCTCTACTAGGAGGTGCATTTACAGATTCTTCAGCGACGTGGAGATGGTGCTGTGAGTTCAACCGTCTGAAAGAACTAAAGGCGTTGCTAATCGAAGGTCTAGTTTACATCAATTTACCCATCGGGGCTGTTGCTGCCGCCCTTCTCGCGTTCCTACTTCAGGTCCCCGATCGCGCAACTGCTCGCCTTCCCCTCAAAGAAAAGCTCCTTCGTCTCGATGGCCCAGGATGCGTTATGCTTCTCGGCGGTATCATTAGTCTTCTTACTGCTCTTCGATGGGGAGGTACAAAATACCCATGGTCCAACGGTCGCATCATCGCACTTTTTGTTGTTACTGGCGTCTGCCTTATCGCCTTTGTCGCCATTCAGATCCTGTTTCCGAATCACGCAACTGTACCGCCGCATATCTTTACTCAACGCAGCATCGCAGCCTCATCTTTCTCCATGTTCTGTACTGGAGCTACGATGATGACAACACTATACTACCTTCCCATCTGGTTCCAAGCTATCAAGGGCGTCAGTGCTGTTCAATCAGGCATTCGCCTTCTGCCCACTGTCGTCGCTCAAGTAATTGCGTCGTTTGTTAGTGCTGGTGGTGTTCAAATTATTGGACAGTATATGCCTTTCATGCTCGTTGGCAACGCCATCATGTGTGTCGGTACCGGACTTCTCACTTTACTCAAAGTTCATACGAGCAGTGGAGAGTGGATTGGCTACCAAATCCCCTACGGTTTTGGTTTAGGCATCACCCTCCAGATCCCTCTGGTCGCATCACAAACTGTACTGCCTTTGGAGGACGTCCCGACAGGCACGTCTGTCCTGATTTTCTGTCAACTCTTGGGGGGTGCCATCTTTGTCAGCGTTGGACAAAATCTCTTCACAAATGAACTGGTACGAAGAATCAGTGTTATCCCTGGTGTTGATGTATTCAATCTTCAACAAGAAGGTGCTACCAGAATTTTGGATGGCTTGAGTGAGTCAACGAAACGGCTTGTTCTTGTTGCCTACAACTCTTCTTTACGGCAGGCCTTCCTTTGTGGACTCATTCTCTCCTGTATAGGCTACCTGGGGGCTGTTTGTATGGAGTGGAGGAGTATCAAGCAGAATAAGCCAAAAGAGGAGACACCAGGGACTGAAAGCACAGAGACGAAAGAGACAGCAGGGGAACCAGTTGCCGAGAATGCCAACACGAATGGCAATAGTAGAGCATGAGATCAGATACGGAAAAGCGGCATTAAAATGGTACATTAGAAAAGAACTTTGGGTTCCAGCTATTGAATGAAACTTGATGACAGTACAGTTGACCACTGCTTACCCGGTACTGAGTGCTTTTCTGCCCGGACATTACTTGAGTAGAGTTTACACTAAATACGCCATAAAAATAAGCTACATGACTCGAATTGGGCTACTCATAGCGCTCCCGAGTAGTGCCCGTGTGCCAAGTTTTTCCGACTCCCCGTTGTATCCTTGTCAATTACGAAATCGAATCAGTCGGCTGAATCCTTCCACCGTTACCCTACACATTATCTGCCGCGACCTTGCTTCTAGAGTACTCTCAGGGAACAAGAAAACTTCAAACCTAAAGTTAGGGTGATGAATAAACCAGCCTAAAGACCCGCTAAGTTTATAATATATTTACCTAAGTCTTTTTGTCACTTAGAACAGAGGTCTTAAGTTTTTTGCCTCCCCTCAAGTAACTGTCAGTTTCACATGGAAAGATCCACATGGGGTACTATGTGTGGTATTTCGTGAATCCCATGCAGTTTTGTCAGATGCGTGTAAGCACATTTTCTTGGCGGCATTGGCGACTGTAACGTCCTTGATGGACTGCCAAGACGTGATTATTTGGATCTTACTTTGCTGCCCGATGAGGTTCGGGAGAAGAGATACAATAGTTTACAAGTTCCAAGTTTGATATGGCAATGTTGATTGAGGTTGACAAGCATGTTAGCTTGCTACTTCCTAGACCAATTCATGGCCAACAAGGCATCACTTGCACATGCCCCTAAGATACGATGTGATAAGTCAAGAAACATAGTCTTAGCCAAAAGTGGAAGTGGACAAACTCTATTTCTTGGAAAGGTACTTAGTCTTTCCCTCTATCTAGTCAACTACTCTCTGTATACTGCAACCTGGCATCCATTCTTATTCAACTGCCCAATACGGAAAACACCAACAAACGGCGTCGGATCCCTACACTCCAACCTCTTGTAAGTCTGCGCCATACGAGCAACCATGTATCCACACTCATTCATCGTCATCATCTCACCAGGACATCGTCTTGGCCCAGTGTTGTACGGCGTAAGGCTCAGCCCCGGACGCATCTTATCAAAGCGGTCCGGATTAAACTCCAAGGCATCATCGCCCCAGTAGTCTGGGTCTTTGTACATGACTGCCTTGTTGATCTGCACAATGTTACCCTTGCGCACACGCACGGGCTGGTCGCCTTTTGGACCGCCGCCTCGCGGGAGGGTCGTGTCGCGAACTGCTGCGCGCGCGATGAAGAGACCGACTGGGGTGATGCGATGAGCTTCTGTAAGAACGTTCTGTAAAAGCTTCATGCTGCGGAGACTGTTGAAGTTCAATTCCTTGCCCTTCACTTCTTCACGAAGCCGTTCCCAGATTTCAGGCTGTCTGGCCAAATTCCACATCACATTGGACAGGAAAATTAGAGTAGTCTCATTGTTGGGTACAAAGAGCAGGCAGAGATGAGATCTGACTTCATCGTCATTCGGTAGCTCCCGAACCATGTGCCAGCAGACATCCCGTCTCTCCGGCCCAACAGGAAGACCCTTGCTGATGCGCTCTTCACGCTCTTTGAGTTCAGCACGGGCCTTGGCAATATGCTTGTTGACATAACTGTGAATCGTGCCAACAACCTTGTACCACGTCTTCCATGGGAAGAGCCAGAGAACGCGGTGCAAGAGAAGACGGATTCGTGCATATGCCAAACCAGTGATGAAAGCATCAGTTGTTTCATTGGTCTCTTCCTCAGTAACAATATCAGAATAATCGCCGAAAAGGAACTGAAGATTGAGATTCAATGACCAAGTCCTCAGATGGGGAAACATATCAAAGGTCTCGCCATCAGCAGGAATGCCCGCAAAGAATCTCTCGGCGAAAGGCTCCATGCGCTCACAATTGGCGTACCACTCTCGCATGAAGAATGGTTTGACAAGAGCACGCGCAAACTCCCAGTCTTTGCCATCAGCGCCGACAATACCCTTCTCAGCGAAGGGTTGTCCAGCTTTGCTGTTGTAGCGAATTGGACCGACTTGAAAATCTGCAAGATTGTTCGCAACAGTCTTGAGGTTCTCTGGTTCAATAGTCCAAATCTGACGTCCACCGAGGAACGTAAGAGCGAACGTCTTGGGCATCTTGGCGTGCAAGCTGTCAAGCCATGGGACGTAGCGGTTGTTCTTCAAAGCTAGTAGCATAGCGATGAAGGCGTCAACGCCATAGAATGGATCCCACTGCCACAGAGTTGGAACGTGGCCGAAGCCCATTGACCTTTCTTGCTGCCTTTCAGCGACATACTTGATGAAGGACGTGAAGGCGAGGACAGCAACAGTGGAAGATAAGATAACGGGTATAGATGTGAAGTCAACCCGAGAAGGGATATCAGCAACAAAGCCTGGTATGTCTGTAAAAAGACCAGGTAAATCGGCGATAAAGCCTGTAGAGTTTGACATATTGTCTTGTTCTGCCTCTAGTCTTGGACATAGAAGCTCAGTTGTGCGAAAGTCATACTGATTCAAACTCTGGTAGAGCTTCACATATGTAATGCCTTATTCACAACTGGTCGTCCATATCGCCTGATTCTCTCAAAGGCTGACTGAAGAAGATACAAACAGTGAAAGTACCTTTCCTCATTTTCCTGCACGATTATCATCTTCTCATGCACGCAGCTACCAGGGAGGAGCTGACCCTCGCCCACTTCACGTCTGGGCATCTCACCTCTTCCCGCGTTTATCAGCCGTGATCATACCATCATTACGCAAGCCCAGTTTCCTCACAATCCCATCACAATCCTTCCAACTCAATCAACGAGAATCCTTCTGCCTCGCCCCCAAGAACAATGGCGATTGGCCCTGTTAACGCAGGAACGAATCCCAGTTATTTACGCCGTAATCTCGCATGTAGGAATCTGTATCAGACAATGTGCCGTCATGCAAGATTATAAGCGCACGTTGACAACATCAGATCATATGCGCGGATTTATCTAAGCGAGTGTCAGATCATGCTTGCGTTAATGAAAAGCTTCCAAGCCCCCCTTGAGTGCCGTCTTGCCGGTAACCCAGAAATGCACAGTCGTGTATGTACATAAGACAGATGCAACCCAAGAAACTGTGGAGTGGGTTGTATCAGATATGGGCCGTCCCGCTTGTAGGCCGGGAATAGTTCTCGTGGGAGGGATGAGAGGATAAGGTTATATACACACCGTAAGCTAAGAATGCCTGGAAATTAAGGACACTGTTTTATGAGATGGGTATAAAATAGATTACTAATATTATAATAGAAGTAAGGGTATTTATATTTTATTTTAAGTATTAATATTAAAAAATTTTTATATTAAATTTATAATACTTTATTAACTTTTTATATTTTAAAATTAAATTTTAGCATTTATTAATAAATAAAATTAAAATAAAATAATAAAATATTATAATAGTATTTTACTATTTACTTTTTAATTATATATATTATATATATATAAAATACCTAATAATAAGTTTAATTTTATACTTAATAATAATACTTTAATATATTTAAAGGTTTTAGAGAAATTTAATAATAATATTTACTTTAATAGGAATAAAAAACTACTATAGTTATATGCATTTCAAGCCAGAACCCCCTTATCAGGCATTTTAAAGGCCGTTATACTATAAGAGCTCACAGCAGAACATCCAACAGCACTCACTCCAGTAAAGCAGCCCCATTGCCATCATATCATCCAGCATTGTTACATACCCATCATGCCCCAATACGCCGCCACAGCGAGGACCCTCTCCAGAGCCCCTCTTGCAGGAAAGGCCTTTTCCCCCGCCCTCCCAACTCTTGGTAGGGCAGCACCCCCATACCAGTCCAAGTGGAAGCGAACTGCTCCTGTGCCGCTTTCGGGAGAGAACTTCCTCGATGTTCTGTTTAACCGGACACCGGTCATCAAGCAGTCTGGCTTCCTTGGCCGTGAGGAATGCTTTGCTCATGAGGAGGCGTTGAGCCATAGGATCGCACCGTATAGATATTACACTGGACCTCTTCTGCAGAGGGTTGGTTGTGCACAGTTTGAGTACCAGGCGCAAGCTGCTGCCGACTTTGAGAACCGCAAGAATGGTATGTGCCATCCTATTTCTTCTATTATGTAGGGTGATCTAACAGTATCCGTTGATAGAAAAGGAAGAGTACTTCAAGGTTGCACAGTCTCTGAGTGGTCTTCATCAAGAAGTTGCAGACCAGACGGGAGTCAATGCCTGGGAGAAGGTCATAGGAACTCTTCGCGCACTCCTGCCAGACTATGAGATTGTTCGTGCTTCAGAAGGACCAGGGAAGACATACTTCTCAGGCAACTTCCGCGCTTTGAACGATTCCACTTGTCTTCATTGCGACTGGACCCCATATGATGCCGCTACTGAGGACTGGATCATTAACCAGGTAAGCCCTCACCTTGTCAACAGTCTTCATGATGACGCTTGTATCTTTCAGAATATTCACACAGCTAACCCGCTCTTCAGGTCACTCACCAGGCCGTTTTCAACTTGTACATGGCACCCGTGAAAGGTGGCAGGACCTGGGTCCACGATGTTGAGTGGAGTGAAGAGTGCCTCAACTTTAGAGATCCTGATACCTACGGCTATCGTGATGAGATTATCCATGGCCGCCAGAACGTCGTAGTAAAGCCGGAGGTTGGTGATCTGTGGTTTTTCAACTCAAGGAATATGCATCAGGTTGAAAAGGTCGAACCGGAGCCTTGTCCCGAGCTTGGCCTTCCGTACAGACCACGACTATGCTTTAGCAGCTTTATTGGACTTCTACCCGAGCACAAGACTGGCGGTCGTCCTCGATTGATACTGTGGTCATGAAAGCTTGCAGTAGGGAGTTAGTTGAGAAATTGGTAGAATTCGGATTATTTAATTGGTAAACCGTCTTGCTCGACGTATACACTCATGCATCTAACATGGCTATAGCATGCTTCTAAGCTAAGAATAACTGCTTCGTAGCTCTTATAGAAACGATACAACCCGCGTCTCTAGTCTTACATGATCTAAGCCCGGCTTCATGCTCCAAGACCGACACTGCGAGGCATCTGTTCGAACTCTTCCACTGCCACTAATGCCTCCGACATCTTGGCACAAATCTCATTTGGATCTTCAAGCCCAACGTTGATCCGGAGAATATGCTTCGGAAGCTCGTACTTCTCCAATTTCTCCTGCAACTGGTATGCAGCCAGCTGGACAAAGGGAATCACAAGAGTGAAGTTTGTTCCAAAGCTCGAGCCTTTGCAGACATCCAACTTGTCATAAAACAGCTGAGCAGACTCCGGCTTGTGAAATACCACACTCAAGACATTGCCATATCCTCCATTTTGTCGGCGGTGCCTTTCGTAGTTCTGGAAGGTCGCACCTCGAGATGGATAGTTGACCTTAGCGACTAAAGGGTGCTTTTCGAAAAGATCTACGACGATCAAGGTATTTGCATTGGCTTTCTTCACCCTTTCAACCATGTTGACTGAGTTTTGCTTGAGGACCGCGATGTCCTTGGGGAAGCACGACACAACTTGACACCGCCAACTAAGGCTAGAGTGTATCTCCGAATAGTGACGAGAATTAGGATTGACGATGACGCTATGCCAGGGCTTGTGTCAGCAGTCAGTGCTATCGTGCCTGAGAGTTTGCTATGTCATCACAGACCTTCCTCCTGTCACGTTTGCTGCTCCGCTGAACATCTTGGTCAAACTCGTCGTGATGATATCCACGTAGGGCAGGAGGTCAACGTTGACAAAGTTACCAACTGTTTCATCGCAAATAATGATGAGGTCATACTCGTCTGCCAACTCTCGAATCCTTTGGAGGTTGGGTGAAGTGAACTTAATGTTACTCGGCAGCTCACAGAAGACAGCGATGATCTGCTTGTCATTAGGCTTCAACATAGACTCAAGATGGTCTAAATCCTCTTCACTGCCCATTTTGAAGTCTATGAAGTTTTCCCAGGACCCACCACGAAGATTGTTGATTGTCTCAGGGTAGATCCAGCTATAAGAAAAACGGTTATCAAGAATTTCTTTCCATTACGGAGGTATCGTAGCTCACCCGTATGCAACAACGCCGCTCTTTGGATTGTTAACCGCGATTGCTTCAGCAGCGTTATAAATTGCGTTCATCCCATTGGGAAAAACAAATACATCTCCGGCTTCGACACACTTCAGACCAGACCTCTCAGAAGTAGCCAAGCGAGCAATGTGGGCTTTTAGGTCTTCAAGGTCTCTTGGGCCGCGCTGAATCCACGCTTCGGATGATGGATCGCGGGAGGGTATCGCTGTAGCCACTGTTTTGAACTCATCCACAGGGGACTTCGAGATGAGTTCGTCAAAATGCTTCAAGCAGTATTCGGCGTGACGCGTGGTAATGCCGGTGCCGAAGTTCACCCAAAAGCTCATTGCATGTTCCTTCAAATTGGAAGGAAGTAGTAGCGCTGAGAAAGAAAGTTGATCGTCCCCATTTTCTGAGCTTACTGGTCCTGGTGAGGAGAAGCGGACGTGATGCACTTCAGCGCTCTTTTCCCGCAACATTACGGCGTAGTCGTTGGCGTCATCAGGAGACGGAAAGATAAAGCAGACCAGATCATTCGAATTGACTTTCAACCGTTGTTTGACACGTATAATGAGGGATCGGATAGGCTTGCCAATGAAGAACCTTTTTGATAGCGTCAGATGTGAACAAGAAGCTTTGTGGCGGGGTCTCATAAGCCACATACCGAGGGTAGCCGTAGTCAATTCTTTCGAAAATCGTCTTGTCTTCGGTCGAAAGGCCAACGACGGACTCCCAGGTTGGGAGCGAAGAGCTAACTGCCTAGGAAGTGTCAGCATCGGTGCCGGCCAGTATCGAGGGCACTTGCATGAGGTGCGTCCGATGGAAAAACATTCCCTTGATCCAAGGGGAGAGCTCGAAGGGAGTTGGGGTAGACCCAATTCTCGCGACCATCAGTCTCATCCATCGTGCTGAGAGGTGTAGTCTGCGATTCGATTGACTGTAGGGTCGCGACGTGACCAGTGATAGAATATAAGGCAGCTAAGAGTACTTGTGAACGGAAGAGACCCTCCTTGTACAACTGGATAAAACTAGGGCCTCGCAAGCGGCGACAATAATGGTCGCTTGCGAAAAGGCTTTGGAACGAATCGTTGGAATCGATCCTATTCAATTACGTTTTGTATCACGATGATGGAGGGGCAGCGTAACATTCTGCTTCAATCTCCTCTCATGTCAGACTTTGGACTTTCCCCAGTTGTGATTTCCTTCTGAATTCTCGTTATCCGACGCTTTTTGGAAAGACCAATTAACCTAAAGATGTCTAAATCTCGTTCCTGACCTCAATTCCTCTGGATCATCATTGTACCTTCCCATGTCTTCATGTCTCGTTTGAGGAGACTGCAGCCTGTAAGTCCTACTTGCTATAAGTTGTATGTTTATTTTTACCACAGTTGGTTTGCTACAGGTCCCGTCCTGTTACATGTGTGAATAATACCACTAAACGTGATATCCTGTGTGGGGTCCTTTCTCGCAATTTAGAAACAGGTGCGCACTTCTCCTTTATGACCTTCATATACCTAGAGCCTCACACTCTTTCATCACTTACGATAGTGATCCTCTCGACGTTTCTAAACGGATATTTTGTTATGACTTGGAATACGATTATCAGTACGAGGAAGAGTGGTCAACAAACCGGATAACCTTTCGGCCTGTCCCACTAAGCTCAAACCCAAGGACATCATTCACAAAGGTCATCTTGAACTTGTGCGCATTCAAAGCACTGACATCTAGACAGGCCTTCAGACGGTCCAAAAGTGTCTGCAAGTGCTCCGTATCGCCTGGCCCCTGACTGTTCAGTACACGAACCTCTAACGAAATTTCTTGTGACGGCTGCATCTTGTCGAGTATCACCTGCCACAAGAGAACTCCCAACTGAGGATCTGATAAGACCGTATTAAGATTGTCGAATTGAAAGTCACATCCATCCCACATAAAACTGAAACGATGGTCGCGACCCCGCAGGCGAAGAACGCGATAATGACGCAGATCGTGTTTGGCAATGCGTCCAACGGCCATTTGTGGTAAAGGATGAAGGGATCCTATGTCGCCAGTTATGTATCGTATTACGGGATGGCGCAGACGTGTCAGAACAGTTTGTGCAATGACACCTGTTTCTCCATCTGGTAGTCGTTCAGGAATCCAATCACTTTCGCCAACGCTGCAAGAGAGCGGGAAAATCTCCATCATTGTCATTCGTGTATCGATGATGAAGTCGTTATAGTTCGAGTAGGGGTCGAGGTCCACGAGAAATGGACTGCTTGCTCCATAAGGCCCCGCCTCTGCGCTGCCGAGTATGGAGTATATGAGTACCGGGCCCAGTACTTTATAGATCTGAGCCCTTTGCATCATGGAAAGCCCCTCGGACGTATAGATCACCTTCCTAATCCTGATGCTCTTCTTCCTGTCTGGCATGGCCGATATATGGTGAACAATAGATATGATCTGACTGCTGTCGCCAGCGAGGACGTTGACGTTGAAGTCTTGCAGTATCTGTGCCACAGTAGCAGGTGGACAGTGGTGCCCAGCAGCTAGCACAGATGCTCCAGCATTCTCCAGGATCTCCAGCGCTAGGTCGAGGGATCTAGGAGTATGTAAGCGGCATGACTTCTTTAACGGCAACTTGTCTACATACCTGTACAAGCTGCCGCCGTGATGGGTCGACAGGACCCAGTCCCCACGCTCAATGATGCCGAGCTTCTTTAGGAACTCGCCAAAGAGGGTTCTATGCCGGCGATTCTCAAGCGCATCTGTCGCGAAGAACAAAGGTTTCAAGACACCGCCTCCTCCGCCTGTAACGCTGGTGTAGACATTGTGGCGATACGTGTTCTCCGGGTCGGTGTCATTGATAAGTCGTTCAATTACGGTATATCTGATACTATAAGATACTGTCCCTGAGGAATGCAGGACACTTACAAATCCTTTTTCCGAAGCAGTGGCCATGACTTGAGATCAGGTTGTTCTAACTTCAATCCAGCTTTCTCTCTCGCATCCTGGATGATATCTTCATCTGGAGGATACTGAGCTGCACAGTAAAACGGGTGCATTCGTGCGACAGCAAGCACGTCTGCCAATGAATATGTCGGGCTAGGAGACATTCTGATGAGCACCAATTGTCTGGGTCAAGATAGGATCTGAAGTCCGACCGCAGTATTACAATTCTTTAAACATGCACAGGATTTAAGCGAATATTAGTCTTGAAGGCAGTGATCGAGAAGTTCGAACGCCTGACTTACGATAGCATCGGTTAAAGTTGCCTTGAAAGTCTATGTGCGGTTGACATGGCTTGAGCTGTCAGATGTCTCGGAAGAGTCCTGCCCGAGACACGGCTGAGCCTGCATATCTGCCATTTTCTGGTCTGGCATTGGGACATTCGCGGATACCCAACGGCCCCCGAGAACCACTCGACTTGTGCATGCCTTGTGTTACCATAAGCAAAGGAAATCAACGTAAAAGCGGCGAAGCTATGCGGAGAACTGGCCGAAATTTCCCGAGAGGCTGAAAACATGAAATTTAATTGGCACTACAACAGACTATGTTTACATACTTGAGCCAGAGGCAAACTCGGCTCGCACACAATCTGCCTGACTTCACTGTCGGATCTCAAGTTAGTCTCTTCGCATACCGCGGTTAAGTATAGCAACAAGGTTCTTATTCAAGATTGAGTAATTCACACTGCTCTGTTCGCTCGCTGGGTTCACTATGCCTCTCCCCGTTCTAGACATCTTGATTGGAGATATTGAATGGTCTTGCATCCCATCTCACTCTCCGAAGGTGGCGCTCTGGATCCTTGATTTCATTCCGCGCGTGCATCCATCGGCGGTTATCCATCAAGATGATCGACCCCTTTGGTAGGTCGGAAGACCTGAGATGCATCGTCGAGTACACCTGTACTTCACGCCGCATCAATACTGCTCTCAGCTCTTCCAATGCCTCTTCAGCCCGGGTGGTCAGTGGAGTAATAGTGTCGCCTCTGTAGCGAATAATGGTCGAATGGAGATCTGGCGCGAGAATACTGCCAGTAATAAATGACTTTGTGGGGTCCTTGTTGAACTCGAGTGGTATTTCGATCCGGAAGTCGGGTGCCATCAAGGCTCTTCGTGCTTCCGGCGACAGAAACTCAATGAGCGTAGCGACATTCATCGCAGATAGTGTTCCCCCTCCATACCGATCATGCTGTAGAACCTGGAGCGCGAAGTATCTCGGCAGTGGATCCTCATAGCTGCAGTCGGTGTGCCATGAGAATTCACTCATAGTTTCGGATCGGGCCTGATGAGCTCCTGCATGAGAGGCTGACTTGGGCCGCACATCCCAAAACCAACCTCGTGTTACACTGTGAGAGATGGGCAAACAATGATCATGGTGTTTGTGTAAACTAAGAACAAGTTCCTTGAGGTAGTCGCTGGAGTCGTCCGGAAAGCCCAGACGAATCTGGAGTATGCCGGTAGTCTCAAGTTCCGATGCAACTTGGTCAACATGTCTAGGATCACGAGCCCAGTCGATATGCGGTGCATCAAGAACCCGAAGACGATGCTGCAAAGCTATTGTTCCATGGCAACGAATCGAATGGTGAGGACAGATCGGTCCAAGGAAGCCGAATCTTGTAAGACGTGAAAGTCCGTGCATGCTGGTAAACGACGTGGCAGGATAGTTGATGGAACAAGAACTCAAAATAACAAGACCGTTCGAGGAATTTGAGTTTATTATCGACCTTAACCGAAGTACGTACCCGAAGAGCCTATCTGTAACTCTAGCTGGACTTTACTATACTATGGCTGCCCGCATTTCGACACCACTGCCGCAGTCATTGTGGCTTTCCTGTCTGAAAGACAAGTTACATCCACGATGATCTTGGACTTGGCAGTGGATGGTTAAAGATGAAAGCCATTTCTGTCCACAAGAGGTCCCCTCCTTGAGCATAAATAGCCTCAAGCGATGGCATCCACCGTCTTGATAATTTAGACCGACATCAATAAACTCATACACGTACAATGCAAACTAAGCAGCTCACACAAATCCATATCACGAATGGCCATGAAGGGGTCTTGCCCATTTTGCAGCAGAACTTCGATGTAGCATCCTTCTCTCGTGAGGAGGCCCGGTTCGAGGAAAGCCTCCTGAAACTATGCCCTGCAAATCTCTGGCCCAAGGCCTCTTACACGACAGGATGTCCGCGACCTGTACTTGTGGGTCGGCATCATCAGCAGCAGCTGAAAGATCTTCATGGAGCTTTGACAGCAGCCATCTCAGATGTTGTGCAACGCTGGTGGAGTGACAGAGATGCACGGTTCCCAGAACGTATGCCGCTAGAAGCCAAGGAGGAGGAACTTTTGCAAGTATGTCAACCTTACCCGGTTAAGACATAATACAAGAAAAAGGCGATAGCTGACACGTAGCGTAGTGGATCGAAGGTCAGGTCATTAACGGGAACCTACCGCAGTTCTCGCAGTGCCGAGGATCGTGGCGTCCAGACTTTCTCGTGGAGGACAACGGCGAGCGCGAAGAGAACTACTGCATCACTGAGATCAATGCGCGCTTCGCCTTTAACGGATTCATGCATGAGGCGTACGGCCAAGAGGCAACCAACCAGAGCTTAAAGCATGACAAGACTGGCCTTGTCCCCGCAACGGACCCAGGGACGGTAAGGCATTAAATGCGCAGTCTTCTTGACTCTGACACCCATATCGGTAGATCTCACAGGGGTTGTTCGATTTGTTCGATCCCGGGTATCCCCTACACCTTCTCAAAGGCACCGAAAAGGGCATCGACATCCACATGTTCATCAATGCCGTCTCGCATCGTTTCGGCATAAAGCCACGGCTCATCGCACCCGCCGATCTCAGGCTATTCGCGGATGCACGTAGCAAAACCGGTTTCCGGCTGTGCCGTGTTATACGCGATTGCGAAGAGCAAGTCGCCAATACCTGGAGGTTTGTAGCTCCGCACGGGGAGATCTGCGAAGAGATACATCAAGTTGGGCTTGAGTTACATCAGCGAGAACTCCTCGCTCTCCGGCCAGAGATATTACGTCAGATTAGCTTACGGTGCTTCAATGATATGCGAACTATACTGCTCGTGCATGACAAGCGTATGTTGGGCATCGTGAGACAGGAGATCCCGCAGCTACTGGTGCGTGGGGTAATCACTGCAGTTCAAGCCGATGTTCTACGTCTAGGCATCGTGGATACACTACTTCCTGGTTCGAAAGAGCTGAAAGATCTACTGCACGAGTCGTTTGCTTCTCCCGATGTGAGACACAACTACATCCTCAAGCCGATCCGGAGTGGCAAAGGCAATGGCATCATTTTCGGGGACGATGTCACGGCGCCCGAGTGGACATGTCTTCTTCAAGCTCTCGCGTCTCCCGGTGTAGTCTCAGCGGAACTGTGCGTGGTGCAGAGATGTATCACTCCGCGTAAGTACGATCTTGTGCTGCGCGCTTCAGAAGGAATGGTTCGTTATCCTCTGGTGGGTACGTATCACGTTACAAACGGAAAGTTGCTCGGTCTTGGCAATTGGCGAGCGAGCGGAGGCCGAATTGTGGCTGTAGCATCTGGGGGTTCTTGGATCTGTTCAGTCATTAAAGGGAAGGGAGATGGTCGGGAAGAATGAAATGGTGGCAATATTCACTTTCCATTGTATTCTGCTCGCCATTCATTACAGAGCCTGGGCCATATCTTTGATGAGACTGAACTGTCGACTAGTTTCGAAAGGTGTGCACAATTACCAAATTCCTAGATAATTTCGACTTGCCTGCCAGAAGATAACCATTTGATCTTATCCCCCAAGCCTCCAGAACTGAAAATTTCTTTCAGTGCCTTACGATCCTGGGTAAAATGCGTCCACGACTCAAAATGCATAGGGGCAAGCATATCAGCCTCCAGTATTTCCATCATCTTTACAGCATCCTCGCCTCCCATCGTGATCTGTACGAACGGGAGTTGCTCGATTGACAACGCGGGACTTTCTTGTCAGGTAAGGAAAAACTCGCCCGGCTTCAATCCAGCCACATGTGACCGGTCATGACTCCGAGGAGCTTCGTCGAATATGGGGTCAGTGATAAACTTGACGCCATCAATATCCACAATCGCCGTTGCCGTGGTAATGTAGGTGATAGTGATTTTGCTTTTGAAGTTCTCGGGAATACTCATGTCTTCTGTTCTGTCATGCGGTGACCGAAAAGAGATGATTTGAACGTGGTGCTAATGGCTGGGTCCGAGATAGCCAATTCCAAGTTGCAACTGCTTGAGATATACTGCAAAGAATGCCCTCTGCAGTGCTAGATTTATAAGCTGAATGACAAATTGAACGCCGAAGGGAGTTTACTCAATGTGGCAAATGTAATCACTGAATGGTGATGTCGGGCATGTTCGTAATCTCCCCGTCCTACGTTGAAGCTTAGGTGCTGCCCCGGGCCCTAACGTAGCGGGGCCTAATTCATCAAGCCTGAAGTTCATTGACACTTGAACGAACGATGTATGAGCAACGAAATACTGTCAAAATTCTGAACAAACGGACAGAGAATTGAAGAAAGAGATCGTATATTGAGAAAAAGAAAAGTTGACTAAAAGCTGGATATTCGACGTAGTGCGATATAAGAGCTGCTCCGTTTACAGGACCGCTCTCACCCCCAGAGACACTCTTATGTAAGAAAGCCGAGCAGGCGGTATATCCGATTACTCTTTAGGCTTCCGGCCCCAGACAACTCGCTGTTTGTAGTAGGGATGGTGCTTGCCCGAGTGAATCTCCCTACGAGCATGCGCAAGGTAGACATGGATTTCCGACTCAGTCCAACCAATCGTATTGGCTACAAAAAGCACAAAACCTTCGGGATCGGCAAGGAACGCAAGCTTGCCGAACTGGCCGAGCTCTTTCAGTTGTGGATCTTTGGCCCAGCCACCAATAGGGGTCTGTCATGGCACACTATTAGAACTTATTCTGTTTTTGAAGAGTGCCCTCTTACCTTGTACTCGAACTGTTGAATGTCGACAAAGCCAGCAGCCTCCATGGCCTTCCGCTGTAGTTCTTCTTCATAAACCGTGAAGCTCATACCCAGCTTCTTGGCTCCCTCGATAAATAGCTTACCCCACTGACCCAAGGCAGAGCTCTCCTTTACGGTGTCGTCGTCGCTGGTAATGATACCAGATGGTTCAAAACTCTCGACCCAGCCACCTGGCTTGCAAGTCTTGTAGGCCTCACTGAAGAATTGGTACCAATCTGGAATACTGCCGATAAGCCAGCGGATGTGAATGTAATCGGCTGAGTTGGGCGCAAATGTCCACTCTTGGGTGCAGTCTTCGATCTCGCTGCGAGTTTGTGTCAGTAGGTACAAAGACAAGTTGGGAATTGCTTCATGACTCACAATTGGAGATTCGGTGGGACCCAAGATGGCTGAATTGGCGATACATCGGTGCCGATGACCTGGATGTTGGGATGTTCATCGGCAAAATCTCTGTCCCAAAGTCAGCATGCGCAGTCTGAGAAGTATTTCCAAGACCTACAAAGCCCAGATGCCTAAATCCATGGTCAGCAATCTCATAGCGTAATCGCATTAAGCCTCACATACCAGTGCCTGTTCCAATGTCAAGCGCTTTCTTCACAGATATGTCAGCGTCCAGACTGGTCAATGCCGGCTTCCCATCCAGCACTTACTGTAATTTTCTCTGTGTCAATAGGCGCTAGGTGAAGCTTTCCCCCAATACCCAGAGTCAGACAGTGGTGGCTAATAATGATCAGTTGTGATCCATCGTCACCAATCTTGGTCCAACCTACTTGATGTCTAGCAATTCACTTTGTCTCTCATCGTTGGCAGCCCTAGTCCAGTAAGCCTCCATTCAGAATAGAGACATGCGGGGACACCTTACCAATACTGTGCACTGCCAATTTCTCGATGATATGTCCTTCCATGAAGCTTGCGATATTCGAAAATACTAGAAGAGACTGAGTCTGTTGAGGACGCGAGACTTTCTTCACTCAGCGAATGAGCATCGTCGTCTGGGTTCACGTTCTCCTCCTTGAATTAAGTCAGCATCAATATGCATAAAAACAACCAACATAAAAGCTGTAAGCCTGTTGGTCTGCCGGGCTTATCTCACCTCGGCAAGCTGCTGCCAATGCGCGGGTTCCAGAATGCTTGTATCTCCGGCATTCACCTGCGCATGTTGAGGGGGGCTTTTTGAGGGGCTCTTTGAGGGGCTCTTTGAGGGACTTTTCGCAGTATTCTTGGCAGGACTTTTTTCGCTTTTCGGGCTTGTCGCAGCCGCTGGTGGTGTCGACATTATGAATATATATCGTCCCAAAGACCTTGATATCGTTGTGTCCTTTTAGCTTTCGGGAGCTTATATAGCGCAGAGTTTATGTGGGAAAAAGAGAAAGCAGCGAAAACCGAAAAACAATCTGGGAATTTTCGGTCGGGGGAAACATGATAAGATAAATTGTTCTACTCCATATTTGGGAGGGTTCGGCGAATTATGATAACGAGTCTTGGTGATAGACGAACGAATGAAATGCTTGACCGAGGTTTATTAGTTGATCAACATGGGGAGACGTGTCAGTTCGTGCAGGGTTCGCGGTGGGGGGAGCAGCCATCGGTTTGATAGTAGAAAATCTGTTAAAGCAACGGTTGAATCATATCATATTTGAAGTCGTTCTACAACTTGACGGTGCTCAGCTATACCTGACGCAAGTTCGAGATCCCCCCCTCCCCAGACTATTCTACCAGCTTATTTGGAGGAACCTTCTCATCACGATGCTCACCTGAGCTTCCAGAACTTGGTCGACATGGATACTATAACACTAGCCCCATAAGGTATGGCATGAACTCCCTAAAAATGACCCTGGGCAGCAAGATTCGCCGACGCAGCGAAGAGGAGTCAATGGTACGTTGATACATTGATGATGCGATTGTTTGCATCGAAACGACTATCAGTGCACCGCCTTTCCAGCAGGTCGATCTTCTATCTGAATAAGACCCTACTCTCACAGATAACCACCAACCCTTGCTAAAAGTTCCTCCTCGTCCCAATTGTCATCGTGCGCTTCCCACTGAGCGGGCGGTCCCATACCATCATCGCCATGAAACCAATACCCTTCCCCAAGCCTCGCCTCGCAAACAACCCTCATTCTTTCAAGTAACCTCATGAGCCGACCTCCAGGGACATCCCCTATGGGTTCGCCGCGATTCTTCGACCCAACAACAATCCCTTTCAAGTAAACGCGCTTCAATGCAGGAAATTTCGTCTCTGTCAACACCTTTTCAAGCATGTCTACCACTCTTTTGCTACCGAGACCATCTTGATCATCTCGGAAAAATTCATCTGCGTCGAATATAGCTCCGTCACCATGCTCGATGCCAATTTGTTGTTCTATGGCCAATGTCTCGAGAGTTTCGCTTGAGGCCTGGAGAATTCTCTCCCAATCTTTATGAGCGGCTGCCTCAGAAGTTGTCGACCAGAAATAGCTAACCATCCTTGCAGATAGGTTGCTCTGAGATGGTTGGCAAAGATGCAAGTGTCGTACCTTAGGCAACTTAAGCAATCCTTTATCTTCCTGGAGAGGCAAAAAGCCGGACAAGGGTCGGGGTATAACAGCCCATCCCCATAGTCTACCATACGTGGGATCCTCAGGTGGACTGTAGATATCTTCGGGAAAGCGTGGAAAATCTTCCTCCATCGTTGCTCTTGATCCTATCGGTTGGTCAAGTAATCTGAGCTCCAGTCGTTCGACGGTTGAGCAAGACTCCAATATCCATGCGGCGACGGGTGTTGGTATCGAGCCATCGAGCTTTACATAACGGAGCTTCGAGGGTGGAGGAGCAGATGGGCAGAAGGATCTGTGTTCATTCTGATCGAAGTAGGAGGAGTCGCCATATAGCTCAAAAGCCTTGACGTTAGTAAAATAGGGTAAAATCTGCCAGAAGTCTATCTTGGACCGAACAACCGTGCAGATAGACTCAACTAGCGAACACAGTTGTTTCAACCGGCCGATGTCCTCAGATGACAGATCCTGCAACACTTTGAAGAATTTTTCTGCCTTCCATTGTCCCGAGTATTTAGTATCCCAGTAGTAGAATCGTTCCGATGCAGATATCATGGGGGAAGGCTGTTTCGAGTCGCAAGCCTCGTGGAAGGTATGATGATGGAGTTCGATATTGGTCCATAATAGTGGTTGAGCAAGTCTATTGATTCTTTTGCAAGTTTGGGATAGCTGAGTGAGTTCGTGGGCTGTAGAATTGGTGATAATAATGCTGACAATCTCATCAGGTAGGGAATTCATCGTTGAAAACGCGTCGAGAGCGGGGCCAACAGTAACGAAAATTTTCAAGAAGAGAAATTTCAAGAAAGAAAAACCATGGTGTATTTATCAATATCTTGGGGCATTGATGATAATAAAACAAGTCAAAGCTCAGGCGGTCAATGACTCAGACCGGGCACTGTTGTAGTGCTAGATTGATTAATTGCAGGACCTTGAGCCCCGCAATCAAGGCTGAAGCTGAGGGGGGTGTAGCATGTGGATGCGATGATAAATAAATTGAGGTACCCTGAAGTCTAGTGATCTGCCACGATTCCACAGAACGACATCTTTGTAATCGTTCGATTGCTTGGAAGCAAGAGAAGATTGACTTCGAACATCCAATTTTAATAATTAAATTATGAATCCGAACTCACGTTTCTGCAGGCGAGTTATGTGTTGCTCACCCATGAATTGATTGATGCTGCAATGTCATGGTAGCTTTCGGAATCCCGTCTCTCTCAATATTTGGTTCCATGTCGTAAGCGCTTGTCCAGATCCTGATCCTTCGGACACATTCAACAACTCAGAGACATTCTCTGAGGCTTGGTGGATTGTCAGACGAAATCTAGAATATGAGTATGTAAAACGCGTAAATTCTACGCCACTACTGAACAGTTCTGGCTTCAAGCTGAACCTGGAGCATTCGCAATTTCATCAAGAGGCTCAGCTCTAAACCAGCTGAGTATCCTGAGCCGACGAAAAGTGTTCAAGTGCACGATGAGTACCCACCACTCGAGATGGTCCGAGCATTTCGTGGACACGATGCTGTGGTGCTGGCCTTGGGCTTCGCCGCTGAGGAGCCCCTCCCCGAGCTAGCTCGTGCTTCTGTTGAGGCCGGTGTCAAGAGGTTGATCGCCTCGGGCTACGGCGTTGACACGACCAACGAAGAAGCCGTAAAGGTTTTTCCCGTTGCGGCTGAAAAAGCGCGTATGGTTGAGCATCTCAAGTTTCTCGAGCAGCCTGGTTGGTCTTGGACTGAGGTTGCTTGCGGGGCTTTCCTAGATTTGTGAGCTCATGCAACTTTCGGGATGACGTACTTTTGTTGACAACATCATGTAGTTGCATACAAGTCGGTTTCTTCGGTATCAAGCCCGAGACCAAGATAGCTGAGATCCTGGATGATGGGGATGCCAAGTTTACCGCCACGACCCGTGATGGCGTCGGTCAAGCTGTCGTCGGTATTCTCAGTCACCCAGACCAAACAACAAATCGCATTGTCTATATATCATCAACTGGGTCTTGCAGTCAACGTTCAAGACAGATTTGAGGCGAATTTCGAGAAACGGGGCATCCTCGATAACGACTTGTTGGGAGTGCCGCAGGAGAGCGTCGAGGAGGTTGTCGCACGAGTCAGGAAAGGGCACTAGGGCAAGGTCTGTTAGGAACACGGATGCGAAAACAAGTTAGTTATTGTCAGTTATTTATCCCGGTTATGAATGTTTGTAGATAAGTACATGTCCTGTCTTAATGGGCGAGGCATCGTACTCTGTTCGTTGCGGAGCCTGTGCCACAATGCTCCTCGATGCTAATATGTCAATCAACGAACAGAAGTGGATAAACTTATCCCACCAGTATGACCTGCGCAGGGCAATCCTTGGCAACGATATGATTTGCCAGCGAAGATTTTAGATGAGGGGAATGCTCACGTGTGGAGAACCGTCGCATTCAACTCGACCCATATCCGGCACTCAACTTCAGCTGACGTATTCTCAGCCTGATATCTTGAATCTGATTACTTGCTAAACAATAGCAAGTAAAAGCCCAAGCTGTTTGGAGTGCCAAAGTCCGAGACAAATGCTAGCAGCAGCACGAGCAGAACTCGCGTCTGGTGATTCAGGCGCCGGACCAAATGGTGCCTCCACAAAACCGCCCAAGAAGCGCGTCCGCAATTTCACGGCAGATGATCGGGCTGCACACCGGATCTTTGAGAAGAAACGCCGAGAGCTGTTTCGAGAGCGGCTTAATGTTAGTCATCTGCGGTACTTTCTCTACATCCCTTGACTGACGATTTGTTGCAGGATCTGGCAAAAGAACTACCTGCACTAGCCGGCAAGAACCCCGCCAGGCTGTCAAAGCACGACGTGATTGATGAGAGCATATCACGTCATAAGTTTGAGCGCAGTGTATGCCTGGATATTATACAGGCTTATAGAGCCATGGTTCAAGAGCGAGATGAATTGCTTGCTGAGGTGAATACTTGGCGAGCTACGGCTGTGGTGCCTGAACGTCATGCTACCAACACTCAGATGAACCTTGATAAACTGGCAAAGTTGGAGACCAGAATTCAAGGTCAGCAGGCAGAAGGGTTTCGTCCAGATGTCGAGGACTCGGCTCCGGTGGACACGAGCTACGCTATGGTCAACGACCTCACTTCTCAGCCTTCTTTCTCTCCTCCAACCGATTCTGTTCATCCTGTACCAGCACCCCATCCAGGCCTACTGGGCGTCGACGAAGGGAGTTTAATTCCAAGCTCTTCATTTGAACCAGCTGGCCCAATATCTCACCCGAACGAGCTTCTAAGCTCGACTATGGCTCTAATGGATACGCAACATTTACCAAACCAAGCTATGATGCTGCCACTGAAGAATCCCATGACCGAGCCCAGTGTACATGCAATTGTAGAACCACAACTAGAGAATGGCAGGCCCATCTCCAACTTGCACGACTTCCTTGCGGACACTTCAGGCGATCAGATATCTCTCACAGGCTGGGGTACCGATTTTCCTCTTTCAACGATGGACTTTGGACCAGATACAACACTTCAACAATATTGTTTCTAGTACTCTTGGGCTACTAGGTTTCGTGGTCAATTCGTAGGCGAAATGAAGACTTATCTACACCTGAGCCAACATAGCTTCAACCTTGGCCTTGCTTCGCTCCTCACCACCAATAAACAACGTCAACGCATCTGCCAAACGAGTCTTAGTCGCTTTATCAGCCTCATTCGCCTTGTCGATCTCTGCACCACCATTAGCCAGATAATCAACATCAGTGCTAGCCAGCTTTCCATCCCAGTCTGGTCCAGCCAAGGGATCGACAAAGAGGAGCTTTTTGAGACGCTCGGGCAACGGATTGGCGTTCTTGTAGGCATGAACAGGCTTAGGTAAGCCTTCTCCGGGCTGCTTGGAAGCGTCGTAGGGAAGCTTTGAGAGCTTCTCGAGGACGGTGTGAGAGATGGTGGCTGAGTGACATCCCATTTCACCAGCAGCCATGGCCTCCTGAGGCGTGATGAAGCTGGGGATCTGTCAGTATGGATACTGGTACTTATGGGGTATTTCTTACCTGGCGTTCTTCACAAGGGGTTGCTCCTTTCCGCTTTCTTTGTAAAGTCGTTTGTATGTCTCAAGAATCTGGACGATGCGTGGAGAGTTCGGGTGCTCGAGCGCAGGGTCGGCGACGTCTGGCCAAAGAGATAGCTCATCGTGGGCTCGCGTTTCTGTAGTTCTGTGTTAATTGCATAATCCTTCTGCTTCTTATCTAACGTACCATTGTAGTAGGGACTGATGTACAGCATGCCAGCCTGGCTGCAAGCGATAGCCTGGGCGAGACTGAACAGTGCCGTGCCGAGAGTCGGGATACCCTCGGTGGAGAGAATCTTTGCGGCATTCAGAGCAGGCCCAGTAGAAGGGATCTTGATGCAGAATCGCTCTCGCGATATCCCAGCTCTAGCAAATTCCTTGTCGTAAAGGCGTGCATGATCAAGAGTTGCCTGCGTGTCATAAGCTTTGGAAGGAAGTGTTTGCAGAAGAACACGTCCTTGAATAGAATCAATGTTCTTCTTGCACATAAGAACAGCCTGTGAGCTAGTGAGCATGTTTCTATCAATACCAATGAGATGCATCAATTACCATGCGTGTATAGATGGCGAGCCAACCTTGATCTTTGAGCTCCTTGGTTGTTTGCTCGAACAAGTCTTTGTTAGAGTCATCGCCGAGTTGGATGTCAACCCAGAGTTGGTTGCTGGTCTGATCATGGAACTTGAATGGCATTGACTTGATCCACTCTGGAGCCATCCAGTCGACATCGACGTTGACTGTTACCATCAGTGTTACGCCACGCTAAGACCGTCTTGAGAAGAGAAAACGTACGCTGCTCTTCGAGCTTGTCCAGCCATGATTGAGTTCCGGTGCTTCCCATTCTGGAAAACGTTTGTAGAATATTCTGTTTGGTTGATGTAAAATATGCTTGTTTGTGATAGTATGCTTTTGCGGGTGAGGGATAAAGGGCGGATGCGTAATAAGCTTATAACTTTGCTTCCACCGTGTTCTCAATCCTAAATTGCCGAGATTTCGACCGTACCGTAACCTGCCCTGCGTGTAACATGTCTTTGTGCACTATTCCCCTCCTATGCCCTGCGTGTGCCAACTGATTCGGTGCAGTGTTCCCCGCCCATGCCCTGTGTGTTCCATTGCCCTGCGTGTGGCATCAGCATGTTAGTACATTCGAATTGGCCAATCGGGTTGTTGGCCCAATTGCACTAAAGTCTCCTTCGGTGGTAATTGTTCAGTTTGCCGAGATCCGGCACTTCAGGAACATTCCTGTTTGTCTCATCTCACATGATGTTGAATCCCATGCGGGGTGGAATCAGTCAGTCTGGGGTGGAAGTGGCGCCATTCTAAGAAGAGTTTGGGACGAAAGTTGATACTCTGGGGAACCTAGTCACCCCGCAAGTTGATGCTCTGATCGACGACTATAAAAGTGGCCCTCTTGCTCTGATGAACAGACATGTTATTCAACAGCTATCAATTAATTATCCCTATCTCTGCAGATTTCAGAAAGCATCATGGACCGCAAGTCTGATATTGAAGACCAGGTCAAGCAAGATGTTGAACACATCGACCACCTCACACCGCAGGACTTTACTCGAAATGCGAATGCCAAGTATGTTACTCACCAGACATTATACAGCTGCTGACATCAGCAATCTACAGAATTCGCAACCCTCTTGCCGGTATCTCTCGAGCCGACCTGCGAACTCAAGTCAATGCCTTCTGTCAAGACTATGACTTCCAGGACAAGATAGACGTTTTCTACCGTGGTGCACTCGCAGCTCAAAACCCGGCAAGCTACGAGAACATTGAAGAGCTAACCGACGATGATAAACGCGCCCTGGAACGTGAGGCAACTCACAAGTGGCATCTTCCCCGTAGCCTCTACCTCGGCATTGCTCTATGCTCTCTCGGCTCTGCTGTACAGGGCTGGGACAACACCGGCGCAAATGGAGCAAACCTGTCTTTCCCTCAAGAATTTGGCATTGAGCATAATACGACCTTGGTCGGTGTCATTAACTCTGGTCCAACTCTCTTCGGTCTTCTCAGCGCTTGGGCAGCTGATCCCATCAACAACCGTATTGGCCGGCGAGGCGCCATTTTCTTGACCGGTCTATTCTGTATCTTTCCGGTGCTTGCTCAAGCTTTCACCCAGAACTGGTGGGGACTATTGATCTGTCGTCTCTTTATGGGCTTGGGTATGGGTATTAAGATCTCGACCATTCCTGTTTACTCTGCCGAAATTGCTCCAGCATCTATCAGAGGCGGGATTGTCACCAGCTTTCAACTATGGGTAGCCTTTGGTATCTTTGTTGGATTTTGTTCAAACCTCATCTGGTATCGTATCGGAGACCTTGCTTGGCGCTTCCAGCTTGCCGCGGCGTTTGTTCCAGCTATCCCGGTCGTCATCTGTGTTTGGTTCTGCCCCGGTATGCTATCACCTTTCTTCGGCTGATACCTGGACTAGTGGACCTAATCTTCTTCACAGAATCGCCTCGTTGGCTTATCAAGAAGGGCCGCTACCAAGAATCTTTCAAAGTCTTCTGCCGCATTCGCAACACAGAAATGCTAGCTGCGCGAGATTTGTACTACGCTCATCGCCAAATCCTCGAAGAAAAAGACGCCTTCGGCGGAAAGACACTCGCGCGTCGAATGTGGGAGCTCGTCAGCGTCCCTCGCCTCCGCCGAGCTACAGTTGCATCGTCTTGGATCGTAATCTCACAGCAGTTCTCTGGAATAAACATAATGGCATTCTACTCGTCTACCATCTTTGCCGCTGCAAACTACTCCACCAGGGACTGCCTTTTGGCTTCCATGGGATTTGGCCTTGTCATGTTTATCTTTGCTTTCCCAGCTGTCTATATGGTTGACACGTTTGGACGCCGGAACTTGCTGCTGGTTACGTTTCCTAACATGGCGTGGTGCTTGCTGGCGGCAGGGTTCAGCTTTCTGATTGACAAGGACTCGAGTGCCAGAGTTCCCCTCATCGCCTTCTTTATCTACTTGTTCACAGCCATGTATGGACCTGGTAAGTTGAGCCCGCATTCCTCAAGTCGCTAGAAGCTAACTGTATAGGCATCGGGCCATTGCCTTCGATTTATTTCTCCGAAGCATTTCCACTGTCTCATCGAGAAATTGGCTCCGCCTTCACCATCTGTGTCAACAACGCGGTTGGTAGCGCTTTGACTTTGACGTTCCCTTCGCTTCTAGATCGTCTTGGGCCGACTGGAGCTTTCAGCTTCTACGCAGGCCTCAACGTTGTAGCGTTTATCGTGATATTCTTGATTATTCCAGAGACCAAGTAAGTTAATAATGATGCTATTCGATACTTTCATGACTGAGCAAAGTTTTACAGACAGCGTACTCTGGAAGAGTTGGATTATATCTTTGGAGTTCCGACAAGACGCCACGTCGCGTACCAACTTCGACATTGGCTGCCTTGGTTTATTAACAGACACGTCTTTCTTCGGAAGTCAGCTACGCTTGAGCCGTTGTATCAACTGGATTAGAAACGCAAATTCTACAGATGAATGGTGGTGAACAATCGAATGGATGAGAAAGTGGGCAAAATAGCTCCATAATTTGATTTTTAACTGATTCTACGTGTTTCCGTCGATGTCTGCACACCAGGAGCCAAGCATGCTGACTTGCTATCTCTGACAAGTGCCATGGAGTTACCGAGATTATTATTCCGAGCGGAGATACTTTTGACCAGCACCCGTTTCGGGCGCGTTGCATCCTTGTTTATTGAAGCGTGAGCTGACTGCAAGTTCAGATTGATTTGTTGCCATCTTCTGATGCCGGCCACCTAGTAGCAGTTCCCCTCGTAACAATTGATAGTACAATCATCGCTGGTTCCACGTCAGTACAGCTTCGGCCAAAATACTGTCATACATACGCTGTATCACCACATGTCCATGTTTTCTTGTTACAGCACTGCCTATCTGTTCCTACACATGTCGCATTGCCGTGATCAGGGCCACAAAGACCATTGTAGGCACGAAGTGGTTCGGGAACTTGTAGAACATCAGCCATCTCCACAGAGTATCACGCAGCGAAGTGTGGCAGGTACTCACATCCTTCCACGCAATATCTGATATTGGGTTGAATAGTATTGCAATCATCATTCAGTCTAGGATTCAGCTCATAGAATGTGTCTAGAGTGATGTGATACTTCTTGATGATGGAGTCGCAGGCGCTAGAATCGACATGAGGCCCAGTGAGAGTGCTTAGTCGACAGTTGATTCCACCGGGAGCCATGGCGCTAGCTTTCCAGGTCGATGGCTGGCATTCGTCGTCTGATATGACCGAGTTCACGAGAGCTAAGCCAAGAAGTGATAAACGTACAAACGAAGAAGACATTTTGGAGGGAGATATTCGACGGTTTCAAAAGAAATTGACGTTTGCTGACGCAACATGTTTATTTAACAATGACTGTTCCGAAGCTCACACTACGTCCCTCATTGCACTTACCAACAGCTACTGGTACTACCAGACCAACACGCAGACGAGGTGGAATGGGGCTAAGCTCTAGATGAGACCCACCCAAATGTGTTGGTCGTTGCAGATCATGAAACAAGTGTTCCCACTTGCAAGACTCTGTGCCCCAAGCCACTTTTTGCGAAGAAAACGGAATGGGGCGATGTTGGTGATCCCGAAATGAACAGGTGTTTCGGTCAGAGAGGAGATGTTATGCATGGCTTTGCGCTCTTTCTCTGATGCAAATTCCGAGCCGCCGGATGCGCTGCCTGGTGTACACTCCCGGGTGCATCCCTGAAGTGCGCAGTGAATTAAACTCTTGTATGAACCATGGCTTAAGAGATATCTTGTACAGTTCCACAGAAACCTACATGGGCGGCTGGGCCCAAGCGCCTCCACTCCTTTGTGGCAAGGTTGACTGAGGTAAGAACTTGAGATTAGGCTTCTGTAGGCTCTGTGATATGACTGATTTCGTCGATGGTGTGCACACTTATAAAGTTTACCCTTGAAACAGGTCATCATTATGACAATGCTGTGTTTGTTCTGACGATCGCCTACAGCTGGTTCTGTACTAGTCTAAAGAAGCACGTCGTTGGGATACATTTCCTCTAATATCTGCCAGATCCGACGTCGGTTGGTAAAGCCACCAGGGACACTGAGGCCAACTCTGTCAAAACTCCATATGCCCTCGTCATCCTCGAGTGCTCCACATGGCGAAGCCTCTGCTGGACTCATGACCTGCCTTGCAATCTTCTCCCAGTCCCATTGTTCTGATTTTGAGTCCCCTGTAGCAGTCTTTTCATGGATAACTTGAGTGTCAAGGTCCCAAAGAAACGGGACTTGGAAAAACACTTGCTTCCACATGGACTGGGGCATGATGTAATTGCATTCTAGAGGGAGCTGACCGTGAGGGAGAAACAAGCAAATGAGATCTTTTACTTCTTGTGGCAGACTCTCAATGTGTTTCTTGAACTTGATGAGTTTGCTCGGTAGTCGACTAGAAGCGTCTGCTGCGGGCTCAAGGTTTGCGATGAGCAGCGTGCTCAGGTCTGGAATTGTAACGGGATCTTCATCCCACTAGACAGAAAGTATCATTACATATCAGTTAAGAGTTCCTAAATTTCTAATGAAAGGAGGATCGAACTTACCCAACCATCCCAATGATCTCCGTATCTGTGAATATTATGCGACGGAACGTAATATCGTTCAAGGCCAACGGAAAACGGCTGGCCGGGTTGAGAGTTGGGTATTGGAGGAGTAAAGTGCATGCCTACCTTGCAGGGGTCCTGACTGATGACTCTAGCGCAACGGCGTTCAAGGGTAAGCCAGAGGTCCCCAACAGATTTGACTCTGGCACGAAAAGATGTTTTCATAACGCGATTCGCGAGATCGTCGCAAGCTGCATGTAACCCAACATACATCACCCCTACCCATTCTGAAGGATTGTCTGACTCTTCGTTGACATCATAGCCAGATTGAGGACAGACCTTGCGATTCTCGGGAAGTAGAACAAGAGAACCACGATGGGAGTTGGCTTTGGCGGCGTAGCGAACGACTTCGTTGTTAGCTACCTTTAGAAACGGGGGTGATTCGGACAGGTCTGGCCAATGTGGGCCAGCCAATGCGACGACATCGGCCTTCCAGTCCTCCACGCCTCTAAGGACGATGCCGCAAATCGTGCAGTTGATACAATCAGGGTTGTGTGCCATAGTCGACAGCAATGAAGGTGAAAAGTAGAGAATAGTGAATTAGAATTCAAGACGATGAGACAGAACGCTCAAGCATGATGGAATGAATCGTAGGTACGCTAGTCAAGACGAAGAATACGGCCGAGAATAACCCTGTACCGTCTGTTGGTTCTGGGGTATCAAGGAAGCAAATGGCACACTATCAATGAAACGTCGTGAATATTCGCAGCGTGATGAAAACCCCTCATTTTGTGGAGATGAGGGACCTTGGGCGGATATACCCGTATGACGAAAGAAGCTAAATTTATTGTAAGAAATAAGGCGCGCAGAAATGCGACTGCGCCTGGGCCAACATAAGTTCATCACATTGCTGTTGGTGGCAGACAAGGCAGACAACGATGGCACGATCAATTCCCAGCACAATTCCCTTTAATTTCTCTCCACTACGGATCCGAGTCAGCCATTTTCAATCCAGTAACATCCATTTGAGTGTGTCACAGTAAAACGAAGGAAGGGACCTGTAAAGAATTGTCTCCACAGCATTGTTTCAAAACAAGACATGCCGCAAGCCAACAATGTTTATAACTACGATCTGATCATAGGCCTACGTCTATACAACCTTTATCCTTAACTAATCCATGATCGATGTGTTGGCTCTAGATGCATCAAAGACTCCTCTTATTTCCTTTTAGCTTTGGGTGTACGGCGACTTCCATTCAGAGACAGCACTGCCAATCCACAGTCTTCCAGTCCTTGGGCCAACTTATGGCCTTCCTAGGTTGCGGTGATACTGTAAGGTGAACCAGGAGACCCCTTGTTCACTATGCCGACCAAGAGTATTATCCAATGGTACCTGTTGGGAGAGTGGACGGAAACTTCGCCTTGTCCTTGAAAGCTCTAGTTCCGATACATAAATCACAAGACGGCATTATATAGTAGACAATATGGTTTATCGTATAGGTTCTCAATTCTGCAACCGCACATTCGTTTGATTTAACAGAAGTCACTCTTTTCTTGTCAATCTTTATCACAATCTTTCCTTTCCTTGCATCTCCCACCATGAGGCAAGCTCTGCTCCTGGCCCTTTGGAGTACGGCAGCGTTCGGTGGCCCATGCAAGCCATCCAGGCCCTCTCCATCGTCCCCTAATTCGGGGATGCCTGGCGCAGGTTACCCTGTGCTCCCTGGAGCTCCATCCGCGGATCATGACTTGACCCCTTCCAGTCGAGGTACTGCATTGCAGACTTCAACAGCGTCACTCAATGACGGCAATGGCAATAGTAAGGCGTCTACCTCCGAGTCAAGTTGGTCTTTATCCACACGAGACTTCGAGTCTGTTCCTATTGGGCTTCCAGGACATTCTCTGACAGTCGATCCTGTTTCTCCTACATCACCTACAACGTTAGATGGTGAAACCACGGGAGAAGGCACAAACATCAACGAGTCTTCCAAAGCTGTTCTCAGCCCTAAGACGTCTCTTGATGGACCTGACTCTACTGGGGGAGCTTCGGAAACAAGACCAGACACGGTGGTTTGGAATACTTCTGGTGATGCATCTGTTCCATTTACAGCGCCGAGCCATGGCGAGCTCACTAAAGATATCCCAGCTACTAGAATCTCTACCACAATTGATCAAGACCTTTCTGGTGAAATTTCCAGTACTGCAATTCTCTCATCAGAAGGGTTCAGAACCACCAAAGGTTCTCCAATGGATACCACTGGCGAATCACTAGCCATCTCGGGTGGTCATGATGGCTCCCTGCCACGCACTACAGCGTCATTGCCGGAACTTCCCACTTCTGGCGTGGATAGTTCAGCAATTAATCACGCGCCTGTTCAAGATTCGCCTGCTCACGTCACCCAGACCGTCCCAGGTGGCAGGACCAACGGGTCCCCAACTGGCTTAGAGACACTGGATCTCAACTCTGAGCTTTCCTCGGAAGCTCTACCTGGAAACACTGTTTCAACTGACCAGACTTTTGACCATGGCGGCTTTTCTTCAGCATTGAATTCTGGGGATTCTACTGAAGCTCAATCGTTGACGGACCCGACAAACTCGGGTGGTGTACCGAGCTCGACTACAGAACCTCAGAGTACCATGACTGAGTCTCCGGATACATCAGCAGATATCTCCAGCGGTCAAAACGGGGATAGCAGCGCCGTGTGGACAACTTCTCTGAATTCAGAAAACACTTCAATGACAGTCAACACATCTGAAGGCATCCGGCCCTCGGAGATGGAGTCTGAGCAACCGAGCACAACGGCGAGCACCATTCAACCAACTACCGAGGAGGGCGATGCAACATCTGATACAGGTCGCAGTGAACAAGAAACGACTCCCGCCGATATTTCTTCTGAAGGTGAGTTGCCTTCAACTGTTTTAGGGCTCACTGCGACAGACGCTGCTGCTACGACCGAGTCAGATACCGACGTTCCTTCGACGGTGATAAGTACAGGGATACCGTCAGTGACCACTGATCCTCCAACCGCCACAGTCCCTACCGGCACATCGCTTTCAGTTGTCACCGAGGCTCCGCCGGATTTCACTGCAACAACTGTAAGCGGTCATCCCGAGTGGACTTCCAACACTTGGATCACTACTACCTCGGATGGCTCCTCTGAGCCAACTGTCGTTCCAGTTCTTGTTGGCTGTAAGAATTGCGGCGGAGCTGGCTCTGGCATCGTACTCTTTCATTTCCCCAAGGCCACTAGCACCTGGTTCAAGTTTCCTGGTCTACCAAAGTTCTCGTTCCCTTGCGTCCCTCCAGGATGCACGACAGCTCCTGATACCTCGGATAGTGGCGAAGATGGTGACGATGAAGACGAGGATGATAGTTCTTCTTCTGTCACATGCTCTGAACGTGCTACTGCCACCGATTGCTTCGTAGCATGTACCACATACACTGGACCAGCAGGGGCAAGTATCACTCCAGACTGCTCAACGACCTGCACCAAGACACATACAGGATGCAGTGTGATTGGTACAACAACAACATCTTCTGCCCAAGCTTGTGGTCCTTCTGGAGACAGCGAATGCAGGACGTGTCAGACATCATTTGACGATGACCTTGGCAGTGAGGTGCTTCAGCGAAGGAACATAGAACGAAGAGGTGGCGTTGATATCCAAGAGACAATTGGAAAATGTTCGTGGAAAGGTATGCCCATACCCCGGAGGGAACCTTGTCTTGAAAAACGAAGCGCAAATAACTTCCAAGAACACTGCCTTGAATGCAATCAAACGGTGGTGGCGAACAACAAAGGACAGTGATTGCGTTCCGTCTCTGAATCATATCTCGGAGGCTCAGTTCCCCAGAGGCCTACCGGACGCTGAAGGACCCTCCATTGACCATGTATATGAGAAGAGCATGCTTTTGGACTTTTGGAATCACATTATCGATCCAAATGCCGCTGGCGTTGTTGGAATGAAGACAGGATCTCCTTCCAAGATCAATTGCGACGATATCAAGTCGTATGGTGGTATCAACTCTGGCACAAATCTAATTCAGAAGGTCTTTGACGCTTTTCCCAAAAGCTCCAATAGTATTAATCCCGGTGCTGCCCAGTTTGTTGAGGACTTCATTGGCATGGACCAGTGGACAAATGGGATTGCCAAGGTGAGATCTCGCTTGAATGTACAGCAATCCATGTCCATATGCTAACATCTCATTTTAAAGGCACTTGTTACGACTCCGGGAGAGATCAAAGGCCTGCTGGCGTCTAGGACTAAGAAGATGGTTGATACAAGTATGGCGTTAAGCGACGTAAAAAAATGGATTCTTCCGAAGCTTGATTTACTCGAGCGTATGGGTATTGGTGTCGAAATGTTCAATTACCAAGAGTCAATTGATGCGATTGTGCGGCAGAACCGAAGAATCTACGCCAGGCTGTAAGTGCCATCCTCGTTTCAGCTAGGGAACTTTTCTTCTAACTATTGGCGGTATTGCAGTGTTGATATGGACGATAATGCAAAGAACTGCATGAACGATGACGCCGTGAAGAACAATGTCTGGTCATTTGCCGCCAAGTATAGGGACTACATGGATAACAGATTTACCGGCACTGAAGACCATTCCATCAACCAAGCTGTCGATGATGCGAAGGCTCAGCTGCTCTCGGACTTGCAAAATGATGTTACAAATGCTGGCAACAACCCCAATGTTCCTGCAGCTGACCTCAAGTCCTGGCAGGCCAGGTTGAGCAACATGGCTGACCCTAACCGAGCTTGGGCAGTGACGGGTGTCACTTGGGACTGGTCTTACGTATCAAAGCGAGGCGGGTCTGGGCTTTCATGCGATCGCCCAATCCCTTCTGTTACATCTGAAGAGTCCACTACCTTTGCCACATCGACGAGGATGACTTCCGGCGAGTCTACGACTGAGGAGGCAACTTCCTTCACCGACTCCACGACGACTTCTTCCTCAGAAAACTCTCCCTCTGTGACAGAGGATATCCCATCATCAACAACTCAAGACGACGCCGGCGAGTTCACAGATTTACCAACGCTCACCCAGCAAGTTCCCGAAGCAAGCATCTCCACACCAGAGGGCAGTTCATGTGCTGAGACTGCTACTTACACCCAATGCGCTCTCGGTACAGGTGGTCATGGACAAGCATGCGTAGAGCGAGAGACCTGCCGTTCATGGATCAACACCGAAACCACGAGCACAACAACATCTCCAACCCCAACACTCGCGGAACCAGACCCCTCCCAGAACGAGAAACACTGCTACGATAAAGGCCAGAAGTCGAACTACGAGGCCATCACCTACGCAGCTGAGTCTTTCTGTCGCAAGGTAGCCAACGACAAGACTCAAGGGCCAGTGTGGTCGAACTATACGCTTAATGACAAAGAGCAACCTAACCAAGGATACCATTTCAAGCTTACTTTGACCGTTTATGAGGGCTGTGTGTGGACAGCGGACTACGATGAGTGTATGCGTTATATGCGTGTTCCCATCGATAGCTGTGATTGCTCTGCCAAGGGGAATAAACAGGGTGGTTGGGTCGAGAACAATTGCATCTATGCGAAGATCGACCCCAACAGCGGAACATGAGGGAACATGAGCTGCTGCTTAGAGGTTTACTTGGATACTTTAATACTTCTGATATATGCCATATACATTTGTAAACAAATCCTTCGTGTCTAGTCTCATGCGTTGGGCTTAATACGGTTTTCCTGTGACTCGATGATTGATCACTTTTTTCCGACGGCTTACAAAGTCAGATACCTAGTGCACCGAGTAAAGATTGGGTGAGCAAGAATGGAGGGCAAGAGAAGAAGCCAAAGAGAAATGCTCATATTATCCTAGTATACAATCCAAACACCAGATCCAACCGACCACGACTCGCTCTCCTCCCATGATTACATGACCTTCATGCCCATGGCTGTGTTGCTCGCCATACCAGCCAACTTAAAATGCTGCACCATCTTCGCCGACCCAGAGCCACCCGAGACATCAAGAACAGTTACAGCGGCCTGAGTAGTACCGTTACCAGGTGAAAGAGCATAGAGGAAGTTGCCAGAAGCAGCCAGGTCGATCAGACCAGGATCGCCGTTGCAAGTCAAGTCAAGCTCAGATACAACGCTTGCATCCTCAAGGCTCATCTCAACAACTCGGTTACGGCCGACATCTGTCACGAAGGCAGACTTGGTAGCGGGAGAGATGGCGACCCAGCAAGTGGCGGTCTGGCCTTCGACTGCTCCCTTAGCAGCGGTGGTGGCTTCGCAGTTGTTGGGATCGACATCGAGAATGGCTGCACCGAAGGAAGCGTCTGTTGCGAAGACCTTAGATGTTCCGGGGATGACCTGGGAGCCGAATAGCACAGCTGTCCCTTCAGGCGAGCTGCGAGCATCCTGCTTGCTCACAGCCGCAACTCCATTGTTCATCTCAACATTGGCAACGGAGATAAAGCCAGTCTTGTTCACAGCAGGGTCACCCTTGACCATAGTGAACAGCATCGACTCATCTTCGGAAAATAGTACTTGCGAAACGGTGTTGGTAGGCCCGACGGGAGGTGTTGTTTGACCGAGATCGATCGTTCGCAGCTCGTCCATGGCACCGAGTCCTTGTCGCGAGAAGCTACTGCAAGAAACACCAGCCTTGGCACCAGTTGAACCAACACAAACAACTCCATTCTTGGCTGAGGCAGCAACGGTGTTGGGGAATTCACCGGGGACTTGAACTGGCTTGCCGACCATTTGTAGTTTCGTGGGATCGGATCGCGAGACTTTAAGCATGCTGAGAGTGTTGGAGCCGGCGTTGACAGCGAAGATGTTCTAGACCAAAGTTAGTAAAGAGTCAATGGCATCTGTGAGTATGGATACACTTACGTTACCTGCAATTGTCAGAGCAGACTGGCTGATAAGAGCATCAGGCGTAGCGGGCTTGCCATCTGCATCAACAGCTATAGAGCCTGCACCTCCAGTCATGGTGACTTTGCCCTTAGAGAGAGTACCATCTTTGCCAATTGGGATCGCGAGAACACCGTTGGTCTTCTCATTGGTGAGAACATAGATCGCCTTGCCCATCATGGCATTGCTGTTCATTCCGGGCTTGCAGGCTGGGTGGCTGCTAGCTTCCTGCGCAAGCCACAGTAAAGCTGGGAGAAGGAATCCTGAAGAGAACATGTTGTCTGATGTGCTGTGTTGAAGTTGGTAAGAGAATGTAGAAGAAAAGGTTAAAAAGCAGACCTGCTGCAGAGAGTGAATGAGAGAAGAGTGTTGGGTGATTGAATGAAGATATTGAATGAATTGTCCACGGCTCGTGATCATCTTTATAACAATCTTTCATCCAAACTTAACATCTCTATTTACTCTATTCGCAGGGATAAAGTCCCGACATCGAAGTAATCTGAATTTCCTCTTTAGGAAAGGCAAGATTTTCAGTGCAACATAAACGGCCATAGTGAAAGTTCCACTTCCTGAAATGTGAAACCATGTTGAAGAACCATCCACAGTTCGGAAACAACATAATGCGACTTGGTAGCCGTGCTGCCAGCTAAAGTGAAACCGGGGTGCGATAACCCTGTTTGGAAGTCAGATCTGTGCTTTGTCCTCCGTAATCACGATTTCCATTTTGGAAGCGCCATGGTTTTACTGTATTTGGAGACCTTTTGTAGGCAGAAAAGTAATAGTTGAACCTCAAGGTTAGTCCTTCTTCATTTACTACTTAAACAATTTAATCAAGGGTCTGGAAAGGGACCTTGTTGCCAGACGATAAATAATTTAGTAACAGGGATGAAATCAAAATCATGTACATATGGATAACCTTATCATAGAAGGTTATCAGATTATGTTGTCAACTTCACAGCTATCGAAACAAATTTAACAGACTCGCCAATGAGGTTATTACGCATCCTTGTAAATAAAGAATATCTCTTCACTACCTATTCGGTATTCTCCTTGAAGCATAATATCACAGCCTTTTCGCTAATCCCTCTCAGTGTCAGGGCCAACAGGAGTAAGACGAACCTTTCCCAAATAGGAAATTCTGATATTCTCATCTTTGGTGCCTGAGAATGAGGGGACGACACCGAAACGCCCCCGAGACAAGGGTCTCACCCAGCTAGTGCTCATCAGAACCAATGAGAACAATGCTCACCTGTTGACTAATCTTGGATAAGAAACAACAATGAAGCAGCTGAATTGGAGTCGTTGTTCTCTTCATCTTTATTGATCTTTCATCATTTTTACCTTTTTCGCGTTCCTCTTCGCTTGCGTCAATCACACAATGACTGACAGAATCTTTCGAATTTTTAATCCTGGTGGTGAGTTGGAGTTTTTTGCTAATCCTTGTTTGTACGAGCTACTGACCATGGTCAGAGCCCAAGGAAAATCCAGTAGAGAAACGAAGAGCGCAACTGCGACGCGCCCAACAGTAAGAAACTCTCGGTGCACTGTCTTATATAACCATTTTTAACACCCCACTCTTTTAGATCCTACCGTGGACGAAAGGATAAGTACGCGAGGACGTTGGAAGAAGAACTAGCAAAGTCCCGGTCGAGGGAAGCCGAGTTGGCCCGTGAATGCGAACAACTCCGTGCAGGTCTTCAAAATGCCCTTCAACAACTATCCCAAGGTCCCAATTCGACCGATACTGGATTTAGAGAAATCACATATCCAGTCAATGACTACGCTACTCCATCCAGAACAACAGGGTCGTCAAGCGGCGCTTCTCCAATGTATCTGGGTGACCCAGGCTACCAATCAGTGGACATAGTGCCTTCTCCACAACTGATATCACCGTCTTCGTTTGGTGACTTCTCTGACCCGTCTGAAGGCCATGGGGCTCTCGTTTTGTTCAATCAAGGATACTCAAGTCATTCCCGCGTGGGCGAGGTGGATCAGATCATTGCAGGCATGGAGTTTGTCTTAAAGTATGTCCCTCTTACATATTATCATCGAGTCTGTACTAACACACGACAGAATTGAAGAACCTTGTCTGGGCCATCTCCACGGAGACGTCAAAAAACCTGACGAACCTGGCAATCATGCCCTGACTGCGACGGCTCAACTCATGGCAGCCTGCGGTGATACATCACATACAAATAACCCACGTCTCCCGACATCGCCAACCTTTGGAAATACTCCATCATCTATGTTAGAGCGACTGTTGACATTAGCGCCTGACTTGTCGAATGAGGATGAGATGACGCCAATCCAGGCGTGGAATAGCATCCGGTGTCGGCCAAACTTTGGTGGATTTAGTACAAGTAGCTTGGGTATTCTTGCGGCGAGGTTGATGAAGGCTGCGAAATGTCACGGGTAGGTTCATTCAGATATCATATTCTGAGGTAGCTAACAAAGAATAGATTTGGTGCTGCGATAAAGCGATCTGTTTTTGAAGGTCTGGTATATGAGACCCTTGTTGCTGGACAAACCTTTTAGTCATAATATTTTTGCAACTGCGATTGAGACTACTGTATCATACCTACATCCTATTTTGACTGTCCTATCAATATCAAGGATCACCCTTTCATTTGTCCATATTGTTCGCGACTTGGGCATGGGGGCCATGCTGTATGTATTTTCCAGCGCCATGATAGTTGTTCGGGCAACAAGGTGCAGTGCTCGACAGTTCGACTCGGTGTTCATTGTCATCGCGTAGCCATAGCTGACCAAAGGCTCGAACAAACTCACTACGCCAGGTTTAGCAGCACAGATACGAACCATGCCACACCCTAAGTGACAGTGGCATATGCTCAGAACTCTTATTTAATCCCGCCAATCGCTCCTCTACTTCTTGTCAAGCTACCAACCCAAGACTTCGGTCAGCAACACCAGACAAGCAGTAAATCATTAGAAAACAACAACTTACGCAGCCGTTTACCCAACCTGTTCGGACAACTGAATTCACTCGCACGATGGAGTTCTTCTTATCACGAAAGGCTATATTGGAGCGCGAATTAGCAGAAGTCAATGCCACCATTTCGGTTCTCTCTCTAACACGCGAAAATGCGGATCAAGCGGATATCGATGCCGCCATTGAGGTTCTTTCTGAAGTACTTAACCAGGACGAGAACGAGTACGAAGTGGCTGTGGATGACCCCGATGATACTTCTCTCGACCTTCCGGACTCTTTGGATACTACCTCTGACGAGGAGGATATAGGGATGAGCGAGTCTTCTCCCCAGCAACCACTTTCCAAGCTGTCACTTCTAATCAATCCAGCAGATCTACCAAGAGATGGTCGATATGTGGACACAAGGCTCAAACAGGATGAGTGGCTCTTGGAAAAGCCTGATCGGTGCCTTTCGCGAGATGTTCTTTTTGCGATGTATCTTGCTGTGACCAAAAATCGGCTTAATTCAGTCGACTGTCCTGTCATCTTTCTCGCCCACCCCGGCGCTGCACACTGTCCTATACATCAAACTTGCACTCACTGGGAGCTAAGGTGGGAGGACAGGCCCCGACGAGAACCCGGATCCATTGAGTTGGAATTGTTCTGCCTCGACCCTAAGGCCCGCGAGAGGTTTGCGGGGCCTAAGTTGTGTTTCTTTGACCACGAGCATCGTCAGCCTATCAAGTGCGAGCCATCCTACCTGTTCAATGCTTTGAAGCCTAATTTCAGCAGTCTCAAGGCAACTAATCTTGATTTGGTTTTATTCCGAATGGTTGAACCTCGTAATGAGTCCGGTGATGAGTTGGATGGTGAGGCGTATGATCAGAAAATGGCTTTCGGGCTCATGGATCAGTATGGCCGCCATTTTGTAACTGTGTTACGAGAATGAGAAGGTGATCAGGATCACTTAAGCTGGCTCTTATCTGATATTAAAGGCTGGGCTGCGGGGCGATTGTTTCTTGAGATGGCGTTCTGGTTCCATAGAGGGTGATAGTTAGTTGAGATGGCTTTTATCTAGTGGAGAAAATCATGATGGCATAGCTGTGCTTTTTGTTATACCAAGATAGCTGACGGAATCTTGTGACAATTCGTTACAAGGGGCACAAGCCGAGCAGAGCTTTGATACTTCTGCATTAGATCTATCACTTGACATATTTTACGTAGAGAAAAATCCAAATATGAAAGCGCAATTTCCAACAACCAATGATGAAACTTTAGGCCTGTGACTTTGAAAGACGCCTTTGTATTGAAACGACGAAGTGTAAAATTTTCATTATATATATTCTTTTTAATTATCAGTATAATTAACCACTGGCTATTATGTTATCCCTGTCGCCGTCTTCATAGAGAGATTACACCTGGACAGCAGGAAATTCTAAGACGCCTTGTTCCAGAAAGCTACAAAGTTACAAATCCAGTCATCGATCTAGGATTTCACTCCCAGATTTTACGCAAATTCGAGATTTGCAGGCCGTAACTCCTAATACTCCTGCTTAATACTTGTGACTTCTTACTTCCCTACAACGTTGAACCCGGGCTTGCATTCACAAGCCCCTCACTCCAAACCAGCTCTTCCCATCTATTAGGCTCGCCACGCTTGTCCTCGCTATATTTCAGCCCGATCAAGGTAGGCAATTGATGTATCATGAAGCAAGTGGTACACATGAGGATTAGTGGCATGGATGTTGTGACGAGACGATTTCATTATACTGCTTCCAACTTAGCCACCCTAGTCCTCCCAGACACCCGGCTGGCTCCCGTTGGCAGTCCTTTCTTTCTGTCCCTGCCAATCCTCTATATTTACACCGTCCCGTCTTAGCTAGATTCGTGAAAGAAGGGTTCATGACTGTAAAATTCGTTTCAAAAATCCGGGGATCTCCTCTTAAGATATACCAGATTGTATTGCAAGGTGCAAGCTTGATGCAGAAGTGGGGGCAACATCTTTTCTTGGAATTGGATACAGAAACAATACCATATACCTTAGACTCAATACAAGTTGTGAAACAATTGTATCTCTTTTCTGAAAGTGCTAGAGAGTTGCTCCCGATGGTCTCGTTGATTCCAATCCTACCTCCCATGCAGAGGAATGTCCCAGATTCAGCCACGTTATGCAATCATACGAAATTCACTGAGTTCTCTTGCAAGATAAAGTCAAAGAGTAACAGCTTCAACTCATGTGGTCACGAAGCCACTCGACTTTATCCAGGTAGTGGCGTAAATACCGAGTTATGTCTTCTCGTTTCCTATTGCTTCAGGTACGAGAAAGTAACAAACCTCTGTTTTTGGGGTACAATGTTACGTCACAGGCAGATGATTACCAAGTCCGGCATATCAGTGATGGAGATTTGCGGTCAAAGACTCTGCTTTAACGTCTACAGTTACTCTAAGAGTTGTTGCCGGGGTGTCGAAAGTCTTGCCCGTCACGCCATATGTGAAACTCGTTCGTGTAAGCATTGAGATGTTGCGGTAATTTGAAAAGGATTGCGGAGAATGACTCGGGTATATCCCGCTCCGCATTGGTGTTGCATATGTATGTTGTCGGAATCCTCGGTCATTGGCAGAACCTTAATGCTCTCCCAACGGGATGCATACCCGGAGGCTGGTAACATTCTTACAGGGACTGAGGGACATGACTCGAGCATTTGAGTAATCAATTAATCTATGCGCGATTGGTTCATTCTATTTCATCTGCGGCAGACTTGACCAGACGAGCAGCCGAAAAACTTATAGGGGAATTATCAAGTTATTGGGCATGCTACCTCGACTGTCTGTTTCGTGTCTTGATGAGATGTGATTCTGGGTGAGAGACGCGTATCGCGCGTCTGACTCGGGTTTATTGGCTCGGCAGATAAGTGGGATGGCAATGGGATAATTGTATGACAAGGACGTAGGGCGGCGCAGAAGGCCCTGGTCCTTGGAAGCTTCACAAAGTCTAAGTCGAACGATATTTCGCAAGTAGAAAAGCTTGCTATGCAACGTGCCTGAATCTCTATTGAATTTAGTACCTGTAAGATGTCAGACAGTTATTCCATAGTTTACTCTTGTGTAAAGTTCTCGAGGGACCAAGAACCAAAGCTAATGAATCGTAGATCGTGTGATATTGCCAAGAGTGAGGTTGTCCATGGGTCGGGCCGTAACTAGCGATTCTGTACTCAGGTTAGCTTCACGAGCCCCTGCCTCACAGTCGCGAGTCTCGGGGAAATCGGCTATGCTATCTGGGTTATGAAGCCTTTAACTTCACAGGGAGTAAGGATCTAGGTGCATCAACTTCATGCAACCTGTAAACAGACTGCAGTATTATGAAATGTCGTCTAGCGGAAAGCAATATCCGGACACGAAGGGACGAAAAGAACAACAGTTCTCAAGCCAACCTTCGGCAATTCATCAAGACTCATCATGTAGGCGTTCTCTGATCGAGCATAAATATGGGAATCTGGGCCCAGGTTTGGAGCCTGGATCATCATCTCCAGCAAACATCATATCTTCAAACTTTCTAAGTGGTCGAAAACAATAACTACAGACATACATCATGAGTCTTACACATATTTATAAATCCTCACTGAGAAGACCTTCCTCACCCTCTCTCATCACTCGTTATATGATGGTCCGCAAGATGGCCTCGGCTGCTGCTGCTGTTGCTCCTGCTCCTCAGCCTCATATCCCCAACATCCTCGATGCATCTGGTCCACCCCCTGGTCACTCCGTCACAGTTGGGAATCTCCAGACCTTTATCCTACCTGAGAAGGTCTCCAACAACGAGGCCAACCGCAAGCTCGGCAAAGCCCTTGTCAAAGCCTGGCAGAAAGATGGCATATTGCAGATAAGCATGACACCCGAGCAGCACGCACTTTACAAAAGTGCCAATTATGCTAGTAGACGCTTCTTCAGCAAGCCTTATGCTCAGAAGGCTGCTTGCGTTGACAGTCAGACTTACTCTGGCTATATCGCTAGTGGTGAGGAGCTCACTGACGGTATTGCTGACTACAGCGAGATATTTACTGTAACCAAAGACCTTGAACTTGATGAGCCGAGGGTTGTTGCAAAGTGGCCATGCCATGGTCGTTGTCCCTGGCCTGACTATGAGATGCAGAACCCCATGCAGCGTTACATGCAGAATCTGGGGGGCGTTGGAGAAACGCTCTTGCAGCTCACTGAACTGGGGCTTGACGTGCCTGAGGGATCACTTACCAATTACACTGAAGATGGGTGGCATCACCTAAGAATTCTTCGGTAAGTCTCGAATCCTCATTTTCCGTGTTGAGTCAGCGTCATTAACAATTGTTGCAATAGCTTTCCTGCCATTAATAAGACAAATGGCAAGGGTAAGGAAGGAAGAGGGATTGGATCTCACACTGACTACGGACTGCTCGTTATCGCAGCAGCTGACGATGTTGGAGGCAAGTACTTCAGATGACTCTCGCCGATAGCCCGTAGCTAACCCGTTTTCTCGAAGCTTTGATGATTCGTCCTCCATACAGCGATGAAAAACTCGCTAATTGGGAATCGAGCGCTGCCGGCTTCAGAGAAGATGATGAGAGATGGGTCTTCGTTCCCCCTGCAGAGAATGTCTTCACCGTCTTCCCAGGAAAGTTTACGTCCCGGTACACGCGATACCTACTAACCGTCTTTGGCCTTTAGGGGACATGATGCAGTACATCACCAACTCAGTCCTTCCCTCAACCCCCCACAAAGTCGGGCTTAATCTCAAAGAGAGGTTTGCTTTTGCTTACTTCCATGAGCCAAGTTTTCAAGCAGTTGTCAAACCTGTCCCGGGCTATGATGTTGGCCAGGAGCCCGAGGATGGAATCCACTATGGCAAGCATTTCACTAACATGTTCATGAGAAACTACCCTCAGCGCATTACTACGCAGAGATTGAATGATGAGGGTCGCTACAGGCTCCTGGAGCAGGAGAGCCTTCAAACCATGGCCCCTTGAGGTCAAGGAAGCGGGATGGATAGATCTCTTTAAATCGTCTGACTCAATTGTGTTTTCCATGAGATGACTTAAAGTGCACAAGCTTGTATCTCGAACTTGACAGGAATGACAGAAGAGAGAAGGGCTCGTATACAAATCCATCGATTCTTCGTGAATGAATTGACAGGCTGCTCCCATCGACATTCGCCTGAAGTGCATGAGTGTACTTGGGCACCTCGCCAACCAATGTGCACGATCCTTTGTCGAGTCACTCTTATCACTCGTCACCAATCCCCCCGTGTATCCTCCCCATATGCCGATAACACTCTTCACCATCTCTAAAGGTTTCCAAGCAGAGCCAGCAAATATCAGTTCCACAGGCCGAGCAGTTTACATGAAAGCAGCCTTCATCTTTCTGTATGTGCGTGTTACATTTAGGACAGTCTTTAAAGCCCAGCTCTTCCTTTGCTTTGAGAAGTTCTGCCATGCCACCAGACGCGTTACCCTTGTACTGTGCGCATGTCTTTCTCGGGTGCGAGACATGGCAACTCGTGCAGGTTGCCGTCATGCATTTAGCGCATGTGAAGATTGGCGGGATGCTTGTTTCTGATTGAGCGATGCGGTATACTTGAGCGCATTCGGGTGTTGGACAGTAGCGGAGCTGGTCTTGGTGTCGACGCATGAGGAAGCGAATGAGGCTTCCAAGACATTCTCGAATATCTCTGATAGAAGCAGGTTCTGGATCTCCAGTAATGGAATGGCTTTTTTACAATTTCCTTTGTCTGCAACGCACTTGATGGAGAAGTCGCCGAACATGGACGCTTCTACCAGACACATATTAACAAAGCAAATTGTGCAGTAGACATGTCCACATGAAAGCGTGAGTGCTTGATCGGCTTCACATAAGCAGACCGCACAGTCGCCCTCGGCAGCATTTGTCGTCCTTGGATGCTCAGCATTGTGCCCCGTTGAGCAAGGCTGAATTTCTTGCAAAAGCTGGTCAAGATCTTCGCAGGCTGGCAGAAACCTGTCCTCCGGGCCGAAAACTCGAAACTTGGAGGATTTGATGTCGCGAATGATAACAACTTCGAGATCCCCTTCAATCTTCTGAAGCTCTTGTAGGCCTCCCTGTCTGCTCTGAAATCGGGAGACCATATGTTCTTCCCGTTGAAAGTCATTGTTCTGCCGTTGATGATATGTTCGAGCGCCTCTTTTGCTTGCGTAAAAGGCCCACGATCTTGGCTCTCAAGCTTCAGAACTCTGTAGCAGCCGTGCTCGAGGAGAGAAGAGTAATTAACAAATTGTCGTTCCCAATCTTTTCGTAGCGACTCGATGCTGTCTTGAACAACACAATAGACTCGTGTCGAAACCCGGAACTTTACCAGATGGACATGCTGAAGGTAGAGTTTTCCTGATGGGTTGAACGGTAAGTACGTGCCATTCAACTGCGAAACTGCATTCAGGGCTTCAGATTCTTCGATAAATCTGGCTTGCGCCTTGACTCTTCTTGCTGTGGGACTTCCAAACACGTCCCATCGTTCCAAAGCGCCTACATCGTATAGCAAGGACTTTATCATGATCAAATCAATATCCAAGTCCGTTTCGTAGCTCGGATGACCCATCTCAACATAATAAAGCGCTTCAGACGGGGAAAACATATCTGTGATACCCTCCGAAGTGACACTAGCCACCAAACCCTCCAGGTCCATCTTCCATGGCCCATCCTTTTGGGCGGCATCCATTGCGGCAGGGATTTGGGCTATGACTGGCAAGCCACCGATTTTGAGTTCCTGGTTTCTGAACTTGTAATACGACTCGAATGCTTTTGCCGGAAATATAAAGTGGAGAGTCACATTCCTTGTCGGTCGATGCCATGAGCAGCGCACGTTCTTACTGTCAACGAAGCCAAATGATGATCCATCTAGCAATGGGGCCGAAATTTGGTTGACTTCCAAATCAGGTGCTCGTATACAGGTGCGTAGTTTCCAACAAGCGGATTTTGCAAACTCAGGATCCTTGACTTTGATGATTGCCATTCCATTCCGATTTTTCACAAGCTAAATGAAGTCAATGTCGCTTATCGATACGGTGATGCCTACATCAGCCAACAGCTTTTGCACCGATCGTGCTGACGAACCCAAGGGCAGATAGCGCATTTGAATGGCGAAAAAGTCCGAAAGAAGAGAGACTATTGTGACAGCCGCTCCATCTCCAAATTCGACCCAAGCACCTCCGAGCTCACGAGTCCACTTTTCAGTATGGGAGTCATGCTTTGAGTGACCATTAGCTTTTAGGTTAATCACATCGCTGAAGGATAACGACGTACCTTGGGCTCCTCCGACCACTCAGTGTTGGGCTTATCGTGAGTAAATCTGCAGGTAACTCCTCTCTTACAATACACTTTGGCGAAGAAGCGACATGCTTCTCAAGGAGGTGGGGGTCCCTCATGGGCAAAGCGACAGGCTGAACCGTGATGGAAGAAACCCTAAGCGTAGAATCTACAAGGTTCTCTCTGTTGACGCTCTCGACGTGCATTGACTCGCCTATGAACCTCGTGGTTTTGCAGGCGTAGTTGTTCGACGAGGAACGGGAGATCATCATCCCCAGGGTCAGTGGGACGCTCAAAAATATTGCCCATGCTTCGGGATACGGGATATTGTCGCGTGGAAAATCTCTCAGCTCAAATGAAAAGTGGTGTCGTCACTATATAGTGAAATACGGTGGCGTTGCGGTGAATGTTCAAAGGCAAACATTACACAAATGATTCGGAGATACTGCGGCTAACGGCAGGGCTCAAGTTCAAGGTTTACGCGCCGTTCAATGATTAACCTCGAGTGACGAATTTAATAGTTGTAAATAAGTACTGAATAATTTTATTTTGTGTCTGACATTGAAACTGTTCAGACGATGCGGGAGGCCGACCGTTTCACTGAACGCGTGACGCGTGTTTGTGACACAGTCGATGATGTTGATCTGCAAACGTTACCCCGCAGATAAGATGATGCAGCAATAACATGCGTGTTCATCTTGTTTCATGGTTGATGCCAACTCTGATGCAGCATTTGGGCATGAGTGCGGCAAAGAATTGGCTTATGCCACGCATTTGGATGAGGTGGCAGTGAGTGGTTAAGTGCCCAAGCTCAACAAGCCTAAAGGCGGTGAAGCCTTCGCCACATCATGTGTTGGCAGCTGGAAGTCGAGAGAATACTTGGTCTTGACATAAATGACGCGGTCAGACACCCTCTTTACCTGGGTTCGAGATGGCCGTCTAATATTGTCATAGATTTGATAGTCCCGTTTATTTTGCTCACCGCTCAATCCATGCTGGGTCAGCGGGTCTTGGTTCTCTCTGACTGGCTGCTTCTGGTCCTAAAAAAGGGGCCTGGCATGTGCCTGACATATTTCTCGCTTAGGTAATGGTGATCCGGGTCCTTGGATAATTCTTAGCTTTGAATCTACCCGAGATACCTTTAAACCCGCGATCTGCAACGAACCAGTCAAGCAAGCTCACCACTCACTGATCCGACTACTACTGTGCCTGCACTAGGTACGTCTTCTTTCTGCCCTCCTAGGGATATCCTGGCTTCGCCTCAACTCGGCTCGCTGACTGCTCCCTCAGAGCCTCAACGGTCGCTCAGACCATACCCCAACAGCCCCGCACCTCGGCGCAGCAGAAAGCAAAACCAATTCGCAACATGGGCTCCAAGAAACGCAGCCAGGCCTCAGGTGAGGCTGGAAACGCTACTGATGCTTCGTCCCGCAGTGGTCAACCATCCCGCAGCCTCAGAAGGAGAGCGGGCGACATTGCCCGGAACAGCCTCAGTCCAACAGGCGCTGGCAAGGGCCCCGATGTGATTCAGCAGCTCGCTGAGATTCCCTTCAACGCCGAGGCTTTTCTCCAGGCGAAAGCTGCTCAGGCCAAGGCGCTGGATGCCGAGGCCAGTGAGACCGGTGAGGGCGAGGATGTCGTTGATGTTGAGTATGAGGGTACTCGTCCGTACGTTCCGACGGTTCACGCTCATCTCAAGGGCGTTGATAAGGTTTGCCGAAACGGGGAATGGTCGAAACCGCTTCAACGATTCTTGACGAGGCTTCAACTCGGTTCAAGCAATCTCAGCGTCATTTATGACTCAGACCTTGAAAATGTGGGGATTGAACCTCCCGAGGAGACCGAGTCTTGGGTCGATCAGAGTGAGCCATCCAAATTCGCAGGCCACGTCTACAGATTCCTCGGCCGTCAGTGCCGATCCGCCTCTTCAGATCGACATCTCTATGTCCTCTATCACCCCGATGCCGAATGGCATGCCGACTTCTACGACCTCCTCCAGGACAAGCCTCTGCCCAGCAACTTCCTTGGCTTCTCCGACAATTTGGATGCTCTCGTGGCCTTTGTGAGGTTCATCCGAAAGCGACTCGGAAAACGCGCCAACAATGCCATGTTCCACCTGCTCATTCCATCATCCCGACCCATGTCTATCAGAGACGCTCTTGAGTTCCCAGATTTGGGTGATCTTGTCATTCATGGCGAGACTCACGGCGGTAACAACTACGTCTGGGTCAATCTACCCACTTACGACGACTACCCTGCGAACCTGCTTCTGAAGCATGTTGAAAACGCCGTCCGCGGTGAGAGTGAATGGAAGACGACAGCGACAGTCAGCACAGCCATAGGAGGATTAACAGCATCACTGGCCGGTGCAGCTTTCACCCTCAGAGTCAAGGGAGCACCCTTCCCATCCCTCAAGACCTTCGGCATAGGAGCAGTCTGCACCACCATAGCCGCCCGAATCAGAGGCGCAGAGTACCTCCCCCTAGCAGTCCTCGGAATCGGCGGAATCTGCACCACGATAGCAGCGTTGCAGGTCAACAGAGGCTTGAGCAAGCGAGTACCCAGACTCATCGGCGGCACCGACACACCCAAGGAGCCCAAGGCAGAGCCCGAGAAGGAAGATTCAGCAGCCAGCGAGCAAGACGAGAGCAAGGACGAAGCCCCCAAAGAAGAAGAGGTCCTCCCCGAGCCAGAGCCGCCAGCTGTTCCAGAAGAGCCATCCAAGATCAAAGACGACTCGGATGCTCTGTCTTTCGTGAGCAAGGCCTCCAGCACGGGCAAGTCCTCGAGCAGCAAGAAGCATCGACGAAGTGAGCGAAGTGAGCGCAAGCGCAGGGATAAATAAGTTTGGAAAAATATATGAGATATCGGGTTGGAAAGACAGAACAAAGTACAAAGTACACTGACAGACAGCTGGACTTTTGATGTGTATTTTTTGTTTTTCGATTTCAATACGCTTCGAGTGCTGTTCTTGCTCAGTCTTTGGTTTTCATGAGTTAGAAAAACGCACTAAAGTAGAAATACAAATTGAAGACCTCTACTTGAAATGAGGCTGTTGTGTTCAAACAATCCCATTTCATCTGATTATGAAGGAGTTTCTGGTCGGGATGAGTCGCGAAACGGGAGGGCATTAGTCTACATGATTAGGTTCTAAACTTTAGCAAGACATATCCTAGTGTATGACTATATTGTTTCTCTCTCAAACCTTGACACTTTTCACTATAGCTAATTCTTCTCAATTGAAAGTACTACTCTTGGGTACAGTTTTGGGGAGATAGTTGTAGGTACAGGGTAGTTAACAATCCTGCGGAAGTAAGGATGAAAATTACCGAGGTTCTGTTGCCTGTGGATCTTCCTCATCTGATCATGCACTTTCTAATTTTAGCATTCACGACGTGTCCAATCGGGGCTTGGCTATCTTTGGCAATATCCACTCCAAAAACCGGGCCACGCTAGCCCGAAAGAACCAGTAGAGAGATGCAGGATCAACATTTATCTTCACGAAGCAGCGATATGTAATACAGAAATCATGATATCAAGAAAGTCATGTATGATGGAAGCTTAGTTGTAACAAACCAGATAAGACAGCCCATAGCCAAATGATGAAAAAACTCAGATGAGTTGCGAGTAAGTCAAGGTTCGCAGGTCCATCGCCAGCCAAGAGAAGAGAATGTAATACAAAATGCGAACATCAAATCGATACTACTCAAACCATCTACCAAAGCTCACAAACAGGCTTCTTCTGTGGACACTTGAACGCTCGCTGGAAATCAGCGGAATTCTTCAACGGCAACAAAATCCTGGCCTGGTTAGGACTATGCTCATCCGTCAACCCAGCAATGACCTGGTCAGGCTTAATATTCTGACACCAATTCTGACCCCACTTGACAAAGAACAGCTGCTCATGCGTAAAGTTGCCGAGTCCAGGTAGATCTTGTGCTTTTCCATTGTCCTTCTCCCATTTCTTCCAAGCTGCGAAGCTAGAGAGAATACCACCGGCGTCTGCGACGTTCTCACCCAAAGTGAGCTCTCCGTCGATCTTCTCCTCTTCGCCATCGGAGCCGGTGATGGTGAAGTTGCTGTATTGCTTGATGAAACACTCGGTGGACTTTTTGAATCCTGCTGTTGACTTCTCATCGAACCATGCGCTCTTATTACCCGTCTTGTCATACTGATGGCCATTGTTATCGAAACCATGAGTGATTTCGTGCCCAACAATGCTTCCCATACCACCGTAGGTTATGTAAGCCGGATAGCCGACATCGTAGATGGGAGATTGTTGGATACCAGCTAGGATTATCATGGTGTTTCCCGAGGCTTGATGGAAGGCGTTGGTGGTGAGAGTGCTAGATGGGAACTTCTGTCGATCAACAGGCTTGTCAAGAGATGCCCAGTTCTTGGCAACTCGAGACTTTGCGAAGGAAAGAGCATTGAGGATCAAAGATGGCGTGATCTCGATATCGGAATAAAACTTCTTTACGACCTTTGGATCAATGGCATTGGGCGATGTTGGTAAGCCGATCTTGCTCGTCATGGCGCGAACTTTCTCAACTGCCGTCTTCTTGACCTTATCAGTAGCCCAAGATCTGGTCCCAATGCGTCCGATAAATGCCTCCTCAAGATTATCGACGATCTGGGATGTAAACTTCTTAGCATCTGGCGTAAAGTGCTTATCGGCGAAGAATCGGGCGAGAATCCAAGTTAGACCTGTAGGACCGACGAGCTGAGAAGCTACATCGTCGTTTGCGATCCAGTCAACTCCATTGTCGAGAAGAATGGCGCATCGCTGCCATCGGGGTTGAGGACTACCTGGATCTCTGCCTTGTTGCTTGAACTGCCATTTGTTATAGGCCTCGGTCTGTGGAGAGTCGACATAGGTGGATACAGCAGCGATGGCTTTCCAAAGGAAGAAAGTTTGGATGACCTCTGGTGGGGTCTGGGAAAACTTTTGCGAGATGTTCTTGTATAGCTCCGCAGAGGTGAACGCGATCTTGGAATCATTGAACCCCTCGGGCGCCAATTGATCGACGACGTACTTGAAGTTCAACTGTGGGGCGATTTCTTGAATCTCAGTGATAGAAATGTACATATCCCCCTCAGAAGTCTCCTCGGTGTCTTTGTCCTGGCCTGCCTCCTCTGTCGCATTTGTCTCTGGGGCGGCTACCGGTTGGAGCGAGAGCTGAAGGGCGACGACCGACTCCATCAAAGTCTGAGCTTGGCCACGGGTCAAGTTAGCAGGATGAACCGAGTAAACAAGGTCACTTGAAATCTTCAAGAACTCCAACAGATCCTCGCGAGTCGATGGAAGACCGGAATCGGTGGGTGGCTGGATGCCAAGCGCCATCTTGTCAGGGTTCAACGGCTCTGCAGCCTGAATAAATCTCTGCGTTGTCTCAATCCCAAGGCTTTCAAAGAGCGTAAGAAGTTGACCAACTCCCTTTGAATGATCATATGTAGTCTCTTTCTTTGCATTGGATGAAGCAGGAAGCGTCGTGACAATTGTCTTGGCTAGGAGTCGAAGCTGGCTAAGACCCTCTTCTTCATGCGCGGTTGTGTTCATGCAGATTTGGTAAGCTTCCTGCATCTTGGAAAAATTCTCTTTATCAGCTTTAGTCTCGTCTTTGGTGAGATTAACTGTTATCCAGCCTGCGTCTGGGCCCGAAGGGTAGGGATTTTCGAGGACGCGTCGAACGAGATCGTAAACATGCCATTGGACAGCTCCTAGTACATCGACAGACGTCACGCCTGCTGGGATTGGATTACGTTCTGCCCAATTGCCGCAGACCACTGTGAACACATTAGTTATCTAACATCTTGTGAATGGTAACAAGCAAGAGACTTACACTCATCGAAGTCAGTGCATGGATCAATCTTTGCATGATTGGTGGCCATGCTGCCTAGAATGTCATCCGCAATATTGATGCATGCTGGGGTCGTGCAGAGGCTGTTGGTATCGTAGCCAGGAGATCCACGAGGTATGATCCCCATCTTAGAACAACAGAGCGAAAGATGTCTGAGAAGGATAAGAAAGAGTTGCCGGAAAGAGTTCTGAAACAGCTCCGACTGAGTTGATGCAGCAGAAGGAATGAATTGACTAGATGCTCTTATATAGATACAAGCCTCATGCTCGTCCTTGAGGCTGTGTTGGGGTCCAACAATCAAGACCATAAGCTCGTAAGATTAAATGTCGCTCTATTGGCTATCTCACCCGTGCTGACAGATATCGTGCATGCGAGGCCAGTATAATAAGTGGTTCAGATCATTATTTGATGGCGATCGAAAGAAAGCGCCAAATGCAGCGTAGCAGCCACGTCAATGCGCTCGAAAGTAGCAGCTGAACAAAGTATGGCGAAAATTGCTGCGGTCATCATTTCTGGGACTTGGGTGATACATGCTTCTTAGCATCGCCTTATAGAGCTATTTTCAGTTGGTTCAAGCGCTTGTGCAAAGTCCGGGGTGGGGGCCAAAGTATTAATAGTATGCCTACCTTCAGCAGTCAGCCAATTCTGCACTTCTTATGCTTATTATGATGATATGGCTTGTCGTGGGCGCAAGGTGAGGCAGCCTAGGTTGAAGCGTCAAATGGACATCGACCAGGATGAGGAGAGCATGGTCATGCGACAGCCATGAGAAAGTCGCAGAACGGTTTTGTAAATGCCTTGAGCTCGCCGCTGATGAGACCTTCGAGGCTGAGTCGGGAAATCAACCCAGTAAGCATAAAATAAATGCTAACATCTGGGTCCGTAATACGTACGCTTGTAACAGCAGAGCTGGTCCGCACCATGACTCGTTGGAGACCGGCAGTTCTCTTTACATGACTCATACGACACCCCGACTTCTGACAGTAAGCCGAGATCAGGATCCAACCGCGAGGATTATAAGTAGGATGATTTTTTCTTCGCCTGGCTGAACCATGCTCCATCATGAGACTTCTTGCAAAGAAAATTAAACTAGGGTTCGATTTCACCAAGTGAGCCAACATCAGTATTCGCTGAGAGATTGGTTCGTTGGGGAAACTGGTTGGATTGCAACGTTAAAATAGTGGTAGACTCGACGGATAGATGACGCGAGAAATACTTTTGTAACTACTTCAAACTTTTCGATCAGAGTTGAATCCATATTGAAATAGTCGGAAAGACAAATTAGGAAAGAATTAAACGCAGGATCGTCGTCGTCTTCATTTCGTGTACAACTCAGCCTCATTTCAAATTCGAGAAGAGTGAGCCTAACCTAAATGAGCAGTAACTGAACGCACCTCAATATCCACCTTGGCTCAACTTCAAGTATAAAGACAGAGCGATGTCCAGAGAATTGGAATCAACAACACCATTCAGAAGACATCTCTTACTACATTGTACCACTCTTTCAAAATGCAGACCTTCAACGTTCTTTTCATCACTCTTGCTACTGCAGTAGCTGGGGTAACTTCCTCCAACTGCCCTCCGTTCCCAGCTTCAATGACTCCGTTCTCTCATGGCTTCAAAGAGCCTAAACCACCTGCTATTAAACCAGAGTACCAAGCACACTTCGTACAGCACAAGTGGTAAGCCATCATCTCACCATCTACCTAACTTTGCTGGTTACTGACTTGAATACCTAGGAATGGCGAACTGTCACATATCACAGCTGGCTTCATCCAAAACTCTCCAGCCAAGGGCTTCGTCCGCGCCGATGAAGCTTTCGACGGTGTTCTTGCCTCTTCAACTTTCGACTATTCCAACGTCACCAAATCCGGCTTGGTTGATAACACCTTGACGACCTATGATCCCAAGAAGGCCAAACCAAGTGTTTGGAGAGGATACGTGAACTCGAACTATCCTATTCTCAACAGGAATATCTTGATTGACTCTGGAGCTGTCTTTGAGGGATTTGTCAAGAGGGATTTCACTCCAACTCCCGTTGCAGCAGTGAGTAATTCATGCCCTTCAGAGGAGTGACTAATAACCCTTTTAGTGGAGTATCATGTACCAGAATGCAGTTCCCGTTACGGTCTTTGTCAACGAGTGTGGTGTTATTGTTGGCTATGATTACTTTGCGCCGGAACTGCGAACTCGGGTCATCATGGAGTTCTTCAACATTCAGGCCAAGTAGACCATTGGGTGTAATGGATGGGGGTTTTCGCTGCGATGAGGTTTCCCCCAAGTATTCGAGTTATTTAGAGTAGAAGTGAAGTTCAATAATACGCCATTTTATTTCCGAATCACGGAATAGTAATTCCATATGAAACTTTGTTTAGGCTTATGACCTGAAAGCTTAAATCTACATATCAAGCCGTTTAGACCGAGTCCCCTACTTTACTGTTCAAGTAGTAATATTCCCATAGCTCCACTAAATCAACCTTGATCCTCCCCGACACAACAAATCCTTTCTGTGATATTAAGTCCAGCAGCCTTATAATCTCCTTCCTCTCTCGGGAATCCGTAGAGTTCGCACCCGCCATTCGGAGTGGAAATATCGCCAACACTCCAGCGATGTGAGAATGTTCAAGGACTTCAGAGCAATGAGAAATCACACCAGTGACATGAGTTTCAATCTCACTAGAAGTAAGGACAGGGATGATTCTCATGTCCCAGCAGTCATAGAAAGTGAAGTTCCTGCAGAGAAACAACTGAAGGGCATGGTAATTTGCCAATGCAAGCTTTCCATACGGTCCAGCTGACTTCATGGATGCTCTGCGTTGGGAGTACCAAGACTGAAGTTCGTACTGGAAACGACAACTTTTTGACGCCAGTATGTCCAGATCCGGATGACTGTGTCGCTGGTATTCTGAAATTGACTCAATTTGGTAGAAAAAACTGGCATTTGGTAAGAAATTGCTCCTTATATACTGATAGAACTGACCTTTTACTGAAAGAAGAAACCTTCACCATAAAATCAAGGATTTCGTCTAATGGGCTTGATGATGCCATGCTATGAGATCCATGTCGGTCCATACACTGATAGTCGGATAAAACAGTGTCTTCACCATAGAGAATTGCTCGATTTCCCTCTAACAGTCTGAAAGTTTCAAAAGACTGACAGCCGAGATAATCGGAACGACTCTCCGCCCCAGAAAGCTGAAATATCCTCGATGTGCCATAGAGCATATGTTTAGCCCACTGGCCTCCAGACACTTCAATCATCAACTGCGCGAAGGATTAGAATACAAGCAAGTAGATATAACGATACTCTCTTACCTCGAACAAGCCAAGAAGTAATGTACACCAAAGAACACCTTGGCAATGTAAGGCGTCTGGTGATCGGAGGTAGTGCTGAAGGCTTGCAAGTGACTTGCTATATGATTTCAATGCGAAGTGGTATGGGGATGGAAGCTCATCGAAAGACCTTGCATTCGGGGATCTACTGATTTCCAGGGCAGCAATCGCAACTGTTGCCTCTCGCAGTGGTGCACATGTTTGAATCAGAGGCAGAAAGTCAGAGCCTAAATTTGCGAACTCGGGTGTGAATTCACAACGTTGAAGAAACAAGAAGAAGGTCTTCAAGTATGTACTGTCGGGCTTCTCGCTGATTTGCGGCTGTAGCTTGCTCCTTTGTTGAAGCACTGAGTGGCTGACAAACTTCAGCTCGGACATTGCAACAGCTTGTGGCTGGCAGTGTTTCTTCATACGGACGCAATATTCGCAGGGTGTGCCCCCTTGGCACTTTTCTTCGCGTTAGCTGGAGTTAGACTACAGTCTGCGATATCTCTCGAACCTTGATGCGTCTCCTTGCACATGATTGGCAGCGGGTTAACTTTTTACGCTGATCTAGCGGACCAACGATACGTCGGTTCTTCATTTGATGTTCTGACTTGTATGATTGGCTTCTGAGTAGGATAATTATGTCGAGCAAGTCCTGCCGGGAAATATGACTGGAATTATCATTTTTTGTAATCACGCCTGATGGACGCGCAACTTCGTATCGAGGCTCAGTTGCTCAGCCCCACCCGGGCTTGACTCAATAGGGAAGTATTTGAGCGCGCTGGAGTAATCTCACGATTAAGCCCAACCAATCACATTTCTCCGTCATTATCGTATTACTCGCTCGCGGTTCCGGAACAGGAAAACAATGGAGATCTTTGAAGAACATGTAATTCCACTTTTCATTACCTTCTCAATATAATCTCTCGGAATTGTCCAAATAACGCCATTTTTCTGAGATTCTAACTTTTCATGGCATTCTTGCCAGTAATTATGCAGCCAAAGAGAAAAACATGGCCGCGAGTCGTAGGTCCCTTTTATAACCTTTTGCGGAGGACGAACCATTGTCCAAGTAACAGCGATCGTCCTGTGATAAAGAAGATGGCAGCGAGGACGATAATGGCGAGATAGAAGCAACCCAGGAGCTGAGCGCCCAGCTTTTCGAGCAAAATTCCACTTAGTGGATTTGCAAGGAGCAGTGCGACAGCTACACACATATTTGTAGACCCTACTTTTGAGTTAGTAGCTGAATGTCACCAGGGTCGAAGTAAAAAACTTACCAAAGTATCGAGCATAATCTTGTGGCTCACAAGTCTTTCCAGTACATACTGCAGGATGTTAGCATTGGCCAAATTGTATCAAACGGAAGAAACTTACGTGGTGACAGCACGTAGAAAGATCCAGAACAGTATCCCCAAAGCGCCGTAAAGGTATACATGAGTGGAGCAGAGGTCGTGCTGAACGGGATAAAGATGGAGGAGATGAACACCAGAATGACCAACATGGTGGTGATCATAGCATTGAACGGTCCAACCTTGTCTCCCACGAATCCAATCGAGAAACGACCCAAGCACGAACAGGCACCCAAGATCGATAGCAGAGTGTATCCATCCTCGGTGGAAAATCCGGCCCCTCTTGCGATAGTCGGTAACAGGCCACTGATTCCATAGTTGACGAACTCAACCATGCAGATACCAAGGGCAGTGACGACAAAGCTCAAAGACTTGAAAGCAGACAAGTCTAAACTGAAGCTCTGAGGTTTTTGAATCGTTAACTGTCCTTCTGTGAGACGACGGAATGGGAGATAGCATAACACGCCAAGTGACGTGATGCACGCGATGACGAGCGCAACAAGCCTCATCGACCACGCCCAACCAAGTTTGCCAAATGTAGCACGGAGCATCATGGGATAAATAATACCACCAAGGGATGTACCCATGACAGCGATACCCATGGCAAGACCACGACGGCGTGTGAAGAGTTTACCGATGACTCCGATAGCCGTGACAGCACCGATACCGCTCCCGATACTGCCAAAAAGGCCGAGACAGAGGATAAAATGCCAATATTGCGTACATTCAGCTAAAAGCAGGAATGTGACGGTGGAGAATGCTGCAGCGATCGGGCCGAGAATCTGAGGGCCATAGCGATCTAGTATAGAGCCGATCTGGAAGTTGAAGATGAGTGAGAGAAAGAGATAAGTTCCTGATATCCATCCAACCTGGCTAACACTGTAGCCGCTCAATTCGTTGAGTGTTAGATGGGACTGGATTGTTCCGAGGGAGTTCATAAATCCTAAAAGACTTCATTAGTAAATGTCCTGATGATGTTGAAGTAATAATACTTACCATAGGAAGAAACCAGGAACAATAATGATCCTAAGACACAGAGCCAGGCGCCGATGTCTGACTCAATGTCTCTTTTTTCTGGTTCTTTTTCGCTGTCTGAGCCACCAGAATGATCTATCTGGCTTGGAGGTGCTGAAGTCGGTGCACTTTCGATGTCTGGAGTTGCCGCGTCTTCGCGATATAGAGTAGGGGAGGTCGACCTTGATCGCTCCATGCTGATGTTGTTGTTATAATCCAATGTGTAATTAAACTCTTGCTGTCAAATACAGATGTCTTATCCTGAGAATACAGTCACCGACTTATACTCTATTTATATGGTAAAAGTACCTGACGTCCACCGCCAACAATCTCCACTCACGATATATCTTCTCATCATGAGCCTCAACATAAAAAAAAGAACGTATCTCTCGCTTATTCCAATCAACGCCATTCTCCGATGCCGATCTCAAGACTCGTGCCTGGGTCCAAGGAAAAGATTTAAAGAAATCTAATAATGGCCCAAGCTCGTTCGATCGACTCGGCCAGACCCGCCGTGTTGGGTCAGGCATCTTGTGTTGCAACTCCACTAAGTGGACCTCTTGACTAAAAGACTGAAGGTCATGAGTGATTGCGACACCGGGAGAGGTAGTAACACAATAGTCATAATATCCACGTCTCGGCCAGACTTTTCTCATGAACTTGTGTACGTCGCTACGTACTTGGACCATGAGGTTCGGTGAGTATCGTGGTTGTGCACGGGAATAACGGAGATCCACCGCCGTCAGGTACAGACAGTAACGTGTACGCCGCTTCTCGGTATTGCCACTGCTGAATGCCGACGATCTGACTTTGAATCGGTGTGAGTCCGGGTGCCTTGGAAATGCCCAGATGTCGTATTTATTGTTTATTTTAGATTTTATTAGCTTATTTATTAGTGTTTATATCGTGATCTTTCCCGGCTACGCTGGAACCTTGGGATCCCGCATCATCATATCATGTTGAGGCTGACTCGTCATGTCCCTTGGTATCGCCACACACAGTGTTTATTTCTTACAATTCTAGCAATGTTTGTAATGTTTTAGGCTTCAAACTCGCTGATAACTGATATTTGAATATAATCTTGCACTGTGAAGCATATACTGTAAGCACTACTTAATTTCGAGATAATTCTACAGTGGAGAGGTGTACGCTTGCTCACGTGGTTGTGCATCCGATATAGGAGCCTTGCACGTAATATAAAACTGAGACACGAAGGTCCATCTCTTCTTCAGTCTTTTCAGGCAGCTGGGGGAGGCAAGAAAACCTCTAACTTCAATCCTGAATAACAAAAAGTCCTAAGTAAATTTAATATAAACTTGGGTAAATCTAGTATAGATTAAGTTAACCTTTAGATCAGTCTTTTTTCGCACCTCGATTCACAGTCAGAAGTCTTTTTACCCCCTGAGGGGCAGTCAAGAGAGGTAAACGTAGTGGCAGCAAGCCCCATAGAAGACCCGATAAGATATGTCTCCAATTGAAAAGCTTGTATATGATCAAGGTTGCTTGACTTCTCAAGTTTAATCAAAAGCCATTGCATGCGTCTCAATCGGGGTTAAGTCCAGCATTGCAAGGTTAGCGTTGCAAAACTAGTCAATTTATCCCGAACAGCTTCGGAGATCTATTGGGACAAACTGTCGATTACACGAGATATGACTCAGTACTAGCTCTCTAGAATAAAATGAGTATCACTCTGTGAAGGATATAAACGATGACGGGCTTGGGGTGAGGTCTAGATCATTATTGTGGCATTATGGAGGTCATAGCTAGGTAAGGTGGAAGTTCTAGGACATCTCTTTGCTAAAGCAATACCTCAAGAGCAAGAGTTGCCATTATCCTACAGGCAGTCACTAATGCTAGGACTAGGACCAGATTTTATTCCAGTGTGCAAGCTCGTGCTAGTAGGAGCCCTTGCATGCAGAAGGAAATAGATACACTCGAGAACTGGGTGGCATTCACGCCTGGGTAACCTCGTGTGATGCGTCGTTTCGACAAACAAAAGGTTTCTATAAGCGGAGGGCATATCAAAAGGTCTTTGCATCTAGTACCCGCCGAATAACTCTAACCACAATAGACTACTCGCAAGCTACCCCTCCAAGGAAGTCGGGAGCAACGTCAGCCAATAGACTGCATAAGAAGGCGATATTCCGAGACGAGTTGCCAAATACGAAAATAGGCACGTAAATGCTAGCAAAATTTGGGTAAACACAGCGGATTTCAGTGGCAAGTTATGCAACTACTGGACGGCACAGCACTCTCCGGGGAATGAACCTGCGCACCCGCTGGTGATCTTCCGGTCTGAAACCCTCCGGATCCATGGAATAGGCAAGTCGAATTGACTGTGGAGACAATTTATGTGCGGGACATTTTCAGCTGAAAATTCAATGTAACATGAAATACGACTTGCATGAGACTAGTGGAATTGTATGCAAAGCAGATCAGGATCATCATCATCATTGGATAGAGCTCGGGATATTTGTTTGATCTGGAACTGGTGTCACGAGATGAATACTACCTTCGACTATTTAGGTAGACCGATGTGAATACTCCTACTGAGTTTTCGTTGTCAAGATCAGCCCACCTTGGTGATTGATGTGCATTAAGCGCTGGAAGATGCAGAAATGAAGAGGCGTAGGTATGGTTTTGGACCAAAATCAAGTAAAAAGGTTCCTATCATCAGATATCACCTGCGTTGTTAGGTATGAGTTCGAAGTATAAGAAGCCCGATCTCCTCTCGCATACCTAGAACTCCAGACAAGAACTTCAACTTCAAACAATTGGCAAACGATCTCTCTCAACACTCTCTCTTCCCACACTCCAGTAAATGACACCATATTGTTTCCATACTTCTACAATCTTGCTAACATACCGAAACCTAGAGCTTATCAAGATGTTCAACCCACTTTACGTTGTTTACGCCCTCTCCGCCATCGCAGGAGTTGAGGCATGCAAGAGAACTTGCTCTGCCTCCAACGACGCCGGCACCACCTGCAGCTACTCGTGCACCCAGGTTTGCTCCAGTATCTCGGCCAAGCAGGCTCGTGATACCTTCCTTGCTGCTCTACAGTCCGGCGGCAACTCGTGCTCTGCCGTTGGAACTAGTGGTGTCTCATGCAGGAAGACGGCCAAGTTTGGAAGCTGCTATGATCATCACTGGTCATGCGGCAGTGGCTGCTAGATTAGTTACGAGAGGGATAGTTATATAATGGGGCAAAGTATGAATGGAGGGCATGAGTGCGAGAATGGAACCTATGCAAGTCTGAGTCAACAGTTAATTTCGGCGGGTTTCACCAGTATTTAGCTATATGTTCCAGAACAACTCTCCTATTCATCAGGATTAACGAAGAATTCTTCAAAGCTAAAGGGCTTATCGATTTGACCATCAGTGCATTGAGGCGTCTTGATGCGTTGTAAATGAGATGAGCAAATCGAAATCCCCATAAGGTAAATGACAGTAACCCCTCCACATAATGTGTTATTCTTTTGCTCCCAGTTCTAACCTAAACACTACTCGATGAACCAATACGCCAGCAGCTTGGTTTTTGCATCTTTAGTGTATGTATCACTTGTTCTAATTACTATCACCTCGCTTTCTTGATAAACTGACTGCATTCTTGCGCCTCTGCTCACAATGCGATCAAGACTTCTGTGGATTTTGGCTGACTCAAATACCGAAAGACGCAGGCCGGACAACCGTATATCCTTCGGCACTTTCGACGCACCGTAGCATTAGCAATTTACAACAGAGCAGACTCATATTGAGGGTATTAATATTCTGCACTTTTAAATCGGCAATTGATCTCGTCTTGCCCTATCAACTAGGAATTGGAAGTAAATAGCACCGGACGCTATTGACCTTAGTGTAGGCGGATATTAGTTCGCGTAGAGGCTCTCGTAGCAGAAAGTTTGTCGTTGAGCTAAAACTTAGTAATATAAGCATATATTATCACCATCGGCAGAGGTCACGGTATATCGCCGAGTATGTATGGAGTTAAATACCACCTCGGCATATGGGAAGTTCCGTCAAATGGAACAGATCCGAGCCGAGTTACCCGCAAGACCCTGGGAGTGCACGGGCGAATACCCAAAAACTGTCGTCTGGGCCACTATGCTGCAGGGAACCCTGCACTTGCATTGCTGGAACAGTTCGCTGAACCCTTTGCTTTTTCGAACACTATAATGAACTGCGTTAACATGATATGACGAATTCAGATGCGACCCAATCAACACGATGGTCTCTACCACGCCGCTTTTGAGAAAATAGTTGGAGACCTTTTACAGCAAGCATTTGTCACTTATGCATTGGTATCTAACACTAAAACTAACTAATGAATTGTAATGCTTACCTTACCTCCCATGAATGTGCCCCGGAGTGATCTCTCCCCTATCCAACGGTCCCTGAGCTGAACTAATGACAATTTCCGTCTTGCGCATGATTCCATCCTCCTTGGCCAAAATATCTTCTGCACTATCACCAATCTGCTCATCAACCCCACTGCCCAAAGGCTGTAGTCCGTTTCTTCGGGAAAGGTTCTTGCGATACGTAGATTGCAGCGCGTAACCGGAATTGTTCTGGGACTTGCTGCGGCTGCGACTCCCGACGCGGGACTGCTCGCTGAAGTAGCGCACCAGAGGGGCGAGTGTCGGAACGCAGGCGACTATTATTCCGAGATTGTTCTCGATCATTGACCATTTGATGAGGCTGGCTGAGTCGAGAAGGTTGGAGAGGGATTTGATGGTCTGAATGCGGACGATTTGGATGATGGAGATGAATATTCCCATGGCAAAAAGACCGAGAAGGACGACTTTCTTGCGGTTCGGCATTTGTAGCTTGAGTAGAGTCGGGAAGGGGAGCATCATGCTGTATTTTCTCGTGGTTAGATAGGTTCTGATTGCCAATATCGTAAATACTCACACGACGACGTCAAAGACGATGGTTATCGAGGCCATAGTTGTATACATAGGTACACCTTTGAGACAAGAGCCATGGGTAATGCTCAAATCCCATTGTTTACGAACCTACGAGTAGGTCGAGTTAGCAAAGTCAAGCATTACACTCGTTTGGAGGGCCACGTACAGGTGTACAGAGGTTGATCTGCGCAATCAAGAACGAAAGATGGAACAGTGTGCAGGCAACAGCAACGCCGACTGTGACTTTGTACCAAATGCCTGACGCCATGAACCTCAAGTACGAGATCAAAAGGCTGAGCTTGAACCCGAGAATGCTAGATATGTAACTTTTCGTTGTCGGTAAGTATTCGTTCGGTATCGCAAGAGAGGAGTCGATCTTACAATGGCGCGCCCATGAATTGTAGCTGCAGACGTTGTTAGCTTTTGACAGACAATTGAGAGACCAGGGACTTACCAGCATGAAGTTGTAGTAGTTCTCTTGGGGCAAATCGTCAATTTTCTTCAATCCGAGTCCCCATTTCGTTTCTGGAATGTGTCAACTTGTGATCGGCAACACTGGATCTTAGCGAAAGTTCACTCACGTATCACTGTCACAATAGCAAATCCGCAGCTTGCGATCTGTGTTGCTGATCAGTATGTCATCTGGGGATCGAATGCAGATCACTTCTTACCCATGTCGCGACGATGATCCAGTCATCTACAAACAGGACACGTCAGTGCCGATGAACAACAGGGAATTGATAGGCTTTTCTTACCAGCTCCTACCGACTTGAGCATAAACCCTCTAACATAGACTCTCAAGAGAACCGTAAGGAGCGCAACTGCTGTAAAGACAACAGCAATAGACGTGATTTGAGGGCCATCGGTTGGCGAGCCGCTCGGGGCGTTGTACGTCCAGCCTGACATTGGAAAATATGCGATAACAGTGTGGAAAACACAATCCGGCAGAGTACAGCCGACTTATACATTACTCTCTCCAGAACAAACCAGAAAAAGAAACTAGATTCTTCGAAATGAGCTCTGTTCCCAGACCATGGTCTGATCTAATGCACTCCGACAGCCACAAAACTCAATTTGGCAGGTCGCTTCTCTTCGAGACGATGCGAAATACAGCATTCATGCAGGGGTAACTGACAGAACGTTCATGGACCATTCATAATGGATCAAGTGTCCCGGCTGTTGAACCCCCCAGCGCCTTGGCATCGCATTACCGGCTCGACCGAGATAAGCTTCTGACATGGGAAACTGTCAGGTAGACCGTTGTGCCGGTGAACCTAAACATCCTAGACCAGCCCGGCCCGTGAGCCACTTCCGTGCCTGTCTCCGCTTTCAAAGCGCACTATCACCGGTGGGACTAGCTCACTACAGACATACACACCGATGCTTACGATGCACAACGAAACTCTAATAGTACTTATATAACCCAAAAAGTCAAAGAGACAACAATCACCCTTTTCTCTGCAAGATCTGCGACACTGTAGCATTTTCTGTGAGTCACACCCTTTGTCTAACTGGTTTGCGTTTTTGCTCACGCAGGTAGTGTTTCATCTGCAGGACATCAACCATGAAAGTGACAAGCTTCGTTACAGCCGCTGTGGCATTCTCCACTGCCCGGGCGTATGCTACTTCATCTAGCTGTAAATGCTTTCCTGGTGATGCTTGCTGGCCTTCGGATAACCAATGGAAGAGTCTCAACACGACGGTGAATGGTCGTTTGATCAAGACTGTTCCTTTGGGCTCTCCATGTCACGACCCTACATACGATGCTGTGCAATGCAAGGCCCTTCAGGACCAATGGCAACATCCCGGAATCCAGTAAGTCTGAAGCCGATGCAGTGTAGCCTTGTACTAACAAGACTTAGTATGGACTCCTCCTCGTCTGTCATGGCTCCTTGGTTCGCTAACCAGAGCTGTGATCCCTTCCAGCCTCAATCGCGCACCTGCGAACTAGGAAACTATGTTCGCTATGCCGTCGAGGCCCAGACCAAGGCTGATGTTGTCAACACAATCAACTTTGCCCGAAACAACAACATCCGCTTCGTGATTCGCAACACCGGACACGACTATAATGGAAGATCCACCGGTGCCGGTGCTCTCTCCGTCTGGACCCACCGTCTCAAGGACATCCAGTTCAAGGACTACAATGCCAATGGGTATAAAGGCAAGGCTGTTACCCTTGGTGCTGGTGTCCAAGGCTTTGATATCCTCAAGGCTGGAAACGATGCTGGCTATGTTGTCGTTGGAGGTGAATGTCCTACTGTTGGAGTTGCAGGTGGCTATACCCAAGGTGGTGGTCACTCGGCGCTCAGCACAAGTTTTGGCCTCTCTGCTCAGAACACTCTTGAGTTTGAAGTCGTTACAGCAGACTCTGGTGTTGTCACTGCTTCTCCCACCAAGAACTCTGATCTCTTCTGGGCTCTGAATGGTGGTGGTGGCGGTAACTGGGGCGTTGTGCTGTCTATGACTGTCAAGGCCTTCCCTGATGCCAAGGTTGGCGCTGCAACCCTTGCCTTCTTCAACACCAACAACGATCAGGCTACCTTCTACAAGGCGATTGAGACTTTCCACTCCAAGCTCCCTGGTATGGTCGATGCTGGTTCTATGGTTGTCTACTACTTCACCAACACCTTCTTCCAGATTGCTCCCTTGACAGCTTTTGGCAAGTCTCAAGACGAGGTTCAGACCCTTCTTGCGCCGTTCGTCAGCTCACTTGATACTCTGGGTGTGAACTACACAGTCAAGTACAGCCAGTCAACATCGTATTACAACCACTACGATACCTACTTTGGCCCTCTCCCTATTGGCAACATCCAAGTTGGAATTGCCCAGTACGGTGGCCGCTTGATTCCCCGCGACACTATCGTAAACAACAATGATGATCTCACCCAAGCTGCCATCAGCATCGTCGAGCAAGGTGTCACATGGATCGGTGTCGGCACCAACGTCGCACCCTTCAGCAACACCCAGAAGCAATCTCTTCTTCCAGCCTGGAACAAGGCCCTCGTGCACGCCACCCTCACTACACCATGGAATTTCACTGCCCCTTGGTCGGAGATGTTAGACCTCCAAAACCTCATGACAGATACAATCATGCCCGAGATTGAAGCTGTGACGCCTGGAAGTGGAGCGTACATGAACGAAGCCGACTTCCGTCAGCCCAACTTCCAGTCGGAGTTCTTTGGAGCCAATTACAACAAATTGTTGTCTGTCAAGGCGAAATGGGATAAGCAGGGATTCTTCTATGCTAGGAATGCAGTTGGCAGTGAGCAGTGGACTGTTAGTGATAACGGCCGAATGTGTAGGCCGAAGTATTAAGTAAATACTTGTGTAATTGGGCTGCTTACACTCGGAACAAAAGGCAGTCCTGATAAGACAAGAGCATAATTATAATAGTACTTTACTTCTTAATACATAATTCCAAGACAGCATGCCATTTGAGCACTAAGATTACACGACGCGTTTTACAAGTACAGCCTTACAGTCCTCCCTTGGCATCCATATCCGCCACTAGCATTCCTCCCCCACCAAGCACTATCACCGGATCTAAAGACCCGTTCAAGACAGTGGCGTTAGTGCTATCTGAAAACGCTACCATATCCTTGGGCGCGATTATCTCCCTGATTTTCTTGGCTGTCTTGTATGCTGATGATAAACTCGACACATCATGCGCCTCGACTCTGAAATGTCAATCAAAGAGATTAATCTCGACCTTTTTATTCAATGTGGCTTGCAGTAGTGAGGAATTCGGGAGACACTCAGTGTTGTGGCGCATTGCAAATCTCCCTTTTTCTACGCCAACACTTTCAAAGGGTCAAAATGTTTGAAGCATCCCTTAAAGGGGATTATCTCCCTTTTCGACTAAATATGTAATCCCCGCTACAAATCCGAACCGCCAACTTTCTCCATTTTCCAGACCCTCTTCAACTACTACCCTCTCCACGAGCAAGCATGACGATTATCACAAGGATACGCACCTCTAAGCCCAGGCGAGCTATTCTCGTCACTGGTGGGGCCGGCTTTATCGGCTCCCATCTTGTTGAAGCTCTTCTTGCTGAGGGCGGTTGGAGAGTCGTCGTTGTTGACAACTTTGACGAGTTTTACTCCCCCGAGATCAAGCGCGCCAACCTTGCACCCCATCTTCTCAACCCGAATCTTAAGGTTTACGAAGCCGACATTGAAGATCTCGAGGCCCTTCAGACTATTTTCGCTGATAATGGCTTTTCCGCTATTGTTCATCTGGCAGCCCGCGCCGGTGTTCTTCCTTCTTTGAGCCAGCCCAACAAATACTTCGATACCAATGTCAATGGCACTCTGAACCTGCTTCAGTGTGCTAGAGAGTTTGGTGTCAAGCAGTTCCTTTTCGGATCATCTTCGAGTGTATACGGTCTTGGTGCTAAAGCTCCTTTCTCCGAGAACTACAAGAGCACGCAACCTATCTCGCCCTACGCAGCATCCAAATCGGCTGGTGAACTGCTTTGCCACACATACTCTCATCTCTATGACATTCGCTGCATCTGCCTCCGTTTCTTCACCGTCTATGGCCCCCGTCAGCGCCCAGACCTTGCAATTCACAAGTTCACGAGGCTCATCCACCAAGGCAAGCCCATTCCTCTCTTTGGAGATGGCTCCTCGCGTCGAGATTATACTTATGTCGATGATATCATCGATGGCATCTTCGCTGCCCTTAAGTATGATGGATCTGGCTACGAGATCTTCAACCTTGGAGAGTCGCAGACAATTCAGTTGAGAGATCTCATTGGTGCTCTTGAGGATACTCTGGGACGCAAGGCGCGCATTGATAGAAAGGGAGAGCAAGCCGGCGATATGCCCATTACTTATGCTGACATCTCCAAGGCGGGGGCTATGCTTGGATACAAGCCCAAGACACAGGTCCAAGAGGGTGTTGTCAAGTTTGTCGCTTGGTATCTCAGTCAATGTGGCCCCTGATGCGGGACCTTTTTCATGTGTACTACAGGTGATTGCTTCTAACGGTCCGAGGTTCGGGTTTTTGGGTATACAATAATTATGGAATAATGGAGTATTTGCGTTTTGTTAGGTTTTCTTAGTCTGTCAGTCTTCAATTATAACGATTGCAAACGCTAGATATCGACCATGGTGACTTGCTCACTGTTGACTAGAATAAGGAAGTATTGAGGAATGGTGTAAAGAAACATGGTGTATTTTAGCCCTTGTATTCTACGAGTCTGATACTTACATTGAGGCTTAAAGCGGAAGGAGGCTCACTTTTGTCTCTCTCACTCATATATTATAAGGCTTAACGGTGAACTAAAGATGTGGTCCTCATCATCCCATGTATCAGGAACCCGATATGGTGGTATTTCGGGTATTAACGCCACTTTATAAGAGAATGTTATTTTCTATCTATTCCAAGCATTGGTTGTGCAACTCGGGTCAAATTAAAGTCACTGCTATCCCAAAGTTTCACAAAAGCCTGATGCTCAGCTGGTTGCGGTGGCCTCTATCAACTTAGTATTCAGAACAAAGCAAGCGAAGGAGAGTAGAAGTGGCGTAAACCCAGATATGTAAATGAAAATAAAAGAATTTCCATTATCAAGAGGTTAAAGAGGGTCATCTCCTCACATTCGCTGTCAATCAATCTTAAGCAAGGGGGTGCCAAGCTTGCCACCATTCTTCCTCCCCAACCACTAAATTGCTATGTCTCAAGCCACCAACCATGACAAGGGCAGGTCAGGGGTAGCCGCTACTTTCCTTCTTAAGCCCTTCAACATTTCACTGACGAGAAAAATCTCAGCGTCCATCTCAACAGCTATCTGGCCACCAATTTCCCTCTGAGAGACATTTATACATGTACTTTGATCGGTACATATGGTTGATCTACGGTGACCTTTCAACTATTACTCTCGTATTCGCAGACTGAACTTTTGTGGCTCAGCCACGGCTCCAAAAACACCAAAGCTGACATGGGTTACGCCAATACGAAGCCCAGTAGGGCACCTCTGTCGGCACTCTTCAGCGCACCCATTGTGTACAAAATCATTACCATCCTTTTAGCATTATTTCTGTCTTTCTCTGCCTTATCGTGGTGGTCGAGGCTCGAAATAAGTCCGACAGACTGGCAACAGGACAATGCCAACACAACAGAACCCGGGGCTCCAATTGACGAGGATCGCCGTTTTGCCTTGATTATTCCTTCCACCAAGTCAAGCCCAAATCTATGCAAGACGATCTTCAGTTCGCTCGCCTTGGGCTACCCAAGCCCAGTCATCATCAACTGGGGCGTAAACCATTGGGATATTTCACATTGGAGGCTTGGCAAAAATCTTCCCAAGATCATCGGATTTGTGAACTACCTTGATTCCGTTATGCACCCTAATGCTACTGCCACAGAGAAGCTAGAGGAAGATGACATCGTTCTCATGGTTGATGCCTATGACGTCTGGTTTCAGCTTCCTCCCCAAGTTCTTCTCAGTCGGTACCATGAGATCAACAGAAGAGCCAATGAAAGACTTCGCAAGCAATGGAACAGGAAGGACGCTCCCATGCCAATGAAGCAGACAATTGTTGTTGCAGGCCAAAAGAGGTGTTATCCTGAAGACCCGGAGCTTTACGGCGTGGATCTAAGATGCGACCTTTGGCCTGAGAGTCCGTTGAGAGAAGATCTTTATGGACCAGAGACGGAGAAAAACACAACTTTCTGGCGCAACAACAGGCCGAGATGGATCAATGGCGGTATGTACATTGGTCCAGCAGGCGATATGAGACGAATGTTTCGCCGCGCCAAGCAAAAGATTGAAGCATTTGTCGGCGAGGCTTTTCCTATAAGAAGTGAGCAGGGTATGATTGGCGACATCATAGGTGCGCAGGAAGTCTGGCGCCAATGGCAAAGAAACAATTTTGTCAACGTCGATTTGAAAGAGTTGATGGAGGAGAATCTTGAATTCCACGTGGGAGTCGATTACGCTCAGGATATATCGGTACAGACTTTCGCCACCGAGATCAGCTCGGAGAATAATATCTACGACGGAGACTTCGTTTTTCTAGACGATCAGGAGTCTATCGAAATACAGTCTGATGTCCGAGGGATATCGCCAGTGCGGGTGAAGGGCGTCCCGGATGATCTCAAGTCGGTCCAAAGCCCGCTGGTCGAGTACGGCAAGAGGGTTGATTGGGGCGACATGCCTCTCTACACCGATTTCTTCACCTCGACAGTGCCGGCGATGCTGCATCACAACAAATTCAAGGGAAGGCGTGCAAGTTGGTGGGACAGGCCATGGTACCACCAGAAGCTGCGAGGACTTGTCAAATCCGCCCTGCTTCCGAAAGAATCCGATGAGCCTCTGGCCGCCGTTCAGTTGGAGGGCAGCAGGATCAGATATTGGGCGGCGTCAGCCGAAAAGATAGACAGATATCCTCGGATGGGCAAAATCAATGCCAACACGACGGCTTACGACAGGTTTCCGAATATGGATTTGAATGAGGCTTGTCAGTATATTGGTGGCAAGAAGATTCATGGCCATAAATCGACGTGGGAGGAAGAGGTCTTTCGTGATGGTGCTGGAGAGTTCAACCCATAGATGATATATTGATGTAACAACCTTCGAGTTCCATTCGAACTTTTGACCGTAATCTTGATTAGGGTCCTGATGTTAGCATACTGAGCGAGTTGCGACAAGTTATATCTTGTGAGAAAGATAAAAGCCAGGCGATGGATCAACCAAACTTCTCAGGAGAATCGTGCGGTGATTATTCGAACGTAATTTCCGAGTGCATGAGGCTAGTGCCTGAATTTCACTTGTGGCGTCGAACTATTCAACAGCTACTGTGACAGTTAAACTCCAGAGCGTTAGCTAACAGCTCATAGCCCCGCTTCACAATCGATAGTTCAGTGTCGCTTGTGGAATTGGCAGGGTTTAACGCCAGCTGAAGAAAACGCTTTTGCTGGCGATAACATTTCGATGAGATTTTAAAGAATCGCGACCGCCGCCACTGACATCTTTTCCTTTGAACTACAGGCACCTTAATTCCTACCTTAGTCTCTCGTTGAATATGCGCTTTTACGCCTCGTTTTCCCTTGCCTTTGGGCTTGTGGCTGCCAGCCCTTGCAAGCCACTGACTTCCAGTACGATACAACGCTGTTGAACTGTGTACTTATGATAACTGATGAACCCAATTTAGCTGTTGTGTCGGCGGTTATTTCAGCATCTGTCACGACCGACGCCTCTAGCACATTTATTGAGTCTGCGTCTTCTACGGTTGTATCAACCGCGACAACCACCGAGACCGATGTAGCTGAAACCTCGACGTCGACCGATTCTGTCGTAATTGAGACTTCGACTGCGATTGGTTCGACAAGCACCGAGTACACTGAAGTCAGCATCTCAACAGCCGAGTCTTCGTCCGAGCCAACTTCTGCTACTACAGCCTCTGCCGCCGCTACCTCAGTTGATACGACTACAGCCCTCACAACCGAGGCTTCATCCGTCGAAACATCTACTGCTGTCGCAACCACCACCACTTCCGAAGAAGCAGGCCCAACGAGCTACTTCCTTGTCGCTGGTGAAGGTCCAGCTCTCGGAGGCCAAGTCAAGTCCAACTTGGACAGTTTCACGCCCCTAGTGTTCGGCGACCGCGGCTCAACTTTCAATCCAGTCCGATTCCTAGTTGACGAGACAACCGGACAACTCCAACAAGATGGCGTGCCCGTTTGCGCAAATTACCAAGCCGGATCACCTTACGCAAAGGTCACACTATGCGACAACGCCAGTCTATACTATGGCAGTGTACACCTCAACTGTGCACAATTTGAGCGTCCTGGTACCGCCATTAGATGCAGTGCGGTGAAATTGGACTGCTGGTCGACTGGACCGGGTTCTTCTCAGGCGTGCTCGAGATCAATGGACCCCGATTGGGACACGTTCTTTATCTCTAACAGCGGCGATCATGTCTGGTACCTTAGTTCGGGGGATCTGCAGAGAGACTTCTTGACCACTGTTGAAGTATTTGTTGATCATGTTGAGACCAGCACTTGATAGACGGAATAATTGAAACTAGATCCAAGACAGGCCGGCTAGCCTTCAATATTACATTCTCATTCACTTCTATTCCACTGTTTGTCAGAATGCTGTAGGGTAGATCGTCTTATCATGGCGACTGTTGCACGGAATCCGTCGAATTATATCGTTTACGGTTTCCATATTTTTTAATTTATCTAAAGACACACTTATTAACTGCAACTTCCGTTAAACTGTCTTCTCTCTGCAACATTTCAACTCAGGGCGGCATGCGGTAGAGTCCACAAAGACATCGTTGATGTCACCATAATGAGCAACGGGAAAATAAAATTATTATACATCGCAAACAGCAAAACAAGTTCAAGTGAATGACTTATCGCCCAATGGTTCTTTTCAATTAAGAATTCTATACCTCAGCAGAAATGTAGAGTTGCAACAAACGAAGCTATTTTTAGTCGTTGAAGATCCTTGGCACAGCCACTTCCTTGACAGCCTTGCTGAAAGCACAGCCTCATCCTTTGACTGCGCCACGAACTGTACGTCCTTACTCACGTGGTTTTTATATAACGTCAGCGCCCGTCAGCTGAAAGCCAACCTTAATTCCTCAAACAACCTCATATCATCGATCCGAACTTCAATCGCGCACCTTAAAGCTTACCTTATACATCATCGGAATGTCTTCCTCTCTATCTGCGCCACAAGAATTATCCGAGATGAGAAACTCTCAATCTCTGGAGACCAATCAGCCCAAGTCTCAGCAATCAATGGGTAAGACAACGACGCGCCCAGACTACCGCCACGCCCAGACTACCGCCGCGCCAAGCTTTAGTACCTGATACTGACATTGAGCAGATCCCCAGAAGGCACCCGAGACCACAGATCCTCAAATGGAGCTCCGTGGAGGTGGTGCTTGCGATGGCAGACTCTGTGGCATCATTCCGTGCCCAATTCCCATCAACTGCTGGATCATTCCTTGCCCTTGTTAAAAGAATAACCCAGATGAATTCTTTCGGTTGTAATTTCGTCGTTTGCGCTTTCACAAGATACTCGTCATATAAATAATGCTGTGGTAGTTAATAGAGCAAAGCTTGGTTTTCACTCATCATCTTGACGCTGTTTATGACGTCATCTCCTGAAAGCGACCGGAGACTTCCGAGAGCCATGCGTTGCTCATGCCTGAGGTTTTAGCCGATGTCAAATTTCGAATGGTACAGGTCTAGCTTTGAGCTTTTATTATAGGCCAAGAAATCAAATTATCTCCTTAGTAACCCTGAATAGCTTATCGCATCTAATCTTGACCAACAATGACATCGTTCTTACGAGATTTGGGCACGATCGTGAGCTTCTCCATCTTACCAGCTTTCACAGTACCCTCAACCGTGGTATTATGAGGAGCCCAGACCTTGAAGCGCGCGTCCCAAGTCTTGGGCCACGCAGCAAGCAACCTTATGTCGTTTCCAACAAAAGTCTGAATGAGCTGCTCCTGGAGCCCAATAGCAGCAGAACCATAGTGATTGAGATCAGGTGTCCAATCGAAGTTGGGTCCCTTGAAGGTCGGGAACTTGCAGACTTTACTTGGCGCATAACGTTCCTCCGTCATGGCAGTCGCGTTGGCTGTAAAACCCATTCGCGCAAGCCAGATGACATCCTGCTTCCAGCCAGTGTTACCGTGGAATGAGAAAGTCTCGGTGTCGTAGAGATAAGTGTTGATGGCGTGCGTGAGGTTGGGAAGACCAAGACCGTATTCGGGCCAAGGGAATACAGTGTATAGCTGAGGGACTTCGCTGTTTTGAACACGCGTGTAGGCTTCCGCGGGAGCTATACAAGTGTGACCTTGCTGTTGGCGTAAAGTGTTTGCAGGGATCTTGTCGAGGTACTTGGTGTAGTAAGTCTTGTTCTGGAGTGCATACTCATCCACGATGAGGAGATCTTTGACGACTTGACGCAGACCAGCGAGAGTGGAGACGGGATTGTATGACTCTTTGTACGTCTCGGCACCAGAGCCTGGATAAATGACAAGGGATTCATTGCCGGCCATACCAGTTAATGGCCAGGGGTTGCGCTTCTGCATTTCGCGAGTATAGAACTTGTCGAACCAGGCGAGTTGATATTCTATGAACTCGAGGTATGGCTTGACATCGAAGCCAGAGTAGATATTGGCCTGTAAGATCATATCGGCGAACTCACTACAAGTTGAATTGTTAGTTCTCCTCTATGTCCGATTTTACAGGGAGGGGAGACTGTAGTGGGCAGTACTTACTTTGCCGTGTCCTGCACATGGTTCAGCCAGACATTCCAGAGCTCACCATCCGGGAAGAAGCCAGGTCGCGGGGTATTCGCATCATCATCGTACCATTGAGCATTGTACTCGAACACGTTTGACAAGCCGGTGTTGTCGATCTGCTCCAAGAAATACGCAGCATCAATATCCTGATAAACCTGTCCGCGAAGAACGGCATTGGGAGTGATGCGCTTGTAAAAGTCAAATTGTTGAGTCATGATATCAAAGTCACCAGAGCGCAGAAGAGGCCAGTAGAGAAGACGTTGGTTCTGGGCAGTGAAGGTACCGCCGCCCCAACGGCGATAGTCGGGCGTGTAGGGACGCCAAATGTTGACATATATAGGATCGAAAGTCCAAAGACCACCGTTGAACTTGGTGGGCCAATCGCCCTTTGCATTGCATCCCATTAGGTATCGCCAGATCTGGTAGTTCTTACCGACCTGAAAGCCTGCATCCTTCTCACCCTTTTCCTCATTGATGATGATATAAGATCGAGCCCAGTATTCGTGCCACCAGGCAAGAGTCGCGTCCTGGGTGTTCTTGACTGCAGACTTGATGACCTTCTTGAGACCCTTGTACCACTCATCGTGACTCTTGTTCTGAGCCTGGTACATTGAGAGCGCAACCTTGAAAGATTTGCTAGGTGCTTTTGTCTCAAGATTCCAGGCCTTGTAAGTAGTGTTGATGTAGTGACCATTTGTGATGACACCCGGTTCCAATTGCTCGGAGTGGACAAAGATACCAAACTCATTGTCGCGCATGGGGTTGTACATCTTATTGGAGTGCTTCTCAAGTCCTTGCTGTTTCATCTGAAAGTTCCAGAGATCCAGCTTCTCGTTACGATGGCTCATAAGTACCCCATTCTCATGGAAGGCAATCTTATCGGCGTAGGTAGTGCCATTTGCGATCTTGGAGGTGTAGATGCCCCACGAACCCTGGTTACGCTCCTCATTGATAATGGGGCGATCCTCGTAGCGCCAGTTTTCGTAGGCGACCTTGACGGCAATCTTGTCAGGGCTATCGACCTCAACGTGCACGACGGGATTGAAGACATCGACCCAAATCTTAGCAGTTGCATTGTCTTCGCCAGTATATTTGACGTAACCGTCGTTAAGTAGTAGTCTCTGCTCGAATGACTTGCTGTCAAATGGATTGGGATCAAAGGATAGTCTGACACGACCAAGCTTCAGCAGAGAATTGTTCTCGTCAAAGGTCCCGCTCTTGGCGACGTACATGAGGATAGTGCCTGTTACACGGTGTATCAGTAAATGCGAAGTTTCGAGCCAAAATTGGAGCTACAATGTGCACGCTCAAATGCGTTACCGGAGGATACATGTTGAGAGCTGGCTTACCATTCTCGTACCAAGTGTTTAGGCCAACATCACCGCCACCAAGAGGCATAGAGTCGGCTGAGCCGTTAACGCCAGGTTTATCCCAGACAACATCATATGAGGCGGGGAGTGTCGCTAGGACAGTCGTCCAGCAGAGGAAGAGTATTGGCAGGGTCCGACTGAGGTTTCCCATGATGAGTAGAAGTGACCGTCTCTAGTGTGAGTTGGTGGAACTCTGCACCGTATAAGGACGATGGGACTGCAACAGTCTATTAAATAGTCCCTGCTAAGTACTAACAGGGCTACGATTGACCTATATCCTTGACCCTGCAAGAACTCCCAGAACCAGTTTACGAAGGTCGCATGATATAGAAACAAAAGCCTAATCACCAGTGCTTGAGATGGAATTATCGCTACAAGACCGGATATCGTGTGGCGAAACCCGGTGATCTGAGCGAATGCGGGGAAATACGAACGACAATTATCCCCGCGATTCCATGGCTATCAATTACCTAGATAGTATTATAGTCTGTATAACGTGTATGATAAGCGAGTGAGCCAGACAAGCAAGTGAGCCAAAAATCCCTCACCTTACAACATTATAATTCAATCAGCTATATCTCAACCAACAAATATGCCACAGTCCTCAAATGAAGCTAGAATCCTTCTTGCCCTTCAGGCCCTTCAAGATAACCCTAAACTTACAGTCCGACGGGCGGCAAATATCTACAATGTCAACCGTAGTACCTTAGGTCGCCGCCAGCATGGCATTCTTTCAACGCGTGATACTCCCACAAAGTCACGGAAACTATCTGATCAGGAAGAGCAGATAGTAGTCCAATTCATTTTAGACCTAGATTTGCGAGGTTTTCCCTCGCGACTATCATATGTGGAAGATATAGCTAATTCTATACTTGCCAACCGCAACGCGCCATACGTCGGCAAGCGCTGGGCTTATAACTTCGTCAAGCGACAACCAGAGCTAAAGACACGTCTATCTCGGAGGTATGACTATCAGAGAGCTAAATGCGAAGATCCGACTATTATTCGTGGCTGGTTTCGGCTTGTAGAGAATACAATCGCGAAATACGGTATCCGATCAGATGATATCTGGAACTTTGATGAGACCGGCTTTATGATGGGCGTAATTGAGCCCGGAACAGTCGTCACAAGCTCTTACAGGCAAGGAAGACCAAAGCAAGTACAGCCTGGAAACCGCGAATGGATTACTGTGATCGAGGGGATCAATGCGGACGGTCAATCGATCCCGCCGTTTATCATTGGTGCAGGCAAGGATCACCTTGCCAATTGGTACCAAGAATGCGACCTCCCCGGCGATTGGGTTATTGCATTGAGCGAAAATGGATGGACTAATAATAAGCTGGGTCTCGAGTGGCTAAAGCACTTTGATCGGGCTACAGCTAAGCGAACGAACAGTCGCTATCGCCTCTTGATCCTTGATGGTCACGAAAGTCACCACTCCGTCGAATTCGAGAAATATTGCAAAGAGAACAAGATTATCACGCTCTGTATGCCTGCTCATGCCTCTCATCTACTTCAGCCTCTTGACGTAGGGTGCTTTGGGCCGCTGAAAAAGGCATATGGTCGAGAAATAGAGCATCTGATCAGATGCAATATAACCTATATTAAGAAGACTGAGTTCTTTCCTGCCTTTTACGCCGCCCACCAAGCTGCTATTACAGAAAGCAATATCAAGGGAGGTTTCAGAGGAGCTGGGCTTGCTCCCTTTAACCCAGAAAATGTCATCTCGAAGCTTGATGTGCAGCTACGGACTCCGACGCCTCCCGTAGAGGTCATAATACCATCGACCCCTTGGACTGCAAGGACCCCAAAGACAGTGCTAGAGGCCCAATCGCATTCTAAGTATCTGCAAGGAAGGATCAGAAATCATAAGAGCAGCTCCCCTGAGTCAATAATTGAAGCCGTAAAGCATTTTGAGAAGGCAACAACTGTTCTTATGCATAAGATGGTCTTACTAGATGATAGGGTTCGACAACTTGAACAAGAGAATAAGACAGTAGGGCGACGCCGGAGGGGAAAAAGGACTAAGGTACAGAAAGAAGGGCCTTTAACTATAGGGGAAGCATTACAAGCAATTGATCAGATAGATATTGATGCGCAGCTAACAGCTGAATCCTCGAGAGGTGGTCGCGGAAGGTCACAAGGAGCAAAGGTTCGGCAGTGTAGTATTTGCGGAAAGACCGGGCATAATGCAAGGACCTGTCAGGAGGCAATTGAGGTCAATAGGGAATAGTATAACAATTAATTTTAATTGATCAGATAGATTGTGGTGTTTTTATTGCGAATTTAATTTGGAAGGTTAAGATATGTGGCTCACTCGCTTGTCTGGCTCACTCGCTTATCAAGCACGTTAGTTACGTCGTATCTCGGCTAATATGCCATGAGTTTCCGAATAAGGTGACATAGCATGATTTGTGAGATATTAGCGCCGGTAAACATCGGCCAACAATGCCGGTCATTTCATACCCAATACGTCGACTTCAGATAAGGGCTTTTAGTAGTGAAAAAGACATGCGAAAAAGAGATCAATCGATGTTTTGATGAGATTCATTGAACTAGTGGGACAAATAGATGAACTAGACTATTACCTCTCATTCAGGGTTATCAACTTTAATCAGAGATATCCCAATCCTCCTTAATCATAGATGCTCCATGCTCCCCCAGCATATACACCGGACCAGCAATATTAACATCTGGAACCGTAGGCATAATGCTACTATCAATAACTCTCAAGCCCTGGACTCCATAGACGCGGAGTCGAGAGTCGACGACGCCGCTGTCCTCAAGTGGAAGTATGCGATTAGTTCCAGAAGCGTGCCAATTAGGAACCGTTGTAGCCTTGATGTACTCAAAGATGGCCTCGTCATCATCAGAAGCAATGTTGGAAACACCAGGCGCAACATCTCCATGGTTAGGTCCAACAGTCAGATTTGCAAAAGCAGAATGGGCCAAGATCTTGCGTGCGTCCCGGAATGCGTTGATGGCGATAGCGCGATCAGCAATGTGAGTATAGTACTGTAAAGAGTTAGCATGGGAAAGAATGCTGAAGATACTATCATGGTGGCCTACGCTGGGGTTGATAATGGGGGCATCAGACATGCCGCTTGACTGGAGGGTGATATTGCCCTTGGATAGAGCAACCATGCTCGATACCGAGATAGATATGTATGATTGATCTGATGATAGTTCGTAGGTAGGACCCGGGAGGTTGGGATAGAAGAAGGACTCAAAGAGAAACTCTACTGTGGATCGGTTGGTAAGACCAGCATCGATGACAGCTTCAGCACCAATCTTTTGAAGTTGTTCGTTCGATAGCTTTTGGAAACCATTGGTGATACCTCCAGGGGCCGTGTAAACTCCCTTTCCAGTGGTGTAGTATTCCTCTTGCGAGGCTTCAACGGAAGTTGAGTTAAACATGAGCTGGTGGGTCGAAGCTTCGGGGACTACTGTGGCTGAGATGCTGTACAGGTTATGGTCCATCATGCTGCATGCTGTCAGAGTATTGGCTCGTATCAAAGAAATATCGGTTGACTTACTGGTGTCCCACGTCGTCATTGATCACAATCGGCTCGATATTGAAAGCATCAAGCGTGGCTTCCGACCAATACCCTAATCTCATATTAGCCTCCTATTATAAGAAATATACAGGATAATAGTTAGTGCCAAAAGTGTTCTTACCGAGACCATTAGCATTTGAGGAGACTGGAAAGTCCCCAGAGTGACGATGACCTCTCTGGAAGCGGCAACGGTGCGGTGACGACCTTGAGAGTGATCGATGAAGTTGACACAAGTCGCAACAGGCACTCCAGTAGCATTCTTCGAGAACATGATCTGCTGAACAGGGGCGTTGTGAAGAATATCGACATTGGGTCGCTTGGCGGCAGCCTTGTAATAGTCGTAGGCCGAGCTACGTCTATACTTTGAGGTAAGAGTAGCAGTCCCTTGTTTAACGCCAACATTCTTGCCGCTGTTGAGATCTTGGACTATGGGGATGTCAATCGCAGCACAAGCATCGATAAAAGTAATGCTCGAGGGAGGGACAAATCCTTGGTAGCCTATCTCCAGCGGACCCTTGGAGTATGCGGAGGGGTCCCAGGTCTGATACTTTTGATTGTAATCGGTTCCATTGTTAGGAGCATTGAAGCGAGTACCCTGTTCACTTTGTGAGTAGAAGAGTCAGGAATTGTAGCTGATGATGCTTACCTTGATGAATGATGGATACACTTCTTCTCAGCTCCAACCTGGGTTCCCTAGCTCAACCCAGTGATCATAAACATTAGCTGAGCCTCGTCCGTAGTAGAGGCCGTTCAGAATACTGCTACCACCAAGACCACGTCCACCTATGAGAGTCAGAAAGGTCTCCTCTGATAATCTTAGTACTTACGATGGTATGCAAGATTACGGCCATCGAGACCTTCCTGGGGTTCAGTATAAAAGTTCCAGTCGATTGCCGTACCTATAGCAACTGGTCAACGATGTTAAGCGACTCATTCTTGCATTTCAGCTTACCAGCGATATATTCAACGGCACCAGGGGGCCTGATGCATGGCCACAACATTTGGATCAGGCCCAGCTTCTAGTACTAGCGCCTTCTGCTCACCGGACTCGCTCAACCGGTCTGCAAGGATCAGGCCAGTGGTTCCGCCTGTGAAGAGCTCATTGTTATTCATCTGAGTTGCCACTTCAGGGGAGCGCTTTCACACTTACCACCAACAATGATGAAGTCATACGTGCTACTGAGAGTAGACCCATGGTCGTTTTGTGCAATGGTTGACGAGACCAGGGAGAAAAGAGCCGCGAAAGTAATGGAATACCGCATCTTGAAAGATTGAAGGACAGGTACAGTAGTGTTGAAGATATGACGTAGGGCGTTGCTGAGTAGTTCATTCACGCTGTTAACCGCTTGTTTTTTATAGATTTGTTCCCCCCTGAGTAGGCCCGGGTGAACGAAGAACAGATGACTCCTAGCTCCCAGTGTTGAAAACCCATTTCCTCCTCAACCTGCTGATCGACCGGACAAAAACGCCGAAGAGAAAGCCGCGTATCCATCTTCCTAGCTTGGCAGGTAGACAATGACCCCATCTTCGTAAGACGGTGGAATAGTTTCTCTGACCAAAATCTTGACAATCTGTGTAACCGTAATCAAGTGGATAGGTGTAGTATACGGATTAAACATAATATAAGCCCTAGTTCAAACATAGACATGCCCTCCGCCTGTGTAACAATTCTAAGCTTGTTCTTCGTCAGATATGAGAACTAAGGCCGTGTATGAGACACTGTGTGATATCTCCGTATTGAGCTTCCAATAGTAGTAAGCAACATCGAAGATCATTTGGTCAGACCTTGCTATCGCATCTTACATAGTCAACTGCCACGTTTTAGGAATTCGGAGCGAAAATCGAAGGAACAGCTTGAGGCAACACTCCAGCATATAACGGACCCGCGAGCCTGAAGGAGTGCAGGTGCATATAAAATTCTCCACCGAGTTTGGGATCTCGGATGGTGGATCTTTTAGATGCCGCAGAGATCGTGAGCTAATTTTATGTTACGATTGAATTCTTCAGGATCACGGGCCAAGGGTTCATTGGAGCGCGTTTACAAAATCGTAAATCTGAGTGGATGTGCTGTGCGACACTGCACGTAACACGTGAATGTATGGATGGAGTAGAATAAACGGTTACATTCGCCACTGAAACAAGGCCACCGGGGATTATCCTCAAACCTACCCACGCTGCATCAGATCCTTTTTAGAATCTAGCCCGTGTAACAATCACATAAGCTAGGAGTAAACCTTGCTGACAGGCACTTTTCTTACTGCATTCAGAATGTAGGATTCAGATTAGAGTGCGGCATTTAAAAGGTGACGTGCATTAGTCCTACCGCGTCATTAGGAACGGATATACGGGATAATGGATACTACTATAGGCTGACTTGACCTGTAAGGCTGATGTGAGTCGACGCAGGGGTCATGTATCTAAACCCGAAGGGTGTGCTGTCAGTGACAAGTCCTGCATGATGACCCACGTCGTCATCGCTTATGTGAAAAGAGGAAAGAGGAAATACGATAACAACGCCAAGATATGCTGTGTAAAAGCTTCGAGTCACGATATTGGAAAGGCAGGTCAGAACATGATATATCATAATCCATTATTTATACGCCTTCTTTCCTTGTGATCCTACAAGCTGTTCATACACAATAACACTGTCTTTCGACTAATTCACCCAAGAACACATTCCGCCACCATGGGATCCCGCCCTGAGACGGTTCGTAACCTATTTCCGTATACAGTCAATATCGATAACATGATCTCAACGAAGATCACAACGCTCCTTCTGGACTGTGACAATACTCTTGTCCAGTCCGAGTCTCTTGCTTTTGAAGCAAGTGCTGATCTCACCAATGAAATCCTCGCTGCCAGTAAAGTTGACCTGAGCTTTACGGGTAACTATTTGCAATGCGAGTTTGTAAGTGGATCAAATCGGGTATTGAGCTCTACGCTGGAAAACCTCACTTGAGCACTGTCGCATGTGATAGGTTTGCTGATATGAGCCTCTACCCGGTAACGACTGCTGAAGGAAAGGGCATTACCATGCAAGTCGCCAAAGAAGGTGGGAATGTTTGGGTTCATCAGCTCATTCTGGACGATGAAGGAAATGTGAAGGAATGATTGCCTCTGAGAGAGATCTGCTGGATTCTTTGTGAGGAGCAGGACGATTGGGCTCTGGATGTATGCGCCTTGGCAGCGAGGCCGGACAAGACTGCGAAGGGTCCTTTGAATGTCGAATTCAGTGATTTCCAAGTGCAGTGGAAAGAGTAAATTGGTACTCACATTCAAGAGTCTGTGGATGAGGCATGGTGGTGTTTGTTAGGCTTGGTAGCTTTTCAGCTGTTATCAGAGAAGATACACTCGCCTTCAAACACAAGTATCTTACCAGTTGGTACAAGTAATCCCAGGCCCTCATTGATGCTCCTAGTCCAGTTAACGGCCCTATCATTCCTGTGTCATTGCCCTTGCCGAGAATCAGACAAGAAGACAGATATGAGAACTATGAATGAACACTACTCTAGTCATAAGCTAGATCTACAATCTCAGGACGATCATTCAGCCAATCATAGCTAATTTCTACCAGTCGTTGACAACGCTCGATTATAGTAGCAAGATAGGCATGTTATAGACTTCATGCTAAGCTAGCTCATAATGCAGGAGGCCAAGAGGTGATTATAAATCACAGTGGAAAATGACGTCAATATCGCTGTGGTGTTTCGTCCATTTATGATACAACTCTCCCGCGCAGAGACATACTTTTATTTTGTCAAATATCGCAAAGGGATAGCAATTATAAGTTTAGCAATAATCTTTTCATAATGAGCGAGCAAGGCTAATTGCCTAAAGGTTTAGCTACCATCTCGCATACCTATCCTGACAATGGCATCGCAAACATCCAGTTCTGTACGCCGTTTCAAGCTCGCAATCCCCCAGTCTGCTCTGGATGATTTGCAAACACGTCTCCGATTAACCCGCTGGCCAGATAAAGAGACTGTAAGCGACTGGTCTCAGGGCGTCCCTCTCGCCACAATCCAAAACCTCTGTGAATACTGGCAAAAGGATTACGATTGGCGAAAATGCGAAAAGCTTCTCAATTCATATCCTCAGTTCACCACGACTATTGATGGAGTGGAGATCTACTTCTTGCATATTCGGTCAAAGCACAGGGATGTTCTGCCGCTTCTAATTACACATGGCTGGCCTGGCTCAGTCCTGGAGTTCAGACATATAATCGACAAGCTCGTTGATCCTGAAGCTCATGGCGGTTCTGCTGAAGATGCATTTCATCTGGTCATCCCCGCACTTCCAGGCTACGCCTTCTCTGGAAAGCCAAAAGAAAATGGATGGGATCACCAACGCACTGCGCGTGCATGGGCGGAGCTGATGCACCGTTTGGGCTATGCGGGTAGCGGATGGGTCGCTCAAGGCGGCGATTGGGGAGCTTTCGTTGTTGCGAGTCTGGGTCAGCAAAGACCGAAGGGATTGAAGAGCGTTCATTTCAATTCTATTTTCTTCGACCCCAAGGTATTTCTGATCTGAGAAAACCTGATAAGATGTCTGCTAAATGTCCTCCAGAAAGAAGTCAAGATTCCAATCCAAGACAAGAAGGGTGAGGATAGAGCCATGTATTTCGATAGCCGACGCGACGCTGGCTTTCGCGGTTACTCCCTGCAGCAATCAACAAAACCACAAACCATCGGCTATGGCCTTGCGGACTCCCCGGTTGCGCAAGCAGCCTGGATTTATGAAAAGTTCAGAGATTGGTCTCATCACGATGGCGATGTAGAGGACGTGTTTGGCAAAGATGAGATGCTCGACACAATAATGTTATACTGGCTCTCTAATTCTGCTGCATCATCAGCTCGGTACTACTGGGAGTGCGGTTCTGCCACGACTGCATTGCCAGTTGATATACCGGTTGGTGTAAGTTGGTTCGGCGGTGATAATAGTTACGGACCAAGAGAGTGGTGTGAACGGTACTATAAGAATATTGTGTACTGGAATGAGACGGAAAGAGGAGGCCATTTTGCGGCTTGGGAGCAACCAGATCTCTTTGTGGAGGAAATACGGAATTGGAGAAGAAAGATCGGGTGAAAACCCCGGTTTTCTTGAGCAAATTGACTTCGTGCGCATGGACTCTGTTCATGTTGTCGCATTATTTCCATCTGCCGACATTTTCGTATGTGATCCCTGAAACGCGGCTTGCATCCTATATGCATATATCTACTGCTAATTATATCTCATGAAAATCACGAAACTGTGATTCGATACAACAGGTGATCTAGTGGCCGGAACCTTCCAGGATAAATCATCCGATTGGCTAGAGTCTGCTAGCTCACAAGACACACACCACTTGGGCTGAAGTGCAATACTACGGTAACTTCCATAAGGCACTGAAACTCTAGTGGTCGTTCGTAATTGGTGAAACTGAAGCCAGTCTGTGATGTTGATGCGTTTTGCGGTCAAGTTTCCGCCCGTAACCCCGGACTTTTGCGGCCGCTACCCCGCACGTTCAATTGCCTGATGCTGACATCACCTGGGAGGTCAGACCACTACCGATATCGCCTATATATTACCATGGCAGTCTCATGTTTCTTCTAATGACTGTCAATTAACATTCATTGCTACATCTCTGTACAAAAACATCGAAAATGAAGGCCCTCGTCTACGGTGGTAATAACTCCGTCACTCTCCAGGATCGTCCTGTCCCCAAGATCTCTTCACCAACAGATGCAATCATCAAAGTCACCAAGACCACTATCTGCGGAACCGATCTGCATATCCGAAAAGGCGATGTCGCTACCTGTGAGCCAGGAAGAATTCTAGGCCACGAGGGCGTGGGCATCGTCCATTCAGCAGGTCCATCCGTCGCACGGTTCAAAGAGGGCGACAGAGTTCTCATCTCTTGCATCTCGAGCTGCGCGACCTGTGAATACTGCCGAAGGGGAATGTATAGCCACTGTACCTCTGGTGGCTGGATTCTCGGCAACACAATTGACGGAACACAAGCTGAATATGTCCGCATTCCCCATGCAGACTCGAGTCTCCACGCTATTCCTGATGGGGCAGATGAGGCTGCTTTGGTGATGGTGAGCGACATCTTCCCAACAGGTCTTGAGTGTGGTGTCCTCAACGGTAAAGTCCAACCTGGAGGGACTGTAGTCGTTGTTGGAGCTGGACCGGTCGGCTTGGCTGCTATTATCACTGCGCAGATGTACTCGCCTTCTAAAGTCATTGCCATTGATACGGACAACGCAAGACTGGACGTTGCTAAGAAGCTCGGCGCAACTGATTCAGTCGTCAGCGGCGAAGATGCTGTTTCCCAGGTGATGAAATTGACAGATGGCAAAGGCTGCGACTCCGTCATTGAGGCTGTTGGTATTCCTGCTACTTTTGAACTTTGCCAAAAGCTTCTCGCAGTTGGTGGAGTGTTGGCAAACGTTGGTGTCCATGGTACCAAGGTGGATCTTCATCTTCAGGACCTATGGATCAAGAATATCTGTAAGTGGTCCCTGATCTACTGTTTGGTACGGTACTAATGCACGTCTATCAGCGATCACTACTAGGCTGGTGGATACCGTCACTACACCCATGCTGCTCAAACTAGTGCAGTCTGGCAAGCTGCAGCCATCGCAGCTAATCACGCATCGTAAGTTAGCCAGCTTAGCTCCGGTACATTCTTACTGACAGGTTCCGACTTAGATTTTAAGCTGAGCGATATGGAAAATGCATACAAGACATTTGGCGAAGCATCTAAGCATGGTGCTCTAAAAGTAATTATCGAGGTGGATTAAACAAAGATTCTAAGACAAATACATAGGACAAATATTCTGAATTCTCACTTTTCTCGAACAAGCCAACGATGGATGACCAGACACTAAGCCCACTTGCCTACAAGAGCCATGATTCCGGCACCAAGGAAGAGACAGACAATCATAAACCCAAGCCGAACCTTGTCGTTCGTCCTCTCACGGTTGAAGAGAAAGTCCCTGGCAATCATCTCCACAAATCCTGTATAAATGAGAATTCCAGCAGAAATAGAGTCGAAAACACCATTAACCAAGTTCGCAGTGTACGATGAGTTGTCATACGTCTTTCTAATACCGAGACCAATGGCAATGGCGATAGGTGTTGTTAAGCCGTAAGCGAGACACAGAAGCCATGGCATGCTACGCAGTCGGTTTGGGAAAGGAATGGCACTGAGTCTGGCTCCAATGCCAAGGCCTTCGAAGGATTGATGGAACACAAGAACAGGGAATAAGGTGTCGAAGTCGGAGGTATCTGCGACTCCCAAGTTGAGGCCGATGAAGACGCTGTGAAACAGAACACCGAATTCGAGGATGAGGAAGGCTGCGATCTGGGTCTTGAATGCAAGCTCGGTTTCTTCAGAATCGCCATCAAGGTGTTGGAGTTCCTTGAAGTCCGCGTAGCCACCACGTTGTTTCTCCGACGTTGCCGCCTCCGTATCGTGCTGACCATTGATCACGAGCCTATTCGAGTTTGAACTGTCATCAGAATGATGCTGATGTCCATCTGCACCGGAAGTAGTAATAGTATCCTCAACCCCAGAATCATTGTGCTGAAGCCCATAGCGAGACTGAACGTAGTAATCGGCAAGAAAGTCAAACAGAAACGTGAACATAGCCGCGGAGAGAGCAATAGCAGGCGGCCAGGAGTAAGTAGACCAACCACCAGTCATACCAACACAAGACGCTGGTCCAATCTCCGAATAGGCAGGGTCAAGCAGATGAACAAAAGCAGTTGCGATGATGACACCTGAGCCGAAGTATCGCGCAAAGAGGTAGACGTAGAGCGGGATTCTCAGACGTGGGATTCGTGTTGCCACGACGGGGAAGAAAGTGACCGCTGTTGAGACGACGAGAATCACGAATATCGAGCCGATTCTGATGCCGATGGGGCCGTCGTATTGGTTTCCAGCGGTTGTCAGAAAGCAGGTGATGAGACGTTGGTCAGTGACGGACTGAAACTCAGTGAGGTTGACCCTCTCGGGGTCAAAGTTCGTAGGTCCTGACATTGCCGGAATCTTAAGAAAGTACAAGAAATAAAGATAAGCGATTCAAGGAAGCTTAATCAATGAATAACAGGTATTGGGCCCAAGGGAATCGAAGTATATATAGCTCATCTTGCTCAACAATTAAACTTTCCGAATGCGCAAGCTCTTCAAGGAATCAACGTTTCTTAGACAGCCGATATTGCCGGTCACTTGCCGTTTTGCCGTGTTTTTCGGAGGAATAGAGCAATTTGTAGACAGGACTGTCGTGATTTAAATACTCATGAACCTTGATGGTTATGAGCTAAGAATGGCTTAGTTATCTTAGACTCCGTATTGGGTTGTCAAATCGGATCTCGGCACGGATTGCCATATTGATTACACGTTAACGGGAATAACGGTTGAAATTTTTTAATTGAGTGATTATTTGCAGTAGTGATGTAAAATGCGATGACCTTGTTGACTTCTGAGTGAGATGAGCATATTTGAGTAAAGACATCATATCATAACAACTATGGAATGAAGGATCTAGAACATGAGACTGAGTGGGCCGAAAATAGTCATCGGCAAAATTAAAACAAGAAAATGACCTGAATGCTTAGCGACAGATCACTACCAGGAACTAAATCTTACCGAATAGTATTGGTCTTCATGTGATAGTATGCCAAAACTCATTAGACACAAGAAGCTCCTCAGTATGGACTTGTTGAAGAAGACTTTAAGAATGTTAGATGATGTGAGATAGCGTTCTGGTAATGACTTGCTTTTTTATGCGTGACGACGAGCTGGACTGATTTCTCCTGTCCACTGGTCCATTCGTGCTGTACTGTCCGCGCGCAAGCCCATAGCAGAGACTTGATGTAATAGTAATAGCACTCCCAGAGTATTATACTACTTCGAAGAGCTGTATGGACGTAGGTCGTGTTAAATAGGTCTGAAAGGCCGACATCGATTAAAATGTCAAGCTCATGAGCGTCCGGCGTTTGATCAAGTATTAGACGCAGGACTGGGCCAAGATCTCTCCGCATCACAATCACCGACAACAAAGCTTAACTTGATAGAGATTTGAGTGCCTTGTGTGCAAACTGAAACCCATCTTTATGACATATCAAAACTTGCTTTGTTGGTGAGTTGACATCGCTATAGGCTACGTCGCCGGTCTCTCCAGATCCAATAACCATGACTGTTGTAGCCACCCCAAAGTGGTTTTTCGTCTCAACCTCGGAGGAGGGTATGACAAGAGTTACTTGTTTCAGTTCAGGAATAGTAGGCTGATTTAGTTCTCTGTACCCGAACATACTACGACAGCATGCACTACAGAACCTCTATGCTTCCTACACGATGTCAAGACTCAGCTCAAGAACAGGGCGGTAAGTTTATTCAAAACACGATGAAAAGATCATGAAATATGCACTAGCGAATTTGATCTTCCGAAACCAACGAGTACTGAGTGCAATGAGATGTCCGCTGCAAAGCAAGACTTCCGTCGTAGGATTCTCACCGCTGATAAGGCCGATGCCTTCTTTTCGGTGGGCTGGTGACATTTACCAAGGTAATCGAGCCGGCGCACATGGTAGTTCGTCGCGATACCGTCATGGACATAGACAAACACTAAGATTGCATTTATTGTGAGGTTACTTGAAGCAACTGCTTTCATGGGAAGATAAGCATTGCTTTCCCGATATTTATGATCTATTACAGAATGCTAACAGTCCAAAGCTCCTTTTTGACCTTCATTGCCAATGTCCTAGCTATTGAAACTGTATCCATCGCTTCCAGGCCATGTTTGAGGTCCTTGGTCCCTTGATGTGCCCTTCTTTCCGATAGACCGCCGAAGATGGGTCTCATCGAGTAAATGGACCGAATAAACTGACTTGCTATCCATTCCTTTTGCTCCTCTCTCAGAAGGCTTGGTCGGTTCTGACGACTACTCATGGATATATCGATAACGTAGGATAAGACACTTATCGCATGGACCTGGCCGTGAAGTGTGACATGTCGCGAGTGATCAAGTTTCGAGACGTATTGATCGCTTGCTTTGAATCTCAGATATGCTTCATCATCGGGAGGTAGATCATGAAAACTTGGGTATATGATATCAGAGCTTCTCATTGAAAGTATATCGGCAGGGTAATTGCAGTTGCCTAGATAGAATGGGATGCTGAAGCATATGGAGTCGACAAGATCTTGGACTTCGCGTTCATTGGAAGTCCAGAGCATTGTGCAGTCCGAGATGGCGTTCTCAATATCAAAATGCTGGACCGCAGATAGGGCAGAGGGCTCGGCAAGTTGATATTTGATATCCTCGAGGATAAGGCGGTAAATACGCCAGGCATTCCAGATATTCGCAACTTGTATGCTTGGGTAAATTTCGCAAGCGCCACGATATGACTGAACAGATAACTCAAGGTCGATACCGCTGTGCATTGGTTGTGGATACCAGCTATGGGGTATGTTCTGTTTCCAAACCTGTAGCTGAATGTCCAAATTGTTGACTTGTTTCAGCAGCTTTGCATGCTGAGCAGGGAGTTCTGTTGCCAGTGACAAATCACGGAAAGAATGTTGGAGGTCTGCAATGGACACCCCGATCATATCCAGAGAAGAACTCGGATTACTCGGTAAGATTGGAGCAACCTGAGTCTCAATCCATTCAAGATCTGTTGTCGGTAGTCGTGTTCTGTTTCTTACAAAAACAGATACCCTAGAGTGGAGAAGGTTGCCAACAAGGTGAGCATAATACTTGGAGTTCTTAAAACAGTTTTCGCGCTGTAATAACAAAACCAAAGCTCCCTCACGATGCGCTCCATGAGCTCTGGCTTGTCCTGATACAGCTGACAAGGTATCGTGCATCTGGAGGACAAGAGCCGCTAACACTGTTTCATCGCGACCTCTCTCCACATGCTCCTCGGTCGCTTGGTGAAGCCGCTTCAAGGCCTTCACCAGTAGCTGATAAGGAAGAGGGCTCGAAGAAGGAAGCTTGCCGATCATGGACCAGATTTTGATCGACGTAGCTGTCACCGCAGTGTTCAAAGCTGAATCATGTCGTTCAGAAGCTAGAGCAGGACGGACAAACTCCAAGAAGCCCCTTGTCGATTCCAGACTTCGACCAACATCGGTAACATATGTCAGAAAGAAAGGAACCGCAACATCCTGCGGATGATCAGATGGCATTCGGACGATCGTCCTCTCAAGTGACGATTGTTTCGCCCGCTTGCTGACGCGCGTTACAGCGTTTGAATTCGCTCCATATCGAGTTGTTTCATCCTTGAACTTCAGCCCACGCTTCTCATAGCCCGTGCATTCAATGCCAAGACGAAGACAGGCCTTGCACCAAGGTTTTCTCTCATCGCACTTGACGCGGCGTTGTCTGCATGTGACACATCCTCGCGAGGCGCCTCGATTGACCATGACGTGGTGGGGTATCGAACGAGCTGAACAGAGTAGAGTTTTGCGATGTTTGCAGGAGGTGATGATGATTACAGTGAAAGCATGGTTCTTATGCTTGATGTTGTCGTATTTGAGGGAATGCTGACATGAGCATACGCGAGAGCCTCATACGTCGTCCTGGCGGCTGTGTCTGACGATCATTACTTAACAGGGCTAGACATTGCGAGAGCGGCAGATAGTGGATATTGCTGACGAAATCCACATTATTTCCGTCACCATTCATCGCTTCATATTCCTCTATCGAGACTTTGCTCATCATGGGTTCAGAAATAATCCTTCGGACGATCTCAAGAATGGATTCAATTGCCAAGATGGAAGCTACCGGCAAGCTGATAAAAAACAGATATAAAGGCCAAGGACCATCCTCATAAGTTGCAAGTTCATCACATCAATCATCAACTTCTCAATAACCAAGACTTCAATCATTGCAATCATGAAAACGCCTTCTTTCTCTTCTCTTTGCACCTTACTCGCGGTTCTTAATACAGGAACCGTGAGCGCCAAAGACAAAGGGAGCCCCATTCTCTTCCTCAGCGAAGATGACAGTTTCAACTTCGATATCCTCACCGGTCTTGGCCAAATGGCCAACGACGGTGCAGACGTCAATCCCGTTCTGAGCGCCGCCAAAAAGATCGTCCCAGGCAATTTTGAAAGCTACACCAAAGCATGGTTCGATCTTGCAAACTACACCAAGTCTCAAGCTCTTGATCCGAAGATCGCATACGATCCTGTTAATGCCAGGGCTACTTGGTTCTCTGTGTCAAACTATTTCCGCCGAGCTGATGTTTATAATCGCGCTGATTGGGATGATCCTCGCATCAATGAGTATTGGGATGAGCAGCGTGCTGCTTTTGATAAAGCCATTGCTGCTTTGCCTGTTCCAGCTGAGAGAGTTGAGATTCCTGCTGGTGATTTCAATGTCTCTGGAATTTGGTATTCTCAGCCTAATAAGAACAACCAGACAAAGCGACTCCCTACTCTCATACTCACGCAGGGCTTTGACGCTGCCCAAGAGGATCTCTACTCAACTATTGTCGCTCCAGCCCTTGCTCGCGGATACAACATTTTCTCTTTCGAAGGTCCAGGACAGCCAACTGTTCGCCGAGAGCAAGGTGTTGGTTTCATTCCAGACTGGGAACGAGTTGTTACTCCCGTCGTCGACTATCTGCTCTCTGAGAAATCTGCCTTGGTTGATCCCAAGAAACTTGTTCTGTATGGTCACTCTTTTGGGGGCTATCTCGCCGCTCGTGCCGCCGCATTTGAACCTCGACTGACAGCTCTCATGCTGAATGGTGGTATCTGGGACGCATATAGGGGAAATGCCGCTCATCTAACCCCAGAGCTCCGCGAGCTTCTCGAGTCAGGTGATAAAGAAGCATTCGACAACGCCATGAGCAAAATTCAAGACGATCCAGATATCCCCACCACCACCAAATGGGGCATCCTTCAAGGTCTCTGGTGCTTCAAGACCAAGTCCCCTTACGAATTCTTCCAGATGGCCAAGAGCTATAATCTGCGAGGCGGGATCACAGACCGTATCCAGATGCCAGTTTGGATTGCCGACGGAGAATTTGAAACACTTCAGTCTGGACAGTCTAAGCCAGTTGCAGAAGCTCTGGGAGATCGTGCTGAACTTCACATGTTTAATGGCACTGCTGGATATCATTGTCAGACTGGAGCTCCTCAGGAATTTGGTCGCGTGATTTTTGCGTGGTTGGACAAGATCTTGAATAAGGTTTAGGCGCTAAAAAGACACATGTTGGGCACTTACTCAGGGGATTAGCTATCTGCACAGCCAGCTGTGCGGGGAGCAAGCCCCCTGACCTAGTGCTTGTTTAGTCAGCACGGGCCGTGTTAGACACATTGTGTTAGAAAAACAGGTATCCCGAGTAGTTACAATGGGTTGCTCATCTCTACCAGTAAATAAAGGCCAAACTTTTTAACTCTATCACTTTACTTTATCGTTTCTGTATGTCCATAGCTGTTGAACCAAGAAAATGAAAAACCAGCTCTGTTGACGTTTATCCTGGTCGATGAGGCTCAAGTTACTAGACCGTTCACTAAATTAATGCCGAAACTTTAATAAGGATCCTGGCAAGGCGCGGCTTGATGCGGGGGTCAACCAATCATTGACCAAAATTGCATTTCCTTATTCTTTGCGCTTTTCATCTGGACGATCAAGGGTCTAGCTTCCTTATTCTGACTTAGTGCATCTAAGGTTGCCAGGCTCGAGGGTCTTTGGCTGTGACGTAATCCGTAAGATTATAGTCCTATGGATACCAAATGGTTATTCGCGCTCGCATCCTACAGCAATCAGCACTTTTAATACCTCAATTAACCCAATAATTGAAGATTTTGTTCCATACAAGTCTTCTCCAACTTTGTAGCAATATGCCATCCACTCAAAAGCCCGTCATCCTTCTCGTCCACGGCGCTTGGCATGGCTCCTGGGCTTGGAAGTACCAGGTCCCTGAGCTGGAATCCCTCGGCTATACCACTCAGACCCTGGATCTGCCTTCAGTATCCGGTGCACCGGGTAAGACACAAGCAGACGATGCAGCGCACGTGCGAAGTGTCTTGGAACCACTTTTAGCGGAAGGCAAACAAGTCGTCGTGCTGGCTCACTCCTACGGCGGACCGATTGGTTGCGGGGCTATTACCGGACTGTCTCTCACCGAGCGAGCCAGGAACGATCTAACAGGTGGAGTTTTGGGGTTCATCAATCTCTGCGGGTACATCTTCCCTGGAGGCATGGATCAAGGCGCTGTTATCCGCAGCCTAGGCGGTCTTCCTTACGTCGATTGGGATACCCCTTCTCCAGGGCTCTTTGTTGCCAAAGACCCTGGTAGTCTCCTCTACCGACCCGATGTTTCGAAAGATCACGCAGAATGGGCACTGTCACAGTTGCAACCGCAGAGTATGGCTGCAAATATGGGCATTGTTCCTCCTCAAGCATGGCAGGAGGGGGCATACAAAGGTCGCTTGGCGTATATCAAGGCAACAGAGGATGCTGTTATTCCTTTTTCAGACCAGGAAAGCATGATTGCTGCAAGCGGAGGGAGTGAAGCTTGGATCACTCGTGTGTTAGAGGGGTCTGGGCATAGTCCACAGATTTCTCGGCCTGGCGAGGTTGCCCAGGTAGTTGAGAGTCTGATCCGAGACTTTCAACCTTAGAAGTGAAGGGAGCGGAGAACTGATTATTATCTTGGCATTGCAAATATGGAAAATGGCAATAGACATGTTATTTACGTCTCAAGCTTGTGTCTTCAGTCCCGTCAATCTGTGACAATTTGGGCGATTTATTGTCATTATACGCCCGACATCGTGGTCATGTATTAGAATTTGGATTTAGAAGATATTTTGCGTAAAAGCATCAGATTCACATTTACAGCATATAATGGCATTTCTAAATGAAAAAGAGAGAAATGAGCTATAATAATTATCTCTCGTTTTTCTGATGATATTTCGTTCAGCAATTTGGAATTTACGTGGCCAACAATTAAGTAAGACTGAAATGTCGTCCCTTAGGGTAGCCAGTTTGGCCATTCCCGGCCGTCATTAATCAGAGCCTCATCTTACCACGGGAAATGACTGAGCGAGATTTTTCAGCCGCACGGGAACGATCCAAGGCCGTGCCAGAATGAGCACATCTCAATGAGCGAACCTACGGATGTTATGCGACGCGAAATGTCAATGACAGAATTTCGCGGTTCGTCCTTTTCTCTCATGACTATGGATTGAAATATCTGGTCATATGCAATTTTTCGTCATTTTCATCGCAAATTCTCTGGAGATTCGGAGAGTTCAAAAAGAAAGAGTTCCCGAGCGCGGGAGAGATAATAAAAACTCGATAGTTCAGCTGGTGTCCTCGTGGTGAGCGAATTCTTCCCCAACCGCGGGAAGTCTCTTCATTAGAAATCGACGAATTCTATCCGCGGGACCATTCAATTTCAGGGATCATACCCGCGGGAGTGAGCAGCATCAGACCAGAGGTGGATTCGTGAGTCGATAGCGAAGGAGCGCAGGCAAATGAGTGACGATGAAGGGGAGGACGAGGCCGGGGCATCATGGCTTCTTATGTGCCGTTCGTGCCGAGAAAAATGGGCCTTGGCATCGATCTAAGTCCCGTCTTGGCAAAGATCCAAGGGGCTAGGACCAGAAGAGTTGGAGGTTGCGGGGCTCACCGATGAAGCTTAATCTGTTAATGCGGAGATGCCTTGTAGCACACGGGGGCTTGGGTGATCTCATCTCAACTCATGGGATCAAATGAGGTGCAGGTGCAGTTCGACGAGTCTAGATTCAGAGTTCAAAGCTCAAAGGACTTGACGCTTTCGTGTGTTGTATCACTATAACGGTAGTGTTCTGGAAGCCTTCTCGGGAACGAGACTGTTCCCTTCAACCATTGACTCGCCACCATCTCAATCTTCTCCGCGCTCGCACGGGTACCATACTCAATAAACGGGAAACCCGACCCATTTCTTTTTTTTTCGGCGAATTCTACCCGCGGGAACAAAATCATCGCATCCAGTCTCCATCAACTGTCATCGTCAACTCCATCAAACGAGCAATGACAAACCCGAACCGTTTCTCATCTCAATCTCCACGGGGTAAATCACCCGAATCAAGATTTACCCCATGGGCACGGAGTTAGTGACACCTCAATTCAATCTCCTATAAGATCAGGGTCCCCCTTCGACCCCAAGCTTCCCCAATCACTAGTCCAGTCCAGACCAGCAAAAGCTTAAAGAGTCAAGACCACCCAGACAAAGTCTCTTGAGCCCAATTCAATCTCTTCCCCTCTTCCAGATAACAACACGTCACAATGGCTGGAGGCGTTGTCAAGAAGCCCGTCAACATCTTCAAGCTGGGCGATGTCGGTGAGCCAAAGGGCGTCTTTAACTGGCGACTATGGTTTGCTGTCTTTGCTTTCGGCCTTATGGGTGCGGCCCGCGGTATTGATGAGGGTCTTATCTCGGGTGCTTTCAAGTCAAAGGACTTCCGAAAATACATCCACTTTGAGGATTACTCGACTGTCGAACAGGCCAACATCAAGGCCAATGTTTCCGCCATGGTTCAGATTGGTTGTGTTGGAGGCGCATTGATGTAAGTACCAGTCATTATGCAATCTGCCACTGTACCCGCTGACTCTTGAACTCTAGTGCTTTCCTCATCTGCGATAGAATCGGACGTATTTGGGCTACTCGACAGCTCTGCATTGTTTGGATCGTCGGAATCGTCATCTTCATGGCTAACGGCGGCAGTCTCGGCGCTGTCTACGCCGGTCGTTTCATCGCAGGTCTCGGTGTTGGTCAAACAGCAGTTGTTGGTCCCGTCTATCTCGCCGAAATCGCCCCAACAGCTGTTCGTGGCCTCTGCACTTGTGTCTTTTCTGGCTTTGTCTACCTGGGCATCGTCTTGGCCTACTTTGCAAACTACGGCTGCTCTCTTCACATGGGCGACAACACCCACGCTCGCTGGCTCGTTCCTACCAGCCTTCACATCATGTTTGCTGGCTTGATTCTGATTCTTAGCTTCTTCGTCGACGAATCTCCCCGTTTCCTCATCAAGAAGGGTCAGACCGAAAAGGCTACTGCTGTTATGGCCCGCCTTCGACAACAAGATCCCGAGTCCGATTACATTACACGCGAAATCGCTGCCATTCAGCTGGCCCACGAGCACGAGCTTGAGAGTGTCAACAGCTCATTCCTCGGTACATGCAAAGAGCTTTTCCTCAACAGCAGCAACCTTTACCGTCTGTACCTCGCTAGCATGGTTCAAGTTCTTGCTCAGTGGTCCGGTGCCGGCTCCATCACTCTCTACGCCCCCGATCTCTTCGCTCTTCTCGGTATCAAGGGTTCTGAGACTGGTCTGCTTGTCACTGCCCTTTTCGGAATCGTCAAGCTTATTTCAGCCATTACCTGCGCTCTCTTCCTTGTCGATGTTATCGGTCGAAAGCGTGCTCTTATCGGAGGCATTGCCCTGCAGGCTCTTGCTATGATCTATGTTGGCTCATTCCTCACTGCTGTGCCTGAGCCTCACAGCTCTTCCGCTGCTGCTCGTGGCGCTATGGCTATGATCTACATCTCAGGCATTGGTTGGGCTCTTGGTTGGAACACCATGTCCTACATTCTCACTGCCGAGTTGTTCCCCCTCCGTGTCCGAGCCTTCGGTACTTCTTTCGCTATGACCTTGCATTTCCTCTGCCAGTATGGTAGCAGCCGAGCCACTCCCAATATGCTTCTGCCAACATCCGAGGGTGGAATCAACCCCAATGGTACTTTCTGGACCTACGCTGCTATCCTGGTTGTTGGTGGTATTTGGGTTGTTGTCTCGGTCCCTGAGACTGCTGGTCGTTCTCTTGAGAGCATGGATAGACTCTTTGACCTTCCCTGGTACAAGATTGGGTTGTTCGGCAACCGCGATGCTGAGCAGCAGGATGCCGTGTATAATGAGAAGGAGAGCGTTGCTATGAATACCCAGGGCCAGGTTGTTTATGTTGAAAACAAGTCCAGAGAGGTTGTATGATGTACTGTATTGGAGTTGGGATCTTACGAATTTGATATGAAGGAAAGCGATTTGGTTTTTGCATGATAATCTATCTCACAATGCATACTGTTCAAAGTGACAATACTTACCTCTACTCTGTCCTCTTCTATAATCGCTCGTTTAGTCTCCATGGATTGGTAGTTTAATCGTTTTCTGGTAATGTTTACCAAGAGCTCGATTCAACCCCAGCTTCAGATCCTTATCAGCCACATTGGGTCTAGCGCGACATCATTATCGCTTATCAATATGTCTGAAGATTAGATAATCATTTTCACTATTACTTAGATCGCTAACGCTCAGGCCTGATTGGATTGGAGTGAGACAAGCATGAAGCTATTCACAAGCTAGTTACTCCACAAGGACTGCATTTCTTCTGTTACTGCGAGTGGCAAGCCTCAATTCCGTATTCAGCGCCGTGCATTGATATTGTGAGGAGATAAGGAGACGCCCAAAATTGCAAATGCTCCAATTAGAAAAGTGGTGACACTGGAATTATTGACAACTCTACTGATCAAACTCCTGATTATAGCGTAGTGACCGAGGGCACCCCTAACGTCTCTGTCATGTTTCTGACTTTTTATTACACAGACATTGGCCAAGCTGATTAGACGAACTATCGCTATAGAAAACCTGCATACACAGCCCTCCTGACGATTGAGAGATGGTAAAGGTCTAGACTGGGACATGGAGAGCTGAATAAAAAGCCCCAAACATACAACAGAGGGTTAGAAGGTCATGATCTAGCTGTATTGACCTTTTACTGGCAGAATGTAGGTTGGTGCATATGGTTTAGTGAAGGTGGCTGCCGATATCACAGCGCTTTGACTCTCCAGGTTTCGCCTACAGCCGAAGAAATAACGCTAACCAGTCTATGGATTTCGCCACATAACTGTCTTCCTTTGAACTTGGTTTAGCTGCCACGGGTGGCTAATCTGAATGCTCCAGTGATACTCAATTGGGAGTAAACTGCAGGCTTTACCGCCTCTCTTTGTAGCGATAATCGGTGCAGCTACATTTGACCTGTCGCAGAGAATGAACACGTCTTCTCAACATTGGAAATTGGCAGACCTCATTCAGGTATATAAAGAGAGCCTTGGACCTGTGTCAAGTTGAATAAATCCATCTCGTGCCATCAACAACTGTCAAGTTCATCTCTCACAGAGTCACAGCTCTATTTCTACATATCGACCATTCTTCAAGCATTACAAGTAACAATGCCTTCTTCCAACTACAGCGACTTTGCCTCTTGAATCGGTGTAAGTATTTACCCCTCTGTAAACGAAAGCACGGATAGAGATCTAACATGTTTTTCTTTGTTGTCAGGTCGAACATGAAAGCAACCAGCCTGAGGGCACCATCACCGAGATCAATGGCGGCAGTGCCAACGTCGGCCAAGGCTTCGGAGGAAGGTAAGGATATATGCTTCATGCTTGAGCAAGCTTCTAATACCCAGAAACACTCACTGACTCCTGGATCAAGTAACGTCTGGCTCAGGACGATCAAAGCTGATAAGCCGGACATGATGATGGATATCATTTTCATCTACATTGGACATGGCGAGGCAGCCCGAACGGATGATCTCGCAAAGGGTGCTAGTGGCGACTACCGCTTCCTTGATTGGACCCGTAACATGACTGCCACTCGGTAACACCGATGAAAATCCCCCATCCAAAATGATTGAAAGGTACTAATACTTTTTTTGCGATAGATTCATTACTGATTTTGCCCTCTGGCGTCAGACTATCCCTCAAGGTGCACTTCCTGCGGGCTGGCATGGGATGACCAGCGACATTAATGCTGGGCGAGGCGGTGGCTACCTCTATCTCGTTTGGAAAAGTGATGTGTATACTGGTTATAAGTAAGGGGCTACTAGTAATCGTGGACAAGTATATCGAGAAGCTACTTCACTCTTGTAGAGTTCAAGGTCTTACCATATACCGGGCTATCTACCGACAAATGCTTCCTGCTATTCTAAATAAATCTTGACCTCCACCACTTTGTTGCAAAGAGTTCTGTACCCAGCCTCATGAAAGTAGACATCTAGATAAGACTGATCTTTATCCCAGGATATATCAGTCCATATGTATCTAGAGCCCGCAGGAATAACACCGTTCTCATCTCGACCATCTTCCTCAATCGTCATAAGACGTCGGCGCGCTAATAAACTGGCTCTGGTCTCCCAACCGCCCATGGTGGATGTCATTCTTTCGAACAGGTCCAGAGAGTCCAATCGGATCGCCTGGTTCCTGCACTTTTGTGACACAAAGTTGAGGACAGGAAGCACGTAGATGTCCAAGACTGTCTCAATTCGTGTTGATGGGCTCGAAGTGCTCCCGACAGAGTGCATCATTTCCATAATGTCGGCAAAGACGTTGTCGTACTTATCGTACTCTGTCTCCATAGGATCAAGACAACAGTTCAACAAGATGTAAACAACCTTTTGTCCAACGTGAAATGCCTTGGTTGTATTCTTAGCAACCGCATCTGTTTCAATATTGAGTCTCTCGATAATGACCATCTCCCATTGTCGAAGTTGCTTGAGGAATATGTCTCGACGTGCCATCAAAGACGCTCTGTGGAATGAATTGCAGTATGAACGATCCTGCAAAGTCTTGACCACGAAGATTACAGCTCGAGTGATGAAGCTGTTCCACATAGCGGCAAACTGGTTGAAGTCTGTTTGTGCTGAAGGGACCGTGCAGGGTATTGCTTGGGCAGAGAAGCGCGACCAGCAGTCTCTCTGCAAAGGAAAAAAGCAAGAGTTCAAGCTAAAGAAGACCTGCAAACGGGGAAGAATCCGTTCAGCCTGATCTAATCCCTCGTCGTTGGAGATTGCTGTGTAGACAGGTTCTGGCTGTGGTTCAAACCCAGCACTGACCTCTTCTGCCAATTGATCTTTCTTCTGTCGTAGAAGTTCAACACTACTTGTAAGCATCCGATCAGCTGTTTTTGTGTTCCCGTGCATCAGCTCGAAGAGAAAAAGAATGAACATGTTGATAAGAGTATTGCGTCGGGAAACAGTGGCGAAGTTGGACTTGATTCGTGCTTGCAGGGCAGAGATCGCTTTTGAGTGGTAATGCAGAGCGATGCGATACGTGGGGTCGCTAGATGCTCTGGAAAGGTCTGAGAAAGGCTTAAGACCAGTATATGGCCTTGGACCAAGACGATAAAGGGATTGCATGAGCGCGCCGACACTAAGGACAGAGAATCGTACACAGTCATCGTTCATAGCCTCTCGGGGTATGACTTTGTTCCAAAACAGGGTGCAAGGGGTGTAACCAAAGTCATGGGCCATTTGATAACGAAAGAGATCAAAGTAGGGCACTTCATGGGGTTCTAGACTGGAAGATCGAGGTTGAATCAGAAGAGGTGGACCTAAAGGCTCTTCATGACTCCTAGGCTCTTCATGACTCCTGGGCCCTTGCTTTGGTAAGAGAACTTTTGTTTGTGTGAGAGCTTGAATTGATTTTCGTTCGGCCTCTCCGTATTGGCAGAGCCGTTGGGACCTTTGGCATCGAATGCATGTTGGTTTCGCCTCATCGCATCTCAAGTGCATTCGTTTACACTGATGATGTCAGCTCAGTACTTAGATACCCCAATACCAAAGTATTAGTTTCCCGAATGCAAGGGCAGAGGTGGCTTACTGAGTTACAGCCACTGCGACTTTTGGGTGCACCAGAACGCTTCGGTTTGCCCAATTGGATAGTGTTTACGAGTGCATGAGCGGGAATCATGGTTCGGCCGACAGCTGTGCCTCAGCGATGGACTTAATTAGGGGATGGAAGGACAAGAGGGGGAGGAAAAGATTGGCTCGGATATATTTCTCAGGCTTGTGATTGTTTGGTCATGAGAAAACGAGTGTGACAAGGTTAGAACCAGCCAAGGTCAGCCCTACCGGGAGCCAACAGTCAGATACAGGTAAATGTGTATGACAAAGCACTCCACTCCTACATTGTATTCCACACCTCTGTAGTAGATGATTGGTCAATAAATACGATTACTACTTACAGTCTAGCTTCCCCAATAGCTCCGCCATCAGCGTGGATCGACAGGGCTTGTGCAGCCAATCACTTTTACCAACTAGCGAATCGGCAATGGGGGAATATGCACTATTCTCAATTGGGGTTTGGCCTCTGAAGAGGGTTACAGAACTGCATCCTGTATAAAATTCTCGAGCTCTGAAATGGTGAAAGGTAGTATACCCTCTTTTATTATGAGGATTCTTCAGGCTGAGGAAGCTTAGGTGGCTTGTGTATCTACTCCAGAATGAGACCAATCATCCCCCTTTATAATGAAGATTCCAGCCCCAAGCCCCCATCAAGGATACTGCCCCCTAAGGTCAAGAAGGCGGTACGTCGTTGGCAGCGTGCTGGAAAACCCAAATCTCGATCAGGTTGTGGGACCTGTAAAATCCGAAGAGTAAAGTGTGACGGTATGGCATTTGATACGTGATCTTCTAGCAGGTTTCCAGCTGACGAATGCAACTCTAGAGGCGAGACCGATATGTGTCCGATGTGCTAAAGGAAAATTTGACTGCGACGGTTACACCAGCGATACGGCCGGAGAAGCGAGCGACTCAAGTGATTTGTCAAGCGGTACCGAGAGTCCAGCGATTGGCAACGTGTCCACGTCCCCCGGAACACCCGCAACAAGCCTGGACCTGACCCCAAGTCCCGCATTAGATCACTCAGAACCATGCACCGGGCATGAACTTACTTTGCCAAGTGCTCTACTTGCGTCGACCCACGGTCCCATCTACCTTGAGCACTTTAATCAACATGCAAATTTGGGCAATGCAGTCTTTAGCTACAGCGAGCTTTACTCCAGAATCGTCCTTCAAGAGACTCTACAAGACGAGTGTGTACAGGACGCCGTCCTGGCGCTCGGATCATTCTTTTATAGTGGCTTTATCTTAAGTCAACCTGGTATACAAACAGAGACCGCCAATCACCACAGGCATCAATCTCTTCAGCTCTACAACGTTGCACTCAACAGCTTTGGCAAGCGCATGCAGAACTCAAATAGGATCACACCTCGATGGGTAGTTCTCATGACCCCACTGCTAGTCATGTATGAGGTACTTCAAGGTGACTTCGATGCTGCAGACACACTTCTTGGCAGTGCGATGGAAGTTCTTCGCTCTACAGGGGGCATCTCGCACATTTCGACCAGTGAGAGCTCTGACATATTTTCTTACACAAGTCTACAAATTGCCGGAGACGTGAGACCGTTCTTCACAATGACAAGTATACAAATCGCTCATGAAAATCTACAGTGGGATTCTGTTGTGTTTATTCACTCAGATCTGCTTGCCGCTGTCAATAAAGTTGCCAGCTTTGATGAGGGATATTACGGAGATATGCCTCAGGACCTGTCGAGTATGGACAATGACTATGGTTGGATGGATTAATGTCGGTACACCGCGACACCTGGAAGAATTTGATATGGGTCCTGTAGTATAGCTTGAACTTGGCGGTAGACCTAGGCCAAGAACAAAGCAAGAGAGGCACTGGAGCATTAGATAGGGAGACTGCGAGCTGTTCAACCAGCAGTCTTATGATTTGGGTAACTGCATAAAGGATATTCAACACGATAGGCTGCGTAATGAGAGCTACAGGCATATGTGTACTATGGTATCTCATGTGAATTTTCACATTTCACTTTGATGAATCGCCTATCCCCTTCATGGGGCTCAAGTTGAAATCAAGTACAATTGAAGATTCATCTAGCTAGCTATGGTCTCGACCAGTTAATCATAGTAGAAGTACAAGAGACACAGCTGGAGTTGCTATTATGTGCAAGTGCTGACATTAGCCCATCTACAAACTATTTCAGCGATGAAACCTCAAGAACAGCATTGACAAACGCTTCAGGCTTCTCCTGCGGAAGATTATGCCCCGAACCTGGAACCTGATGGTGCACACGTGGACCACTGAAGTACTTGGCTGAAGATGAGCCATTCGTCGGCGGAAAATTACCATCTGCTAGACCATCCAATGTCACAGTCGGGACTGAGATAACAGGCTGTTTAAGAAGCTCTTTCTCAATATCGCTGTAATCTGGATCACCTGGAGCATACAGCAGGCGATGCCTGTAGACATGAGTAACAATACTGACATAGTCCGGATTGACAAAAGTCTCAGCGGCACGATCGAGATCTGCTTCAGTGTAGTTCCACTCGGGGGAGTTCTTATTCCAAACAACTCGGGCTATGTCTTTCGGGTGTTCCGCCAAAGCAGCTTGTCCACGAGGAGTAAGAAAGTAGTAAAAGTACCAAAAGCCTGCTTCGATCTTGGCATCAAGAGGGACCCAGGCTTTTGATAGGTCTTGGATTAAATAGCTGTTGACTGACACCAGGCCGGCACAACGTTTGGGCCACAGAGCTGCAGCAACGCAAGCACCGCGTCCGCCCCAGTCGTAACCAGCGAAGATGGCCTTTTTAATGCTTAGAGCATCTAGCAACTCCATAATGTCGTAGCCTAAAGCTGCTTGCTGGCCAGAGCGGAAGGTATCTGTGTGCAGAAAGGTGGTAGGTCCGTTCCCGCGAAGATATGGGACGATTACACGGTATCCCCTCTTCACAAGAGCTGGGGCGACTTCGGTGTAGCTATGAATATCGTAGGGCCACCCGTGGAGAAGGAGGACGACCTGCCCATCTGAAGGACCGTCTTCATAATATGCCACTTGAAGTCTGGTTGTGTTGACATAAGACAGTGGCTCAAGTCGAGGTAGATACCTAGTACGAGGGCTTAGGTATCCGAGAGAGTGCTCTTTGCCAAGTGAATGGTGAGGTGGCTGGAGACTCAGAGCCTGGGATATGAAAGTAGCCAAAGTAAAGAAGCGATAAATGATCATGCTGTTCTCAAACTTGGGAGAGATGGTTGACTGCATGATGATACGCGGTGAGAATGGGCTTTTTGAAGAAAATGACGTTACTGAACCACCAATGAGAAGGCATTCCTCGTATAAGTGAACTTCGTAAAAGCAGTATTCCACAATTCGTGTTTTCGTTGACGAAGGTGGTTGAGAATAAGTCTTACGTGAGACATATTGCGCATTTCAGATTGAGTTTTGATTCCAAATCCTACTCCACTCAAAGATTGTTCCTTGTCATCACGCAACTAGCAAAATAATATCACTTAGTGGGCAGACAGGGAAAGTGATACCACTGTTTCGCCTAGAGATGAAAACATATCATGAAATTACAATGAGTAAAATGACTGACGCAGAAGAAAACTGATGCAATCCATTGGACGCCCCCATGGCCTATTCTTGAGCTCAGACAATTACAATATCTTGACACCGCTCACAAGGCATCTAGTCTCATTCCACGAGATTTAGGGCTACAATCCATGAACTAATGGTACAAGCAGAGGTTTGCAAACCATGATACATGTTTATGGGGAGCCCCTCTCAGTTCGAACACTCGGCTTTGCCTGATTATCTCGACCCAGCCACAACAGCTCTGGTCTCCCATTATGTCCACAAGTGTCAAGAATTGCTTTATGCATAGTCACCTGATCCAAATCCAGGTCTGTTATTACCATACCTTCTTCTGTTGCCGGCAAGTCTCTTGTCAATTGTCGACCGTCCGGTGCAAATATCCTCGCGTTGCCTCCACCAGCAAGATTGAAAACTGGAGCTTGCTTTGTACCCATCATCTCAATGGATGGTTGCGAGATGACAGTTGTAGAGTGTAGCGTATAGCACTGGGCTTGGATAGAGTAGACACGAGATATGGCTGCTACCGCTGTACGTAGATTAGATGGGTCTCAAAGGATGGGAATAATCATACCTTCATCCGACATGGAGAATGGTTCAGGGCCACCTGAGTGAACAGGCACACAAGGCCATGCCGCACAATGGATCTGCTCTCCTTGGGAGAAAGTATTGAAGTTGATCAACGGATTAAAATGTTCCTAGAAGGGGTCAGTTCACTCATTGTGTGACACACAATGTTTGAATACAGGGTCTCAACCTACTCCACAAGATAGTTGCCCAACTTTCCCCACAGATGTCAGAGCGACATTATCAAGCGATGGACCATGCCCATCACCAAAGATCGTCCTCTCAATATGAAAGGGCTTAAGCTTACGTCTAGTCATGAGGACTTCACCATCGCTGTCAATTATGCATTGAGCAATGTAGAGAGAGCTTCCGCTCAGCTCGGAAAACCCGAGGCAAACCACGATATTATTCTCTGCTGCACAAGACCTGATGTCTTGCATTTCGCTCGAGTCTATTTTGAGTGAGTTCTTGGTGTATTTCACAACTATCTCAAGATCCATTGGACGAGCCCTGAACCAGAGTCAGTTCCAAGATTATCTCAAAGAATGCAATTCTCACCAGATCCATGTCGGATATCCTGGTAGCCAAAGCTCAGGAAAAGCAATAATCTGTGCTCCTTTCGAAGCAGCTTCTTTGATCAGATCGCATGTCTTCGCAGTAGTGCCAGCTAAGTCAAACCAGACTGGTTCGGTTTGAACAACAGCTGCTTTGGTGATGTTTGCCGTGGAAGCCATGATGGGAATGATGCTTGAGTCTAAGGTCGGCTTTGATAACAGTTGAATGGTATTACAGAAATGCTTTTCACCTGTTCTCGGTACCATTCTTGAGGTTAATTGTCATATTTACCATCGCTACTTGCATTTCGGGCTCAATATGTCACAAGGTTTCTTCATAACTGTGAATACGAGCAAGCTTTTTTGATTGGTTCGTTTTTCCTTGCGTCACCAAAAAAGGCAAGATTATGCATTCAGTGATCTGACGTGAGATTTGGAAACCACTAGATAACCAACTAACTTAATTCTACTGGATTAGCGTTAACAGCCTGGAAGCTCAGTTGCAGAGTTGAGATCAGCTTAAATCTAAGCCATTGAGGATGGCTAGCTCGTATACGCGCCATGATCTTTTATGGAACATGTGTGGAATCAATACTTCAGCGCCGCCAGAAACCTTGTTGCGCCTCAGCGCAAATTGATGATTACTGTAGTTACACTGCCACAACCGTAATTAATTCCTGTAACGAGGCATTTTGCTAACACCTTTGAAGGCGCCATCATCAGTGGCCCCTGATAGGTGGCAGGTCCTGAAGCTATAAATCTGTTACAGGCGCAAGTAGCAAACTAATGCCAATACTGAGCAATCTGGATCCTCATCTTATTATGCATTCTTTTGTCTTTCTAAGCCTTGTTGGCCTCAGCTTACTTGCTCGGCCAACTGCAGCCCAACCAAATATGGTCGACTCATGCAACAACATTACTCCTCCGATCGTCCCAGGTGCCACGGTCAAATCCATCAAGAGTCAAATCTATCGCGACCACTCCGTTACTGCGCTTCCCCCTACGCTTCTCCAGAATGTCACGCATCTAGACATCTGTGAAGTCAATGTCACTCTATCCCATTGGAATGAAGACGATACCGTTCTCGTGCAGACATGGTTGCCTCTTAACAACTGGAATTCCCGTTATCTCGCTATTGGTGGTGGTGCTTGGGCAGCCGGACTCGGCCAATTTGATCTTGCTCTTCCTGCTTCTCAAGGTTACGCTGTCTCATCGACCAACGCTGGCCTCAGCGGGAATCCAATCGATCCGTCAGACTGGGCCTTGAAGCAAGATGGTACCGTCAATTATGGTCTTCTCAAGAACTTTGCCTCGAGATCTGTTCACGACATGGCAGTTGTTGGCAAGGCCATTACAGCTTCTTTCTACAAGGTCCCGGCTAAGAAGGCATATTTCAATGGCTGCTCCACTGGGGGTCGTCAAGGTTTGGCGGCAGCACAGCAGTATCCCGATGATTTTGACGGAATACTTGCTGGAGCTCCGGCCATCTATTGGACGGAGTATGTCATCGCCGAGCTTTGGCCTCAAGTTGTTATGAAAGACGCCAACTATTATCTATCGCCATGTGAGCTGGATGCTTTTGTATCAGCAGCCGTGGAATCATGCGATGGGAAGGACGGCGTTAATGATGGCGTAATTACAGAGACGTTCACCTGCGAATACAATCCTTTTACTCTTGTCGGTAAAAGCATTGAATGTGGAAACGAGAAAATGGTGGTCAACCAAATTGCTGCTTCAATAGTTAGCAAGATATGGAGAGGACCATCTGATTCGAGAGGCAAAACTCTATGGTATGGAATGCCCAAGGGTGCATCCCTTGCTGCATTAGCTGCTTCGAAGACAGTCAATGGGACAACCACTGGTTCACCGTTTTTTGTTGCCGATACATGGGTGCGTAACTTCGTCAAGCCAGATCCCAACTTTGACATATCACAACTCAATACCGCAGGCTTTGAGAAGCTGTTCTTAGAGTCACGAGATAAGTTCGGTCACATCATGGATTCCTCAAACCCCAATCTCCATCCGTTCAAGAAAGCAGGTGGAAAGATAATTATCTGGCATGGTCTGAGTGATCAGTTGATCTATCCTCAGGATAGCATCCGATACTTCAGAGAGGTGGAGAAGAGGTTTAAATCCAAGGGGAAAGACGAGGACTTGGATAAGTTTCTTCGTCTGTTTCTTGCTCCTGGGGTTGATCATTGCGGCTTTGGACAGAGCGCCGGTGCTGTACCAACTGATCCATTTGGAGCATTGTTGGCTTGGGTTGAAGACCGCAAACCTCCCCATGTATTGGATGCACATACGAAACCTGACGCTCTTGCTCAGTTCTCACGAAAGATATGTCATTATCCTGCAGTGGCGAAATACAAGGGTAGGGGGAACACGGACAACTCCAAGAACTACATTTGTGTCTTTCCGTAGTGGTGTTGATCCGTGGATTCCATTCAGCGTGGTGACTTCGCACAATGATCGTCAAAGCCAGTTACCTCATTAGTTTAGCAATACTAGATGTAATGTTACAGTGTCGGTTAACTTCAAATCGTGGCCATTCAATGATCCTTCTCGCTGACATGACTATGTACACGTGAAACGTTCAAGTCCGAGACAAGATGCCTGAAAAGTCCGTGTCTCATAAAATGCCACTGCCTAATTAAATAATGGTAGCGGTATGTCAGAGTCTGTACCTCTGAGGCTCTAGCAATTATTTTGGTGGTGAAAAGTCCCTCTGAAACAAACTTCGGGCAGCTACCAATTCGAGAACCAGGAAATTATAAAGGTTTGTCAGAATATCTAAATACTTCGGGTGATAACAATGAGGCGACAGGCATTTTGGCTTCAAATATTAACTGTGATCCAATCTGAGTATCTTGAGTGTATAGTAGTAGTGAAAGCGAACGACAAAGACCGGCAAGATCTGTAACCAATATAGCCAACATATTTGAGATGCCTTATCGGTTACGGAACTAGGTCATGACCATACCTCCCATCTTCTCGGAGAGTCCCTCCACGCCAACCTTAAGAAAGTGCTCATCAGAGTCTATCTGTTCACGGACAGGACCGCTCTTCAATTCATCAACATCCCAGTTGGCCCAGACGAAGCGGCCATGAAGAAAGCTAGCTTCAGGTGTAGCTGCCCAGACGGAAAAGTGGCCTGGAAGGTTCTCTATCAAACAGGCATCAGTTGAAGACCTTCATTAGGGGTCATGAGAGTACTTACCGTCGTCAAAGACAAGACCTTTCAGGTTATCACCACCAACCCTCTTGGCAGAGTCTGTCAAAACACCACCTGGATGGAAACTGACAATCTGCATATCAGTGGGTTTGGTATCCTGCGCGATCTGCTGTAGGAGAAGAGTGCTGGCATTCTTGGTCAAGCCATATGTCGGGCGGTCAGGACCCATGGTTGACCACATGTAAGCCGCGCAACTTGAGATGTTTACAAGAAACTGCGAGACGTTAGTACAGGGGAGTTTTCAAGAAGATAGAAGACATTTCACCTTGGTTAGGCCTGGGCCTGCTGTCTTTTGTTTGTAGAATCGTTCCGTCATATCGAGGGTACTTCGAACATTGGACTCAAAGTCACCCCAGACCTTGGACAAACCTCCATCAAGAATCGTCTCAGTAGCACCATAGCTAGCAGCGCTCAAAACCAAGACATCAACAGCGATCTTCTCTGATTCAAGTGCGTTCCAAAGATGTGCAGTGGATGTCAGGTCAGAGATATCACAAGTGCGGCCCTGCACCTCTGTTCCACTGCCAAACTGACGTCCCTCTGCTTGAAGTTTGGCAGCTGCTGATGTGACTACATCCGTGCGGCGTCCAAGGATAATGACACGGGCAGCGTTCGCTTTGACGAATCCGCGAGCGATAGCATACCCGATACCGCTATTTCCTCCTGTGACAATGACTGCTCTACCTGTCTGCTGGAGTGCAGGGAGAGAAGGGTCAATTGCCTGATAGGGTTTCTTGTGGTATTGATTCAAAGTTGGAAGACTCATGGTGAATAGGATGCCTCGATTCAGAACTTGGAAGAGTAAGTTTATAGTTCAAGTTGAGTTCAATTCTTCGAATGGATTTTGGGCTAGGCAGATCGGCATAAGAGCTTGACCCTGGTATTTATAATACATTTACATGTTTATATAAAGCCGTTGGTTTGATAAGAAACGATGAATGATTTAGTAAGGTAGATTGATTGCAAAGCATATCCGCTTGCCTGCAGAATGCGAGAACTCTTGTGCACTGTTTGTAAAGGTGAACCTCATGACCTACTACTTACAGCTATTGCGTAAATCATTCGGTGGCTGATTCATCGCCTTTGGGTAATTGATTGCTAAACCTCGATGATAAGGTTGAGCCAATCGGGATTTTTCGTTCGTATTCCCAGCCCATTTTCAGATGCGGAGTTGTAGATCCCATCCAATGCGGAGTTTTGCTGACATATTCCCCGGACCAATCCAACACTTTAGCTCGTATTATTGCCACGATGCAGTAGCATATGCGAGTTCAGCTTGCACAAGGCTTAGTGAAGCAGCTAGAGGCAACACGCTTACATATGTGTTTCTCAGCTATGGAGATTTTGGCCATATGGTTAGACTTTAGGCAGCTGATACATGTAATAGGAACACGTTATTACATGTGGTCAATTGACTTATTCTTGAACAAATGTTCTAAGTTTCATCGGGTATGGGATTATACTATAAAAGGGATCAAACGAGCTCTGAAATTGAAGAATATGAACTGTTGATGAAGAAGTAAGGGCGACTAATCGGACCAGACGTAAGACTTGGCGACTGATCAGCTTCAAAACTCTAAAGGAAATGCATCGTACACTTTCCTTGTCAGTAACCTAAAGTATTTCTAACTAGTTACACGAGATTGAATAGGCCCAAGGAGCAAAGTCTACAGAATTGCATGACCCATCTGCGCTCAGAACCGTTTCGGTCTTGAACTGCGCACATTCAACACTTGATACCTTGATAACTGGAATCGTTCCATCATTGCAAGGCTTCACAAGACTAACTTTGATGTTCGTAGCTGGGAACTGCTCGACGTTGACACATGAAGTTCCATCAGCTCCTCCGTAGACATTGGCGGTGACGAAAGGTCGCCCATTACAATCTCCGCTGAGCCACTCTTCAACTAAGACCTGCTGGGCGATAACACCAGTGATGGACACTGAGATGGTAATCGGAAGAATTGTCTGTTTTGTGGAATTAGATGGCTCCCTAGCCAGGATTAGGGACGGCATACCTTCATTGCAACTATTTTCATTGGAACTGTGAACACGGCGTTAGGGTTGACAGGTCGAGGCTAGAAGAGAGTGTGCTGATCTACTGTACTTTATGTATTAAAATATCCATTACTTCTGACAGACTTGAAAGCTGCTGACTTGATGCAGAACTGGCAATCAGTTTCCGTCACAGGACTTGATCTCGAATTTTATGTCTGAATGAGGTTGACCGGAATGTTGTCTTCCGACACATGATTCCAAATCTGGAACATCGCAGCACCAAGCATGCAAGCAACTAGATTCAAGGTCAAATATTCTCCGCGCCTAAGCTGCGAATATCATGCCACTCAGACATACAGGCTGGTAAAGAGCAATACGTGAAATGACATACGAGCTGAAGTTGCTGAATGGACGCTCATGTTGCTTCTCTACTCCATTTAGGCTGAACACCTATTCTCTCAACCACGACGTAGCGCTTACAGAAGAATTTATCCGATATCTACGTTTGCCCACTGTGTATACAGAAATCTCAATAGATGATCGCGGCCAAGCCACTTCGGGCCAAGACTTCCATGACTTCCAGGACGACGAACGCTACGCCGATGTCTGCCTCGCACATGCTCACAATGATACGCCCAGTAAGATCACTATCTGGGGAGTCAGTGTGAATAGACCCACGAGCGTGTAAAGGCTCTCTGCGACGAGGTCAACAAGCGAATATATGGGGAGTCTCTCGGTTCTCTGCCTCTGGTCATTGCAGTCCAGGACCTCTGCTACAAGCAAGCCTTTCATGGTATCCCTGGCTACCAGGTCTAGTATCTCGTTGACGGCCAATTCACCGAAGATGACTACAAGCCTGCTCTCCAGCGCGTCGAGTGGTGTCTAGCATTGGCAAATGCCTCAATACACTCCAGCTTGCCGGAATTGGCATACACGTCAGTCAATGATGGCTCCGCTCCATCATTTATCACACCCCGTAAGGCTCTGGAGACTCTTGCGAACGCATGCAACACCCTCGCGGACACTCGCAACATTACGTTAACCACGGAAGATATCGCGGCTACCACTCGCTCAAGCCTTTCTTTCCTGTGTCTCTGCTACTGTCCTTGATGTTGAGAGTGTTATTTTGAGTAGATACACCTGACAGCTGATGCTTGCATCGCACGCCTCACCTCGGTGTTCAGAGAATGGTTACTGAATCCTCAAAGACTAGTCCCGATGCCCATAGAGGACTTCTCTCTTGCCAGAATGCCCCTGCCTCTGTCCAGGAAAGTATTTCTGTTTACCTTGATAGGCTTCCCGACAAGACCTTCCAGTGCAACACAGCATTTAAGACGCATAGTGTCAGCTTTTTCATGCACAACTCAATATTGACGAGTTCGTGGAGAGTCAAGAGCTGCAAAAACGGGAAGAATGGACTGGTCGCAGCTCTTGAGCTGATGGCTGCCTCTAGACCTCTAGCCTTTCACAATCTCTATAAAAATGTCAAAAAGCTCAAGGCCGATGAGTTGTTTGCCTTACTTGGACTCGTACACTGACGAGAACATCCTTCTAAGAGACTTCAACGGTGGTCACAAAACAATCTAGGTATCTTTGCGAAACCAGGCCATCCCGACTATCCTTTCGTTACTAAAACCTCGGACTAGAGCGCTGCTGCAAGCAAGAGAGGCGCAATCTTCCAATGCAACTTCAACCTCGATCGCCCTTGGAACCTAGATACCATAGCTGCTGATAACGATGTGCACAATGTGGACCATGAAATGCCAATGGTCCACTGGCTGTTTACCGTTTACATGAGTTCGGAACCTATTAGTTTCCGCATTTCAACCCCTACCATAGATTATCAAAAGCTATGCCTTGGATGCTTTGAGCGGGAAAGGATATCAGACGATTGATCAACAGCATATCCGTGCTCAAAGGTTAGGAGGACACGGTAAGATTCTAACGACAGTATACGGTAGATCGTTGTTTAAAAAGTCAGTGTTAGTTAGTTGGTCTAACATTTGTGTATAGCTTCCTTTCAATCTCAAACATTTCAAAGGATCTTACGATGAAGAACTCAATTGAATGTGACTTTCGAGAGCCCAAAATCGCGTTGAAGGCTCTGCGATGACTACAATAGTAAGCGCAATCCTAACACGAAGTTCCAGAATCCACTTCATTCAGGGTGACTAAGTCATGGAAGCTCATGCTCGACCCACTCCTCAAGTCAGGTACCTATTGAGTCAACTAGAGTCTAGACCAATTTCAACCTACCAATAGCAATAGCTTTCCGGACCCACTTAGTTTTGAGACATGATTGGATTTCTCGTAAACCTGACAGCAACGGCCCATTTCCATCTCAGCCACTTTACCCCAATTTCTCACCAGCCTCGGCGCTCTCATTGGCATAAAACAATCTCGCCATTACCTTTCACCTCCAATTTGTAGTCTCGTAACAAACAAGAGGAACTTTTCTTCCCAGAAACCATGGCAGCCAACCAGATCGTTGCAATAAGAGGCAAATTCAAGCGAGCCTCGACTCCCAAGGTCAGAACGGGTTGTATCACCTGGTACGTTGATAGCTTACCGCCTCGTTTCTCGTAAAATATCACTAATTGGGAAACACTGCAGCAAGTGAGTACAAACATTCTCTTAGATTCTCCTATATAAAGCTCATACCTCTCCTACCTCTAGGATCAGGCACTTGAAATGCGATGAAGCAAAACCCTTTTGCCGACGCTGCCATAACGACAAGATGAAATGTGACGGATACGCACCACCTAAGCCCAAGGCCTCGAAACGCTCCAAGCGTCGAGATCCTTTGTTGAAGCCTGAAGTCGCTATCTCAGTGCCGCTGCTATCTATGCAGACCGTCGACCAACTCTCTTTGTTATCAGACCCTGAGAAAGTCTACCTCCAACATTTTCTGCACTGGACAGCAAAACAACTTTCACCTTCCTCTGCTGCCATGAACTTCTGGCTCAAATACGCCCTTCCAATGTCGTATCAATACGATGCTATCAGGTATAGCATGATTGCAGTCGGGGCGTCTCATCGAGCCTACATGGCCGATACCCTCCCATACTCACGTCCTGATCATCTGCAGCGTCCTGTCATCCAACACTACAACAGAGCCATATCCTCGATTCTTCCCGTAATGTCTGCTCCTTCAAACGAGAACATTCATTGCATATTGATTTGTTGTCTACTCTTCATGACCTGTGAGGGGCTGACTGGTCGGTACGATGAACTTTTGCAACATCTCGCGGCTGGCGATACGGTATTTCAGTCACTTCGTAATTATAGCTCTTCAGAAGACTCGGGTATGCTAGAGGGACTTGTCGACATGTTTAGCGAGATGGGTCTTGAATCTTCTGGCTTCATGGGAGACCATCCTCTCTCGGGCATCAAGAAGTGGTGTCGTAATGATCCTGAAACAGACGCAAGCCACGATTCACCGTTTACGACGCTCAACGAGGCATCATATGCCTTACACGAACTGAGACTGCATCATGATTTCCAGCCATGGAATCCGGAGAGGGAAGACGGTTTGGCCAACGACAATGCATTTGAAGATATGCTCCACCAATGGAACTCGCGTTTCGAAGCTTTGAACCAACGATCGTTGTCAAAAGTATCGAATGATGAGATAGCGCATATCCACACTCTGCAGCTCCACTATCAATATCTGCAGATGTATATCAACGCGTACGATAACAAAGGACTACAACCTTCGCACCCATACAAAGCATTCATAGAGGCTGCAGAGAAAGTAGCCGCACCTCTAATAGCGCTAAATCAACCTACGTTCTCGCTAGACGGATGTCTGGTCTCAGGTCTATCATTTGTCGCTATATCGACTGAAGGCGGAGATGAGAAGTTGCAAGCACTTGGACTCCTTCGGAAGCTGAACCACCGCGAAGGCATTTTCGACAGCAACGACATCGTTGAGATGCAGGAACTGGTAACCATGGATATGGATTGGGGATCTGTATGTGGATCTGATTCTGATTCTGATATCGAGGAACCTGATCCACCACTCAGGGCACCTGCAGGAATACCGCAGATGATTGAGGTGCTTGCTCGTAAGACAGGAAAGACAAGCAGACGGCTGGAAGGCTTGTACCCATAAGAGGATACAAAGCTCGGTCGAGGCTACACATTTAGCACATCTCCTTAGTCATTCTTCAAAATTCATAACCTCTATCCATGGCATTTAAGATTTGAAGAAGAAGCCCGATTGAACTCCTTGACGCAATGTCCTTGTTCTATCGTAGGATTTGACAAAACAAGGTAGTGCCTCTATTGCATATCCAAATGTTAGTGCTATGTTGCCTGACAAGACTACTCTTCATTCAGGATCTTCGACAGTGAGCCAGGATAACTCCCATTCACGAAATTCCATTGTCTTTACCTAACAAAGTGTATTCATAGCAAGCTCCTCTGCGTAGCTGCAGTAATAGCTTGAGCTTACTAACAAAGAAGGTAAAGTAACCTCTGACTCATTCACTTGGCCAGCTGCCAAAGCCTCTCCTGTACTATGTCAATCCATATTGTTACTTTATCAGCGCCAGGGACCACGGGGATGCGTGACTCTGATCCATCCTCGACAGCCCTGAGAGAGGAGAGGGGACGAATCCGGCCTCTACAATGCCAGTAGAAAGAACTGACCTCATCGCAATGGAAAGAGCTAGAGATCTTCGATGGAGACCGTACGTCGCTGCTCCGATCTTAGTCTCGGCTACATGTGTCAGTCAATCCCAATGTCAATCTGATTGAGCGCGAGGTGGGAGAGTGTATCAGTTTCGACAACATTCAACAAACCATTCCTTCCCATTCGTCGCATCAATTCACACTGACTAATGGCCAACTACATGGATAACTGGCCTACCGGATTGCTTCACATGGTTTCGCAGTATGCCAGTTCTCCACAAGCTCTATAGTCGATTATGCTTATATCATTGGCGCATCAAGGCAGAAGTTCAGAGCAAGTTCAGTGTCATGAGATGTTGATGCAAGGTTTCCAACGTTATGTTCATTTCAACTATTGACAAGTGAAAGGCTATGTACAAGGTTTGAAAGCAGCACAAGCTCAGGCTATTTACAGACTCATCCACCAGCTCCTGAAGCCACTTACAGTGTCTTCTTGGCCCAGCCAACCTGCTGGTTACCGCCATCAAAGACGACGAAAGCAGCCTTGAGAGCAATGTCACCAAAGATGTTGATGCCAATATCGTCGCTGGGCTGGATACCACCAAGGCAGGTAGTAGAGCCATCCTGAACAGGGGCATAGTTGATGTAAGAGCCAGGGATGGTGATGGTAACACCGCCAACCACGAAGCTGAAGCTGGGGAGGGTAGCAGAGCAGCTGAAGACATAGCCGCCATAGCTGGAGCTGTATCGAGCACCGCTGACCTTGGCATAGTATGCGGAGTTGACATCGTCGGGGAGGAGGAGAAGAGTAGTGCCGGTATCAGCAATACCAGTAATGGGGCTTCGGTTGACTGCGGCAGAACCGATGCCATAGCCAGTAGAAGTAAACTCCCAGAAACCCTCGGAGGAGTCGACAGAAGCGTATCCAATCTTGCCAGTATAAGCTGTGCTATCGATGAAGCCAAAGTTGTACTTTCCAGGCTTCTGGTGCTTCAGATCAGCGGTGAAGACGGGAGAGCTCAGGGTGCTGGCAGCATTGTCAAAGAAGGTCTTCTGCTGGGTAGGCTTAACGGTGTTGATGGAGCTGAAACCGAGACCGAGAAGACCATCAAGACCAGTCTCTTGCTCGAACTCGCTAGAGACCTTCTGGGCGGCCTCAACGGCCTGGGAGCTAACAACGAGGCCACCGACGGAGACCTTGTCCTTGTAGACATCTCCAGAGGAGGAGCTTCCGTCGCCATAGCTGATCTTCCATGTAGCGCCAGAGAGCTTCTTAGCTGTGCTGCTCTTGGCAGGGTTGTACTCATCATGGCCACTGCTGCCGGTGGTCTCAGTGCTGAAGACCCAGAGATCAGAAGAACCAGTATCGAAGTCCAAGTTGAAAGTCTGGGCAGGAGTACCGATTTGGACGGGTGTCAACCACTCGACATCCTCGTCAGAGGGTGTAGTGGTGGCACTGCCACTGCCACTCTGACGCTTGGAGTGAGCGTGAGGAGGTCTCACGGCCTTGACAGCCTTCTCGAGACCCTTGGGGAGAGGAACGCCATACTTGGCATAGACGTGGGCGAGAGCGAGAGGACCATTCTTGATGAACTTGGGGTTCTTGACTTGCTCAACGGTGAACTTCTTGTCCTGGGCAGCAGGGGCGCCGAGGGCAATGGAAGCAAAAGCCAGAGAGGCTGTGAGAAGAGCGTTGATAGAAGGCATCTTGATATCGGTGAGAGGCTTAGAGATAGAGATAAGACCAGAGAAGAGTAAGTGAGTGATGATGATATGATTCCAGGATGAATGGTTCATCACTTGACTTATATATCTTTACTGACTCAACGGAGTCTGACATTGATTGAGACATTCCGCCATATCGCCATCTGGTGATGCTTCATCTATCTCTCGCTCACACCTCGCTCGGCTTCCAACATCCGAGCCACCTTCCGAGAAAAGACCTACATCGCTGACGTGATTAGTCCCTTTGATCCGCGCGATAGATGCCGGACCTAATTCCTTGGCTGATCTGTCTATGCAGCCTCCCGTCCTTGGCATCTGTTTGGCTTCTTGGCTGCTTCTATCAATCGTGGCAGCCATGAGGTGGGCCCCACCAAAGACCAGCGACCCCTTTCCTACAAAAGGTCTTTCAATCAACTTTGATTCTAGGAGCGGAACAAACGTCTAGTAAGTAACGAGCAGTTCCGCCGCGGCTTGACAAGGGTGCATCTTCTGTCTTGGCTTAAGCACCTACCGAGAAGGGATGCTACTGCCGACTATGTCCGGAGAATTCGGCATTGCTAAGGCCCTGATAGGTAGTTGGATCGGGACTCGGCAATGGAGGGAGAGGGACGTTTGTTATGGTGCAGCTGAGACCTAGGATCTATCCGTGATTAAACTCCTTTTGTAAAGGAACTATTGGTTAGTTTATCATGTGAACTCTCAAGATATAACTGTTCTAAAACGAGCAGGGGTGGTGAGGAGTTGCTGCTATTGGTTGAGACGGCGGTTGCGATAAGCGTAATGAACAAGTTAGATTTCGTGATGCGGATACCCCTGCAGATCATGCCTTATCCGCTCTTAGTCGCGTGGGTTAGTGGTTGCTGGACGGCATTGCTCCTTTGGTCCTAGATGATATTAAGTCATTCGTGGGAGACCTCTTGACCCCAGACAAGTCGCTTCGAAGCTTCTATGCAGATCATTCTGGAGGCCGAGCGCCAAGAGCGATTTACTTTCACAATCAGATAGAATGTCACGCTGGGGATCAGCTGGCTTGCTGGTCATGCTACGAATACCAGCTTGGTTCCCCAACCAAATTAGTAGGAAAATAGGCACAACACCTAAATTCATTTATTCGATAAACGTCATTGTGTATTGCTCAACTCCCCTTGAATACTCATGAGAAACCAGAGTTTATGGACCATTTAGGGTAGCTAGTGATATCCTTGCCGAGGTCCTTCACAACCCCTGTCAGGATTTGGGACGACATACAGGGATGTGCCAAGCTAAAGGCTTTGATACAACACAGCACTAACAAAGTCCCCAAAACCAAGCTAAACTGAGACAGGTGCAAAAAGCCCTGTATTATCATTCTTAGACTATAGCTGATAAGAAATGTTGCAATCGCTATGGCTGTGACTCCGCCAATGAGCACATAGTTTCCGCAACCTCGTTGTAGAAAGCCCGTATTACCGATCCCTCCCTATGATCCAAATCGCCGTTCAGACAACTCCTTACCGCCTCTTGATACTCTGTTCCCATGAAGTGAGCTAGTCTGTCGTCTATCCTGCTGAGGAGCACTTCTTTGAACTTGGCGGGGTTTTCATCGTCGCGACGTAAACTCCATGCTAAGCGCCATAGACCAACTTCGAGAAGGACGACGCCGAGACTGTATATGTCGAAGCCTTTACGGTATGACTCCCCTGGAATTCCTTGTGCAGAAGGATGACGATATAGATTGAACCGTACGCTTTGCTCTGGCTTTTCCGTGGTCTCATCGACTGAATCTGGCCGCGAAAATTCAAAGCCGACGAGGTATGGCCGAGACCAGATGGGCTGATTGCGCCGTACCGGAATCATGATATTATGACTCCTGATACTCTTATGGAGCCATCCTGATGCATGAAGGATGGCGACTGAGAGTGAAAGCGTGTAAGCCATCCGATATCGATCACCCAATGTTGGTAGAGTCTCAGGCGTTGGTGATTTTATCAACGCTTGTAGAGATACCAGATCTGTCTGCTCACTGGTCCCTAGTGGGTACTCAAAGACCAGGCCATATCGACTCTTCTCGATGTCTTCAAAAACTCCCAGACAGTTGAGAGTCAAAAGTTCTTCTGGTTTTGCATCAGCGTGCAAGAGTCGCGCAATATTCTGGATTCTTCCTCTGAGTCTGATTCCTTTCTGTCCCTTCCATGTTATGTCGTATCTCTTCCACTCAATGACTATGGGAGTTTTTGAGTCAAGTGTTCCAAAGCTTCTCAATCCAGCAGCGACGTCATCGTCCTTTTGAACTTTGATTCTATCTGAACGAATGGTGAGATTGGCATCGCCAGTACTGCTTTTGAATGCGGCCACTCGTTTCTCCAGGTCTTGATCTAGCTCGTATCCCAGTTGGCGAAAGTTAATAGCGCGTTTGAGTTTATCAGGTTGTATCACATGTTGAGTCGAGTCGCTGTCCTGAAATAGTACTTGTTGATTATTGTCGATATGCTCCAATGATAGCACAGTCTGCGACAGTGCAATATTTGGATCCCGAGTTGGCAGTAATCGATACAGGTCGCTCAGAACTGCTCTTATCTGCACGAGCGTCTTATCGTGTTCTTCCGCCCCACCAGTCACCAACTTCAGGCGTTCGAGTGCAAGTTCTGAACTCGAGGCCTCACGAAGTGGCTCCAGCGATTCAAGTAGTGTTTTGACTGTTATTAGGGAGGCCAGAACAGCATCTTTGTGTCTCTGAAGAATCCGTTGTTTCTGAATGTCGACTCGTTTTAAGGGCTGGTGATCAAGCCAGTCTCTCTGCCACTGGTCTAACAAAGCCTCTTGCAGTATGAGCTTAGTACGTAGCAGGCCTAGATAGCCATCAAGACCACGTAAGGATTTCCATAGACCATAAATCTTTGCGCAGGCTGTGAAGGCATCTACCAGGCCACCGAATGCGCCGATTCCAAGGCCGGCGGCCCCGACTTGGAAATCTAACAAATCGCTCACCATGCTGGTACTGGGATAATTACAAAGTGGATTCGTCGGGTGTCGAAAGATTTCAAGAATGATATCGGGAATGTGAGATCTTGAGCCGCATCATATCAGGTTGCGGGGTTTATGCATCTTTATGGCGGGGTAGATTGATAATCCGGTGAGGCCTGCAAGCTGAGGTCATGTGTCGCCTCAGGATCATGATATTCAGCTAGAGGGATTTACGAGACGGTGCGTGTTTTTCATCCTGTAGTATAATCAAAATGGAGTTTTCTTCAGCATTTACCTTCCGGCAACAGCCTCAACAAGAGAACTCCGAATCCACTAGAGAAACGCCTATTCGCGTTCCATCTCCCGGCATTCACTGCCCTAACTTTGCGGGATTTATAGCAGTATCCTTCGCAAAAGGTCATAACACGATAGGCCTCCAGCCCGTGATATCGAATGCTGCCCCCACATTCCAAGATGTATCGCTTGGCGGTGGCTCTTTCGATGTTCGAAAAGTCGAGGCGTCTTCGTTCCCGATTGGTCTGGGTACGGAGATCTTGAAAGGCCGGAAATATGTCGCTGTTAAACATCCTCGGACACAAGATGATAATTCTGTGTCATTTGCCGACATAGCCTTGGAACTGCAGATCTTGCGGCATCCTCCTGTTCAAAAACATGAGAATATCGTCGACTTATTGGCTGTCATGTATCATGATACCGGAAACAAGGAGGGAATAAGGGTCGTTCCAGCTTTGGTCCTTGAATATGCTGAGTACGGAAATCTCAAGTCATATCAAGAAGCAGGCTACGCACGTTCGCTCGATGAGAAGCTAGACATTGCTCTTGACGCTGCCAGGGGTCTTGAAGGCCTTCACGAAGCAGGTATTGTCCATGGCGATGTGAAACCTTCCAATCTTCTCGTCTTCAAGCATCCGATCCGAAAGACCGTTGTTAAAATCAGCGACTTTGGCTTTGCGATGCCAGTGCAGGGTGGCCAACTCATCGGAAGCACTGAGGTCTATCGTGCACCTGAGGCAGAGACGGCAGAGTTCAACAGCCGCTACCTTCGCCAGCAAGACATTTACTCTTTCGGCTTGACGCTGTGGACGATTCTCGGTGATGGCGTTGCGTACCACAGCACTTTACCAGAGGGCGATAAGCTCGAGAACGTTTGGAAACTTAAGAAGTCCAACTTGATAGCGAGCCTTGCGACATTCAATGTCCTACATCGTCTACGCAATGAGAATTACCCACTCATGACTTTGGCGAAAGTCATTCTCACATGCTTGCAATTCTCCCCAGAGAAGAGATTTTCAAGCATGTCCAAGATTATCGATCACCTCGAAGTCACAAAATCTATCGTCAAAAGCCGGGATGGGCATGATAGCCTAGATGCTGCAGGTCTGAGAGCTGCGCTTCCTACCTTCGAGAGGATCGTGTACCGAGCTAAAATTCCGGCATCGGACGAAGAGAGATCAGAAAGAATGATTCTTAAAGGCCTCACTACTTTAGTCTTCGCATACCTCAACCAAGAACTCAGCCTCCAGAATACTGCAACAAATATTGATCCTTGGCAAATGTGCAACATGATGACTCATTTCTTGCCAAAGGCGCATGAGCGATACTATTCTTCATTTAATCAAGATGAGTCGCCTTTTATCACTGCACTTCAGGGCATCTCGAAAGCCAGGCTTGAGAAGACGATATCGGAGCTCTTACCTACTATATCGCAACTCTTACCCAGGGAAGCTAATTCAGACGATATTAGTGAAGCCCAGCCTGTTTCTGCTGTGAATGCCTGTCTACTCATCTTGGACTGCGCTGGCCTTTTGAGCGAGCCATTTAATACCGTCTTGTTCTCCGTGTTCGTACCCCGACCTGTTACATGACTGAAGCTTTATCTTCAACCTGTGAACTTAGTCGCGTGGCGCAAAGCTAATTCGTGGGTAGGGTCACCTCCAAGTCGAAAGTGGAACCAATGCAGCTTTTCAAAGACGAAGACTTCATCCCGGATGTATGTTATCATTCAAAAACAAAGTATTTTGACTGCGGAACTAATTCATTCAAGATTACTAAAAGCTCAAACATCCTACAAAAGACTCCAAAGCCTGCCAGGGTTGCCCTTTTCGATAGTCTAAAAACCATCTTTGAGACATCCACCAATGAGAACGAAAGAGCGCAAGCCGCCCTTAACCTTGCTAGTGCATACATGGACGACATAGGAGTTGAGTACGACCTGAAGTTGGCGGCCTACTATATCCAGCAAGCAGCCGAACTTGGTTCGGAAAAAGCCCGTACTCTCTACTTATCCGTATTCTCTCACGTCCCTGGGCTGGAGACGCCAGATTACGAAACGCTGTGCACTTGGGTCGTCGACTCAGCCCATGCTGGAAATCCAGTTGCTCTTCAGAAGTTGAAAGAAACCTGGCCCTCAGATTGGCAGCAAGTTAATCAGAAGGTTCAGCTAGATGAACTTACTCGTCTAGGCGTTAACATTAGCGCATCTGAGGACTTGTCTTCCATGTTACAGGCCTTGTCTCTGAGTGACGTCGAGTTTTCTCACACTCGAGATCTGCTCTTATGGAGTATTGTCATGGACAAGCCCGATGTCACAGCCACCTGCCTGAATAAGGACCAGGGCTTAATCGAGTTAGCGCTGCAGAATGATGAGACACCTTTACTTATCGCTGCTCGTCTTGGTCGAAAGCACGTTCTGGAGACGATATTACAACACCCCAGCTGCGGCAGTGCTGCACAGGCTGTGGACGAAAGAGGTATAACGCCTCTTCACTGGCTTTGCTCCTTTGAAGACGAAGACCATGAGTCTATTGCAAAACTACTGGTCAGTAAAGGCGCCGATCTGAATGCTCCTGCCTGTACAATATCACGCACTCAGTATGGAATCAAAACCAACGAAGACGGGCTCATGACTCATACTCCCCTACACTGGACTATCACACAGAAGAGACTCTCTGCTGTGGATGCTCTGATCAAATTGGGTGCTGATACAACATTTTGTATGGAAGCCGGGGAAAGGGAGGGATCACATCTGTCACCACTGGAACTCGCATGTGGTCTCTGCTACTCACCTGTCGTCGAGCGACTTCTTGAAGAACCTGTCGTTCAACAAGAAGCAAGCAAACCAAAGCCAATGGTCGGTGGCGGTGAACTGATGTATTTGCCTCTTTTCCACGCTATATCCGGAACCCCTCGTTGGCAACGCCTGTTAACTTTAGGAGTCGACTTTGAATTGGAGACAAAGAAGACGATGAAGGCCTTGATTGAGAATGGCGCACCTACTGATGCTGTCTTACAACTCGGGAGCAACGTTAAGATGGCAGCAGTGTTTGCAACAGCGTATCATCAATGCGCGGCAGATCTTATGGTTTCAGGTCTTGACCTGGGCTTCGCGAATCAGATCAACGCTACTTTCGGCAGGATATCCAGTGGAGGGTCCGCTCTGTTTCTGGCGATTACACATGGTGATCGCGATATGTTCAAGGCTCTCCTAGACGCTGGTGCAGATGCCAATGCAGTAGATGCTGATGGTCTTAATGCGCTGCACCGTGCTGCAAAAGAGACAGACGACGTCTACTTCGTTGAGACGCTTCTCGAGAAGGGCCTTCCTGTTGATCCAATCAGCTCGGAGCCCTTCAGCGCTTTCTACGCTGCCACTTACAGTGGAAATCTTACCGTTGCACAGTATCTATACGACCGCGGTGCGGACAGAGACCGCGTTCCTACGGCGATGAAAAAGAGTATAATGTCAGACATGCTCTCAACTGGGACCAGGAATGCCCTCTATCGGGTCAAGTTCTTGCTAAGCCTTCCAGACCGCAATGGCTCTGATGGGTTTATGGTAAAGGTCGGGGATGATAAATACTCCTTGTTCCATCACACTATCAAGTATGTCGGGGAGTTCGCCGAAGACAACGAGGCCACTGGAGTTATGATTGTCGAGCTCCTTCGGAAATACAACACTCAAGACCAGCTTGATAACACAGCGGGACCATATAATATGACAGCTCTAGCAGTTGCAGCCGAAGCTGGCAACTATTTCGTCGTGAGACGGCTGTTGGAGTATGGCGCAAGTCCGAATATTCCTGATCAATATGGCCGAACAGCGTTGGACCTGGTGTATAAAAGATACTGTTTCCCAGAACAGCTTCCAGCTTTCCAGGAAGCAGATTTGGATGATGAGAAGATTGTGAATAAGATTTTGAACGCTGCGAATGAGAACACGACTGAGTTGATGAGTCTTCTCAAGGCGCACAACGCTGAGATAAGGAGTTGGAGTGCGCCGTCGTGGATTGAGACTGATAATGGATTGCGTAGCTTGGATTGGGTTTTGGAGCGCCTTCGCAAGGATCAGACTAGTAATAGTGGGTAGAGTCGGGAGGTCTATGTGGCTCAGTTATCACGGCATGAAATTATCAACGACAGAGAAAGTCTATTTAATGGGTATGTTCGAAGTTGCTATATACAATCTACAATTATTATATCTATATGTTCCTCTATTGATTATTCGGACAAGCCTTTTCGAATGAGGAGTATGGCGAGTTATCCCTCACGATGTAGACCTCTCCTACCAATATTAGACAGCCAACCGCCATCGAGATAGCAATGATGGGAAAATTAACTCGTGCGAATTCGTGACTCTTCACATGAATATGTTTTCGAGCAAGGATATCTCTCCAGAGAAGACCGGCCAGTGATGCGCTGAAGGCGGTACTGAATGCTCCGTAGTTGACTCCAACGGCCATGCTGTAGATCGTGCCCCAGTAAGTCCTATCACTGATGAGCTGGTCGTCGTGGCAGTTGATCTCTTTCCAGGCTTGGATGATGCGGGATAGCAGGATAGTGGTACCAATGTTAGTACCAGAGAACTGAATACAGTCAGTAATTACTCGTGATTTGGGATCACTGGGGTTAAACTTACATTGGACAGGACGCATGAGAGAAAGCCCATCCCTCCAATACTTCCAACCGTTCCCGTACGCTTTGACCAATGATACCAGCCATAGGCAAAGACGTTGACCCATCCCTTGCTCACTAGAGCCTGGACTAGTACAAACATGGCAAAAGCAAATGGAACCAGTGCAAATGGAAGATGAGCCATGACTGCCATGACTGTTGGGAAAGTCTCTTGCAGCCACTCATAGGCCCTTTCAAGCGATGCATACCCTTTTCGAGCCTCTGAAAGCAAGGTTGATCGTTCCTCTGGTTCTGCCATGGGTCGACCAGCCTCGAGCTTCTCTGGTTCCATTTGAGGGTTTGGTAGCGTAGATAAAGCTCTGGGATGCAGTGTGTTTTGATCGCTTGGTGATGAGGGTCCAGAGTTGGGTGATTGAGGCATGGACCCCGAGATTATGACAGGACTGTTTCCAGCGGTGTTTGATAAAATCACCTTGGGGATAGGGTGCGAGTTGGGCTGGTCATTGGAGGTTTGTAACGGAGTGAGAGAAATGCCTTCCGTCTGGCCGTAACCTCCCGAGCCCTGGTTATCAGGAAGACCAGTTACCGTGTCTGTATCAGGCTCAGACTTATCCTGTGAAGTCCCAGTATATTCAGCTGCAAATCGCGCGCGTTCAGCTCTCGCACGCTCCATCTCCCGTCGATAAGCAGCAGCTGTTTGACGTGTCTCCTTGCGATGCAACCATCCAAAACCAAGATCCCAGCAAAACATGACAAACGCTGCTGGAAGAGTCACCCAGAAAACAGGGTGCTCTCCACTCCCGGCGCTAGCAGCATTGAGGGCCAGAACAGTGATGAGAGTCGCAGACATGATTAGCGCACCAAACATAGCGCCCTTTTTATCAAGAAAAGGATTCATGATATACGCGAGCGAGAGCGTCATTCCTTCGCCTGCATTCTCCGCATCTTCGACTTGATGCTGAACGTAGGGGATGTTGGGGTTCACGGGCCGTTGCGCTCTAGCCTCTTCTGGTAAGCTGTGCATCTCAATCTTGGAAGGGATAAGCTTCTCGTCAGCGAAAATGACGTAGAGCAGAAATGGAAAGAGGACAACGGCGGTGACGACGACTGGGACTATCATGTTGGCGGTGTAGACGATAAACTTGATGTCGAATGCTCCAGCGAGGACGAGATTCGTGGGGTTGGAGGAGACGAGAATGGCAGAAGCGATATTGGCGACTGCGAATTGAGTAAAGATCCATGCTCGAGGACTCGTGATATTGCTCGACACGCGCGTCATGTACGCGAGGAATGCCGTTCCAGATAAAATAATAGGATCATTGCCGATGAAGCTGCCGAGAAGGAAGAAGAAGGAATAAAGGTAGAAGAACAGCCGATGACCAACTTTTCCTCCCCAAGACAATACCTTGAAGGCCAGCCATCGAATAATTCCCGACGCATCGATAGAAATAGCAATGTAAGCCAACGTGATGAAGAAGACCATAATATCAATCGGGTGGATATTATCAGCGCCTATAGTCCCATCATAAACCTCTTGGCGTCCTATCGCAGAAATAGCTAGTAAAAAGAGATCCGCGATCAAAGGCGCGGTGATGAAATTGACGGGAAAAGTGACTTTGACAAAATATCTCGAACATCTCGGATTATCATGAAGAATCGCATGATGGGTGCTTGGAGGAATAACTCGCAATTTGACCGCTAATCTGCATATTAAATTGACGAGGGATTTTGGGATGTAAATGGGCATGTGAAATGGCCATAGTACCAGAATATCTGTAGAAGCGGTCAGTGCACGCTGTGTATCCTGTGAGAGGGCGTCTTACTAGCAAGTACAAAGACTATCAACGTTACTATTGAGCGCCATTGTCGTATCTCGCTGGTGTCCACGCCTTTGGCCATCGTTTTGGCTGAGGGGATTCACTTGCTCCCTCAACAAAGTGAAAGTGACACTCTCAGGTTAAATACAGAGAAAACCTGACGATGTATGTGGGGTCGTATCTAAAGTGGAGAGGAAACTTAAGGGTCCAATGGAAGTGAAGAAGTAGGCCGTAGTGTCAGCATTTTTTGAGGTAAAGGACCGACAGTAGCTTCTGTTCGATGACCTTCTCCTTTTCGATCTCTGGCTGAAACAGGGCTGGCATGAGAAAAGAAGGGAGAGAGAAAAGCCTTCTAGAAGGTTTCGTTTTCCTGGCTGGTGACAGGGTACATTTGTTGATGCCTAACGCAGTATGCAACCCGAGCTATGCTTAGTAGAGACTACCCTATGCCCCTAGACCAAGAACACAGCCGCGTGGCCCCCAAATCTCGCCTGGGTTATATGAACTTTGTGGCTGTGCCAACATGTCAGCTGAGAGTAGACCAATGCTCACCACCCGAAAAGTAGAAGCCTGCTAACGCTCTGGCCATTTATGATCACCCAGTGACGTTTTTGGTAAGGCCTCGTCTTGACTTGCGGGTATTAAAAAAGAAGCTTCTGCTAAGATCTTGTTATTCCCCCACATTTTGGCTGAGCTTGGCTTTTTTCCCCCCAGATTCAACCCTGCCAAGACAGAATGTCGATATGCCTGCACTTTCTGTCACAGATGCGGCTGAGACAATAGCGAATACTGTTCTTTTTTCGCGTCAAGCGAATGACACTGGTGATGCGTTGCAGGTTATTTGCGCATGGCCGGTTTCTGGTCAATATGGAACAGGTACCCGAGTTCTGTAAGTATAGTTACCGATCAATTGATACCAGACTGACAATTATTCAGATACTATGTTCTCATCGCTGCATGCCTCGTCGCGAGGAGAGAGGAATGGCTCGTGAATCCTTGTTTGGCCGCTGCGTTGGTGCTGCCAGCTGTTGCCGCTATTCACGGCATAGTTTTAACAGCAATGCACAATCCTGGTGAGCAAAAAATGAGTAATGAACAGGTTCGAGAACTAATTGGTAAAGATGCGGTCGACATGGATATTTTTGGTGCTTTTCAGCTTTGTGCTATTGGTATTTTGGCAGCGCCGGTGACAGTTATGCTGTCAAAGACGTACTTTAATGACCCCGGTAGGAATACCATTTTTCTGTGGACATTTCTGTTATTGATCGGTAAGTTGCACCTTCGTGAAAGCTGTCCCAGTTTCTAACCGAGAATTAGGACTTTTGAGTATGACAATCGAGTTTTATCGAATCGAGACTCATTCCTGTACAATCGATGCTTCGGGCAATCCAGTATCACCAAACGCGTCCAAGTTTCACTACGTCGAAGGAAACAACTGTAACCTGACCTGTTCAACTCAAGACGGACCATCATCCCCAATGCGAGGCGGATCCGCAAACAATATCTATGTCATACCCGCACCCCATACCCTTACATTCGGTACCGCTACTTTACTCGCTGCAGCATGTTGCGTTCACGCTGTTCTATGCCTTATTTCTATGTGGGATAGAGTACTCGAGATTAACTGGCGCCGAAGGTTTGGAAAACAGAGCGATGATGCGGCAAGTGAGGATGATGAAAGCGCTAACCAAGGTGTTATGAAGAAAGTCAATGATACCATTGGCTTTTTCCTTCGTATCCTAGCAATTCCCGTTTTTGGTGGCGCTGGCTTGGCTATACTTATCGTGGGCGAGATTAACTTTTTCAGCTCTCAGGTTAACTACCAGACTGAGCCGATGGCCAATATCGGTAAGCATATCCCAGTAGCTTTTGACGATTTACTAATCTTTGATGCTGTGAAGGCCAATGGGCACCAATTACAGGTACCGCCATGGCCATGATCGGATCGCTTTATCTCCTTCTAGCAAGACACGCCGATCAAGCAGGCGATCCATACCCATCGCATCATTGCAACTGTTCTCATTGTCACGTCAACGAGCAAACGAGCCAAATTTCTCACCAAGAGAGCATTTCTTCACTGAATAGTCATAATATTACATTAACTGTCACAAACATCGATACGCGTACAAATAACCAATTATCTCCGCACCACGACCCAACCCAACCACGCTCTTCAACATCTTCACGGCTTCGAGACCCGTCAGTATTCCAAGACCACAACCAACCACCTCGAAACCCCTACAGACAGAAAATAGAGAATGCATTTTTCAGATTCGGCGAGATGATTGGTACACCAGCACATGATTTCATCACCGAGCCCAAAGTCAAAAGACCAGATCGTGTTGATCTACCGATGATACCAGGGGAACAGTTTCGAAATGAGCGTGTATCAGCGGTTGAGATTGAGAGAGACCAGCATCAGGATGATGAGATGAGTCCTATTAGATCAAGGCCTGGAAGCTTTATAGGCAGCGACACGTCTGTGCAAGGTGTTGGAAGATCTACGTCAATGCCTGTATCACCACCACCACTTGCTGTGACGAGACCGAGGTCGAGTACAGGGCCTAGACCGAGACCTGCTTCTCTGTATCACTAGCGAGATGAGAGCTGATTGAATTCGTTTCTTGTTGAAAGATATTATTATTATGATAGATTATTATGTTAAAGGCTTATGCTTTGGCATCCGGATCTTGGTCTTTTGTTGATGGCCCCTCATCAGCAGTGACCGTGATCTCGTGGCTGTGCTCTAATCCAGATAACACAATCCATGTTGGTACGATACACAAAATGGTGATTCCAAAGTTAAGACCAATACTGACAAAATGGTTGGCGTTGCCTTCAGACTGCATACTATTTATCGTTAGCGTTAATACATAGTCAGTTTGCAAAGCTGTACTTACGCCCATGCAACGGTTTGACCCAGAGCCTCAAATCCTCGGAGAATACCACAGTGATAGGACAGCGACGAGATATCAGTGGTATACTGTCCAACAAGCCAGTACAAGAACTGTTGGAACGCTTGACCTCCGAATTGCCAGAAGAAGATGAGGGTATAAGCTTTGCCGAAACCTCCTTTGAACCAATCAAAGACAGGTGGCTCCTCTGCGTCGTAGAATTGCTTCTGGAGAATCGAGGCCCAGATCCATGTACCAATCAAAATGAAGATGATCGACGCGAACGCAATTCTGGCGCGGGTCTTGATGAAGATGGACTGGCGATCCAACAAACCAGCGATGAGAAATGAACTGATAATTCCGGAGAAGTTGGTAAAGAAGGACGAAAAGGCGCGAGCTCGAACGGTGAAGTAGGTTGTCAACCAAGTGCTCATGAAGCCATTGTAAAAATAGCTGATGAAGAAAGCAGGGATCAACAAGAGCATGCGCTTGGTGACGAGGAGCGACAGGACAGCCTTGAACTCGGCTAACCAAGAGGGTTGCTTATGAACAACGACGAGAGTACGATCTTTTCGCTGAACCTTCTCCGCGGGGCTCAGTAGTAAAGCGATGGGTAGACCGAGACACATGATGACGATAAATACGATATAAGTCGCTGAGCTGACGGATCCTTTCGATGAGGTTTGCGCGTTGAGACCGAGATTGATGGCGCCGCCGACAATTGGGCCGGCTGCTTTGGCAGTTTGCCAAATGGCTATTCCTGGTTAGTTCATGATCAAACAATTCAACCCCCAAATTCAGAACTTACCAAGATAAAAAGCACGATCCTTGGGACTAGGATATCCAATAATGATCGCCGCCTCAGCCGCCCAAAAGAAACCCGCCGAAATACCACAAAGCGCACTTCCAAACAGCAAAAACCACGTCTTCGGCGCAACATTATTTGTATACAGACCAGCACCATAAATCGGATATCCGATAGCTCCTAGAGCCAGACCATACCGTAGACCAATTCTGTTGTTAATCGCACCAGCTGCTATACAAACAGCCGCGAATAATCCGTAGACGAGCGCGTTGGCGGCTGAGACAGCGTATGGTTCTGCTGCACCTCCGGCGCCGAGACCACCGAGGGCGTCCCACATTCCGGGGGCTGTGAAGGAGACACCGCATGCTATGGCGATTTGGAAGGGTATTGAGCGGAAGAAGGATGGTTTTGCGGGGGAGGAGGTTGGGTGGTTTATGACGGAGCCATCGTGTGAGGAGGCCATTTTGAGATGCAGCCAACAAGCAATGAAGACGCCAGAGGTGAGAAAAGACTTGAAGATTACAGAATAGGTGATTGATCAATTCTATTATATGTCTCTATGAATATTGCGTGCGATTGCGTGCTTGATTAACCCGTCCCTCTCGCTGGCTCGCTCAACGTTGAAACCATGCTAAAGGGGGCTATTGATGGGGATTATGAGAACTAGTTTCCGTCAGGACCCATCAGCAATGTTGTACCTGCAGTAAGAGAGTTTTTATTGTTTTAAATGCAGGAAGATCAGCCCTGCAGTGCTGCTGTTGTGCTATTAGCGGATGGTAGGCTATGCAGCTACGCTACCCCAGGTTCCATGACACGAAGACCCTTTGCTTCGAAAAGTTCAATTGGAGAGCATAAGAGCTTTACTTGTTGACGATTCACGTCGAAATCTCTTCATCACCGAGTACCGCCGAGCCGGGACAATTCTCATCCAGAATTACATAACGATAATTGGATAATTGGGTCTCATCGCCGTTGAAGTGGATTTCGAAGAAACGATCCATTTTTCGCGTCAAGTGGCACCCAAGAAGCCAGTCTACGCTTTAAAAGGTATCAATGAAGTAACATTTATGAAAGGTTACAGTTAGCGACATCGTTGCATATGCATATTCGATATAATTCATCTGATAACAATAAACCATTGAAACCGTTATTTTCTATGGTTCCCCGGATGACGCCGGAGGCTTGTTTTAGCGGACCGCGGCGCCACTCCCGGTAGCCGGGCCGTTTCGTCATCATCAAAAACTCATCATCGCCTATCTTATCGGAGCTTCACTTTTGGCACTATGCTGTATCTACCCTAAGCTCAATTGAAGACCGTCGAAACTTGGCATTTATATGCGCCTCAATCCTGCAACACCTCAGATAGGTTTTAATACTAGATATCGGATACTCCGTGCCGATCATGCATTGGCATTTGCACATGAGCCTCGGCAACGGGTAGACCCCTCTTTGGAGATGGAAATGCCAAGTTTAACATGAAGAGACACGTCAAGATAAAAGATCGCTATTGTCAAACCCTTTTGTTCTTTATACTAGGAAATATTCTGTATAAACAATATTTCTCAGTTATTATGACCGTCGACAATACTCAACCAGAGGGTGAGAACCCTATCGGCGATATTCAGGTTGAATTTCTCGGCACCCAAAAGTCTAGCAACACAGCGAGTCGTCGCGATCTTGGTTTCACAGGTCAACTTGGAGGGAAATGGTATGCTGTATATGGCGATGTACTATGGTGCGATTCTGGTGTCACTGATCCGGAAGAGGACAATGAGGGATTTCATGGCATGGTCAGAAATGCTGTTTCTGCTCTGACGGATGATCCTCTCGTTGTGGAGGATCTGCATCTCAATGATGATGAGCCGGTTCCTCATCAGAAACAGTTTATGCCGTTTAATGAGGAGTGGGGTGAGACGAATATGTTTGGTTTTGGAGGAACGGGAATCGTGGAGGTTGATCCTGATACTGCGACTGGTGCTCTTTATTATCTCGTTGTAAGTTGTACTAAGCCCTACACAGGACTTTTTTGACCTGGGACTTTTTAGAATGACGATGAGCATTATAAAGGCGCTGGCGTAGCCAAGGTTGAGCTCATCGACGGCGTCCCAACTATTACCGATCGCTATGGCGAGAATGGCATCTGGTGGAATGGTGATGAGGTACCCAAGTACGGCGATGTCGCAACTTATCGAGACGTTAACAGCGAATACATCTACATTCTCGGAAACCCACCAAACCCAATCACTGATTTTCCTGACAAGCTGTACATTTACATGGCTCGCGTACCCGCAAAAGATGCCTTTGAGCTCGATAAGTATGAGTATTGGTGGGGCAGAGAAGAAGGATGGAAGAGTGAAGTCCTCACCACGTTCAACTGCGAAACGGCGGTCATGTGGGGTGTTGGACAAGGACAAATTGTGTATAACAATTACTTCCAGACGTATTTCTACGTCCATCTTGATCTATGTGAGTACAGCGTTTCACCGCGATGTAAGCGTCACTGACAGACTTGCAACAGCTGGCACTGCCTTTTTGAAGACTGCGCCAAGTCCTGAAGGTCCCTGGACAGAAGGCAAAGAGATTTACAAGGATGAGCCCATTGATGGAGGTCTGGTGTATGCTGGAATAGCGTACCCGCATTTGGATGAGTCTGGCGAGACGTTGACGATTGGATTCACCAACAACAACTGGATTCGGGTCATCAAGGTTGCTTTCACATAGAAGGCACCAAATCAACCGAAATAATTATTATTGTACAATTTGTTCTGCTTTACCGCAGTTCTATCACATTACAGCTCATCTTCTTTCTCTTTCGTATTCTCACAAACACCATCAAAGTCCCCATACTTCTCCATACCCGCACTAACAATCTTCTTGAACTCCTTAAAGGGACAACTAGCCCCGGGTCCATTCTGGCACAAAGGCAAAGGTCGAGGTGCAGTGTTCGCAATGAATCTGATAAACTCTTCCTTCTCAGATGTGCCGTCTTTAGCAACTGGTCTCTCACACGTCATTTTCTCCATGCCAACATGGCCTAAGAATGGAATGAGATCGGACATTTTCCAAGCTCGAACGTGATTGACGTGTGTAGTGGGGAATTCGTCGTATCCTTCGCTGGAAGATGAGTTGAAAATTCCGAGTGCTGTAGCGACGAACGGTGGGACTTCGCGATGAGTAAAGTAGAAAAATAAACGTTGCTCCTTAGGCCATCCAGATGATTCGTCACCGATTAACTCAGAGTTTTCGTCAATCTTGCTGAGTAGCTTAGACTGTGAGTTCAACCATGGAAAACCGAGGTAATTCGATAGAGGATTGAAAGGGCCGACCATGTGGGCATATTTCATATCCCAAGCATATTCATACGAAAGCCATTCCGCATCAGAAAACAATCCACAAATTGGAGATTTCTTTCCTCGAATGGCTGACTCGTAGCCACAAATTGATTGAAGTGCGAAAACATCGTAGGGAGCAAGTTCATAATCGTCGGGTGTGTAAGGGCGTAAGCGTTTCGCGACGCCACTTGCGTAATTGTTGACAAACTTCTCTTGCTGCTTCGTACCTGGTGCTTTGGAGAATTTCGAGCAGGCCTTGTGAGGGAGGAGAGCGCGCGTGCCGTTGTTCAATTCCTTCTTGTCAAAGCGCGTAATTTCAATGTTTCTGTCTTCGGGGAATGCTTGTAGAAAGGCCTTGGCTGTGTCGTAGGTTCTATCCTTCGTATCCGCGATGACACGCTTTACCGAAGACGCCAGATGGCGATAGCGCTTCACAATGTGATGCCCGACCTTCTTCGCGTCAACCTTGCCTGAAGGTGTGACATCTTCAAGACGATTCTCTTCAATTGGTGAGTACCACTTGTTCAAAAACTCAAGCGGTCCTGAAAAGTCACCGCGATGCTTCTCTAGTTTGTACAAGAAAGGCTTGATGTAATCTTCATACTCGGCATCATTCGCGTAAATCGCAGCGTGTCGAATGAGATACGACGCAGCTGTGACTGTACATCCTTCAGGTGCAGCATGCGACAATCCAAAGCCTACAGCATCAAAATAAGGCGATATTCCCGGGAGGTGAAGAAGAGGATCGAATTGATAGCCTTGACTATGATCAAAGCTGTCAATTGGCTGCTGAATGATGGAAGCGACAGCAATTGCAGGTAAAGCTGCAGCCGCAATGGCACACAGACTGTGATGCATCGCGAATTCAATAATGGAGAAGTTATTAGTAGGGAGGAGATGCACGAGGTTGCAGTCTTGGCCCTGTTTATTTAAGGAACAAGGTTGGGACGATCGATGACGTACAGGGAATTTGGTGGAACCTGACTGCTAAGCTTCGAAGCTAAGATAAGATAAGAATCAAGGCCAGTGACATTGCTAAGATTAGACTCCTCGGACGCTAAGCTCCGGCTTCCATGTCATTCCGAGACATCCAACCTCCAGTATCGTCTTCGATTGATACAAAAATAAACAAATGATATGACAGTATCAATTACCATTGTCAATCATCTTGGGTAATTGCTCAACAAACAACGTCTTTCGAATCGCATAGACCACAAAACCAGGTATGCGCCAATTCCCATAATGACCTACGCCAGACTTGCCGATCTGCATGCCTCCCATTGCTGTGAAAATTAGAATTGCTTTTCATCATAGACCAGGAGATGACATACCAGTTGTCGAAGCTTTGTATGGAATCATTGGCTTCCCTAGCATTATCTGCACCAAATTCTTGGCCATGTGACCAGCCTGCGTATTGACGAACCAAAACTGCGGTGCCTCAACATTAGACACGTCACCAATTGCAAAAACATCCTCACGGCCTTCAATGGCGAGATATTGATTGACCTTGATATATCCGTGCGTGTCAAGAAGATCAGGTGGGATGAAGGATGAGTTGGGGACCACGCCGAATGTTGGAATGACGAGGTCTGTGACTATTTTTTCTCCTCTTGAGAAGGTAACTTCTTGCTTTCCATTGGGAAGAGTGATGGACTCATTGACTTTGGTGTTGAGTCTGATTTTGACGCCGAGCTTCTCGAGTTGACGATGTGCTGACTTTGAGACGCTGTCGGGGCGATTATCGAGGACAGTTGGCCCGGCATTGATCTATAAACATCGTCAGCTAGACTTGGCCATGACTGGATGATGGGAAGATTTACTTACCAGAGTGATGTCCTTCTTGTTGCCATAGTAGTCCGCCAACTCGCCTGCGACCTCAACACCAGTCGGCCCTGCGCCAGCAACAATAATAGAATGGGCTTCTCCAACACGCTTCTGATACGTATGGACATAATTCCTCGTTGCATCAGTTGAGCCCCTCGACTTGAACGGCGACTCAGCTTTAGTCGAAGATCCACTGCCAATCAGAAGATAATCATAGCTGATATAAGTCTCCTGTCCTGCTTTATAAACCTTGACCTGTTTATTATTGATATCAATATCCGTAGCTGTACCAGCGATAAACTCAAACTTGTCACCATATTTGGCAAACCCAGGCGCAATAGCTTGGAAAAGTTGATCGTCGGGGATGGTCCCTGGGATGATGGCGCGAGGCACAGCAAGATTCCAGAAGAAGTGCGTATCGCGTGAAATCATTGTCACCTTGTAAGGTCCTGCATTTTTGTCCTGCATTCCTTGTAGGAACTTGTGGGCTGTCCTGACGGAGGCGAAAGAACCGCCTACTGTGACGATGTGTTTCGGTTTCTGAGACATGGTCTTTGGGTATGGTGACGGTTCAAGAAAGATTCCGCAGGTGATGAAGTGAAAGGCGTTAGCCAAAAAGTTGAGGAGGGCACTAAGAAACATGATTGATAAGATTCACGGACATACATTGAGGATGAGTACTGGTTCTCAAGCAACATATTTAACATGCATCAGATTTAGGCATTTCTCCATGATGTACTGGCAGTGCGACCATGTTTGACAAATAAGCCATTACATATCACCAATCATTCCTGTCTTGAAGCATTAGCTTATATATTCCCGCGCGGTTACCGGTCCAGATGACCTCAGATCTTAGTTGGATGCTACCATCAGGGCTGACAACCATCATCGTGCCGCGCGGTAATCAGTCAGCAACCTTCCGCGGTCTTCGAGCTTTTAATGGCCACATTGATATGCCTACGTTCTCAGACAATTTTGAATCGAAGTCTTGGACTTTTTTATCTGGTGAATTGCTAATTAACCTGAAAAATGAACGTCCAATTTCAAAGTTCGAACACATGTCAAGCTTGTTCACATCATAACTTCGCACTAGACGGCAACAAGCTTACTGTTGACCGACTGTCGATTCGGCTTCCATTCAATGTACCCAGACGCTAGGAATGGAATGTATTGTGCACTTCGTCTAATACGTCTCAACAATCGACCTGGAATGCTGAATTGCAGAGACCACATGGTCTTCAGAGTGAGCGAGTTTTGGATTGAACGAAACGGTATAGGGTAGCGTCTCCGCTAGACTTAATTCGTATTCCTCGCCCACACCCTCTGCTCTACCCGTTGATTTAATTTTACTGAAGTCCTATTTCTTCTGCCTACTTGCCAAGCTCCTTGTCAGCCTACTACAGGCAGCGTGAGGTTATAATCCACATTCAGGACGATTTACCTGGGGTTGGGCTTACGTCACGTGACGGCACAGCCTAGCCCCTCTATATCTTCCCGTTTGACGACTTGCAACTATCGTCAATTCCTATTCCGCTGTCAACTTTCAATCATGTCTGCCGAAGAATCAGCAGCGCCAAAGACGGTCCTTGTATTTAGCACAAAATCACCAGAGGAGGCCGCTATTTTCGGCCTTCGAGGGAGTGATATCCAAAACTTCAGAGCTGAACCGGTCCCTGGACCACCCGCTTCGCCTGATGAGTGGGGGTTTACGAGCCCAACGGCCGATGGAATTTGCAAATATTGTCAACTAATGCTTCATCCAGATCCACCCCAGCTTATCCAGCATCAGCCTAATCTCATGCACCTGATCAATTCAGGCGAGACTTGTTCGACTTGCAAATGGTTGGAAATTAGCATACAACGAGGTGCAACCCTGACGGTAGCTGAATTCCAACGAGGCAATCCGGAGTTATGCGATGAGAACAACTTTTCAAGGCCTGTTACTGTCGAATTGACCAAGCATAACAAGTATATCATGGCGGTTGGTTGGGTTGGAGATAGGAAGCTTTATACGAATGGTGGAATGCCTTTGACAATATCGTCACCATCCCGTCTTGGTACGTTGTTATCAAAACTCTAGAAAATGTATCTCACCCGTGGAATAGGAAATCTTGCTACTCGGAGATTCTGGATTCCTCACTACGAGCTGGATGAATCGGAACCTTTCAAGCGGCAAGACACATTGAAGACGTGGCTGAAAGAATGTGCAACTCACGAGAACTGTATGAAATCTCTTCCTACTACCCAGGAGTCAAAGCTCCCAACTCGCGTGCTAGACTTGACTGGAAGTGTGGACATCCCATCGGACCCCAAAGATATCAGTATCAAACTACGAGAGACGAAGGAGGGAGAAACTGGAACTTATACGGCTTTAAGCTACTGTTGGGGTGCCAACCCAGATCTCCATTTCAAAACGACAAGTGAGAATCTGAAAAAGCACAAAGAGGGAATCGACTTCTTCGACATGCCGTTGACGCATAGGGAGACCATCCTCGCGACGCTTTACCTAGGAATCCGGTATCTTTGGATCGACGGCTTATGCATTATACAAGACTCTCGCCAAGACTGGGAAGTCGAGTCTGCCAAGATGGGGTCTGTGTATACAAACGCACATCTCACGCTAGCAGCTACTTCATCCGACACCCCAGAGATGGGCCTTCTTCTCCCCTTCCAAGGCGCCGAATGCGTAAAGATCCACGGAGAGACTGTGAGCGTTAGGATGGAGACGCACCGAGGGCTTGATAGGATGTCTGAGCCTCTGAACACTAGAGGCTGGACTCTCCAAGAAGCTGTGTTGGCATCGAGAATTGTCTGTTTTGGCAAGGAGCAGTGGCTCTGGAAATGTCCCAGTCGCTACGCCACTGAGGATGGACTCATCGATGGACCGCGAGATATTGATGGTGGTTTGATACAGTGGGCTGATATAGCCCAGCAAGGTCCTGGCGAAGATGGAAAGAATTATCTGAGACATTGGTATCAGATGGTGACCAACTACTCGAATCGCGATCTGACATATCAAAGCGACAAATGGAATGCCATCGCTGGCCTTACAGACATGTTTATAAAGCAGACCGGCTATACCTATCTGGCAGGCCTATGGGAAGAGGATCTCGCAAATGGACTCGTGTGGGAAGCGAAAATCCGTGGGGTCACTCGTGAACCAGGGAGCATCCCATCGTGGTCCTGGATGTCCGTAAAAGGCGGGATCAAGGGTTATGTACACACAACTCCGACAGTCTCTATGATCGAGCTCTTAGAGAGTGATTTACAATGGAAAGGAACTCCGCTTGCCTCCCCTCTTAAAGTCGCTCGCTTGACAGTCAAGGGAAAGGTAATCCAGGCAACATTGGGGGCGCGCTCTGTTACACAGGACTCTCGACATCATGTTCTTGCAGCTCCAGGAAGTGACGAAATCTTTGGCGAGGCTTTTTTGGATAGCAGAATTCCTGATGGGGTTGAGATGCCGACTGTCTCGTGCCTTTTTGTAATGGAAGTGCCTGAACAGAAGGAATATTTTACGTTACTTCTTACACCGGCATCAGACGGCGAAGTAGACGGCCAAGATAAGGGTATGACAAGACTTGGGATTGGAGTTTTCTGGACTAGGTCCAGATTTTACAGTAACAGGACTGAAGGTGACGTGACCTTGGAAAATGCTTCTGAAGTTACAGTAGTGCTAGTGTAGAAAGCGGAAACCCAATGGCGGTCTTATTCCGTTTCAGAATAGAGAGTACGTATCTAATCAGGCTCCGAGTTTGGGAATACAATGAAATGTTGCACTTGCTGCCTGAAATGTGCAGATGCCACGTAATCATGCATTTTCCTGCCAGGCCGGCCCACTCGAGACCCTGTCTGGCTGAGGATTTGGGACGGCTGAGCCCGCTTCTCCGCAAACCATTGACCAACGTGCATAAGCTGAAGAATTTGATGTCATATCATGATCCAATTGACTCTAACAGATCAGATTTGTGAATTACTTCAGAAAGTGCATATTTTCGAGACATTGGCTAGACTCAAAATCTAGAATAATAGGCATGAACAATCATTCCTTGGCCTGACTTATGAAAGAGCCTTATTGCGCTGGACTCGAGAAAAAGAAATGAGACTCGGCTCGCATGGCACAAGCAGTCCACCAAGCCCAATAGTATTCAGCGCGTCAGTTACACAGCATATGCGACGTTCGGGGGAAATGAGACATGTCATTTTGTGTGCTTTGGCTGGCGCTTGCTAATTATCCTCGCCAATCAAGAGTTTGTTTTGTTTCGCCTTTCCCATTGTTTGCGGCTCCATGAGCCTTGTTTCCAGAGTTACAAATACCCCATAAGCATCAATAAATAGGAAAAGATCTAACCAGGCTAAAGGTACTAACTTATGACACTGAAGCCCTAATTACTTAACTACTACTTCATTACCCAGAATGAGGCTACACAACTCTCAGCTTGGAGATGCCTACCAAGACGAAAAGAAGAAAAAGATTAGACAAAATCTTGGAACAGAAGATTGGATCGCGTAAGTGCCACGTAATCTGAGACTTCAAGCAAAACTGACAAAGTATAGGCTTACGGAGCCGGGATCTTATCTAAACTACGTGAAGAGTCTATCAATGAGATGGCCCCAACTCGAGCTGCTATCCGACTTCATGGAAGTTGGGACAGCGCCGACGCGCTGGTGTATCTTCCCTGGAGAAGAAAAGGACAAGAATGAGCAACGCCGATATACATATCCCACGAGCATACCCAGTTGGTGCCCCGCTCTCTATGGATATTATTGCTACTAACTTGATGAAGAAAGGGAAATTGAACAGATTCGCCGAACAACAAAGATGGACGTTGCTTTGCTCAAGTTCCGACAGACAGGAAACCCAGAATTTACAAGTTATCGTTTGCAAGGAGAGTATACGGCCGAGGATGTTAGGGCTACCAAGAGTCGTTTACAAGATGCAGCCAACCCCAGAAGCTGGTTATCCTCTTTGGCGTGGATATCCCAACTGGGATGAAATGCCTGAGTTCGGTTCCAACTACACCCCTCAGGACCCAGTACGTGACCTTCAGATCCCGCCATCTTTGAGATCCAAGGATTCTGGAAACCCAATGAGCTGGTTCGAAGAATACATTTTCTGGGCCCAGAGGACCACCAACTTCGGTTTCTTTTGTTGTTTTATCGCCATTGGCTGTTGACTTACGGATATGTGGGAATAGTAAACAGCCAAAGTGGCTTATCAGCCCATATCATTCTGTTACCAAACCATACCCCCCTGATGTAGGCTCTTTGTGTTTGTGGTCTAAGCACAGCGGCCGGCAAACTGCTTCTTAATCAACACCGCCTTCAAAGTCAATCAAGGGGTACCATGCACTGAAACAAGACGGGATTGGCCCAAGCGTCGGCTAAGAGTCACTGCCGAGCTGCAAACATAAACAGCACCAGAAACCAAAAGAGAGAGGGCAAATGAGACAAGGTAGCTGTATGGTGAAATATGTTTTTGGAGAAAGTTACCCAGAGTTTATCTTAACTGGGAGGGGAGCTTATTGCCCACCCAGCCCATCGAAATGGTTGTATATCTTTATAGGTCTCGGGCGATTACATGACCAATCGGCGTAGCATCGACCAGTAGGAGAATGAGGTCTTGGTAACAGGAATAGTCGCGCGAAATAGATAGAGTTATTCACTCAGTCCAGGCTGACTTGGAACGAGATTCTTTGACCCACAAAGCTCACAAACATCATGACGGGCTATGATAGGCTGGCCCACTAAAAAGACAAATCCTGGTCCTTGTTAGACTTTGGGTTTGAAGGATCACCCTAATCAAAACAATCTTGCGATTAATCTAAAAAAGTTTCCGGTGACTCAACCGGCAACAAACCTCAGTCCTCTTAGCTATAAGAAGGGATGTTGAGCCGGTCTCAGAACTGAATCTCGAACACATCAACACTGACACTTGAGCTTTTCCACCCTCACCACAATACCTCAAGCTATCCGAATTCACAATGTCTCCTGACACCAAACTCTACAGGCATCGCTGCCTCCGTGGCTCGTGTCCTGACAGATGGTCCAAATTTCCTAACCACAAAGAAGACCAGGACAACCTGGAAGAAATCACTTCGAAGGATCCAATCGTTCACCGACACATCTTCAGCGACCATAAATGGGAGACTGAATCTTTCACCATCCATAGCCCTCTCATGCAAGGAGTGCTCTCGACTGTCCTGGAAAGATATCAGGACCTTGATCTTGAACTCGAGAAATGGACTTTCAAACCACCATTCATGCCTCTGATCCACCGGTGGGACCGCCTTCTGTCTCTGTGCGATGATCAAGGCAAAGAGCCTGTACCAGAGGCTTCGACTCAACTTCTAGAATTCCTAACCCCGATCCTGGCACCCAAGGTTGACGCACTTGTGAAGACCCGCAAGACTGGAAACGTCATGTTCCAGGACCTGTGGCAGATCTTTGCTCCACATGAATTTGTGATGACAAAGTTCTACGGTGTCGAAGCTGTATGCCGTGTCACGAAATACAAACTCGTGGAACCAAACTTCGCACCTCCATACTGGGAGATCTATCTGGAGTATATTGACTGGAATGGTAATCGTTGTGGCTATGCGAACACCATGACTGTCATCCCGGAATTCTCTGCCTATCGACGAGTCACCTCGCTGCCTGCCTACCCCTTGTCTTTCCACAACTCCGCTTCCAAGATTCGAGAGCAGATGATTGAACGAGGCCGAAAGTTTGAGGCCTTGCGTGGTTATCACTTCCAGGCCTGTTCCGGAACCAAGATTCTATTGCCTCCTGGAAAGTCAGAGGAGCGACCGGTAAGAGGACTAATGAGAGTTATTCACCAAGTTTAGCTAACACGTAGCGCAGGTCTCTGGTCGAGTCATCGTTGACGCTCACGCTTACTATTTGACCAATGATATTGTGAAACCTGATCTCGCGCCCCTAATCGGGGACGGTGAAGCCAATCAACCCCAGAAATCGGACGAGGCTGAGAAACGAGGCAAAAAGAATTCCAAAAATCGCGGCTGTGACGGCTGGGGCTGTACAGATGGCTTATGCGACTTCTGCCGCAACGAGGACGAGGACGACAATGATGACACTGATACTTCTGATGAACGCAATACGCCTGTGGTGGAAGGTAACGCAGAAATGACGGTGAAAGCACCAAACGATGCTGCAGGGCGCTCTGAGACGCTTGACGACCTGACTGACGACATGTGTCTCGTTGCGACTCCGTGGGTGAAAGGCTTTGACCTCAAGACCAAGGAATGGGGTAAGTTGGGATACCTTTGACTTGGAGGATTCATAAGCTGACAGTGTCAAATAGCCCAGTTCTATGTGGACAGTATAACCCCCGTAGTGTGGAATGATGCCGCATTCAATCACCTCGTGCTCCCCGGGACAGAGAAACAGCTTGCTTGGGAGTTTGTGGAGAACAAGACACTCGCCAACAGCTTTGACGACTTTATCCAAGACAAAGGTGAGTCTTTTCTGTCGGCAAACTTGAGCAACATCTGACATTCGCAGGTCGTGGTATCATAATTCTCATGTTTGGTCCACCTGGTGTAGGAAAGACCTATACGGCAGAAGCAGGTGAGTGAGGTCTACGTACGAAAAGAACTTGGTGAACTGACGGAAAATGCAGTTGCTGAGAAGGCACGGGTGCCGCTGTACTCCATGAGCGCTGGAGATCTCGGAACCGTGCCAAAAGAGGTCGAACTCGCCCTGGAGCGAGCACTCACCCTCTGTGGTCTCTGGAATGCTATGCTTCTACTTGACGAAGCTGACGTATTCCTCGGTGCTCGCACTGACAGTGACCTGGCTAGGAATGAGCTTGTAGCTGGTAAGCATCTTTAACTCCCCAACCTTCTCTACATCCGTCGCTAAGAATTTGCAGTCTTCCTCACGAAGCTAGAGTACTACACGGGAGTCTGCTTCCTCACGACGAATCGAACAGCCAGCATCGATACCGCATTCCAGTCTCGCGTAGATCTCTTCCTTCCTTACAAGGACTTGACTTTTGAAGCTAGGAAGAAGGTTTGGCAGAACTTCATCAATCGCGCTGGCGGTGCTCAAGTTGAGATTCCAGACGAGGATATGAACAAGCTGGCTGAGATGAAGCTGAATGGCCGAGAGATCAAGAACCTGATCAAGAGCGCTCATCTACTGGGTCTCAAGAACGGAGGTGTCATCCAGGTAGACCGGCTCTTGATGCTGGCTCGGAATCGGGTTGCTGCTCTTGGGGAGTTGAAAAACAACTGAGAAGGACGAGACCGTGATACCCATGAGAGCAAAGTAAAGTCGATATTCTGACCGAGATGGCGGATGACCACAGGAATAGTAGTGCTTGGGTAGATGAAATTCCGAACCATAAGGTTCTTAGAAGTAGATAGCCTTGGTGCACGGCAAATACCACCTAGCTCGGACACGAAACTCAAGCACACTAAAGTCCATTTCCGTTTCTAGAGCTGAGCCCCTGCCGCTCTAATCTGAGTTTAGGCTGAGGCGGACTGAGCTTGGGCAGTTGCTAGTCGTAAACGCGAGTTCACCCGTTATCTCAGCGTCGATGTCCGCAATTAGCCGCCTCTCCATGTTTTTGATGTGGGGCATGGAGCGCCGTGTCAAAGATACTTCTAATTATGAGCAGGCCAAGGCGAGATCAAGGTATTTTAGATACTACAGTTTGCAGATCGCGACCTTGACTCTTACTGCTGTGCCTCCTTAATGCTGCTATTGTATCTGTGGCGGATCAATTAGCAGCCAATTAATACTAGAGCATGCCCTACAGAAGGTGCCTTACGGTCCTTAAAGGGATAGAGAATTAGGCAGCAGATAATGCCTGTATCAAGATACTAAGCAACGTCAGGTGTCTGTACTAATACTTTTCTTGTAGTGTTGAAAGTGAGGCAGATCTTGTTACTATACCGAGCATGAGGTAACTTAGCACCATATGTGTAAAGGTCAACTCGAATTGTAAAGCTTTGTCATCAGTAGAATCCTATGGAAGCTGATGGAATCTTCGAGCTCCCCGTACGCGTACGCGGCTCGTGTTTTACTCCTTCTACGCGTCAATGATACCGCTAAATATATAACGCATACCACCAGGTCAGAAACAGCTTTACTGGTTTCAAGATTTCTGTACATCGAGGCTTGTAGTTAACAATTATCACAAGAGGCACGTCACAAATAGCATAATAACATTCTAGCATCGTAATGCCCTTTCATCTACTTATTCATTCTCAGTTTGCAGATCTAGATCCTGTGTACTAACGAGTGTCTAAGACTTATTCCTCATTCCCCATCTATATCGTAGTCCAAATGACTTCCCCATTTCTATCACAGTCTGAAACAATTCCATGACTTAGACCGAGTCCACGTCCGCCAATGTCTCGCGCTCCGCGCAGACCTAAAGAACACATTCGTGTTCAAGAGAGTACGTCCCAATGTACTTCGTTCTGGCCAGCTGTACGATAGTAATCTTCGCACGCCTTCCAAAATTCACTTTCGTATCCAACAGCACCATCCGGTGTTAGACCACGAGAGCGTTGATGTTCCCGGGCGGCACGTATGGCTTTGAAGGCAGCCAATTCCAGTGCATTAAGAGAATAGAGAGAAATGGGTTGGGCAGATCGAATAACATAACCTCCTCTATTACTTACTACGGATGTTGGACCGTCCTGGCCACGCGGGATTGATTCCCCGCCGCGAGACACAGCATCGCTACTATTGTACAAATTGCCCTGATCAGCAGAGGATGTTGGGGGCCTACCACAGCCAGATTGCTTGATGCCATCCTCAGAGCTAACAGCATTTCTGTCCCCAGGAGCATCTGGCATCTCGATATCCACGCTTTCGTCAGGAGCGTCTGGCATCTCGATATCCGCGCTTTGCACAGGCTTTTCTGTCCCAAGGTTGAATGATGAGCCTGACATCTCCGTTTCTAACTTACACAGAGAATAAAACGATAAGAGCCGACAACTGCTACGCACAGCCTTATAATACGCGAACGAATCTACCTAAAAATATCATCATTAACCCCCAAGCTCTGCATCGTGGCCGCTTCGCCATTTTACCTTTCTTGTATTGTATGTACAATTAATTACCGTTACCTGAAGAAAGTAAAGAGTGAATGACCTTGGATTATGGTGAAGGGGAAAGTATTAACAGTCGCGTAAAAAGCGGTCTCAGACGCGTTCCTTTAACGTGTTTCTATCCTTGAAGTGCCTCAACTCTTCTCAGACAAGCCTCTCTATTCCCTCTGAGAGAGGAAGAAGGAAAAGAATCAGTTCTGCTTGGAAAAGTGGACGGTCCGGCCCTTTTGTACTTCCCCATCCCTCTCTGTCCGCGTCTTTGCCCGGTCAGATCGTTCCGGGTGTCCAGCACCAATCACGCATGCTAGGCTGTCGTAGTCTCAGCTTCATTCGTTCTTGGTTATCATCACATGGATTACTCCCCGCTTTTGCCCAAACATTTATGGTCGGGCAATGCTAAATGGGATGACTGCATATGCAGTCAGCAATCTATCCTATCAGAACAAGCTAAGCTTGCTATCTGCTGCCGGCAGCCCCATGCCTTTTGTCGAGTTGATTTGCTACATCAGCATAGACTGGGGTGTCGGGGGGCCTCATTCCAAAGATACAGGCATTCACAGGTTACAGAGATTTGAAAGCTATGACGAGGTAAGGCGCGCGATGCAAGCATCAGCTGTCTAGTCAACCAACTCAAAATAACACTCTCAAAAACACACTTCAGGCAGCATGCCAACTACCCACACAATAGCCTAGAAAGCGATGACAGTGGTTTTGTTCCTTCCAGCATAAGGTGATGGGACAGATAACGTCTGGCGAGGTTTTGATTTGGTGATACTGTTAGTAGTTGACCAATAATCTGTATATATACTTGCGACTTTATCTCACTATATTGCTTTCTAATCCCTCCTAATTATATATTAATTGTGGATGCGCTGCTAATTCAGGAGGCTGGGTATGATCCAGGCAGACCACAGAGCAAGCGTGAAGCTATTGTTCGGTCAAAAATATGGACAAGAGCGGATTGATGAGAGATCATGATGCAAAAATTAGCCTATGCTGGTCGTTGGAAGGATAAAGGGCGTGCTGGCCTGACACCAAAGTCAAAGATGCTGCTTCTAGGAGCGAGCCCAGGCAGGACATTGCCCTGGTGTTGGAGTGGAGTACTGGAGGCACGGTGTCACGACTCTTGGCGGATACGTCGATGATGGCGATGACACTTGCGGCGAGTCCTACCGCCTCGGCCATGGTAAACGACGATATTCTGACGGCTAGGGAAGCGGTTTCGAAGGCGGTTTAGCTTTGCGGATCAGTAGCCCGAGACGAGAGACTGTATGGAGGATAGAGGGGCTCTGTTAACAGGTACTACAGTGAATGCCTAACCAGGATTTGGTGTGGCGGAGTCAAGCTAAGGTATCCTCTGAGTAGGCGAACGCGCTTCATGCATCTCGTAGTAATTGGTTTGTTGCAGCATAATATCCTGTTGGGAGGCAGGCAACGGCTGATGGTGAAAAAAAGAGTATAAAGACATGTTTCATGTTTCGTGAATGGAGCTTGCTCCCAGCCCTATCCGTGGTCAGGGCATGATCCCTCAAGATCATTAGACAAGTATGCGCCAGCACAACCAGCCTGCGGTACGGGGAATGTGTTCTTTACCCCACAATGTCCCGTACCCCTTTCATCGCCTCCAGAGAGACGTGATTGATGGCCTTATTGTAATCGAAGGTTGCTAGCCGAGGTGATCGGGGACAAGGGCGGGTTGGTGCCTTAGGTCTTGACATATGCAATGGAACCATCTCCCGCTGGACCCCAACCCCCAACCCCCAACTTGACTACCCTATTTGACTAGTCGAAACTCGAGATGCGGAAAAGGAAACCAAGAATTTTTGCCATATCAGATTTTGAATCTCGTGATAAATACTACAGACGATGAATAATGACTGTTCAAAGTAAGAATAGAACATCATGTATCATATATCAAGTTAATTGATAAACTTCCTGTTCATTATTTTAGAGATCTCCTCAATAGATTAGATAAAGAATACGAAATCTTTCCACAATTTAAGCATACGATTACCTTCAGGGTTTTCAGTTCGGTAGCACTGCTACCTACCCCAATAAGGTCCGAGCCGATCATTGTTTATCTTTAACCGTAATTTGACGGCAAAACACATTCCACCACTCACAAACCTCCCGCGATCTGCGCCGTTCGATCAAGAGACGTTCTCGTCTGATCATTGGTGCTAATTGCCAATGCCGACAGGGGTTCCCCGCAAACACCCCGGAATTAAGCTGTACCTTGATCCTAACCGAGCTCGGGGTTCTTTGATGTAAAGAGAAAAAAGCGCAGATGATCTTGAATACATATACTGTGCCAAAGACCATGTTTGTGCCATTGATGCTTCAGTTACTTCTCATTCTTGTTCAACTGCCAAGATGAAGCTGTCCTCGGTTCTTTGCGGTGTCTTTGCGACTGTCACTGTTGCGTTCCCCTCCGAATATCTCAGTCTTGCGACTTGGGGCGTTGAGGGTTATGCTAAGGATAATCCCATTGGCATTACTACCGGTGGCAAGGGCGGAAAGACTGTCACTGTCACTACTGCTGAAGAGCTTGTAGCTGCCGTCAAGGGTACTGAGCCCAAGATCGTGAAGCTCAAGGGCAAGGTTACTCTTCCTTCTCGCCTCAAGGTCGGATCCAATACTTCTCTCATTGGTGTTGGATTGACAGCTCATATCACTGGTGCTGGTGTCGATGTTTATCATGGCGATAATGTCATCCTGCAGAACTTGAAGATCACCCATATTTTGGATAACGATTGCATCACTATCCGAAACAGCACTCGTGTTTGGGTTGATCATAATGAGTTTTCTTCTGATATCAACCAAGGTCCTGATCACTACGTAAGTCTCGTGCAACCCGCCAAACTGCAAATTGTTTAGCTGACGTCTTCTGCCAGGACGGACAAGTCGATATCATCCGCGCCTCAGACTGGATCACCGTCTCTTGGAACTACTTCCACGACCACTGGAAGTCTTCCCTCGTTGGCAACGACGCTACCTTCCGCGATCTAGACTTCGGCCACCTCCACGTCACCTATCATCACAACTACTGGCGAAACATGGGAACTCGTGGCCCTGCTGGCCGCTTTGGTCACCAGCACATATACAACAACCTCTACGAGGACTTCCTGTACCAGGCTATCCACAGTCGATCCGATAACCAGGTATATCTCATCGCATCCAATTGGAGCGCTTTGACTAATTGAAACAGGTTCTGGTTGAGGGCAACGTCTTCCGTGGTAACACTAGCGAGGCCTTGAGCACCCACGGTCTTGTCATCCCCATGGATTCTCCCAACACTTGCACTTGCGGTGATGAGGAGCTTGATGGATATGCGAACCTCGGAGCCAGTACGTATAATTCTTTGACCATTTAAGATCTCACGGCTAACCATTGAACAGAAAACGATTGGGGTACTGCTGGAGTCAACATTACCCAGAAGGGCAACTTTTACAAGGCTGATTACAAGTTCAAGTTGACTCCTCTCAAGCTAGTCCCCACCGTGGCTAAGCTTGGTGCTGGTGTTGGTAGAATCTGGTAGTATGACAGCTTTAGCCTGTTATTACTTATTCATTAATATTATTCCTGCTGCTTTGTTGTCGATTCCGAGCTTTTACTCAATGCCAATACTTCGAGTCCACGTGCGTCATGTACAACGTATCTCTGGACTTTGGATGAATATCACATGCCAATCCTCGAGAGGCAGCATCAAGAATAATCTGAAAGGATCTAATCTGAATTTGGCTGGAGGGACGAAGGTAAACGTGAGCAATGTTGTCAAATATTTCGAAGCTCAAATGTTCAACATAGCCTTATCGGCCACTAGCAGCGGGCCTAATACAAGCCTGGATAAATTTGACGAGTCTGTCTAACTAAAAGTACCTACCGCTATAGTTGAAAGCACATCTCCACAAATGGCTTGCAAGTTTCAAGATTATTTACATATTGCAAAACATCAATGTCCAACTCTTTCTCACGAAGGGATCTGAAGTTTAGATAGATTGAAGAGAAGCAGAGCTGTATATTAAAGGCTAGCATCTAGTGACCTCATTGGTGATCTCGATTCCATTCATCTTAAGCTGTGAAACACATCATCGCAGATGAACAGTTTTGGAATTTGTGGCTGCTTGGTAGTGTCTGTTGCTAACTCTATGAGACTAGCGTAAACGATAGAGCGATGAAGTTGCAAGATCATAAAGTTGGGTGACGACGTCCCTTAAATACTTTGGCTTCACTATTGACCTGTTTGCTGAGCTGGTTTAGTCAAGCACCATGTTAGAAGTAGCATATAAGGCCAGCCATGAGATCTTCTGGGTTGACCTAAAAAGCACTAAAGACATCTATCCTAAGGCCCTGAGCTCTACCCGAACTGCATATCCAGAAGATGGCGTTTCTAGAAAGATCAATAGTTCACACCAGCGATGGGTTCATTGTGGTCTTGGCATAGAGGGTAGGCGTCTCACATCTGCTTAAATGAAGACAAACGAATGACGCATGTGGCTGATGTCAGACTTGACGTAGATAACCCATTGACCAATACAAGGGAGCTGTCAAGTCTCAGCGCTCATTGTATCTGTGACCTCCCTGAGATCGCCTGTTTACGGCAACAAGAGCGCACCGGGATTAGGTACAAAAAAAAACTCATGTCGTGTTTAGGTTTGCCAGGCTTCACGAATTCACAGAACTCTACACGCACAAAACTGCGGTCAATGGACATCACAAAGGACATAGGTCAAAGAGAAATGTATTAACATTTAATAGCACCATTTTCCATCATAATGATTGTGATCGGTCTAAGTCGCCGAGATCCTGTTCAACTCTAAGTTTACTCATCCGCAACGCATTCCATCTCGGTTACAAATTCTTCCGAGGTCCACATCGTTTACTCTGACCCTCTTCGCATCCTCCTTGATACCGTAATCAAGACTTTCCGCACCGCGCACACCTCAAAAACGCATACATCTCTCATCCGGAACAGAGGTGCGATGATTTCTACCCCTCTGGAGCCATCTACGCGACGAAACCTCGCACGTTGCAGCCCTCCGCTGCGTAACTCACGTTGAATATCGGTATGTTGGAGAGTCCCGGACATGACAATATCTTCGCCATCTCGAAAATACGGCCCTTTTACAGGGTCTCAAACCACTATTAAAACAGTGCAGATCTGATTACTTCCCCGTACTATAATAGCAATTAAGTAGTCTCGTGCAACTCGAGCCTGGCCGATTCTATCAGAATAACTTCCTATATTATCTAGCACAGCTGCTTGACCATCATGATCATCTAGAGCCCTTCCCTAGCTAGGTTTATGGGCATTGGGGCTATAATATACAACTCTGCCTCCGGCAGAGTAGAGTGGTGGCTGAGGGCAACCTGCTTGTATATTACTTTCATTAAAGCTCATAGCAGGAATATCCGGAGCCACCGCTTCTGATGTCCTTTCAACGTTGCCTCCCTGTGACTGATAATCCGCCATCTCCTCGTCTTTGAATTCCACTGGACGATTCATCCCAAAATTCTCTGATGCAGAAAATGTATATCTCTATCTCACGCAGAGAACAAAGTGGTAACAGGCCGGCCAATTCTCCGTACAGACTTACAGTGCTCGTAAAAGCCATCCATATAAATTATTAATACCACGAGACCCGTCACATGGACTTTTTTGGCATGCTACTTTCCTAGTTTCGTCCAAATACTTGCGTTGGTGACTCAAAGTAAAAGGGTCAGCTGCATCATGATTCAGGCCATGATCATAGGCGAGGAGTAAAGAAATTAAAAATAGTTGCAAGCCCAGGAGGTCATTGGAGGCTTGAAAAACCGCGTATGAAAAAACAGTGAATTGCATTGTAGGAAGGTAGGTCGTCGGGCAGTTTAGTCGAAGAAAAGCGAGCACGCGCTTAAGAACGCAAATAAAATAAAGCCTTAAACACCATCAAGAGTGTCGAAGACGACAGAGCGGTTGCGTCCAAGAGTGTCCGTACTACTCGGGCCTCTGCTAGGTGGGCAATACCAACAATACACTCAGCTGTCGGAAGTATGGTTGTACCTGGTCCCAACGACGCTTCCTTCCATTACCATTGTCCTTCGCTTTATTAATCACGCTACAATGCGACTGCGCAAGAAGTATACTATGGAGCATTTAAGTGACTCTATCGAGACTTTCTAAGATGTACGCTTTTCTCTAAAGAAATATTTGTGTATAAGCTAACAGTAGAGCCATAGCCCCTCGCCTCAGCTAGAGTTTAAGGAAATCGTTGTCACAGACAGATCTAGACAGTTGGAAGGCAAAGGCGAAGAAGGACTATAACAAGGCAGAGTAAGTAAACTGAATCTAAACTTGGGAATGCTATTTATTCTTCAAGCTTAATTTGCTTTCATCCTTCGAAGCTTACTTAGATAATAGTGTGAAATTCTGAAGATTATCCTCTCATTCTATCGAATGAACTACCTATTGATATGCCCCCAAGAATCAACTACCAGAAATACGAAATTAATTACAATCTGTTACTTAATCTACTTCCTTCTTCTTTCTTTTTTGGCCTTGGTGACACTCGTCCCTATGACGTTTCAAATTGTCCTGTCTTGTGTATACCTTGTCGCAGTCAGGGCATGTTCCGCCTATAGGATGGTAATTGGTTTGCTCAGCCCACGGCCTATGGTTATTCCATACATGACGCCTTATCTCCTTTTCCTCACTAGCGTCTCCCCAAGGACAGTCATTCTTGGGGCATGCCCTGTGTTGTTTCATATGCTCGCTGAAAATAAAGAATGCCATCGATCAGCATGTGTCCAATAATACCAAGAAAGAACCTCGTCACAACGATGGTAGAGAAATGGCCACTTACTCGTGTTCTGCTTTGTCGGCAGCTTTATGTTTGCAATCTTTCCAATTACAAGCGAGTCGCGGTGTTCTTTCTACCAGATCTGTTGACTTGTCGGAGAAGTCTTGTGTATCGATCGGAGGGGGGTTCGCAGGCCTAGACTGATCTGCGGAAATGTTGGATTGCGCGACTATCGCATCACCGGAGGGCTCAAACACCATTTGCATCGTGGCTTCAGCAGGGACCATGGGTCGCTGGTGGTTCGATTGCAAATCACCAATTGCTCATGCGTCATGGGATGGTGCAAGTAGCTGAAGCCGTTGATGCTCTGGCGTCGCAGCCTGCATCAACAGACTTGGATCAATCGCGCCGTTGTCCTGATCAGGGGTTGCATTTGCATAGTCAGGTTGAGGAACGCTTGCATGTAGTGCCACAGAGTCTAGGTATTGTAGTTCCTTATATTGTCCCTGATCCTGTGTTGGTGCATCGTCGCCGCTCAATGGCGGATTTTGAGCACCGTATCGAAAAGGGTGATTAGCTTGAAAAGACATGCCCTTTGCAAGTTTTGACTTGGAAACTGATAGTCAGCAAGAAAGAGTAGTATCTGCTCTTGATATAGCGATAATTCAAATCCCTCCATTGGCAATTGTTAAGGTTGGATAACAGTCAGGAGGACAGATGTTGATGTGAGCGGGGAGCCTTGTATGAACAGAAGTCCTAATTTTACAAAGGTACGTATGCAGGAGGCCGGGCACGTAGACCCCTGCCACATCCATAATGACACCAGTGGCTTCCAGTCTTGCTCAACGATGCCCCGTAATTGTCCCCGACCTCCTGCATGAATCTTGTACCTGGCTTATTATAGAGGGGCCTGGGGTACCCATCTGGAATGATGACGGTTGTACAAGACCGAGCTTCGCTGTCAATTAATATGAATGCAATGTCACAAAAAGGTGCCATAACTGGCGATACCCATAAGCGCTTTGTTAAAGTGGCAACCCTGCTGTCTCTAATTGACCCGGTCCGAGGTGAACCGACAGTACATAGCCTCGACATGCACCCCCATGAAAATGCGCAAAAGATGGAGAGTCTTCAAAAGAAATTCCTGGACTCATTCGCCCTGATCTGTTCAACTTCTGCCAAAAGCGGCGAGACAGCTTCAGCTGTGTGTATGGAACAAGGGCATCCTACAGGAACCGTCTTGCGACTTGCTCGCAACCTTGGTGTGCCTCAACAACTACTTCAAGGTCTAAATGATATATTGGATTACCTTGCTGCTGTTTCTTCTAAAGGTATAAACCAAAGCTCACCATCTGAACAGCTACAGGATTACTGACACTGAATCGCACAGAATTGCCAATTCAGCAAAAAGAACATCAACTCCTACTGAAGATTGTTGATCTTACACGTCTGAGAATTGAAAGCATATTGCAAAGACTTCGTGATCCAAAAACTCAACAGAGCGCTCAGGAAGTAGTCGACAACCTGAGAGAGGACACTGCCTTCTCCGACGACCCCGAAAAGGCCGGCTTCGCGACCTGGATGGAAAGTCTTCCGGTTCTGGTGTCTCTTGAACCCAACGCTGAATCTGCTGTGTTGGTTCCTCACATCAAGTGGGCATCACGGGCGAAATGGGTCTACTCCGAGCATCTCGAGGCACTATTTTGCCCAGGTGAAGAAGAATTACCGGACTGGGTCTTTCTGATATACAAGCTTGGTCGGTACTTTGCTGCAGCAAAAGCAATGCTCAAGTTGGCGATCAAGCAACCGTTCCTTTTTACGTCAATTCACATCGAAACGATTGATGCCCCAGATCAAGAACGCTTCAACTTGGGAAACGATTTAACAGCATTGAAGACAGTGCTTCAGAAGCTCACCGATGTGGACCACGATAAGCTCATGTCTCAACTAGGCCAAATCTGGCTCACCAGTGACCCTGAGATGCGGTTCCGTCAGGCCTGCCGTTTGACATTGACAGTACATGCAGAGATGCAGGTCCTCAGTTTTTATGACCACCATCCCGAGTTAACGCCCCGACTTGCTTTCATGGGAACGAGTAAGAAGACTTGCTTCTTGTGTCATCGATTTATGTCCCGTCACCCGCTGCAAATGAACGCCTCAGCAAGTCACCAGAAGCTATATCCGTCGTGGATGCCTGCTCCGTGCTTCATATCTGATGTGCGCAAACGACATAAAACGCTGCTCTGGGAGCTCAGCAGACATTTGGAGCAGACTACTGCCCGCGATCTTGAAACAAGGTTAGGGATTCGTCGCCGGAAGAATCTGGATTCAACAGCAGGTCCATCGCTTACAACTTCTGGAAGTATTGCTTCAGATTGGTGGGCCAGTGGATTGGCACATTCTAACATACTGGACCTCAATCATTCGGTTTAATGCGCATTCTTTCAGATGTTAACCTCGCCGATTGGTCTAGTTACAACAGTACTCGAACTTTTAGCGGCCTTTATTGGGAGTTAGGCATGTCAACCCTCTTCGTGTGCGAGCATAGCGCGAATGACGTGGAACTTCCTTGTGATCATTGATTCCTTGCAATCGCAAGGTTCAATGCAGTATGACCAACATGATATCGGCTCTCTACCTATCACGACTGCAGTATATGTTTCAGGCCCCACTCGTAGCTGGCCTCATTATTGTAGGACTACACCACACTTGGATAATTTGTTGGCCTCAATTCTGACAATTTGGGCGTGTCTCACTATCATTGTAAGGTTTGAGCAAGCCCAAGGTAGGTCTTGGGAGGCTGACCTAAAGGAAATATAAATCCATCCAATTACTATTCGTCTGGTCGCCCTCGAACGTGACCCAACATGTCTACCCCTCACCTTCTCATGTCACTTATGCATCCTACATAATTCTTGCCTTCGCGAACTGACCAGCCTCCTGCACTGCAGGGTAAAGTAGATTTACATCGAGAACCTTCTCAGTCGAACTTGCATGGTAGATTTAGACAGATTCGCATTCTTCAAATATTGGACTGTTGAAGTAGTCTGATGCAGCACAGTGTTCTGAAGGCTTGCAGTACGCTGTGCTAATCTCACTCGAATCTTGATCCTGCTTCACTTGACTTGGCTACTCATGTCACACATAGACTACTTTATCATCTACTGCTTCCAATCTGCCCCTCGCTCCGGCACCAAGGCATCCCCCAATGTGTTTCTTAGGCAACAGTCCTAGCAAATGGTTGCTCACTGGATCTTCAAATCGTAATGGCAACGCAGGTCGTCTATCTATCAAAAGTTCTTGGGCCTTGCAGACGAAAGAGTCAATGATCCTACTAACCCAGCATGCGTGTGTGGTGAATTAAGCAGGCCTCAAAGAGAAGGCAAGAACAGCGCCAATCCTGGTGGTGGTTTCCATTACGGATGTCGACTGCGCACGTGCGACTATTATTCTGTGAGAATGGATGAAAATAGTGATCAGGGTGGGTTCGGATATAGTGGACTTTTTTGCTTTCGATATCATTTAGCAACTATAGAGTCCTCTAGACCTCAGTGGCGCACAGTCATTATGATTTGGGATTGGTCGGAATGACTCATGTTATAGGACAAAAGTAGATACTATAGATTGCGTCTACTGGATATATGTCCCGCTTGAAAGCTAACGTCTTGGAAATAATGTTGCCTATGGAGATGTAGAAATCACAATGATCTTTTATAATGTAAAGTTCCTATCACGCATAACGATGTTAACGATATCGATTGCAAAACTGGCGTGCGCTACCGACCGAGCGTAAACAATATGTCCCATCGAGTCTCAACTTAATCTCCCCCAAGACTCAGAATCCTTTATCCAATCCTCCCTATGAACGTCGTGACTGATGTTAGTAAGAGCACATTTCAAGCTCATAGTAAGACTATCCGTGGTCTCATGATATGGCACATCATAGCCAAAATACGAAATGTATACGGCCTCAATGTTGGCATGCCTCTCCAAGAACTTCAAGGCAAATCCATCTAAACATTGAACATCCATTCGTAGGTATTGCAAGGACGGGAAATTCAATCCATCTAATGCCTTGAAAGTGCGAACACGAAGACAAAGTCGCTTCAATCGTTGACAACAAGAGAGAAACGCATGAAGGTCTTCATACTCGGTCGGGTTAGTGTAACAAAGGACCAAGTCCTCCAAGTCTATAAGTTTGTTTTGGATAAGGGACCTAATGTCTAATAGTCGAGCTTCAGCTTCATTATCATTGACGCTGTTCGATAGTATCAGACTTTGGAGCTTTATATGTGGCTGGGACGCGATAGCTCGGAAGGCAATCCAAAGACTTGAAAATTGATAACCCGCGTAGTCAGTTGAAGGTGAACGGGTGCAGTCACACTTGAAGCCAGTGTCTGATAGCTCATTATAGCATCTTAACGAAATATCAGTCCTAGAAGCCAGCGCAATAGCAAGCTGTGTAGAGAGGCGGTGTCGCCATTCTTTCGTAGGCATTGCCCAGCTGACAATAATCTCTTTCACAATCTCCATCAGGTTGGGAGACGATAAGGAATCAAGGCTAGTGGTGTTGAAATGGTATATGAAGTCTTTTCCGAAAGACGTGATTACCAGCGCGTTCCATTCGTGGCATACCAATCGACAAACACTCAGCGTTGTGAAGTCAAGGTAGTCTAAAATCCGTCGGTGTAGTTTCTTATCAAAATCAGACACTGATTGGAGAGATGTTAATCTGCATATCACTTACAAGTGGAAGAAGCATTATTGCATTTGCCTGTGCGAAGCTTATGGATGTATGATTCTGTTGCATTGCCGCAGGACTCAAATAGGCGTTTTTATGATTCTTGGAGATCGCCACAGCTGGTCTATCAAGAGTAAAAGCCGGACGTCGATGATCATTCGAGAATTAAGGGGGTTATGTATGTCGGTCAGTGTGAGAAACCAATAAGCGAAATCGAAAGTTATGTTGGTTGAGAGGTTGCTTACATGCCTTTCGGCCGGTTTCCATAGCTCAAGAGTCCTAGCATGAAGCCACTTTTAATTTCAGAAATGCATAAACATCAAATGTGATAGCACACGTCACATTTGGTGGGTGGTGTCTAACAACTTACCAATTATGGAAGCCAGTTAAGCGCCGATATTCTTGACGGGGGAGCTCTGATACTCGTGAACCAGCATGCAGCCTTGCTTTCAACCTACCCCGCAATTGACGGGGAGCAAGTCACCCGGTCAGGGCAACAGGCTGATAGCAAGGCATAATGATAGACAGACAACCAACTGGTTTCGCCATGTTCCACCAAGCGTGACGAGCCCCTGGCAATTATTGTTTGCATCGACAGCCTACTCTTCTGTTCTTGATTGTCGCGTACCCCAGTCCACTTCGCACGTCTATGTTTGTATCCAGTCTATTCCCATATATCCATACTATGGCGACTTAGTGTCATAAGTCGAAGATCGGTCTGGAAGGGGCTAAATTGATACTGATCCTGGCTGATCAGTTTGAGAATTTGACCTCAAAGCTGTGAGGGGTAAGTCTTTTCAACTCATTTGTTTGTTGTTATCATTATACTTTACAGGCAAGTGTACACCAATCGCGTTGGAGGCGGTCAAGTCAAGACGAATTCGGCCGTATTGGCAATTGTTCTTGTTCCGATTCAACATCCCTTGGTGTGTTAATATTTCGTCGCACTCACCGAGACCTCTAAAACTCTCAGAGGCTCTGCCAACTTTTTCAACCCTTTGCTTCCAGACGGCTCATCTGACGAATACGCAGCATCTTCAGCCGCTTCGTTAGGGCGCTTCCAGTCTCGATACTTCTTAGCCAACCCCCCCTGCCGCCTAGTCAGCTGTGTCTCAGTAGGGTTCGACTAGTTCTTGTAACACCAACTAACTCTTTCCTCGGGCACGTGGGTAAAACGCGACTTGAGAGCTGAAGAATGTCTCGAACCTTATCACTCATGTGGTAACAAGTGCTACACGCCGAAGACTTCGGTGCGTTTTATCGGTGCTGCTTTCGATCTTCTATCAAGTTCGCGAGCGCGCTCTTTGAACCGTATCAAGTTACCCTCGACGAAGCCCAGGACGTTCTCGAGATACTTGATAGTTGAATCTGGATCCCAAATGGCGGTATCACCGTGTTTTTAGTAATATGAGATGTCGTAGAACATGGCGAGGTAGGCAAGTATAACTATCTATCGTCGACTGAATGGCTATTCCAGGGCATAAAACTCATTTGCATTCTTGGGAAATTATATTGGTTCGGTGTATTTGATACCTTGGTTTAGCGGGTAGATGGGAGAGTAGGATAGGCACCCTATCGGTGCCTTGCTCACAGTTACCCGGCTTCTGGCTATACCACGAGTATATGCAAGACTTGTGGCTAGCTTCTCCGAAGAATTTTGCCATGTTCGTCTTCAGGGTGTATACCAGCAAAGGTCTGGCAGCCACGGCCGCTTTCCAAATGCTTCATGATTACACACCTGGAGCTCAGACATTTACGGTCAAAATAGGTTTGAGAAAATTGAGAAGCGTTAGAGTTCATACACGACCCGTGCTGCGAATGGTTATCGAGATCGTCTCCTGATATTCGTCTTTCCATTGTGTAAAAGAACCTTACTCCATAATGCAAAGTTGTGTAAGTCGAAGTTTTACTGCGGTTCGCTTGATCGATCTGTTGTCTTTGCTTCCAGCCTTAGATCGATGATACTGAAATGGTCAAGTTCGTGTATTAGTCAGCCCTCTACCATTAGGCTGTTGGCTCGTATGAATTGTCCAGTATAACTAGTCATCTACTGGTTAATTATGCTTTGTCAGATTACGAATAGTTCACCAATGATACGAGACGCTGCGCGGGGTAATGGTTCACTCGAAGTGTCTCAAATTCTTCACTTCGCCAAAACGCCACTACTCATTGAGCGGTCTCTGTAGCTGCGATCCCAGCTTTCTTTCTTTCCTTAACGAAAGACTAAACGAATTCTGATAACAATGTCAAGTTCTGTGTCGAATATTGGTGTCATGACACCTAGCACCACAACTGAAGCCGACACAATTGAACGATCACTTATTTCCCCTGGAGGAGGGATGGACACTCCAACATGCAGCAAGCAAACCCCAACTCCATCAGAAGTTGGTGGGAATATGAGTGACTCATGTACCCTCACCCGTAAATCCGATCCTCACCATGACGGTAAATATCTCATCCTCGACGTCTCTCACCACCGTGCCCTGATGTGCCACGAAGGCAACCTACGCCTTAAGACGATCAATCTGGAAGACCTCCAACGACACATTCCAGAACAGGCACAGTGGGAGTGCAAGGAAAGGCGCGGTTTTAGGGGGTTTAAGAATGTTGCTGAGGGGACGTTCCTAGGCCATGACATTTGGTGGGATTTCTATGCCAAGGCCTATCATCATAAGGGCTGGGAGGATTTCACTCTGCGTCACCGCGAAGGTGGCCTATACTGGATCCAGAGCCTCGATTGGTGGACGCAGAGGCAGGTCTCGGCAAGGCAAGATGGAAGTGGCTTGTTGAGGCAGGATGATGGAGGCACTTTGTGGGAGTTTGTCAAGACTGTAGGCTGCTGAGTATTAAAGAGGTGGATTTATGCTCGCTTTTGAAGGGAGTTGGGTACAATACAATGCAATTTATTACGCCCGGCGGCCTTCTCTGACCGAAAGGGCACTATTCACCAATGCTTACATACAACGCCTGCTTTCAAGCGCGCTCGAAGGACGAGCATTGGCGGATCAGGAAGGCAGTCGCACACAGCTAGCCACAGATCGGGATGGTAGGTTCGATGCATTCTGACGTTCATCACAGAGTTACTTAAGATATGGTACATTCGCAAAACTTTGGACGAGACAACTATAACCTGCTTTGGCTGGTGCATCGCGGCTTGCCCAATACGACACCGAGCATGGCTTTTATGCTTTCTTGAGAATAGAGATTTTCAAGTAAAATATAAACTCAAGTTACGTTCTCACATCTCGTATTGAATAGCTGGCAAATGAGAATCATGTTAAAGACCCGCGATAACGCGTGACCGTTTTCATATGATTTGGGATGATCGGAAGCATGGTCAATACTCAGACATTGCCATTCCGTGAATTATGAGCTGTGGGTCCAATAGTGTCGCGTACCCACATTCCGCGCACCCCCACCTTCTACGCACTCCCTGCGACCGTAATTTCCCAACCCCCTAATTATAATTCTCCCTAAAACACCATTAAATAATATCAGAAAAATTCCAAATTTTTACTATAGTAACTCCTAAAGAAGCTTAATAGATTAATCTTAAAGAAATCTAAGAAAGGCTAAAGAATAGTAAGTCTTTATATTATTATATAACCTTATATAAGAAAAATAAGTCTATGCTTTATAGTTAATTAAAAGGCGCCTAGATAGCTTAAAAAGGTTAGGAAAGCTATTAATTATTATTGCCTATATAAGAAAAGGAAATTACTAACTTTTTAAGGCATAAAGAGCATTATAGGCATGCCCTTTTAAGAAGTAAGCTATATAATCTTACTAATAGGATTATAAACCCTAATATAATTAGAATTATAATTAGGCATAACTAGCTAGATAGATTTTTATAATATTATATAGATATTAAAATAAAGCTATTTATATATTTAAAAGCTATTTATTTTAATAATACTACTCCTATCTTCCTTTAATACTTTTATAATATATTATTATTAATTATTAAAGAATTAAGGATTATATTATTAAGGATATATAATATAGATAAGTATAGACTTTAAGAAGGGCTTATAAAGTTAGGAAAGGTACTTAGTAATAACCTTATAAAGCAGGCTATTATTATAAAAAGCAATTAGCATAATTAGGTATTAATTTTAGAGTTAAGAAATATAGAAAGAAGAAGACTATAACTAACTGTAGTTTTTTAAGGAGATTATCTTTAAAAATAGTAGTTTTTAGAGCATTTTCCTAACTAAGGATATAATATTAATAAGATAGGCTAAGTAACTTAAGATATCTATCTAAAGTAGCTCTAGGAGACCTTCTTACTATATATAAAGCCTAAAAACCTGCTTAATTAGAGACTTCTTATAATTAATAGATTTACTAGTTATATCTCTATTTAATTCCGATTTATAGCATTATTTTATAAAGTATAAATCCTATATTTATTACTGCATTTTTTATATACTACTTAGCTATTTAATATTAATATTTTCAGCCTAGTAAAGGCAATTTTTAAGCGCCTTGCAAAGCCATATACCGGCTTTAATACTACAGCGCCAATTCATAAATAGCACTTTATTTAGATATATAAAAAAGCTATAGATAAAGCTATTATAGAGAGGAATATATAAGCAGGCTTTAGAGGCATTAGAATCTGGCTAATCTTATTAAAAAGGGCATTAGAAAACATTATTATAGCTTCTTAAGCACTAGCTTAAAATAATGCCCCTAAGACCCCTTAATACTAAAGGGTAATATTATAGGTTATATTATATATACTAAAGAATAGAAATAAACTAATATCTTAGTTAAAAGAGCTCTAATTGCAGAAAGAAGGGTATAAGAGGAATCTCTATTACCTAAAGACTAAGGCTGCCAAAGAGCTAGATTATTTAAAGGCCTAAAATACCATAAAAAGGCAGAAATTAACTTTTCTATAAATAGAAATAGACTTATAAAAGCCATAGCCTTAATAGAAGGTTATTTAGTACCCCTAAGCCTGTTATCTAGGGCATAAGGAGATTTAATATACCTAATAGCTAAAAAATAAGAGGCTTATAAAGAAGCAGAAAAGGGAGGCTAAAAAGGCAGAATCTAGGAAAAAGAATAATACTATTATAGTTATAGATAAGAGCAGATTATAATTCTATTTTGCGCTATTTAATTTACATACGAATTAATTAAGATATCATATATTAAAGTCATTACGATAATTGAAGGTAGTGCGCGGAAGGGGGGTATGCGCGGAATGTAGGTACGCGACACTAGTCTAGTCGCTCCCAGTGGATTTTTAGTGAGTCGATCTGAATCTAGATCAGGAGAAATTGATTGAAAGTCTTAATAACACTTGATGTCTGCACCATTAAGACATTTTCGCTCCAATCTTGCATCCCCTCAAATGCCAACCTGACATCGTTCACCATGCGACACCAGAGACTCCTGGCCCTTTGGGCTCTGCTCGTGTCCCGCTATTCAAGCATCACCATCTCATCCACCAACGATGCGAATACCTTGGCAAATGCTTTATTCTCAGGTACTCGTCTGGAAAGCCTTGGGAGGAGCCAGGTACACCTGTGGTGGTTGCAGAGGCTGTCAGGCTGCACCTTGCACCCTGCACATTGGCTGCTGTAATTTTCGCCTTGGGATTGATCTTCTGGTGGGTTTCATTCACCTTCCTTTTAATACAATTAGATTTTTAATATCTTTCTTCGCATATAGTCACTTGATAGAAGTATCACTATGACATCCGACAAAATATATACCCATGATTATCAATATCTGTTCCAATTCGCATGATTCTCCTTTGAATACACTAAATACACTACCCAAGTGTCAAGGCCTGACCTACGGAAGAACAATGTGTCGCCAGTGGAGATATCGAATGACCGTGAACTCATTTCCAGTCAACGGAACCACCGTCTCCGCAAACCGACCCCGGCCGTTCCGCCACTGACCTCCGCTTCAGGCGGCATATCCATCATGCGGAACTAGATAGCGCTTTGACAACTGCACCAAAACTCGATGCTTTCAACGAGAATGATCATGCCCGATGAATCTCTTGCCGATACGGCGGTTCCTTCAAGAGTTTCATCCCATGTTCGTGGCTTTACCCCAGCTTCTATGCTGATCCCGAGTGCGGAGAAAATCTGGGGAAGCATGCAGCGGAATTATTGCCGACTTCAGACAAGGATATCGTGATGAACTATTTAAAGAAGAGTGGGAAATGGTCTAAATTTCTTTTCCATCAGCAGATCAACTTCAACTCCTCATTCTTCTGCCTATGCATTCTAAAATGGCGAATCTCAAATCCCTCATCTTTCTCGCTACTGTCTCGGCGGTACGCGCTACTGTCAGCCCTGGTAGTCTCGTCACCATCTCTACAGCTGTCGATGCTACCAGCGGCGCTGCTTGGTGGGATCCTTTAGACGAGTTTGGCGGCTATGACTGGCTTGCTTATCTGAGAAATCCTCCTGGTGGTGCTATCGCTGATAATAATGTCATGGTCGCACGACGCTCTATCTCCGATGGTAGTGTCTCTCGCGACTGCGTCAGAGATTCAGACGGGGAGTGCGCTGTCTTTGCAGATGACCTTGGACATAACACCCCCAGCATCAGCGTCGATGGCGATGGTTATGTCCATGTTTTTACGAGCATGCACAACGAGCCGTGGAAGTACTTCCGCTCCTCTCAGCCATACAGCAGCACTCTCGTCAACGCCAGTGCTGATATGCCAGACCAGAGTGTTCTCATCACATACCCTGTTATCAAGCGTGATGCCGACGGAAATCTGTGGCTGATCGTCCGAGGACAAGCGTCAGGTGATGGCTCTGCGAGGGGTGGTTACTTCTACAAGTACACGGTTGACAACAAGAAGTGGACTCGCGTTAGCCTCTGGGCATACAATAAGGGATACTCTGTATATCCCGATGACATTGGCTTTTCTTCCGATGGGGATGTTCATATCCAGTGGGAATGGAGCAAGTATCCTGCGTCTGCTGTGCGCCACCAGGGAAGCTATGTCCGCTATCGACCTTCAACAAACTCGTTTACTTCTGCCTCTGGAGCTACTGTCTCGACACCCATTACTCAGAACACTGCAGATATCGTGTACCAGCCTCTGACTTCAGGCGAGACATACAGCGGCGACATCAACGCTTCACCAGGCCCAGCTTTCCAAAGCGCAAAGATGGCACTGTACGAACGTCCCGACGGCTCCGTTCACATCCAAAGTGCCTACCGCTTCAAGACTTCTACTAGTGGAACCTGGCAAGTCCGTCGTGCAACAGCAACATACGGTACTTCAAACCCTTGGACACGCGAGATTCTGTACAGCGATAGTGAAACCACCGCTGGCATTGGTATCACCCATGACGGAACGACTGCTCGCATTTACTATTGCCGCTCTTCAGCTAGTGCATTTGTGCTTGAAAATGTCGGTGGAGCTGGTTGGACCAACACGGCTATTGAGCCGGCTGTTGGTAAGAAGGTGCAGCGTCTTCAGGCTTTGATGAGAAGTGATGGAACGGATGTTTTGTACTTGGGGGCGCCAACCAACGTTAACTCGACGACTGGAAGCTTGTATCTTTTGACTGTTGGGGGCCGGAATTAGTGGCATCACTTATATGAAAGATGAGACATTCTGGCATCGTTTTCACGGGCGGGGAACACTCGACCTTTCATCTTGTTTCAGACTAGTGAGTACAATATCAATCATATTTCGAGGGTATTCTCGCTCTATCTTACATATCCATACTTCTTTCATAAACCAACCATTACTGCCCAGCGTTATATCCATAATCTCCATCTTCTGGGTACTCAACTGGCATCTCAGGAGTGATGTTATTAAAGTCTCCGTGAAAGTTAAGAATGCTGTTCGTGAATGACTCATCTGCCCTTCCTGTAGGGTTGAACTGAGAGGTTGCCATATCTTCAACTCCAAGCATTGGAGCTGACAAATACGTCCAGAAGTTGAGCTCATCGGGTGCGACCGCTACATCTGAGAGATCGAAGAGTGGCCAAGTATCTTCCGTCATCATAGATGATATGTTGCTCTGGCCTTGTGTGTCTCCAAATAACGACTGTTGTTGAGGGTTTGTAGATGGTTCGAAAGCTGTCCAATTCTCGCCGAAAGACTGTGTCGCGTACTCACCCGTATCGGTGGATGATTGGGCCTGACTCTCAGTGTTCGTAGCAGCTCCATAGATCTGAGTGATCCTTCTGCTACTTGTGCCTGGGTCTAAATTTCCAGGGCTCGAGTTTTGCATGTTTGTATCACTTCCAACGGGAACCGGGTTTTGTTGCGACACGCCATCAGAATCCTGTCTCCGGAGCTGCTGTATGATGGAGCGCCTTCGATCTCGGCGTGCTTCCTCTGAGTTATGGTGTATCGGTAGCTGTTGGCCTCCTCCTGCTGATCGCATCATGTCCTTCTCGACAAGATCGATTGTAGCATCAGCCAATTTGGATAGTGCTTCACGAGCCCGGGCAATTCTCTCCCACCGTACTCTAAGCTTCTCAAGAATAGTCTTCCACTGAAATAAGCAGCTCTTGAATGAGACCCAGTCATCTTTTGCCTTCATGCGCGCCTGAGTATTCTTCCAGACGATGAACACGAGAGTCACTCCGCTCATGAATTGGAAATGCAGGTCTATCCAGGTGAAGTCCATTAGGCCTTCACTGATACGAAGGAACGAGAGTTGTATGAGATCCTTTGCCGCTTCGTAGCATGACAACGTGTCGGAAGTACATAGGCTTGGACGAGACGGTGATGGTCTGTAGAGGATGAGCAATGCTGTTCGATACCAATAGCCCCACCAGTTGACGTTATGACCATCGGAGTCAGTGAGAGTAAGAGCAACCGAGTTCCACGATTTTAAGCGTCGGTCCATCTCAATCGTCCATTGTGGAAGGTCTGTTCCCTCTTCCTCCTGAGTGGCTTTACCTCTTGCTGCGTGGAGCTTGTGTACGATATCGCTTTCAAGTCGCTGCAACTCAAGCCAATGCAGTATTTGTGGCCTTTTACTTGGTAGCAAGGAATGCTTCGGCAGATTAATGTCGACAGTAAATTCATCAAAGGTGAAAGGCCGACCAAGAAGGATATTGAGTGTCCTGTCGAAACTGTATGTGACCCAGAAAAGTCTGCGCTTTGTATCCGCTTGCCCTATTCTCTGAACCTCAGTATCGTTATCGGATGAAGAGATAGCTATTGTGGTCTCGGAGTGATATCCAAGATCAATGCACATGCGCATGCAGAGACCAGATATATACCAGACCGGTGCAGAGGATGAGTCAAGGATAGACAGCAGCAATAGTAGAAGCAGACACTGCACTGACTGTACATTCTTTGTCTGCATAATCAGACTGATATCTGCCATGGCATTAGCAGTGAAGCCTTTCGATAGGGTCGTGCTCTCATTATGGTCATTAGACATGAACATGAGAGAAATGGCAAGAACCATGTTGAGCATGAATCGGGTCCAGACGTCTTCGGTTGCCAAACGAGCTTGGCCTTCTCTGTCGTTCAGGCTATCATAGAGTTCTGTGACAGCCTTGGTAAATTCTTGCTGGTTGAGGATGGGATACTGGACTTGATATTGGCTAAAGAATGTGTCGATGAGACTATTCGCTGTCTCTCGTGATGGCAGGGCAATTCTGCTACTACTGCTAGCCGAGTCCTTTGGTCCTACTCGAGCTTCTGTTGCCTCGGATGGAGATTCGAAGTTGGGATAGTTCTGCTGAGCGGACTCAAGAACTGATCGAACCAAGTACATTCCTATACTCGTTTCAGCTCAAGTAGCTGTTGTTAATTCTGTATCCATACCACTTGAAGCTCCGATGAAATGAGCATGCCCCTCATCACCCACGCGAATCAAGTCTTGGGCAGGCTCGTCATCGGAGCGCAATGTCGATGTAGGTGGCGACACCTCGATTGTCGCATCATCAACCTCTCGAAGCTGAGCTTCCAGGCGCATGAGTTGAGCTTCCAGGTCATGGATGTAGCTTCGAGGATGCACATCACCCGAGCGGCCATCTGTGTAGTCACATATCGAGCCTGAGTTTTGACATGGTTGGCATGCAGGAATCTCTGTTTCAATATCAGTGGAATGGATCGGCGGAAGACGATTGGTAGAAGCAGCTCACGTGTATCACAACGCGCTTTGCGTTTGCGACAACGGTTACACGCGTTTATCGTCTATCCCATTGTCAGTGACACAAACGTATATGGAGAGTACCCATGAGTAAGTAGCTTACGAAATACGGCGGATCCATCGTCCGCCAGACATGCCATCATCCTACATAGAATTGGTATCTGACGCGACTGCTTCCCTGCAATGTCTCGTCTGGGTCACGATCAAGGTCGGAGCCGATCGCTTTGAGTAAAAGTGCGGAGTAAAGTTGGCATGGAATTTATTCCGCCCCCTCTCACGAAGCTGATCCTTTCTCCACAAAACTCCTCGCGTCAATCGTGCATACCCTAGACTGATTTTTTTAAACCCTACAAGTTCTATTGTCAGTAAACCGCTGAACTTGGCCTCGACGACGATGCATACTATTGAACTTTAGGAGCAATTGCTAATAGGGTGTTGAGAGAGACTATGGCTTAAATATGGCTGGCATACTAAATGCAGGAACCGTACATACATGCGTAAAAGACCACAAAGGTTGGCAAAAACTAGGGTCCGGTATCAAGGTGTTGCACTTAGTTGTTTGGTCAAACATACTGAGGCAAAGAACACAGCATATATTAGATTCATAATGTTCCAAGCTTTCTTCCTTGCTTAACATCATGTAATCGCGTTTGTCACACCAATGATCTCCTACGGCAAATTCAATCTTTCAGCGCTGGTTGCGTGCGACTGTGAAATCACTGTCTCGGTTGAAATTAATGAGAGACAAGCAAACCTCGGGACAAAACCTCCGCTGATTGATATCATGACATGGACGAATTTGGAGACGATGACTGCCAGAAAGGTAATATAAATAACGATGCATGGGAAATGTAGAGACAATGTCTGGAGAATACGGAAAACTCATTTCTCCGTTTCGTCACAAGTTTAAGGACTTTCAGTCATAACATAACAGCTTCTCTCACTGACAGCTATAGGCCATACGGCTAGGGAAATACATAGTAGTCCGCTAATGCGGATGGGGAAAACCTTCGGGCAAAAACCCCTTTGTCATATGTCAAAACCTCGCCACTGATACCCCTGTCACTCTCCATAGATTGTCAACTGGATTCCGTCATAATACCAGGTCCTATCTCAACCAAACCATCTACTGGCAATGCTGGTAGCAAGACCCATCCGGCGCGCAGCAGTCACAGTAATCCACATCGTCTCCGGAAGCACAGCCAGCAAGACATAGCCAGCAAGCCGTAGAGAGTTTACTCTCGCCTAATCCTTTGACCTGCCCGACAGTTTTCCTGGCGAAAAGGTGGTTTCCCGAATCACCGCTATCAGCGTTCGGCAACGCGGCAGCCGCGGCGACAAGGCCGGCGACAGTAAAGATAGTGAAGACTGTATAGGAATCAGCATGTGGATCTATATTTTTCAAGTAGAACGCGCGTTACGAACACTTCATTTTCGTTGAAATCGGAGTGATCTAGTAAGGTGTAGTGGGTTTTGCAGTAAGACTTAAATTGTTGGTTGTTTGTGATGGAGGTATGATGTTTTGAACACCAACACAATCACTCGTACTTTATATGTTTTGCCCATGTACTATGGTTTGATACTTGATACGTGAAGGAAGCCAAGCGTCATGCTGGCAGTTGCTCTGATTTCTTTTACCGAGGCAAAAGATCAGTTCCAGAACTCGGAAAAACAAACATACATTCCATGCGAGTATGAACCATGCTTGGACGTCCCGCCTTGAACTTTATCTGAGACTGCGGGCGGACGACACTGCCCCTGGTTCAAAGTAGTTATTACTCCACCGATTTCCGTCTGTCCCGAGCTTGATAGACAAGTTAAATTCTCTCATATGATTGAAAAGATGGACCAGCCTTCAGAGCCAGTTTTCCCAAAAGTCGGGCGTTTTCTCCACCGTGTTGAATTGGCTCACATGGTATTGGCTGGTGTATAGAATATTGCGAATAGGTCATATTTATATACAACTGCCAGGTTCCTTTGGCTATGAACTAGTAGCACTACTTACTGTTCTTAATTTTAAGAGATAGAAATATAGACCCTCAGTGTGAGAAGAGGACAAGGACTGACCAATATCAAAGAGATCCTCTTTCTTCGAAAATTATATTCAGGGATGTCTGGTCATAGCGCTGGGAAATCAATACCCAATGGAAAGAGAGGTTTCGTGCTACAGTGTTAGTGTTTTCGCAGTGATGCGGGTGAACTCCGTGCTTGTTGAATACAGTATACCATATTCCATACAAAGGCCGAGCTTGCCGGCCGTCTTCTTGATGGGCAGAGGTCGGGCAGTAGCTTGCACTTTGTTAATATGTTTTACTTTTTGCTTTTGTGTACCGTTAGAGTTTCATAGCCGCAGACAGTAGCCGACTTCCGAGCGCAGCGGTGCGGACCGGCGACAATTAAGCTTTTCAAACTCTGACACCGACTTATCACAGCGTTTAGCAGCCAATGAAAGCCTTTGAGCAGAGAATAATAGGCAACGAGTATCATTTGATCCCGGATAGGGGAAAAGCTTGAAGCGCGTTACGGGTAGTATGCTTTGTCCTTATGGTGCTGATATAGTTCGAGGACATGCAGTAGATGAGACAGTTGGGCGGTGACGTTCAATACCCCCTTGAATCCCTATCCATTCCTGCCGAAAGCATTTGTAGTTGTATAGAAGGTTCGATTGTATCGTGGAGAGATCACATGGAGTTCTGGCTGGGGACTACGAAAGTATTTCCCTTGAGATATCGGCCAGTTGACTGATGCGGAACGTAGAAGGATTTGGTGTTGGTCGGTATTTTCTTGCGGTAATTATGGGGTGAGGCGAACTAGACCATATGAAGTTGATAAGGCACTCACGCCAATTCCGTCGATATGCAGAGCCTGATATGAGGACGAGGTATGCAGGCATACTGTCGTCGTCAGGTCGGCCCATGTCACGGCGGAGACCCTTGATGCTTGATGCCTGAGCCGAGGTAGTTACATATTTGCCGTCGACAACTTTGAACGCCCATGTAACGTAACACTTCTTTACCGCGGTCGCATTTTAAACAACATCTGCGCTCTGAACACCAATGTCAGTGGTCGGCAAAGGAAATGAGCAAGGACACATGGAAGGCGAGAGCTGTTGTTGAAGTATATATGACCAAGACATGGTATTAAAAATAAAAGCTTGGAGTATTTAACTATGTAGACATTGAAATAATCCTCATTGTTCACATGGAATAGTTCTCAAATATTCAAAGGTTCGTTCCGAATGCATGAGTCCGAAGCTGTTCATTGAAGCTGTGTCCTCGACACGACCCGAATCACACAGACTTATCCCGAACCTCAACCCGTTCCTCCTCAGCTCCAAGCATCTGCTTAGGCGTAGCATCCTCCTCAGAGTGCACATTGAGCGATCCAAAGTGCGAATCCAGTTCCTCCAGAGTCTTGCCCTTGGTCTCGGGATAGCAAGCATAGACCAGAATGGCAGCAAAGACGTTGAAGGCCATGAAGATGAAGTAGACTCGAGGTCCAATGCGGGAAACAGCAACAGGCCAGACTTGACCGACGATGATCGAACCGAGGGATGAGCCGGAGGAGGAGATGGCGAGACCCTTGGAACGGCAGTTGGCGGGAAAGATCTCGGAGGCGTAGATCCAGGCGCAGGGTCCGAAGCCCATACTGTCTGTGCAGTTTTTAGCGTGTTGCTTGCTTCGTGGGTGACGTGGTGACTTACATCCAACGGTAAAAAAGAAGATAAAGAAGATGTTGACGTAGTTGGCGCTTTGGTTGTTCTGTCCGGGATAGGCAGTCTGTAGAGCGCCATTGATCTGAATTGTGTTAGTAGCTGTATATCAGATCTTTTGCAGCAACTCACCATCAAGCAAAAGGCCATGATGATAGCACCAATACCAAGTGAATGTCTTCGACCAAGCTTATCAATGAAGAACATAGCGGCAACAGTGCAAACCACCTGCACAGTTCCATCGATACCAGAAGCAAGCAAGCTCAATTCCTCAGAGGTACCAGCGGCGATAAAGTTGGTGGGGAGATAGTATCGAATACCAGCAGCACCACTCATCTGCTGAAGGAAAGCAAGAGACCAGGCGCGCCAGAGTCGAGACCAGAGTGGCTTCTGTTGGATGAAGACACGGGCTGACGTGATGGAGTTTTCTTGATGCCAGAGAATGTTGGCGCGGATCTCGTCGAGTTCGGGCTGGATTTCGGTGGCGGAAAGACCGCGAAGTTTGCACAGAGATTCGCTTGCGGCTTCGATTTGGTCTGATTCGACGAGCCATCGGGGGCTGATGAAGAGTTAGCGATGAGTGTAAAGGAGAAATATGATAGACATACCTTTCGGGAATGAAGGGGACACCGCTGAGGAAGAGAAGAGCAGGAACAAATTGCATGGCAGTTGAGAGGCGCCATTCGAGGTCAATACCATTGCCATAGTCCCAGAACGAGTAGCCATAGCCAACCCAGAAAGCCATAGAGATACTGCGCCAATTAGCAAGCCACGCCCTAGACCTTGGACTGTCTACTTACCCAGAGACAATACCGACTTGATTAGCAGCAACATAAAGACCACGATGCTTGGCTGGCGAAATCTCGCTGAGATAAAGCGGGACAGCGGTGGAAACAACACCTGTGCCGACACCAGCGATGATTCGCCCAACAACCATCATAGCCAAGTGAACAGCACCAGTTTGGATCGCGGCTCCGACGCAAAGAAGGCAGACACCACCGAAACCAGCCCATCGTCGACCGTACTTGTTGTTGATAGGACCTGCGATGAGGGCGAAAGAGGCGAATTGACCAGCGGCAAAGATAGCTGTGATGAGACCCTTTTCGCTAGATGAAGGATGGTCGAGGGCTTTGTTGAAGCCGGGGGAGACATAGATGGTGCTCAGAATGCCGATATCATATCTACAAACCGTAAGCCTGTGGTCAATGCATGTTATGAAGTCTCGACTTACCCCCAGAAGATAGAACCCATAGAAATGACGAAGATACTAAAGAAGAGCCAGCCGCTCATCTTGCCCTGCGCGGGCACTGCTCCCAACTCGGTAGCCATCTTGATAGCAAACAGTTCGAGATAATAATTGAACAAGTTATGAGAACTCAAGTGTTTATACTGTTGAGTTCCCCGCAAGAAAGTCTGGGGAAAGCATACTTTTTAATCCTTTATCAAATGGCTCGAAATCTGGGGTAGCGAAGTCGGTTCTGGGATTGAAACAGGGATCCATGGTATGATTCCGCGTTGCGGGGTGCGCTAAAGCTAGAGACGGAGCCTCCGCTTGTTTCTCCTCACTCACGACGGTGGTTCCGTCTGTGCTGTTTGGTTAAGCTATTCCGTTTTATGATAAGTTCTAAAGTTTGGGTCATTATGGACTGACTATTAGATGCAGGTTTGAGTCTGGATTAATCTAACGATTTACGAAAAATATTGATCCAATTCCCTGCCATGAGCGTTAACGGCACCAACGAGGATTCCCCGTCACTCGGCGAACTTAAGCATATCTCGTCGACTCGCTTAACTCCCAGCCTCAGCATTCATACATTCTCTATCCTTACAAACCATGAGTTCAGTCGGAGCTTCCGTCCAAGTCAACACCTGACACTTCAATTCCCGCCTGGTCTAGATCCTGTGGCGGGACCCCAGAATTTATCAGACCAAGAGAGATGTCTTTCTTTCACACCTTTCCATTTGCAGTATGCGGAGGATGGGAGCATTGAGACCATCTCTCTGATGGCGCGCAATGGGCGCGTTACCGGGTTGTTGGGACTTCCAAGACCGCTTGGACCGTTGATCGCTAAGATTGTTGAAGTCGGTGGTGGGTTCCCTTCTGCGATACTACAACAAACCGGCCAAGCATTGTGCATTGCTGGCGGCACCGGTATAGCCCCATTTATTGCTATGGCGGCGGCCAAAAACTTCAGTAGCAGTGCCAATGACCTGAAGCCTAGTCTCATTTGCAGCATTCGTGGGGATGACTTTGGAGTTATCGAGTATCTCTGGAACCACGAGATGCTTTACCCGCGAGATTGGAATTTGGTTCGCATTTTCGTGACGCCTGGAGAAGAAAGCAGCGGGCTGGCTGCTGGTAAACCACAGAGCTGGTGGAACCAGCGCTTCGAGGACCTCGTACATGACCATAGCGACAGTGATGTCTTCCGCCTCGGGAGGATGGAGAAGGAAGACTTGGAGGGCTTTAGTGGGGATACATATGGCCCAGTGCTATTTTGTGGCAGTAAGCAATTGGAATGGCAAGTGAAAATGTGGTTCCTCGGAAAGAAAGATATCTATTGCACGGAGAGATAGCGAATAGTTTCCATAATTTTCATTGCCTCAGTTGTTGAGTATCCCATGCCATTATCTTGGGGCCTGGTGATATCATCTCTTCTTCTAAGACATATACCAGCCGTGAATACAGTACTCTGAGTGTCTCAGTGCAGTTGAAGTTACTAAGCTAAGTTCTATGTGGTGATTATAAGCTCTCAACCACAGATCTCAACTGCAAATAACACATCTGTGCAGTTGAACATTCGCTAAGTGTTTCGAAGCCACAAAATCAGCCTATTATAAATACATTGTAAATGGAAACTACTGACTTGCTGCATTTCGACAACGGGGAAATCAGAAGATATTTGCAAGTATAACACTAATGTAGAAGCGATGTGTATATCTATTCGTAAACTCGTACTTCGAAAACACCACCAAAGGCATTCTCATCACCATTCAACTCCAAAACCTCGACACCAAGCTCCGTCACCGTTCTGCTAGACTCAAGAACAACCTCCCGGCGCGACAGGTGATTCTCATCCTCAACATACAGCTCCCTCTCTTCATCAGAGAGTTCCAACAGACGCCACTTCTTGACACAAAATGGGATAGTCCTTTCTGGGTGACCTCTCAACACCGACTCAAGAGCGTGATCATAGTCTGTATCAAAATGAACAACAACCTTGTTCACCTTGACGGGTGTATCCCAACGAATCTTGAGCATCTTCCTACCAGAGGAGTCGGCACGAGGAACCCAGCAGTTGGTTCTCTTGGTCGGGCGGGGAACGCCATTGCGGACGTTCTCAACTCCCCAAGCCTTCAAGGGTGGATCCAGCGTCAACGCGAGGTTGTGACCCATTGGCCTTCGAACCGGTGTCCAACGCTCAAACTCATCGACACCAACATCACTTGGCGGACTCTGAGTGCATTCGTGCTCAACAGTCATGAGGGCTGATACGCGTGTCTTGGTGGTGCAGAGTGCCACCGACTCATTCTGGAGAAAAGAGAGAAAGACATATTGAGTCTGGGGATTCTCAACCTTGAAGTCGATGACGAGGTCATTCTGACCTGGGACAAGAGGGAACTTGGTCTCAGCCAGAATGACCTCGGGAGTGTAGTTGTACGGCTTCTCAGAACCTCGGAGCTGGACTGTCAATACGGCGTTTTCAACTGACATAGCCGTTATGGAAAAGGTAGGAACAATTCCCTGTGAGATGGGAAGCATCTGTGCAAGACTTCGAACCAAGACCTTTGGTGGTCCATCGGGTGGTAGTTGCGATAGCTCAAATGAGGACCCCTCAATCCTGGAGGCTGAGCGAACGAGATCTTCAGGGTCGTTGAGCTTGTACCCAGGAATGAACTGACCAAACCGCATGAGCTCGCGCTGGAAGTTCTTCATGTTGTTCTTGACAAGTAATTCCATGGGGTCGACACACTGCTTCTTACAAAGCGATGCAGCGATGCCCAAAGCATTGGCATTGGCTCCGCATGTGGCCATGACACGAGTAGATGCAAAGGCGACGTGGGATGCTGACATGATGCGGCCTCCGTACATGAGATTAGGAATCTCTGAGCAGACCATGGAGGAGAATGGTATTTGGTAGACACCTGTAACTGTCAGTAAAAGTAAGACCTAGTCAAATGATGAACTTACCCTTTGAGTGCCACTGAGTACAGCCGTCGACTTCGGAGAAGACACCATCAGCCGGATGAAGATCAAGAGACCAGCCTCCAAAAGACACAGCATCATTGTGATAACGCTGCTCAACAATATCCTGCTGCACCATAATGGTAGGACCAACTGTAACAGTTAGCTCTGCTCTCACATATTCTATGAGGGGACTCACCGAACCGTCTGCTCTCCCTCTTCCCCGGAATAGTACCAACCCACTCGAGCGTCAAGTTCTCCGCCTCAGGAAACCTCCCCGAATTCTTGAAATAATCCCAAACTCCATAAACGACCTTCCAAAGCTCCCACTTGATCTGCTCAGTATCATGAATAGTATCAAGTCTACCGCCATACTCAATCCACCAAAGATTGCAACCCATCTCTTTAGTGCTGAAACTCTTGAAGCGAGGAATTTCTCCTTCCACGTCTTTCAGAGCGTAGGCCGGTGCCACGTACTTGACGGGCTTGCCGGTGTCTTTGGTGTAGAAGTAGATTGAGTGGCCGAGAAGATGGCCGTACTCGGAGGATGGGGCGAAGAGTTCGTTGAATTCATCACGTTTTTCAGCGCCGATTCTGAAGGGAGCGCCGGCGAGGAAGGAGAGTGTGCCGTCGCCGGTGCAGTCAATGAATTGTTGAGATTGGATGGTGAATTTGAGGGAAGATTGAGAGTTGAAAGCACTGACGGAGCTGATTCGATCACCATCCTTGTCGCACCCAACAAGAGCTGTGTTGAGAAACAATTGAATATTCGGCTCCAATCTTACTTTCTCCAAAAGAATGGTATCAAGAATCAAAGGGTTACCCTCAGGATTTCGATACAGATTCTCGAGTAAAATCTCATCAACAAGACCACCCTCTCTCGCATAGCGGTTATTGTTAAACATGTGCGACGTAGCTCCAAGAATCCATAGCCTAACCTCACTAGAAGCATTGCCTCCAAGAACAGGACGGTCTTGGATGAGAATTACTGATACCCCATTTCTTGCTGCTGCGATGGCAGCGATAGTACCAGCTAGGCCTCCGCCGCAGACACAGAGATCTGAGTTCAGGGTACGGTGCTGAAAGTCGCGGCTATGAGTTGCTGGCTCACGACGCAGGACCGGGTCGTGAGATATCCTTGCAGGGGCCATGGTAGCGGTTGGTCTGAATGCTAACCTTGTGGGCAATAGGCAAATCGAAATCGTGTAATTTGTGTTCAAGTCAAGCTAGGATGACGAGGATGAGTAGAGTACATGCTATGAAAGAGTCTCTTTTATTACTCGCATTCCCAAAGCCTGATGATCACCCCGATGCAATAAGTCGTTAGCCAATCTTACGATCCATATCAACGGAACCGCCGTTAGCCCATTGACTTGCCACTAACACCTTTGCGGTGGTTCCGTCGGATATTCCACTTTTCCCCCGCAGCGTACCCCGGACACTCACATCGGCAAGAAGAAGCCGTCTCCGCTCGGTTATTCAATGTTCAGCTTCAGCTAAAGCCATTCGATTGAGAAATCATCCCTCATGATATCTCTATGAGCCCAATTGAGCATTTTTTGGTGGCATTGGCTCTTCATCCCTGAATAGTGTTAGGCGAAGGCCGATGGTTTGGCATCCAATAGCGTGCAGAGCCCCAAGCTATCGCCCTTTACAGCCATGAGCGATGCTGGAGAACATGTCCGAGGAAGACCCTTGAGGAACGTCACCTTGCGAGTATCGCAAATCTTCTCAGCATGTACTTTCTGTAAAGCTCGGAAGATCAAGGTTCGTGCATATTGATGCCCTCAGACCAATACTCATTCTTCCCAGTGCAATGGAGCAACTCCAGCTTGCGGTGGATGTGTCAAATTCGGACGCCAAGCAACATGTTCCCTCTCAACAGAGTCTCTAAATCGTGGGCGCGATTATCCGACTTACCTTCGACAAAAGATTGAAGCTGCGCAGCAACGTCTCAGCCAACACAACGCTAGACAAAACAATTTCACTTCGCCGTCAGATACTGAGCGGTCCAACCGAAATGAATCGGTAGAAACCCATCAACGATCTATCATCGACTCTCTCATAGCAGATATCGGAGCACTCCCCATTATAGCATGTTCGTATCCATCGGCTGCAGAGGGGCCAACACTATCTTCACTTGTGCTGGCGACTGCAAGCACGAATCAACTCTCATCAGCCTTGCGGTTAACTCAAGCTAATGATGCCGCTCCATGTCTACCCAAGGAGTCAACCGCCTTGAGTCTTGCGAAACATTACTTTGACCAAGTCTATCCTCGTATTCCCTTCTTCTCTATCCAGGGCTTCTGGGTGCAATTCGAGCATGTCTTCTCTGGCGTTGATCCTCCTCGCGAGCGCGGACAAGATGACCCACCACAAGATCCAGCGAGTGTTCTAACACCGAGTCAAGATGATCTTGATCGCTCTTCGATAAGTCATGGGTATAGCTACTTCACAGTTCTGCTGGTGCTGGCTATATCAGCTTCCAGTCTATCACGAAGCGCCGACAGCGTGATATCAACGCAAGCTCAACGACTCTTCCGCACAGCGTTAACATTTCGTGAGTCAGCAATTCTACCAAACACTATCGTTGGCGTCCAGTCAATATTATTTTTGATCCAATTCGCCACTCTCAACCCTTCATTACTCGACGCCTGGTATCTTATCGGTGTCGGCATGCGCATGTGCGTTGATCTTGGGCTGCATCAAGATCCGCAGCCTCTCGATTCAGTCGCGACAAGTCTCTTGGAAACACGACGCCGTCTATGGTGGAGTATGTACTCTTTCGACCGGTCCATGAGTTTGGGCTGCGGACGGCCCACCGAGATATCTGACTCAGCTATAAACGTATCCCTGCCTACCTTCAGAATCGAGACTTCAGCCACAGCTGTCGAGGTCCACGGGTATCTGCAGCGATACCGCGCGCTCCAAATACAGTCTGAGATATACAATCGCCTTAATAAGTCTCCAAGCTCTGAAACAGGCGACGCACGAATAGTCCATGAACAACTTTGCAACAAGTTGGGCGATTGGAAAGACTCAAGCTCACAGCTACCGAATAAGACCCTCATCGAAAGTGAATGGTTGATGGGTCGTATGTTGTTGTTGAGGCCCTGCAGACTCTTACCTCAACGAACGCATGACGAGCTTGGTGAACTGTGGCAAGCAGCTGTTGGATTCATCGCGATATATCGCCGGTTAGTGGAGTCTAACTCAATCTTTTACGTGCAGATCGCCTGCGAGAAAGTATACTGGACCGGGCTTATGGCGTTCTACAGCTACTGGCAGCTCCGTACCAGCACCAACAGAGATGTCGCTGCCATGCGGCGGCGGGATGTTTGGATGGTGGTCAAAGATGTCATGCTCATCCTTCGAGCGTTGAGTGAGCGATGGGAACAGGGGAAATTGCTATGTGGACGGTTCGATGATGTGAGCACCCGTGTCCTGGAGCTTTCTGAAACAGATATGGGAGATAACATGGCGATCGAATTGCCTGTCGAGTTGGAGAATTTAGAGCAGTATACAAGCTTGACCGTCGTTTGGGCTTCGGGAGACAAAGAATGGGATCGGAGGGATGAACATGCGCTGGACACAAACGAGCTTCGACATCTAGTATCCGAGATGTTATAGTTGGAGGGAAATTAAAATTCATTCATGGTCTCTACATGGTCGAGCGTGGTGACGTTTGCATGCGGCTGAATCTCTGCAGGATGGAACTCTGCTGCCTATTTATGTGGAGTATTAGATCTTGGCACCCCATCAAATAAATCATAACTACTACTCTTGTGGCTACTCATTCTTTCGAGGCGACTAAGTTCCTCATTCATCATGTTCCTCAAAAGAAAGTCAAGGAAGCAAAGAATTACAGACTTTTACAAGTCGTCTGAAGATGCCTCTCCCTTATATACTGCTATCTGCAACGATGATCGTCACAAAGTTCAAGATCTAATCACGTCCTCTCCAACTCTACTACAAGATGACGATGGATACGGTACGCCACTTCATATCGCTATTTTCTGCGATAGCCTTGAGGCAGTGGCCCTACTTCTAGACGCTGGTGCCGATCCCTTGGCTCCTTCAAGCGGTACAGATGATCGAGCTAATGCGCTTACGATTGCTGGGAGGGAGGGCAAACAACCTTTTTTATACCAGCTCTTGAAACGCGTCAAACCAACCCAGAATTCTCACATCTACAAGGACCTTCAGTACTGTTTCCTCGAGTCTGCAGCTTGGGGTCAAGTTGCCAGTGTCGCTAATCTTATGGATTGGTGGGACGGCTGGACTCTAGAGACAAAGGAACGAGCCCTCAATAGTGCTGCTCAGCGCTGGAAAATTTACGTTGCAGAATTTCTCATCTCAAAGGTCAAGTTTGAACAAAAGGCCTTGGATAGCGCACTTTCATATGCGATAGATTACAAAGTCTATATGAACTCTACCAATGAGTACCGTATCGATTACGAAGGTGTCGATTACTTCGAGCAGCAGCAGCTAATCAAGCTTCTCCTCCACGCTGGAGCTAACCCCAACGCCAAGCACTTTGGGATCCCTCTTGTTATCTACGCTGCTCAGAACATAAACTTGATTGGTGCTCTGAACGTCCTCCTAGAAAATGGGGCCGATCCCAATACGACAGACAACAAGGGAAGAACGGCTTTGCATCATCTCGGCGGCGCACAATCCCTTCGTCAAGGAGCCTTCGCACGTCGCGTTCATGAGGCGGGGATCCGACTCCTTCTCGGCCACAAAGCTTCCGTCCTTCAGAAAGACGAGTCTGGTGCTATGCCTATTCATGAGGCAGCATATGGAACGAATTTGAGGCTTCTTTTGCTGCAGTTGTTCACTCTTCCCAACGAGGCGGATCGATATGGCGCTATCCGATCTACTAACAAATATGGTACAACTCTTTTGCATTACGCAGCTGCTGGCGCTAAGCTCGATGTTATCGAGTATCTTGTTTCTCAAGGTCTCGACATCAATCAAGCCAACGCCAACGGCTGGACACCATTGATGTGTGCTTTGGTTCCAACATCATCTGGCTTCTCTGAAGATGGTAAATCAAAAAGCATTTCCGAAGCTATCCAAGCTGGTCAAATTCTACTCGATCACGGAGCTGACCCGCTGGTAACAACCGCCGAGGGGTGGACACCACTGCATGCGCTCTCACTCTTTATTACTCGAGACGTGAGCAGAAAGGTCTCAGCTGCAATCGCCGAGCTTATCTCAAGAGGCGTCGACCCTAACGCCTGTGCGATCTTCCCAACTGCGACTGGTCGCAGCCATCCTGCCCCGCCTGGTTCTTACTGGGGATACAAGCTCAATCAAATGATACAAGAGCCTGATAAGTACGGCATAGCACTGGTGAGACAAGGTTATACACCACTTCATTTTGCAGCCGCAAAAGGATCGGTAGGTATGGCGAAGGCTTTGTTGGCGAATGGAGCTGACCCATCATGTCGAGACGCAACGGGGAACTCGGCTGCCAAGATAGCTAAGTATACGTGGTATCTTGAGGGCCTAGCGGAGACGCGTGATGTGATGCTAAAGTTGCTGAAAGATGCTGTTGACTCTATGGATTGATCAGTCGTCCACAGATGAGTATTGTTCACTCCACAAAAACAGAGTGGGTATGAAGGCAACAGTTTTGCTCGGCTCATATCTTTCCAACTAGGTAAGATATCCCAAAGTAAACTTACTTTTGGCATGCAAGTATTTTCTTTCTCATTACTTGGGCCTGAACACAAGAAACATACGCCAGAATTGAACGGAGTGAAGCACAGAGTGATTCACAACTTCTCAATGACCAGCTCGAGCTATAGGGCCAGTATAGTATGACGAGAGATCCCAAGCTGATGTCCCATACCGTTCAGCAGCATTGGATAGTTTCGGCCAATCGTAGGTTATCATATTTGTAATCTCACTCTTCTACCTCAACTAGCAGTGCCAACTAGTGGAAGATCCAGTTTGGGTTTTTCTCCAAGTCTTCCTATATCTATCGGCACCATTTATCACATTGGCTATTATACGAGGTTGCAATTTTGACAAGGTTGGTCATATCATGAGTCCTGTTGAAGCCGGCATTTACAGGCCCCTCGCTTTTGTGGGTTTATCATACATGAGAGGAAGGCTGTAAAAGAGGCCTTGGGTAAGCCTCTACCTGTTGGTGGCTACCGCTGGCAAATTCAACAATTGAAAACGTAGTAAAATGCAACCTGTTGGTATCTATTATCTTTATATGTCAAGCACGTACAGAAAGAACCCATCTTATCCTTCGAACTAGAGTAAAGTAGATCCCGCTCTCGATACATTATGGAACTAAATTGAACGAGTAACCAAGACATCAAAGTTCAGTCCTAATCAAAGGTATTACAGAAGAAAAACCATACCCAAAAAGGTCAGAAGAATAGGAACCACCACATCAAGTCCGTGGCCCGTTCCACCTGCAACTACTATTGGCACTGCTGGCCCTTGGCTTGGTGTGCTGGCTGCATTGGAGGTGGATGGTGAAGGAAGTCTCTCAATGCCCGTTGAGTGAGCAGGAGGATTCTTCATGCAAAGGTCTCGGGGTGTTCTTGGTACCCATCGTGGTCGTTTTCTCCTACTCGAACATGATGGAGCTGATGCTTGCTTGCCAGCTTGATAAGTATATCAGTCAGATCCTCGATACTGATTAGAACGTAGAGAATGAGTTCAGATGACGATAGATCATTGGAGACATCTAGTTTCGATGGAAATTCTTTCGACAGATGGACCAGCCTGATAAAAGAGACTCAGGTTCTCTCGACAGTCACAAGCCAAACGGCATTAGTGGGGAGCGTTGATACTCCGCCCCCGGCTAACCAGAATCTCAGCCTCAGTAGCCTCTTGAGCAATCCTCGGCAAGTCATCAACTGGCGTGAAGGCTTCAATATTGCAAGCCCAGTATTTGCTTCGACAGAAGACGCTACGTCCATGACCTTGGTTGTCTTCATGGACAGTCGAAACCAGCCCTACCAGTCGTGTCTCGGTAGTAGCTTGACCAGAACAAACATCTCAGTCAAGGCTCATCATAAGGTTGCTCTTGCGGCTAGAGAAACTATCACTTTACAACTGAATGGTATCATGTGGTGTGACGATGCGTCCGATGCCAGTATCAACTACGCTCAATTCTAGAATGGTGATTCATAGAATGGTACCTTGGTCGTATCGCGAACAAATCGATTGCATCGACGGTTGAGAATGGATCTATGTTCCAACAGTTTACTACTCCTAACATTCTTTAAATGCAGTATCCTTCTTATCAGCTGAGTTCAATTTATCATAATTTCGGCATACGATCCTCCATCTCCTTCTACATATAAGCCTGCGGAAAACAGAAGGGAAATAACTCAAACGTTGAATTGATTTTGTCAAAAATACGACGTTTTGGTTTCATATTTGATGGCCGAGAATAGGAATTGCGGATCTTTATGGCATCGGGCCATTTCTCAATATATATCTCACATGAGATCTTAGTAGTAGCAATTACACAAGCTCAACCGCTTTGTTGTCCTGGGCATTGGCCCAGTAGTCTTCAAATGGAAGGCAAAGAACTCCAATTCTCTTATACTCGTCGAATGCTCCAACTCGTCCAGTGGGCTGTAAGATCAGTGCAGCCCCAATTACCCTCTTTTCTGCGGGAGTCCACATTGACGGGAGGAGTTTTGCTACCAAGATACAGGTATAGCTCTTGTTAATGAGTCCCAAGAAATTCGTATAATCCAAATATGCGATGCGATCCTCGGGTCTTCGGATACCCAAAGTAGCTTCACTCTTAATTGTATTACCCTCCTTATCGTACACGTCGGGACCGAAAACGAACTCCAAGTTCAGATCGTAAAGGTTGAATGACTTGACAGGGCCGCGAATAGTGACACTCCCCTCAAGTAATTGGCCTGATGTCTGAGGCCCGTTTGTCCTAATCGACCACGACTTCACTTGAAGCGTTATATACTGATCTTTGTAGTAGGTCATGATCGGGAGAAATACGATCGGATGAATAGGAGAGGCCCAACACCATGAGGGTCGATTTGTGCCACGCGATGGGTCAGCTTCAGGCTCCTGTCCTCCCCAGCCTATCCAAAGCAGCCCTTGGGGGATAGATGATTCCCACATTCCCGCTATATAATCTTGTGGAAAGCGACTTTGGATTCTCTTGGCGATACCGGACAGCGCTGGGAGCTTGTCTCTATAAAAAGAGAAGTTTGTTCCTGAATAAGACTCCACGAATTGATACCATAGTGTCATAAGTTCGCCTTGCTGCTGGTTTTCCAAGTTCTGAAAAACAGAAATGAATTCTTCGTTTCTGTAACCGTAAACCTTGGGGTCTGAGCTATTGGGACTTGCCTCCGTAGTTTTAAGTTCACGACATTCCCACAGCAAACAGCTGGCGCCAAAATGGAGTATTCTTTTCGACAAGACTCGCTCTTGTATAGCCCATCCTCTGGTAAGAAGGGGAGCATCCTGGATACTTAGCTCCCATAAAGGGGACGGTGGCTGAACTGCAACATATGTAGTGCCACCAGACATCTTATTGATTTTGAGCGTTACTGTTTTCGGAGCGAAGCATAGCGCAGGCCTGTCAAGAAATAGTCCTTGTTGGGATGATATTGCGCCGCTTGCTGCAATCGTCAAGGTGGCGTTTTCGTAGTATTGCCCGAATCTGGCAGCTTCGTAAGACCAATCATCTTTGTGCTGTTTGTCTTCTGGTCCTTCGCTCTGTAATATGCACAGAGCATCCACCCATAAATAGCGAAATCCCAACTTTCTTGTGAATATGATGGCATCTTGTACGGTCTTCGCTAGCTCATCCCATGGCAGGCATTCTATCATTTCCTCCAGGTTGGACGCGGTTGTTTTGGCAAAATTGTGACCAGAACCCCATGCATAGCTCAAAGCAAGATATTCCGTTTCAGATGAGGGGCTTGTGATGACTATCTTTGGAGAAAATGATCCATCCTTGGAGCCAACGTCGATGAGTCTTGTCGGTATTGTCTTGGTCAGATGCGGATCCACAAGCTGTATACCGCACTTTTCATGGTTCGCTGAACACTTTTGTAACCAGCTTTTGGCCAACACAATAGCCTTCTCAACACCCTCAGCTGACGATAAATCCGCTATTGATCTAGTGCTACGCGAGTCCCATTCGGCAAGTCCCTTTTCTTTTTCCTCGTGCGTAACGAGTGGTACAAGGTGCCATCTACAGCGGTCTATGTCTTTTCCAATGCCACACGACAACTTCAGCTCCGTTGGATCTTGGTTGCATATTCCTTGTCCGTCGGTTGTATCGTTGCTGTCAAAACGACGGGGAACCTTGTATACCCATAAATGAATGGCTAATGTCGGATTCCAATAACATTTTGGAACTTGGTAAGAAAAGCACTGGTAGGTGATTTGACACAGAGAGCAGCCATTTTGTGCCGATTCTTGAAGTTGGTAAATATTAGGTGCGATTGTACGACGAAAATTCGAGTCTTTTGCATCAATCTCAGCAAAGTCTTTTGCGAACTGCATGCAGGTAGTACACAAAGATTCAGTCATACTGAGCAAGAGATAGTAGGAACAGAGATTTTGTGTTGAGCGATTAGGCTGAAATTTAGACTTGACTGTAAATACCCCTCCAAAGAGTCTAGCCACGTGATGATGGCTGACACGATATGCCCGCGTACTAGCAAATTGAGGGCGAGAGGCTGTGCTGCTAGGCGTACTGACAAAGCACACAACAAAAGTGGCGAGGCGAACTGGAGAAAATAGTCAAGGTTCAATTCCTATATGAATCTTGGCATGCTCAAGGCTGCTTTCTACTTCTAGATCAAGCAAATCTCGAATGGTGACTCGACTCAGGCATTCCAGTGCTCGGTTATAACCTTTCCTATTGAACTTCCGCTCGTGAGCAATAGTTCATGAAGTCGGTGTTCGGTGCGACAGAAACCACTGCTCAGCGAACTTTACTGCCTGGGGTAAGGAGAACAGGTGGCATTCTGCCGCACCAATCCGACCCTTCGTCACACCGTTTTGCTCAGCAAAATCCTTCCCCAGTTCCAAAAAGTCTTCCTCGTTAACACTGACATCTGATACTGTCGCCCATTCTCTAACCCCACCAACCGAAATGGCGAATGAGATATCAGCCTTCGGTGCGTTAACTCTGTACTCTGCAAGATGAAGGCAATTACAGCGATTGAACCCAACGCCAATGAGTAGAACCTTTGCGTTTAGCTCTTCCAATCGAGCCAGGGGACTCTTTTCTCCAAGCATACTATCCAGGTCATGCCCGTCTGTGATGAAATTGGCCTTTGCGCCGATTGCAGCAAACGAAGTGTGAGGGTGCATACTTCTCACTGCACCTGGCCAGATTCTCACTGTCTCAGCCAATACACCCATGTTCTCACTTCGTGTTGTTTTGGGGTCGAACGCAGGTCTGGTTTCACGAATGGTCTGCCACCATTCCTCAGGGACAGGTGGATTAACCCAATTCGACGGATCCGAGTTGCTGCTGGTGTGTGTTGGCACAGCGAGAGTTCCATCGAGTGTAAGTATATCGAAAAGGGCTTGAATTAGAGCCTCAGCTCCGCCATTAATCCATCCTATGCTCTTTAGAGAGCAGTGCACAAGAACTGTGTCCCCTGGTTTTAAGCCGAGATTTTGAAGGTCACTGGTCAGAGAAGGCCTGGTGCATAGAGGCCCGGTAAGCGGTGGGGGCGTCATGATCCTTAGTGACTAGGAGGTTGACGAAGTTGGGAAGTGTTGAGAAAACGCAAGAATAGTTGCGAAGCCAAAAATGGCACCAGCGAAAAACATGGACTGATTGAAGTTAATGGTTGGAGACTAGCTTATATAGATTGCTCACGCTAACCTATTCGCGCTCCCCCGCTCTCTCGAACTTTCAAGACAGGCTGTTCGCCGGCTGAGTCATAAGGTATTAACGCAAAGGATCTAGTTAAGCAGATAGGAAAGGAATTATAATAGCAGTACAGTCACAAAGTAAGCACTTATTACTTTAATGTTAATAAGTATTTTACCCTTAAATATGGAACATCAAGAGGAGTTTAATCTTCTAAATATCAAGATGCCTGAGACTGTAGGCTAGGACTCTCTACTTCAAGGTACTGCGGATCATTAGGCGCAGAACATCATTTGTATTAACACTACTGCTATAGTGCTATATAGATATATACACCCACAGAAAACATCTCCTCTGAAACGCTTAGGACAAGATGAACCATCCAGGGTTTACAAGCTGATCAGCCACGCTGGGATTCATCCATGGCGTCGCCTTCGTTGAAGCTCCAGGCCATTTGTCCCACCACATTGCCCGCCCATCCAGATCAGCCTCACCCTCCAACGCGGTTTGAATGCATTTGACCATCGAAGCATCCCCGTGACAAACGTAGACTCTGTGGTGACTCACAATTCCTGCGAGAAAGAAGCGCAATTCTTCGTTACCCCATGTTTGGCTGACACACCTCACGGGTATACCATTTGAAGATACAGGGAGGCTTGTACATGCCACTGAAGCAGTACATATGGTGGACCAGATGTTTTCTGCTCTCCAAGTTTGGGCCATTGCCTCCTCTGCGAAACTCGGCATAGGATTGGTCCTCAAATGCGTAGCGCTCGCCAAAGCCTCTATAGAGGCCATCCAGTCCATGGGACGAACTCTTCCACTCGGTGGGTGAACAACATTTGTTCTCAAGTGAAGGACCCTACTGACCTGATTCCAATAATGCTTCACCAGAAGTCCCTCTGTGTCCGTGAATGGCTTCAATCCGACGTAGTTCCCCTTGACATCAAATGGGTTGAGATGAGTTGCAGGAAGCTCTTGACTATTCCCATCGCTGTACTCAACTAGAGAATCATCGGCTTGGATTCTGAGAAGGTTGTTGTAGCCTTGGTCCCCTTCTACCGCAGCGTATCTCATGTAGCCTGCACAGATTTCCACAGCAAAGGCACTTCTTTCGAGCGTAGAGATAGACCGTAGCTGCGGAATCCAGGCGACATAGCCATTCATGGCATAAGCCAGATCACTTCGGTGGACAGTCTGTTCAGATGTTAGGTTTGAGTACTCGGCAATATACTCCATGTTGCTGACGCCTGGAACGAGGGAGCCCATGCAGTCACATCGAAGTTGCCCTAGACTGACAGATTCCACAACGTAAGAGACCAGCTTTGCTATTGGTGCCGGAGTATCAGTGCGGCCGCGAAGCCCTTCATGTCGGATGATCCAATGCATCATCGCAGCACCATTATAGGTGATTGATGAAAATGTCCCGACTCGGAAGAAACGCTGTTGAGGAAAGCGCGAGCACACGCAAGTATACAAAGACTCTGCGGCGATATATATGGCGGGTTCCGAAACTTCCCTCCCTATTGTACTATCGGTGACACCTGTCTTGGTATACCACTGGTTGATAATAAACTCGACAATCCAGGAAATGCGATCAATAGGCTTCTGTGTCAGAGGATGGGGAGCTTTGATTTCATCGAGTGGAAGGCCTGGAAATCCCTGCTCTGTCCACTCTTTGATTTGATTGGCCATATCAGCGCCTTCACTTAGCTCACCCTTGTCCCATCCGTAGCAAGTCATGGATTCATCCACCTTAGCAAGATATGATGTCTGACAGAAGGCTTTGAGCTTGACCTCACGAGGGATTTGCCCTTCGACTTTCGGAGAAAGCGTCACCAGTCCCCTTTCCATTGCCACAAGTACTAAGGCGGTCGCGATTTTACCCACCTGGGCTGTTTGCGACTCTGACAGCTGGTACTGGGCTCTGAGAATCTCCTTTGCCGTGCTGGCAGGGGCAAAACTCGGAAAACGCGACAATCGACCTGGGGAGCCTGCGTCTTCCACTAGTAGGGTGGATATGGCTGTTGCCTCGCTCCACTCTTGAACAATCCAAGAGGCCTTCTGAGATGAGCGTTTGGTTGAGAGCTGGATAGATATTTTTGGTGGAATGGTTCGCGAAGGGATAAAAACCTGACCATCAACTACAAGTTGAGCATCGTCTTCTTGAAGCCACAGCAAGGTTGAGCATACAATGACACAGCCAAAGTGACCCGTCAAGGTAACTAGGTCAACGTCCTCTTTTTGCAAAGCGGCATACACCGCTGAATATATGGTGGCTAACTCTTTGGGGGACGGTTGCGCCCAAGCATCTGTCAGCCAGTCCACTCCGGGATTTGAGCGATGCCGAAGGGTATTGACCAGCTTCTTTACAGTGGTGTTGGGTATGATGCTGTCTGTGTAGCCTGATAACGAGGCTACAACCCTGCTCAGCTGGTCTCTAGAGCATCTGAGGTCTGGCTTCCTGTTCAGGCCGCGGCATGCCAGCATCTCATGGAGAATATGGCCAATGACTTCATCCCCAAAGAAGGCTTTCAAGCTTGTAGCGAGGGCAAAGACTGGAATAGCTTGCGTCGCAGTCTTCCGGACGAAATAGGCCACTCCCCCAGAGGTAAGGCCGATAGTAACTAGCGTGTCTTGGAGGACCTGAAACCGGCTGGTATTGGCCAGAGCAGCTGTAGCCTGGTCGAGCCTGTCGGGACAAACCATCAAACTGGAGCCAAGGGCTTCCAAGGCCATAATGGCTGAACCTTGAACATCATCATCGCGAGCAGCCTTGAATAGCTTCAGAAGAACCTCTCCACTCTTAAAGATGGTGTTGTCGATAGACCATTGGATCTGAACAAGTGACATATTGGCTATGCTAGATTTGCAAGCTTGCAATGTCCAAGTCGGCAGAGAAAGCGGGAGGGGGCATGCTTTTCTAGGCAGTTTCATGCTCAACTACCCAGTGACCACGCTCACGCGAAAAGCTATAAAAGTGCGATTCTGCCTTGTTTGTGACTCTTATGGTTGTCTGATTGTCCAGTGATATGCTTATTTTCGGAGCCTGATATGCAAGCCATTGTCGAGTGTAACATGAAATTGTCCAATCTGTGAACAGCTCTGACCACCATGATAACAACTGCAATCATCTGAGCCTGTTGAAATGCCAAGAATAGGTGTGATTGTGACGATTGATGCATTTTAAGGCAATCGACGAATGCAATGAAGCGGGCGCCACTTGTGTCCTTGAACGCAATGCGCGAATTGGAATTCCATGGTATTTGTGCATTTAAGAAGGCGCTACTACCGCTCTTTTCACCGCAAGCTTAATTTTCAATTGAAATTGCAATTTGAACGGGAAATGGCCTACTGTTTTTCTTCCCAAACAACAGCTGGACATTGTGTAGAAGCCTATTTGTCAGTCTTGACTCTTGAGTAGATGTCTGTGAGAAAGAACTTCGCCGCCTGCAGTTAAAGGCCTCCTGGTGACTAACTCCATTGCAAAGTCAAGAAGGTAACTAAATTTGGGCTGAAATAAAGTAGCTGGCCCAGCGAACCTCAATCATTAAGAAGTCAAAATATATTGGCTTTGTCGTTTAGCTGCACTAACTAAGTTCTGTGTGGTGATTATAAGCTCTCAGTCATGCTTTTTAAACCACTACAAGGTTCTCATGCTGGAGTGATTGCAAAAGTCACCTGTATGAAAACATCGGGAGTCAAACCATGGATCAAACTGATTCAGGTAGAAGGCTGAGCTAAAGAAGTCTAAGCTCAATACAGCTAGCTAGTTCGCCAATACTACGGGTATACATAGACAAATTGGATTGGATATTGTCTGATAAGCGTATCCACTTTTTCCACCGTCTCCAGGGTAGCTGGCACATAAGAAATCTATTTATCAAATTTAAACTCTCAATAAAGTGGCCGAGCTCCTACCTAGTGGTTCTAGGATTCGACTTATAAGACTTTATCTATATATGAGATAGAGTTACGTAGTTAGTGATTTATTCTACCAAAAGCGAGCTCTTTAATCGAACATGAAGGAGAAAATTCTCTTTCCTCGAAAAGTGCCATCAGGTTATTTCGTTCGCCGTCGCTGGAAGCTTCAAACAAAAGACGTTCGTAATACAAGCCAGCCTACCCTCTACACACCGTAACAATCAGGCTGAAAATTGGTATATCCAGAGCGAGTAAGGTACAGCACCTTGCTTAATTTGATTCGTAGCAATTGCAACGTCGCAATGAAACATTTCCTCTAATGCCAAGCCATTCGTGACGCGCATAGAACACAGGACCTCGTATTGAAATGGCGATCATCCGAGTTCCGTCGCGCCTATGTTCGCCTGAAATGACTTTTAATGCAAAGCAAATACCCATAACTCGGCCGAGAGACATTCTCGACGTCATTACGTTCCTGTCAAAGCTTCTTTCCATGACATCACTGAACACTCTAGAACCTCGGCCCACGATTTCTTCACCCAAAATGGCTAAGCGTACGGGATAAAATAGTAGCTATTTATATCACAGGACCCTGAATCTTTGAGAACTTTTAGGCCTGGGCCCTTCTGGATTAAATTGAGGCTATTGAGACGCTCTGTTCAATTGAGATAGGACCATAAAAAAATAGCCTGAATAAGGGATGAATCAACGGAAGGGCCATGCATGCGAAATGCCGAGTTCCGGACGGCACGTAGAATACGAGATTTGGGGATCGTGACCCTCAAGTTCCCCACAAACAGCAAGACTCGAGGGCGGATTTGTGAGAGATCGGCGAATGAGGCGATCGACAGGCGCTCGAGCATTTCTGGGGACAATTGCAATACAAAAAGGGGCGTGATTCCTCGACAGAAGTTCATTCTTCATCTCAACAACAACTCAATTTCTCTGCCGCTCAACTACTATAATTCCTATCTCAAAACACTAAACTTTGCTTCAAAACCACCAAAATGAAGTTCTTCGCCACTGCTCTTCTCTCCGCTGCCGCTGTCTCTGGCTTCTCAGTCTACGACGTCAAGGACTTCACCGCCAGCTGCGTCCCTCACAGCACCTTCTGCAAGTTAGTACTATCCACTCCACTCCTCATAACATAAATTACTAACATCATATTCTCCAGCTATGAGTTCAAGGTGATCCAGTCCGGATCCATGGAGACCTGGAAGAACCCCGTCCACTGCTCCGCCCACGTCCAGTCGGCCAACTACCTCCTCCCTGATGTCAAGGACGCCAAGTGCGAGGACTCCTCTCGCACTTTCTCCGTCAAGCGCAGCAAGAAGGGTCTCACCCTCTCTGTCTCTCAGCCTATCAGCCCCAACAGCGATATGGTTGGAAAGCACTTCATTCCCAACAAGCAGCTCTGGCAGTCTAAGGAGCCTAACGCTGAGATCCAGGCTTACAAGGGCCCTAAGGACTTCAAGCTCAACTAGATTGAGTGACTGGGGATTTTGATGTTGTTGAGTTGGTGATTATCTTGTTTGTGACGCAGGCGTGTTGATTGCATTTGAACTGTATTTTAGACTAGACTTTTAGGTATATATCTAAACAAAACCTTTTCCATTCTCATCACCACCCTGCGAACCAATGTTTTAGACTCTGCACAGTCATCCATTCTGCGTCGGTACACCGTTAACCTGATCCGTGACATACCATCGCTCACTTCTAACACCCTACAACGCATAGAAAAGCCCACTTAGATCAACCTTATCCTTTATTGATAAAAGTCTCTTATACTTATTAGCGCCGTAAAATAACTGCTAGAAGTTAGGTTTGGTTATGTCTGCTTTAGAAGTATATGAGCCACTACTAGGAGTTATATCCCTCTATAGCTTTATCTAGTTTGGTTAATGTCTTGCTCTTCTTAGCGATAATATCCTAGGGACTGCCTTTAGGATAGTTAATAATAAAGATCGCCTATATGGCTGCGCCTTGCTATATAGGGTTTACCGCATTATTAGGCTTTAATCTAGGACCTCTAGTAATACTAAAGCTAATAATCTGCTTGCCCTTATCTAAGAGACTCTTAAGAGCATTAAAAATCTTATTAAACTTAGCAAGATCTTCTAAATTATTACTTATTATTATAATTAGCAAGGTATATAAGCAGAAAGATAAAAAAAATACTTATATAGGGAAGAGGCGGCTGGCTACCTTAATCTTTGCACTAGCTATAACCTTACGAGGAAATCTAGCTGCCTAAGCTCTATAATAGCTATTATACTCTAACTCTATAATATTAAACTTAATTCTAAGGGCTTTCTATATTTAGAAAACAGGCGCAATAAGAGTCTTTAGTTAGCAAGAATATTATTTAATATAAACCATAAGAAGAATAAGAAAGCTAATAAATTACCCTCTCTATAAGTGACTGCCTAGTACTTATAATTACTAGTAGCATTAAAAGTTAAAATAAGTTTCTAATATGCTCTTATTACTTTCTAGAAAGTGCCATATAAGACTATATTACTAATAGTAAAATAGAAACTTATAATAGCAGCCTTGATCTTAGGAAAGACTTTAATAGTATATAAAATTATAACGCCAAAGATGCTTTATCTACTACTGCAAAGAGCCCGAAATAGATCGGTCTTTTAGTGCTTGTTGGCAGTAACGAAGCGGCCGTCAGCAGTAACTACTTCAACACTCAGAACCTGTCATGTTAATCCAACCTAACTCAACGTTCTGCTAAGGGATCAACTTACCTGATCTACGCCTATACCATAGAGCGGCGATATGGGAGAGTGTCTACCGCCAGCTAAGAATCCACCAGTATAATAGACGCTTATATCTTCACTACCAACAGTAGTAATCCCATACCTCTCAGCAGCTTAATAAAGCTCAGAGCCGATGATACCAGCTCCTACCTTTAGCGCAGGCCCGCTGTAGGACTTGGTCTTGTGGCTATCCCTCGGTCTTCTCACCTGGTTGACATGTACGACCTTGGTAGAGCGGCCACATGATAGATGATGGGTCAGCGATACTGAAGGGGGGTTAACAGGCGTTCTGAAGAATGTAAAAAAGACCTACTGCAGAGAAGAGTTGCTCCATTGGTCTACAACACGACTGCATTTTGCCTGGTCGTAAAAATCAAGGTTCCGGTAGCATGGGGTTGTAGTTGGGACAGTCTTGATTAAAGCGCTACCAGGGATAAGATCGAGTAATGTTCAGATAGAACTCGAAGGCCAATTGTGATCCCCAGGGAAGGTCTTACATCTTTGCGGAGCATGATGGAAGGCGCTTCGGCGTTTGTAGGTGCTCTCCGGATAGAAAAGAGAGGCATGGGAGGGATCGATCTCATCAAGTGCTCAGAGGGAGGCGTCCGTCAGTTGGAACGTCTCTTCCTCCAGGTAGTCGCCCTGGACATGCTCGCCGAGCTCTTTAACCTTGCCGGGAGTTGCCTGGACAGAGGCAAAAAGAGCGAGCAGACTGCCCAAGATGCTTGAAGTGATCTGCATGAAGCTACTGCTCTGGGACGGAAGTAATTGATGCAGGAGGTTAGAGGAGGGGAGATGGCCTGCAAGCCACCACATGAGACAATGAACTATGTATAGATATCTAAAGCATCCACACAACCGAGATTCACCGATAGATTACGATATTTCTTGCATATCGAGGCGCTGCAGGTCCTGACGCGTAGTTCCAAGGGTGAACCAACAACCAACTCTTCAGCAAGCATCAAAGTAGCTCCTGCATCACGATTATTTCCAGGCTTTTCAGTTATGGCCGTTGGTCAAAATTAAGCATAAGCAACGTGTCAAGTCCCCTGCGCCTTGAAGATTACTCAGGGCTCCCGCATCGGCACAACGGGATTCTCGCTGAAGAGTCTAGACCATGTTATATTCTTCACGGATCAATCTCTCCGTTTACCGGGACCCAGTGATACGAAGAACCTTCGAACACGACTTTAATATGTCCCAAGAGCCAGGCATTTCATCCGGTTGGCGGGCTTAAATCGATCAGGGGTCTACGTAACCCTGGAGCCGCAATAATATGGGTTTAAGAGGTGGAGAAATATGTAGTTCCGCTTACATTTAGCCAGCACAGTTGCCGACGATAAATAGCGAGTGGTTCGGGCACTGAAGACTCAAGATAAGTCTGCGATCTATTGTGACTAGGCCCTGGAGTGGACATGTTGGCTTTCCATATATCGCCCTGAGTCCCGAATTGAGAGCCACTACCAGTATCTTCAAGTCAGTTTCTTTGGAGGTTTTGGCATAGTGATTTCATGCCGAGGGAAATTAAAGCCTCACAATGCGGGGGTCTAGGTTCTTCTCCCTGCAACGGATCAACTTTCCCGATGTGACTGTGCGTTGGCTGAGATCTGAACCAATAGCTTTGGCGCGGATTGTCTAGGTGCTCTGACATGATACCACCATCTTCATCACAGTAGCTTTCAGGTCGTCGTTCGCGCCGTCGTTATCACCTCGCTTTATCAAGGCCGGCGACATGATGAACTTAACCAACTTCTGAACCTGGACTTTTTTCTCAGAAGAAAGACGTTCTCCTTGATCCAAGTCCATAAAATCACCGTCGAAAACCAATCCTCTCTCGTGATGCCTCTCGTAAGAATACTCCCATTCCCATCTAGCAGCCTGTTGACTGAACCTTTGGTCCAACTCAATGGCGCCCTGCAGGATATCATCTAGCTGCTCCTCGATACTGCTACTTGAGCTGATACTCAACCCGAGAGCTTCAATGATACGGGTAGTGATACTACTCTTGATGCGCTTGAGATAGAGTTTAGTCTGCTCCTTTTCATCATCCCCTCGAGAATTAAAAGCTTCCAAGAACAGCTGCGTTGTCTTTGAAGTCCACATCTGAACGTCACAGAGTCTAGGCGAGCTCAGTTGACCGGCTATTCTTCTGTGTTATTAACATGTTCTGGAGCTTTTAAATATTGGGGTACTTACGTATTGTCAAAATTGACTGAAGGCCTCTTATATGAGGAGCAACGGACTCACCAGCCCAGTAGAAGAGCCCAAACACTTCAGTAGTCAGTACTTTCCAAATGAAAGCCTCGACTACTTGCGGACGCCGATCGTCATTCTCCAACAGCGTGCGATAGTCTGAACTCTCCGGGGTAATTGACTGGAGGTGTCGTCTATACTTGTCATCCATCGACGTGTTCTTTGAAAATTCGCCCTCAGGCCATTGCTCGGCGAGATTGGAAATGTTGTACTTTAATTGCTTCACAAAGTCCATGACTTCACCGTTGGTCAAACGGCCAACTGGCTGGACCCTGGTCCGAAGATCGTTTAGCGCTTCAACCAACTCCTCGCGTTCCGCACGCGATTCAGCCAAGTCTTTTGATGTCTTCTCAAGCTGCCCCAGGAGACTTTCTACATCAGAGAGAAGACTCTGGTAGTTCTGTTTGGGATCTCTCTGGGGCGTTTGGGCCGTAGTGGATACTCCCGCCATGTCGTGAGTAGACTCTTGGGACGGGACAACTCCTTCCATCACCTCTGATGACTCATGGTTCTCCTCTTTGTTTCCTGAGAAGCTTCCTGTCACCTCTATTGGAGATGAGTCTGACTGAGACAAATCGATCTCACTGTCTTGGCTAGCATTCGTGATGGTTGGCAGTAGGGGCTCTTCTTCAATGGAGATGTCTTCCCCGCCACGACGTTGAGATTTAACCGAAGATTTCATGATGGATAGATTGTCCAGAAGCAAGACAATAATTGGGCGAATGAGGATTTCGCTCGATTCTCTTAAGGATGAAGAAATGGGATGCGCGAGAACGGGTTTGCTTTGACTGGAATACCAACTTCAGGCCGACGCCGAAAGACTCTTATATCTCTCCATGGAGCTGAACGGGACCCAAATTGACCAGCCCAAATCCTCCATCAGACACTCTCTCCAGCTGAGATGATGCGAGATAAATATAGAACACAAAATCAGGGGATACAATGCGAGTGGCTTTAGAATATGGAACAGGGCAATGATGCACCATGCATCATGGTAGAAGTGCAAGAACCTCGACTAAGTCGTGCCATTTGCTATATCGCGCGGCCAAGACCATTCCAGGGCGCTTGATCATCGCCTATCAACAAACAAACACGCCGTTTCAGGCCCGTTCATGCAGCCAACTCTCTCTCGGCTCGTATTTCACGCAAGCCACGTCGCTTCTGCATCTTTGCACTTTGCGATATTTTTGTGCAAATCACTCAGCCTGATTTCACCAGCCTACCTATCATTGGCGCCCTTACCCGCTGGTCGGTTGAAAATGTACTTGGCAGTTTTCAGCTTTGCGCCACAGCAGTTCCCAAAATGGAAGTAAGATCAGTTTGCGAGGAAGTTTGCCCTAGCCAAGGAGAGATATTCCTAAATATAGGAAATTGTGGTGGGCAACCTTGTGCAAAGCGGGCTATTTCAGCACCTCCAGATGACATTTGGAAATGTTGATTGGTAGCCTGATTTCATCCCTGAAGCCATCGGTTGGAGTCAGTCGGGACTGATGGCCGTTGTCCTACCGCACCACCATGTCTGCTGAGTTGAACTCAAAGGATATCTGCTCAGCAGCGATAAAATAATCATTTAAAAGCCCAATTCCAATCCGCCATCAACATTAATTCAGAAACAATCTTGACCAGCCTGAGGCTTCCTTCTTCCATAACACAAAAGCAACTTTAAACTCCAACACTATTAATCCTTTCAACAACAATGTTCCCAAACAGCCGTCTTCCCACTCATTTCAAGACATCCAAGAGGAGTGTCTTGGCTGTTGGCATTGACTTTGGAACCACGCAAGTATTGTATCCTTTCGCCTATTTACCATAGACTGACTTGAATTGCAAAACAGCAACAGCGGAGTTGCTTGGGCTACTGCCGCTGACTTTGAGAGACACAACATCAATTTCATCTCCCGATGGCCTGGCTTGGGCCGGGAGGAAGGCAAGGTTCCTACCGAGATCTACTACGATGACGACGGCGAGATGAAGTGGGGATATGACATCCCTGGCGAAGTATCACGCCTGCAATGGTTCAAGCTCCTATTACTGAAGCCAGATGACCTGAGCCCTGAGATGCGAGCATCTCCTTTCCTTCAACGTGCTCGTGACATCGCAAGACAGTCTGGTAAAGCCCACGTCGACGTGGTTGCTGACTACCTCAAGCTGCTGTGGGATCACGCCCAGGAGAAGATCAAGCAGGAACTTGGCAATGCCGCGTTTAACGCTTTGACTTTACATATTGTTGTGACCATTCCGGCTATTTGGAAAGGGTATGCCCAACAGAGCACTGAACAAGCTATCCGGAAGGCAGGCATGTTAGAGCATCGATCGGCTGGTCCGACTCAGCTAAATGTTGTGACTGAGCCTGAAGCTGCAGCTTTGTCAACTATACTGGATCGCTACGACTCTGTGAAGCAAGGCAACGTGTATGTTGTGTGTGATGCAGGTGGTGGCACGGTGGTTAGTATTTTCATTGCGAAACCTGGCCTCGGTGGATGTGCTAATATGTACTTGAATTAGGACCTGATCACATACGAGATCGAGTCAATTGATCCCATCCGCATGCGTGAGGCGGTTTTGGGCCAAGGTATGGGGCCTCAGATAAGACTCAGGATGCATCAACTAATCTACCTCTTCAGGAGAGCTCTGCGGAGGTGTGTTCATTGATGAGGCCTTTGAACGAAGATGTAGAGAACGTCTGGGCCCAACCTGGAAAGCTCTGAGCCGTGGAGGAAAGAATGAAATTATGAAAGATTCATGGGAGTATTCCATCAAGCCACAGTTTAAGACTGGGAATAGGGACAAGGTGTACACGGTCACGCTTCCGAACGAAGTGTTCTCCAACAAACCTAAGCAGCGCTTTGATGATACGACGAAGGAACCTTTTATCAAGAGAGGGAAAATTCATTTCAAAGAGTAAGTTTTGTGAGTGAGATATGAATTATTTGTTTAACAATCTTAAAAGGGCGGATATCCAAGAAACCTTCACCAAGGTCTTTGCCGACATCGTGGAACTCATCAACTCTCAAATCGAGAAAGCACAGAATCTCAACCTTCAAGTCACGGTAAATAGAATGGCTTGGTAAACAAGCATATCAGACTGATAGTAATGCCCAGGGAATCATACTCGTCGGAGGACTCGGCGGAAGCCCTTACTTATACAGCCACCTACAAGAAATCTTCTCCGACGAGGGGATCGACATCCTCCAGCCGAACGGCATGAAACCGTAAGAGCCCATCTTTCTCTAATAATATCCCAGTGACTGATCTCTCAGGCGAACGGCAATCTGCCAAGGCGCAGTCTGCAAAGCCTTCACCGATGGTAGCGATGGAACTGGTCAGAGTCAAGCCCACAAGCCCATTGCAGTAACATCCACGATCTCCAGAGCACACTATGGAATTGCTTATGACCCAATATTTGAGGAGGGAAAACATCTTGAGGAGGATGGGTACTTGGACTCAGATGATGATGAATATCGCGCAAGAGACCAGATGGAATGGTATCTCGAAAAGGTGCGAGACATGACTTTGTGGTTTCCGAAACCTTGCTAAGTTCTACTAGGGCGCCTGTGTCTCTAAGTCAGAGAGAGTCAGCCACACTTTTCACCGGATTTACGACACAAACTGGGATGGACACTTCTCTGAGACAATCTTTCAATGCGAAGAAACTGACCCTCCTGGGCGACTGGAATCAACCATCGAGGAAGTATGCACAATGAATTGTACACTCGAGAACTGCATGCCAGTGTCGAGGTTAAGGAATCACTTGACACCGAAGGGTGAGAAGAAGAAAAAGCTGAATTACAACATAAGAATGCTTCCGACAGGTAGAAGCGTCAAGTTCGATGTTGAAGTTAATGGGACACGCCTTGGCAAGGCTAACCTTGACGTCAAGTTTGATTAGTTGGGGGCTTACACTAGTACATATGGACAATAGTATGTACCCTGATCTGTCTGAGTTCCGAAGTGTGCTTAAGTGTAGGATATCGCACCGAGTGGAGCTTATTTATCAACTCTTATGCGAAACCCAATGCCCGTCCATGTCGCAAAGTCCAAGTCTTGATTGTCCTTAACTGTCCAAGAAGATCGACCGTAACCCACAAAGCAACTATATCCGTGGTCATCAGAGCCAATGCAATTATTGCTTACAACTTACAATCGGCGTTAATAAGCAGCTCAGAATCAAGACAATGGAACTTAGCAATCCCTGTAGCATGTGTTCGAGCTGTTAGAGAGGCTCTTCACTGGTTAATACCCACTTCAGACTTTGATGGCTTCCCGATGTCGACAGGCCAAGAACCTATATTGGACGAGATAACAATGGAGAATGATTTAATTTTCTTTTTGGTGGCTCGAAAAGATGACCTTTGTACTAATGATGTTACAATCTGAGCCTGAAACCAATGGCTGAATGTTCAAACATCATTTGACCCTTGACTCATTTTTGCCTGTTGGCTAGCCCCTGGCACACTAAGTGAGACTTTGGTGACTCCGTAGATTACGGATATTCTCCGTTTTAGAAGTACTAAATATCTAAAAGGCATGGCAATTAAGGTCTTAAAATTGTGATTGATATTTCTATCTATCAGAGAATAGGCAAGTCAATTCACAGTGACAAGCTATTCAGTCATGGCTACCAGCGCCAAACCCCAATAAATGTGCAAAAGAAAGGAATGGAAATCCGAAGGGATTCTTGGTAAGTATACACAATAAACCTGGAATAGATCTATAGGTTTTAGAAATAAGAACGCCTGGTTCTCTGGTGTTTACCCTTGCGCACAGCTCTACATCCGCTCGCAGATGGCTTAGCAGGGGGCTCCTTGGGTATGATAGTAGCAGTTGGAAAGGCGTTGGTGAGAGCTTCGACAGTGGTTTGCTTGGGCAGCCCAGAGGTGACCAATGTAGTGGCAATACTCGTGGCAGTGGTCTGGTCTTTGGCGATTGATGATGTGAAAGAGCCATCGGCAAGACCTCCATTACCGTCCTTAAACAGAGGCGGACCAGGGATGGTATAGTTCTTCAAAGTTGTGTAAGGGTTGAAGTAGATGCCCGGATCAGTGGGAGTGTAGAGCTTAGTGCCCAAGACGCCTTCAGGCTTGGCAGTTCCCGACCCTGTAACCTCGATATTGAAACATTGAGGATAGTTCTGTGCGCCGCCAATCCTGTTGGACCCGTGAACAGCGATTGTTTCATGACGGAAGACATAGTTGCCGGGAGCCAGTGTCGAGGGTATATTCGTCGTCCATGTTCGGTTGTTGTTGACCATCTTTCTTGCCGCCCACTCTTGAGTGTCAAAATCGATGCCCGCTTCGTCGATCTTTACCCACTTGAGGGTGGTTTTGTCAACAGTGGAGCAATCACCATCGCAGGGAGCCACATATGTCATCATTGGGCCGAAATGAGCCCATTTAGTCCATTGAAAGTCGACGGTCCCCCCAGCGGCAACCTGAACAGTCAGATTGGCCGGCTTTCCATTCTTCTGGCAAATAATGTCTGGGTGAGTATAGTTGTCTGGGGACACGAAGCCGTTATCGAGGTTCTCAGCAGACCATGCAGCTAAAGGAGGGAGAGATTTGCCGTTCTTGGTATCATAGTAATAGTTCATCAGGTAACCTTGGTATTCAACACCGTCAGTTTTGAAGCTCGATACAACACCATGTGCAGCGGCATTGCCGAAAAAAGCAGCTAAGAAGAAGCTGAAGTGCATTTTGACGGAGAAAGTCAAAACGAAGAACGAGCCAAGTAAAGCGGGAACGAGATACGGCAAGAGAACGAGATAAGCTAAAAAGGGAACGAGTCTGAAAGAGAGGATGCGCAGTTAGCACCAGGCTTGAAGGGGCGGAAGGATGAACGCAGAGAGGAAGGTTGGAGGCCATTTTATGTTCTTTGCGAGGAGTCTATAATGCTAGATATCTATACAGATCTATTGCTACAAATTGCTAGGCATCTGTAAATCGTAGCAAAGGGCTATGAGCGGCCCCAAGCTGAAACACTAAATGTTTTATAAACCGTAGTCCTAGATGATCACTTGCTAAATGGCAACAATACCTAGGCCCTTGTTTTCTCGGCTTCCGCGGAGAGCGGCGGGGGACCTGCAATGCTAAAATCACAGTACTGGTGAAGCATCTTGCACTCACTTATTTTACTCAAGTGATGTATAATAACGTGTTTCAGGTGTAGTCAAGTACTGAATTAGGCGTCTAGCATCCATGCTCCCATTGGCTATTCTACGATACTTGTCAAGACTTGAGCCACGGGCTCCCGATAACCCTGGCTACCTCAGCACTAAGGATGCGGTGAATAGTCACTCCCGGACAGTGATTATTCCACCAGAGGCGGCTCACTCGCTCTACCAGCCAAGCCTCTGCCTTAGAATACTTCTTCTTGAATGCTCTCATGTTCTTTCGAAATGACGAGCGCACACATCGCACAGCCTCGGCATCTGCGCACAGTAACTTGCTAAAACTAGAGCATACAAGGCCAGGAAATCAGATCGGGACCTCGACCCTCCAATATCGTTGTTGGCAACTCAGATACCTATCAAGAGGGTGATTGAGTTCCAGGCACCTACGGTTTCACAAGGCTCGCTTCAAGAGCTTCAACTTGGTCCATAAATGTCGTGGGAGTAGGTGCATGCGGAGCGATCAAGGCCGCATCTATAGTCGTGCCAGCAACAGCCATGATGTAGGATAACAACGTGCTACTGTTGAACTCGGTTATGTCGAAGCCCGACCAGTTTAGTCCTCCGCTAGTAGTCTAGCCCGGCATCTGAGAGTTTCCGAAAACATTATTAAGTAATGGCTATTCCAAGCTGGCGTTAAATCCAGTCTGGATCGTTGAACTCCCGCTATGCGAAAATTCAGTCCGATTACTTTCGGGAAAGGAGCACAAGAGACCCACAATGTGACAGAATGACGGGTGATACCCGGGGTTTGTAGCAGGGTAGTTTGCAGGGCTCTGGATAGCTGAGACAGCATTTAGCAAGCCTAGAAGGGCAGTAGAAATAAATAAGTAATAGGTATTGCGGGCCGACAACTGCAACCATCGTTCCACAAGATGTTTCTTCGTCTTTTTTCCGATCAGAGTTCAAAATAGGCTGGGAAGTATACCATGACTGGCCGATATGGACATGACACTGCTGATGTTGGCTTATTTCATCTCAAGGATGCTATGCATCGCAGAAGGATACAGAGTGAGATTTGTGGATAGTCACCAGATGCCAGCGAAGAACAGATTATGGCATACGACAGGATTTGCGCATAACCGTTGTAAGTTCACATGGGCGCAACAATTGCCTTCATACTTCGCCTGACACTGGATAGGTTGACATCTACTATGACAAAGTGCGTTCGGCAGAAGGTAATAATATAGGGTCGCAACCAACACAAGTAGAGAACCACGTTAAATAAATAGCAAACATACTATGAAAACTCAGATCTATTCACCATTGGCAATATAGGTAGCACCTTAAACATCGATATTGGAACTTTGGTCAAGATAAGAGAATTGAGACAAGATAACGTGGATTAATAATGCTCGCGGTCTGTCCCCGCTTAATTATCGCGTAATCGGCATGTTTAGCACGCAAATCGCTAACTAATCAATGACGATTGCGGGGACCCCAAGAATCTCAATCACCCATTTCTTTTTGTCTTATCATCATTAATTTGAGCATATAGAACGTTCTCAAAGCTCACCATGACAACTCAAACTGATCCAGAGGCTCTTGCGAGGAGCACTGAGCAAACGCCGCTGCTTGCCGACCAGCCACCGCCGGAGATAAATGAAGCCGATGATGAGCCGGAAGCCGAGCCGACTCCGGAGAAAAGACCGAAGAGCTGGTATGCTTGGAGGATATTCTGGACTGTGCTTGCGATAGTAGTGCTGGCGGTTTTTATCAAGGGATGGATTGACGCAGATGAGACTGAGGTGAGTTTGTTGTCTTGTTGGGAAATGTATACGCGGTATTGACTTGTTTAGTTTGATCTTAAGAAAGCCCTCAAGCGGGCTCTTGGCGGAGGACTCAGTGGCGCGGCGGCCATGGTGCTGCAAGTCCTACTGCTGATGGTAGGCTGTTCTCTTCGTAAGTATGAATATGGTTCAGGCTGACAGCGTCCAAAGCCTCTGCGGACGATTATGAACTATCAGTATCGCCATGGCACGTCATTTACAGTTGCCACGCGGACTCTTTACACCGAGGGTGGAATTCGAAGATACTACCAAGGAATCGCACCTGCGCTTTTCCAAGGTTTGTATTACTATCCTCGGCATTTGAATATTGATATCTGACTTCTGTAGGCCCGATCGCGAGATTCGGAGATACAGCTGCCAACGCTGGTATTCTCGCCTTGCTCCAGTCAAACCCTTACCTCAAGAATCTCCCGTCGCCTATCAAGACCATTTTTGCATCTCTATGGTAAGTCGGAATCCGCTTTCATCTGGTGGAAGAAGCTTATTAGTTGCTAGTGCCGCTGCGTTCCGCATGATCCTCACTCCAATCGACACTTTGAAGACAACCCTTCAAGCTCAAGGTGCCCGTGGAACATCCCTTTTGAGACGACGTATCAAATCAAACGGAGTCGGTAGCTTGTGGTGGGGAGCTTTCGCTACCGCTGCTGCTACCTTTGTCGGCCACTACCCTTGGTTCGCCACGGTAGGTCCCTACTCAGAAAGCGAGAGTGAGATACTAACATTTCACAGTACAACTACTTGTCCGAGGTCCTCACTGAGCCTCCCAGGCATCCTCTATTCTGGTGGTTGCTACGCCTTGCCTTCATCGGCTTCTGCGCTTCGATTGTGTCCGATTCCATCTCCAACTCATTGAGAGTTGTCAAGACCTATCGACAAGTCAACGACACCAAGGTCTCATACGGTAAGACCACCTTTTCCGTAAGCCTAAGAAAATATATAAACTAACTTCATCGTGTTTTAGCTGAAGCCGCACGCGCTGTAGTAATTCAAGATGGTGTCATCGGCCTCCTTGGACGTGGACTCAAGACTCGTATCTTGGCCAACGGTCTTCAAGGCATTCTCTTCTCTATCCTCTGGAAACTATTCCTCGATCTGTAAGCAATCATTCGATCAGGTTATTTGCCGCTTATTAACATTCTGGTAGGTGGGAGAAGAAGACCTAAGCCCAGTGGACCGGATAGCCATCAACAAAGGTTTTGGCCAATTTGCTAAGCACATAAAGAGATCTTTGAAGAATAAAGCTCAGTGGGAGGGAGGAGGTGCTAAAGTAGGCTTGGATATGTTATTATCGGTTGAGCCTTACTGCCGCAAGCCTCTCTACGCATTTTGATTTAGTTAGAGGCAGCCCAATGTTAAATAATAGAAATTTCCTCCAATACCTCAAGTCCTGTACGCATCCTGTGTCTTATCTCTTCAAACAACCGGCGAGTCGCAAAATAACCTGATGCCATAACCTCACTAATGAGTCTATAACCCTTGTCAGTTGGACGGAGGACATAAGGACAGGACGTGCCCATGAGAAGCCAGACTTCATCACCACGTTCAGCTTCAATTCGGTATCGAAGGTAATGCCAAGCACGTAAGGTGAGCCCGGTGCCCCCAGAAATCGGGCGGCCCAATATGACCCCTTCCACGGTACCCAAGCGCAGTGCTCGTACAAATAAAACGGTATGCTGACCGCCCTCAGGACTCCCTCCAAATCGAATCGAATCAGTTGCATCTTCTCTGATCGGGATGGCGAACTCAGGGAGCTGCACAATTTCTAATTCTCTTAAACCTGAGAAGTGTGAAACAGTCGAGGAAGTCCAATCAGGCACCCACGATGGTAATTGATATGAAGGTGGTTTAACAAGATGAAGCGCATACAACAATATGTTGAGATTTCCCTCGAAAAGAATTATATTAACTGCGGTATCAATCAGTACACGTGAAAGAGTATTGGACCTGGAGTAATTTGGCGTAATGTTGTATCCTGGGTGGGCAAGTCCGAGTTGAGAAAAGATCTTGTCTCGAGGATCAGTGGCCCTGGAATAGAGAGCATCCCGTGCCAACTTCTTGAAATCCATGTTGCACTCTACCACGCCATTTCCTAGCATGCTCTTCTGAAGAAGTAAGAACCGGGCAGCATGACAATTCTCCAGCGTGCGATACTGGCGGTTGATTAGAGCTCGCACTTCTTTCTTGATCTCGCCTTTCGGTGCTGAGGGTCCACAGAGATCATTCTCAAGGCGAGGAGGGGATATGGTGGGGAGATTTGAATGACAGATCGCCTGGAGCCACGATGACTCGGAAAGGTCCAGGGCTTCTTGGTGATATAAAAAGATTGCAGTTTGGGAACAGGCAAACTCTTGACGAATCCAAGCCCGGCTCCACCATGGAGATTCAATTAGGTCGTAGAAAGAATTCCAGCCTTTGATATAATCCTCCAGGCTTCCACCGTACCACTCTCGTAAAGTGAACTCATGTACATCTCGCTGGGAAAACCAAGAAAAGGCATTCGGCCAAGACTTCTCTTCTTCGTCTGTAGAAAGACAAATAAAGGTTCTACTAGAGTTCAAATAGATGTCTCGCATGAATCCAACCTGGTGGGATCTTTCAGAGTTGTTGTGTTGATTGATGCATATCTGGTCGATCCAAAGAATACAGTCATCTTGGGGGTAATTTGTAGTGCTCCAATATGTAAGTGTTTCCCGAAGAGCGCAGTATAAATTGGCAAAGATGTTGAACTTAATCCCCTGTAGGAGAATGGGCTTGGTGTCTTTGGCGCTTCCTGCGCAGTAGGATATTGTGTGGTATTTGCCGCTGATGTCTGTCAGTTTTTGAGGTGGTAGAAAGTTGCAGTGGATCAAATCGCTTCCAGGTTTTCTGAACACATGGACCAGTCTGATTTCATGTTGAAGATGGTTCAGATCATGATAAGAATATTGCTTCAAGAAATGTTCATTTGCCGGAGTTGCGAATATTTCTTGTGAAGGAGGCAAGTCTCTGGTACTCGTATCCTCCAGGACTTTGTTTTTTGGAAGCTCATTACTTGTTACCAGATCCGACATGGTTGTTACTGATTTCAGACGGGAAAAGGAAAGTTGAAAAACCGATACGGCAGCCGAGTGATGTTATTGAGCAAGAAATGAGGCTGTAAGGGGCGGTGCCGCCACCAAAGGAATAAGCCTCAGCGAGCCTCTGTTGGTTGGGCATCAAAGTGCTGTCAGCCGCAGTACTTTAGGCAGTAATTAAACAGCCTGGTTGTTTGTAATTTCAGGTACGTAGCGGAAGTGGACCTGAAATACTATAGATTCAATGCAGCTAATCAAGCAGTCTACTGACAGAGAGAATATATACAATTAGAGGATAATATCAACTCCTAAACATAAATCTTTAATCCGTGATCGAGACATTATCCCAATTGACTTTATAGTAAATCAACTAACGCTAGATTAGAATTTGAGTTCGCTTTCAAGTTCTTTTCTATCTGCTGGCAAGACTCAATCCAGTTCATCCAAGGCTGAAGTCTATCCTGCGGCTAGGCATAAATTGGTCAAATACAGAACCGCATCCCATAAGAGCCGAGTCGGCACGAGAGGTATCTGGAAATCGTAAAAGGCCCGCTGACGGTTGTGTCTCTGATATCTCGGACTCCAGAGTCATTATAGTGGTGAAATTGAAGTTCGTCCCACTGATGACCTTGGCGGAGATTCGAGCAATGACATTATCAGGTGACCACATATTCATACGGGTACGTGACAGATTCTGGGCCTGTGGTGGCGACGAATGCTCTGATTGCCCCATATCACTAACGCTTCCTTGGTTATTACCAAGTGAAGAACAGTAGTTAGCTATATGCGGTTGTCTGGGGCTGGGAGTTGTAGTTGTTGGATCAAGAGATATGGTTTGGGGCAACACCTGAGGCTCTTCAGGCGCTGCTATGGACTTCTCCATTGCCCTCCTGGACTTCACTTCGGTGAGTGGAATATGAGTATTCTGAGTGACGGACCTTATCCCCACTTCATGACCAAGATCGTTGAACACCAAGGCTTGACTTTCATCTTTCAGGTCCAGTTTGCAGGATCCTATTGTGATGAGTGATACATCCCGGGAATATTTTATAATGTCGGAGAGAAGAGTCTGCGCGGTCATCATAAGTGCACATGGCTCGCGTTCGAAGACAGCTATGATTGAGCCGCATAATCTTCCCGAGTCACGTAGAACAACCCAAGAGCCTGATGTACCGCGACCTGAGATATTCGGCCAGCGATTAGTCTGATGTCTTCCTCAAGAGCTCATTGTGAGGATCACTCACCTAAAGGGGCAGTCAAGCGGATCTTCCGTGCCCAAATGGTTGTGCTCCCAATAGAGAAGGGTATTTTCGCTGGTTGAAGGAAGCCGGCCGAGGCTTCGGTTCCATTACCCAGCAAGACGAGTATTTCTTGCTCGTTCTTCGTTAGCCAAGAGTCAGGGCAGATGCTGGATACGTTCTTTTGTCCATTGAAATTGTAGGTGTTGTCGTCCCTGCCTAAAAATAAATCGAATTCTATTCGAGACACAAGGGCAAAGTCTGCAGGTATCGGGCCAGTTGAAGGACTTGTGAGTTTCACATATGGGGTGTTGCGCGAGAGGTCGACCTCGGCTTGTCTGATGAAGTTAATAATCCCTGATAGGTTCACTGGAACCCAAGTATCGACCTTTTCAAGATCGATATAACCGAGATCATGAATGGGGTCTGGACTGTTGGTGTCGCTTTCAACGAGCTTGCAGTCATCGCTACTGTCTTGTTCGTCATCTTCCGAGTCCGAACTATGACTATAACTACTTTGCGTAGTGCCTTTCAGATCATTTCTCCTCTCCAGAGTCACTTTATCGATGTTTTCCAAGTAGTAAAGAAGCATGGTGTGCCCTGAGGTAACCCCTGCCTCGAGTGAGGCATTGATGACCAATACGCCTCCGATGCGTGATGCCTCCTGATAAACTATCCGTCCATTTTTTACAATCGTAGTCAAGCAGACCTCGCCACATTCATAAGGTCCACTGACGGCCCACCAGGTGACGTGGGTATGTAAGGTTGCGCCATATGAGAACTCGATTCCTTTTCGCAAATTCAACTGTTCCAACGGGACAGAGGCTGGACCATTTGCTGACTTTAAACCACCTTCAGCGAATATTGACGCATACTGGGCCGAGTCGAGGCCTAGTTTGCGAACCTCCTTTTGTAGCCTCTTCCAAACAGTGCCACTGCGAATAGCCTCATCCGTGCTTCTGATCCAAACGCTCGGCCTCATAATAACTCGTTGTTCGTCGGGCTGGTGGACACCAGCAAGCCGTAGCTCAACGGTCCATGGTGTTGTTGCAAGGGACCTCCTCCAAACCGCATTCCATATCCTGCTAAACTCAGGTGCAAGCTTCTCCCATGTTTCCGAGGCTTGTTCGAAGAGATGCTTATACTGAGACTGCTCCGGCCAATGATAATTGGAATACCAGACGTTCTTGGCTGAGCAGCAGATACCCCTGGCTTTATTTGGTAGTGAAAAGCGACTCTCATCGAATTCAAGATCGAGGAAGCTGGGTTGCACCAAAAGGCGACCAGGGAATTGACATGTCGTTTGTGACGGAGTTGTTGGCGGTGTAATGTAAACCTCGGTCTCTGATGAAGTGGATGCCATGCTTAACATAGCAACAGGCACTAGATACTGAGTCTCGGAGACATTTCAAGATATTTTCGTAAATTAAACTTGTGATGCAAGGTTACGAAAATGTAGATAGGTATGATCAAGAAACAACGCGGGTGTTGTCAGCCGCAGCGCCGATGGTGAGAGAGCCTAGCAAGACATGCGCCTCCTGTTATTGGTTTAAACCCCGGCTCATCATGCAAGCCACGGTCACGCTGGAATTCAGAGTTCAGCACAACAGTGTCACCCAAACCAGTTTCGCCTGCATAAAGTGGTATGTGGCTTGTCAAGGCAGACTGGTTGGATGCGGCTAGAAGAGGGAGCCCAAGGTCTAGAAACAGCGGTTCACACCTCAATTATCTGTTGTAGTATTGTCTATGGTCTTCATCTCTCCAGTAACCTTTCATGGTAGAATTGATACGGCATAGTAATTCAAGTTCAATTTCATTCGTTACCTTCATAGCTTGCGAAAGCTTTGGACGGAATAGGGCGATGTTACCCAGCGAATATTAACCTCACAACGCAACTGCGACGATATGGCTATACAAGAGCTTCACAGCGACAGAAAATATGCGATTCTAAATAAAATATGGCCACGCATGACTCGAGGCGACTTCGATACCTATATGGATCTATACGACAGATACTTCTTGTTCTTGGAGGAGCAAATGTGCTTGATTGAACGGAAGTCAATTCTTTACTCCACGAAATCCATCGACGAACTCACATCAACTATTGAACACATTCGGCAGTTTCCTCAGAAACCAAAGTTCGAGTTGTTCGAAAGTTCGTCGGACGAAACTATGAGATCAGCGGACATGGCCATAAGGATTTGGCTGACGATCGATATCCAACACTCAACGCCTGATTCAAGAACCTCTCGTGTGTGGCCAAACTTTAGTTCGCTCAGATTCCTGGTGGGAGGTTGGCCATTCCCGAGCAGAAAGTATCATGATGGAAACCGACAAATTCCACAAAGCTTCTCTGTTGCAAACCTAACTCGCTACTACGACTTCCAAGTGAACTGGACAAGTGATCTGACTCAACACCTCACTATTGACTGGAAATACAAGCAGATTACAATTTTTGAGCACGCCATTTGCTTAAGAAATCATCTTGCATATCCAGATGACTGTCCACTCCCAAAGATATTAGTACAAGAGGCTGTTGATACGATCAAACTACTTTTTCCAGATGACAAGGACACCAAAGCATTCTTATCCAGAGAAGGAAGAAAGCTCCTCAAGATTCCCTTTGGACGCGAACGGTCATTATCACTTGGAGACTTCTCATATTGGGAAACAGAGATCTCACAGCTATTAGACGTCTGGGAACAAGGACCTAGTGGTTGGTCTCAGTTGCGCTTGAGGCCTGACCGGAGTAACTTCTTGGAGTACTCTACTTTCTGGGCTGCAGCGGTTGTCCTGCTCCTCACTGTTATCAGCATCGTGTTTGGCGTGGCTGGCTTGGTACTCGCTAAGAAGGCGTTAGATGTCAGCGTTAAGTCGCTTGATGTATCGGTAAAATCGTATGAGTTATCTCTGGCTATTGCATGTGCTGAAGCGAATGCGACGGATACTTTGCCTGCTTTTTGTAAATAGAATCTTTTGTAGATATAACGAAAATAATGGATTCACCAAGGACTAGCTAGACTGGATAGATAGGGCCCTTGTTGGAGCTTGTGACTTTATGATTCGTATTGTGTAATGCATCTATTTGCATGCCATTGGCTCTTGCAAATGTTCGATCTGGCTGAAAACTGGTATCACCTATTTCTACTCAAGATGTCTCTTGAACCAAGACACTGCCTGGTTGAACGCTTGCTCTTTGGCAAACAATTGCCTCTTGTCCTTCATGTCTCCCTTGACAGCGAAGCCGTGATGAACTCCAGAGAACAGATTGATCTGGAAGTCCTGCTTTGACTTGGACAGGATGCCTTCACTCTCATGGCGTTTCTCGACTGTGAAAAGATCATCAAGCTCTGCGGCGGCGATAGAGAGGGGACCAGTGATAGCAGCCAGCTCCTCTGACTCAACGAAGGAGGGATGAGCGATGAATCCGACGTTAATGCCATCCTTGTAGTGACGGATGAGATGCTAGAGGTTGTTAGCTGGGTAAAACTCTTCAAGCTTGGTTACGAAACGAACCTTGGCTCCTAAACAATATCCAACGGCAGCAATCTGAGTAATACCAATGCCCTTGAGGTACTCAATGCCAGACACGACAATGGGATCCACAGCTTCCGCCGTGTGAGGGTTGTTTCCGTCAGACCCCTGACCCAACCACTTCATAATGTCGAAACCCTCGGGCATCTCTAATGGCACTGGATCACCATTGAAGGTATCAACAACAAGACATGTATAACCCTCAGCAGCGAAGGCATCCGCCATAAGTTTGCTGTTTTGCCAGATTCCGAAGATGTCTGGTAGGTATAGAACAGCCTGCTTAGACTCCTTGGATGGCTTTGCCAGATATCCGGTGACATTGCCGACTTTGACAGCGTCTCCTTTGGGAGTACCCCTAAGAAGTCTTAGTTGACAAGATCACCAGATAAAACTATTGAGATTGACTTACTCATGGAGGTTGGCGATAGTGCAGCACGCAGCAGGAGGATGAGATGCCATTTTTGGTATCGTTCAGCTGATCAAGTTACGTCGGTTCTGAGGATCACAATCACCAAGATAAGATATGGAACACTACAGCATGCATAAATACGATAATTCCCCCATTTCTAATCAGTTATTTAAATAACAACCAGTCTCATGATCAACTTAGTTCAGCTCGAGCCTTTACTAAAAACGGAATGGCCGTGATCCGTTCCGAACGGCGGAAGGTGGGTCAATATCCACATTCCGGGTCCGGCAATCGTTCAGCAGATGATAAGTAAAGAGCCGATAAGATGATGTGGCTACGGCATTTATAAGAAATACTGTCATCAAATAAACGCACTCTGTACAGAATAACTGATTATCAAACCATTACCTTCATATCATACCCACTCAAATCAATATGGCTACAGACGCTCTCCACGATGTCCGTCCCATGTTTGAGCTCCGCGGACGAAACTATATCGTCACTGGTGGAGCTCAAGGCATTGGTTTCGCTTGCACGCGAGCTATTTGCGAAATGGGCGGTAATGTCGCCGTGTTAGATATCCAGAAAGAACCTACTGCTGAGTTTGACACGTTGAGTGCGAAGTTCTCTGCCAAGACTGTTTACATCCAGACAGATGTCACGTCGCAGGAGAGCATCAATGCGGCTTTCGATAAGGTGCTGAAGGAGTTTGAGACTATTGATGGTGTTGTACCCGCTGCGGGTATCGCTATTGATAAGCCGTTCGTGGATCAGACTTGGGAGGAGTTTACCCGCATTCAAGACATCAATGTAAGTTATCCGGTCTGCCAAGATGGATTTGACTAATGGGGATAGGTCCGGGGCACGTTCTTCGTGGCTCAACTTGCGGCCCGCCAGATGATCAAGCAGGGCACAGGCGGAAGCATGGTCCTCCTCGCCTCTCAATCAGCACACATTGGCCTTCCCGGCTACCGGATGGCGGCATACAACGCCTCCAAGGGCGGAATCCTCATGCTCTCCAAAGCCTTGGCAGTTGAGCTAGCACCAAAGGGTATCAGAGTGAACACGATCTCACCTGGATTCGTGGACTCTGAGATGACACGGACTGTTCGTGAGCTTAAGAGTAAGAGGGAGGGAGAGCAGATGTGGTTGGCGCCGCCGAATCAGAGATTGAGTACGCAGAATGACCTTACGGGGGCGGTTATTTACTTGTTGAGTGATGCGGCGAGACATACTACTGCGGCGGATATTCCGATTACTGGGGGTTTGCATGCTGGTACTATTGATGGGTTGATTAGTTATGAGAACTAGGTTGAGTTTAGCATTGAGAATGATATCAAATTGAGTTTATTAAGATTTAAATCCTTGTTCTCTAATCTTCAAAGCTTCATGAAATCGTCCGGGCTTCGACAACATGCGGCTGCATTTTTTATGGAGAGTCGGAATGGAGTCTCGATATTGACGCTGTTTTACTAACGCATGGCTGTAGTGATCTTGGCATTATCAACAGATGGCATTGATAGCCAAGAGGGCTGTATCCAGAACACCATAATACCTTTCCCGCAGCAAGAGTCAAGTGATAAGCCTTCAGCTGACCAGCGGCCCGCGAAGCGGATACCGCACCTGGAATCAGCAAAACGCCCGGATCCGTTCCACAACCCCATACCCGCTCGCTCTCTTGACCATTTTACGGAACCGCCAATCATCGGCTACGGGATCATAATCATCTTAATTCATTCCTAACGCTAATACCAATATCAAAATATACTCTCCGAAAACATGTGATTAACATCCCCAATAGGCCACTGCAACCTTAACGAATCCTCCCAGCCCATCTGCATATCCGTATCCGAAATTACCGTCCCAGCCACCGCAAACCCCCCCGGAACAACTCCATTATTAAAAGGCGGCGAGTACTCCGCATAAGGCTGGAATTCTTCAACTGGTTGTGCGAGACTCGCTCTTCTGATCGACTCTGTGACGTTGTCTAAACCTTCGTGACTTCCTGGACTCGCTGGGTTCAGAATTCCCAGGCTGAGAAGGTTACGGCGCATTTCGATGAGACGCTTGGCTAGACGACGTGCGGAGCGCGATCGGTGGGTGTATTTTGTTGTTAGGGTCACGCACATGCTGAAACTGCCGCCGAGAGATTCGATCAGGTCGGGGGTGAGGCTTGGAAGCATTGTTGTTCTGTTTTGCTTTATGAAAGCGATTAGCAGGAATGCTAGACCGGCTGTGCATGCTAGTATATGCTGGTAATGTGGATGTTGTTTGCGGTAGATATCCGTAGTCGAGTCAAGCGTGTGCAAAACATGAATGATATCGTATACTCGATCAGTCGCTGATCGCACGTGGTTCTTTGTAATCTCAATGTCCAACTCTGAGAAGAAGAATGGTTTGAGAAGTTGACTCCGAACGGATTCCGCTCGGAGATTTAGTAGGATCGTCCATGTTGGCGGACGGGTTGATGGATCTGTATGCCATGCTTGGCAATTGGCAACGTTGTAATCACCAACAGCTTTCTTTCTCCACTGCTCAATCTGAAAGCTCATCAACTCAAATGAGTTTTCATCGTTGTAGCCTTCGCCTTTCGCGGCGTTTGATATAGGTTCGCTGAAACGATCGCTAATGAGGATGAAAGAGAGCATGGCTTTGAGGTATGGGTTCTTGACAGAAGATGTCGACATGGAGCTGAAGCTCGTGTCTTGGAAGTGTGTCGGTAAACCAGTTGCATAGCTCCATTGCCGATCGAGGATGACTATACTGCTGATGAGAGTACAAGCTTCTGTGCGTTGAGCCTCTGTCTTGACGGTATGTCTGAATACTTCGGCGTTGTGGAGACCGAGTTCCATCAGCATGCGACCTGCGATGCCGCACATGCGCCAAGCGGAGCGGGGCATCTCTTGGAAGAAATCATACCAGCCCTGTCACTCAATTAGTAAATTTACCATCTTAGACAGTGGTTATATGGCATACCTTGAGAAATATTATGGTCGCATGCTGAATGCTATTAGCAGGCGCAGCCAGCTTCGCATTAACAGAATCTTGAAAACTATCCCTCAACAAATTCTCCGTATTCGAACTCGACGGGTTCCCATCAGCCCTCAAAGCAATAGCCAAACACAGATTCAATATCAATAGCAACTCGTACGTAGCAGCTCCAGTGCTCGACGCCAGAACATCCCAGATCCCAGCACCAGCTTCAGCATACCACGAGCGCGTCTGCATGATAAGCGCATCGATATCAACAACGGGATGAAGTCCACCAACGACCTCTTGATAAATGTACAAAAGCTGAATGGCCTCTTGTAAACCCATGATTGAGCGGAATGTTAGAAGCATTGCCGGATCGCCTTTATCGATTGCGCGCGGGGAGACGGAAAATTGTGTATTTTGCCCATCGTTCTGATCCGCCTCATCGGAAGCATCGTCTTCGTGAATACTGGCAAGTTGTAATTGCTTTTGTTGAAGCGGTGGACCTGGGCAGCTATTTCGTCGGAGTTTCAATTGTCCCACATTCAATGCGTAGTCTGGACACGTTGGGCCGTAGAAATGTTGAGAGGCAGTTGTTCGGGAGGATTTTGGTGTTGAGCTCTGATCATCGGTGGTGGATTCAGTATAACTGTGACTGATGATGGGTATTGTATTGGAATTAGGATTTGGGTTAGGATCGCGGGGCCGTGTTGCAGCAATCATTGTTTGTTCCTGGTTATTCGAGTATTGAACTTGCGACGCCAAGCTATTCACTTGCTCTTGAAGGCTCGAGAGCATATCAACAATCGCAGCTTGGTTCGTCTGACATGATGTCCCTGAAGTCGCACAATTACGGTTCGTAGTCGCAGGTACTGGGTCAGTGAGAGCGGGCGCTGGAGGCGCTGCTGTCGTTGTAGCGGGGTGCCAATCGTCACTCTCAAGACTGGAGCTATTGTTCTCAAGGCTGCTGCTGTAACTGCAATTCTGGTTTCGGCCTGAGCAGTGTCTGCATGGTTGTCGTCCGTCGCATTTTCCCTTTCGTCGTCTACATGCGTCGCATGCGCGCAGAGCATATGGTGTCCTTCGTTTTCCGGTTTCTCCGGTGGAAGTGCTGGATTTCTTGACGCCTTTGGGTTCACGTGCCTGTGCCATGACGAAAACAGGGGTCCGTCGTGCCCCTTTGTCGCGTCGCGTTGACGACAATCCAGTAATAACAGTCAATCGATGTGTCGTGAAGTTTAGAGACTGTTATATGCTTTCGATTCTGTCTAAAGTTGGGGTTAGAGGTGAGAAAGGCGGAAACTCGGGGACAAAAGGTGAAGAAACACCGCCTTCATTATTTATATTTGGTAAATCTTGACTAGCGTCGGTCTTCACCTTGGACCCATGCGGGGTAAACCTGACTAGACTGAGATCGGTGAGACTAGCGCTAGGTTCTACTTCTTATCTCCCATAATTTTAGCTGCGCAGATAAGTAGGGGACTTCCATCGATTCGGTTTAGCTGGTGGCCAACGGCTTACATGAGCGGTTTTAAGACCAATCAGACATTATCGGTTTGAAAGACCCCTATCATCACCCCGATTTCGGAACATGGTCCCGTTGCATTGGTTGGTTGAGGTTCAGGGTAGATGATTCAGGTTATCACATGCAGGTGGAAGAGCTCAACTGGAAATATAACGTCTCATAGTCATTAACAGCAATACCTATAGGCCAATGCTCTTATACAATTTTATCTTGAGTAATACAATAAAATTGATTCAATTGGCTATATTATTCCCCCCCAAATGCTAAGGCTCAACGTTGCACTCGAATCTTCAGCGATCTAAATAAGTCCCTGAGTGGGGCAAAGTTGTCGTCATAATTTGGCATCAAATACTACCCGCGGGAAGAAATGGAAGTTTATGTTTTACTCAAATCAATTGACGCTAAACTAATGCCAATACCCAAATGCTACGCTACACCTCCCGAACCTTGTAACTAAACATCTCATTCGAAGCCACCGAATTCCTATCTCTCATCTTCGCCGCTGTGTCAATACCCGTCACAGGCACGCGATACTCATACTTGGCACCCTCCTTCTGTCCTGCAACAGGATACGGGAAGGGAAGATACTGCGGTATCAAACCTAATTGTGCAAGAACAGTACCTTGATCCCATGCGATATGCTCATGGTAGAGGCGATCGCCGCGGATGTTTACGACTGCTGTAAAGGGGACTTCCATCTTCTTGTCGGTTGGTGGAACGCCGGGAAGTCTGGGGATATTAGTAAGAGTTACGCGAAGGGGTGTTTGAGGTGACGTACAACCAGTCGATGGTCTTGTTATGGGTGAACTTGTAGAGAAATTCATCGACTACACGGTCAATACCGATTGTGCGGCTGATAAGTTCAAGTTCTGTGTCGTCTGAGTTTTGAAAGATGAAGTTATCGCGGTAAAAGGTAGTGAGTGACTTGCGACCGATTCCACCAGTAAGCTGGTCCAATGTTAGTAATTGTACTCAGCCTCTATCTTCCTGAACTTACAGTAGGCACGTGGTTGACATATGGCTGATCAACCATAGTGCTCATCGTATGCTCAACCGAACGATCCGCAAACTCATAATACGTATGCTCATCCCAAATAGCCTCAAGATCAAAGTACGGACCGTTAGTAAGTGGCTTCAGGAAAGTCAAGTTTCTTGTGTGTGATAGTGACTCGGTCCAGTAATCGAAGTCATCTTGGAATGGCGTTGCCATGAGATGAGACTTTGCGCTGGAGTATGAGTATGTTGTGAGGCTATCACTTCTCTCAATGATGGCGGTGCGGCCTGCAATATGGCGCAGGATGGGGATGTTGGACTTCTCAAGGGTTGCGAGATCTGCGTCGTTGGCGTAGATCACGGCACCTACTAGGCCTGAGTTGTTGAGAGAGCTGGCTACCTGGTTCCATAGCTTGGGGTCATATGCTGTCGGAGAATTAGTACGACTTCACCCGCCAACACATGAAAGAACCTACCAATAAGTCCAATCTTGCTATCCTTCTCTAGTTGTTCACAACCCCTCAAAGCCTTCAAAGCATCACTCAACACCTCACCAGTATCTCTCTTAAACGCCTTGGCCTGTACCTCAACAACAGCATACCCCTCCTCAGCCCACTTCAAAAGAGCAGAAGGAACACCCTCAATAATCTCCAAATGCTTCTCCGAGTCAGGACTCAGAATAACAAGACCAGGTCCATGACCCCGTCTCGAAAGTGGAGGCAGAAGAGTAATCCCCTCACCAACAGTCTCAGGCTTGGCCTGGGGAAGAGGAGCAGGAGGCTTCGAAATGTCGGCGTACATTGTGAAAATTGATTGGTTGGTTTGAGTCTGGGGTGAAGGGTGGTCTAGGCGCTGCTCGAAGAAACAATATATAGATAGTAAATGTGAAATACGTAGAGCGGAACTCGGCCGAGGTTGGTGAACCCCGGATTATGATACGAGGGGGTTATCGTGGACCCCGCTTTGACAAGTCTTATCGCAGATCTGAGATAAACGCTTCAGCTTCGGAACTTCCGACCGGAAAGTCCGTTGACGCATGATGCGCTGTTAGTCTTTGAACTAACGATGATAACCGAGTCAACTCCAGCGAGTCATATCTGTTCCTGCATCACTAATCTGGATTAGATATCTGATTTACAGGGTTCGGAACACCTATTGAAGCTATTGTGTGGTTCCGTAGCGATAAATTACCCCAGATAAAGCAACTGATACGTGGGGTCGGAATGGGGGGACGGAACGTGTAATCTGGGGTAGAAGCCAAGCTAGTGTTATCGGCATTCCTTGTTTACTGGTAAGTGCTACAGCAGGTGAGATATCGTTCCGACATGTGTTGGTTGTTTTAGGGGTTCAGCTGAGTTGTCAGTTGGAGATTAGACGAGGTTTTGGAGTGAAACCGACGTTTGGGGATACCCGACGCTTGTGGTTGGATAGATATAGAAAGCCCATCGTTCGCCCCCTTGGCTGTTTGCATCATCATACTCGCTTCTTTCAACTAATAGAGGATACACGATCTTGCCTTTTACCTCTCAACACTCATTCTTCTATCTTCAATAAGACAACATGACTAAGTCGTACGATGTCGTGGTTGTAGGCGCCGGTAAACCCCCCCCCTCACAAAGACATCGTCAACTAACAACACAGGATGGTTCGGTCTCGCCGCCGCAAAAGCGATCAGACAAATCAGCCCCCACGCCAATCTCGCCGTCCTAGAATCCGCCGAGTCGTGCGGTGGCACCTGGTCCAAGAACCGTCTCTATCCCGGTCTCAAGTCCAACAACATGAAGGGCACATACGAATTCCCCGACTTTCCCATGGTCGAGAAGACATACGGCGTCAAGCCCAACAGCCACATCCCCGGAACTGTCCTCCACCGATATCTCACCGACTTCGCCAAGCACTACGACTTTCACGATCGAATCCAGTTCAACACTTCTGTTAACTTGGTAGAAAGAAATGGCGATGCTGGCTGGAGAGTTAGTGTTACTTCCCCCGAGGGAACAGAAAGTATCACTACTGAGAGATTGGTGCTGGCTACTGGTCTTACATCAACACCGAATATGCCTCAGTACAAGAACGCTGAAAAGTTTGGTGCTCCTCTCTTCCACGCTAAGGACTTCTGCAAAGAAGCTCCTAACCTGGACGTCAAGAAGGCTATCGTCGTTGGTGGTGCCAAGTCTGCCTTTGATGTTGCCTACGCACTGGTTCAAGATGGCGCAACAGTCGACTTGGTTGTTCGTCCTACAGGAAACGGTCCAGTCTGGATCGCTCCTCCTTTCGTCACACCTCTCAAGAAGCGACTTGATCAGTTGCTCAACATCCGATGGATGACTTGGTTCAGTCCTTGCCCTTGGGGTCAAGAAGATGGTTTCCCTGCTGTGCGAAACTTCCTCCATGGAACATCTGTTGGACGATTTCTTGTCAGCAACTTCTGGAAGGCTTTGAGTAACGATGTCACTGGCGCTATCGGATACGACTCTCATCCCGAGCTTGCGAAGCTTAAGCCTTGGCACTCTGCCTTCTGGATTGGCAGTGGCCTTAGTATCCTGAACTACGATAGCCCTCTGTTTGATCTTGTCAAGCAGGGTAAGATCAGAGTTCACATCGATGACATTGAGTCATTGGAGCCTAACCGAGCTGTCCTGGCTTCTGGTAACGTTATTGACACCGACGCTATCATCTGCTCAACAGGCTGGAAGAAGGAGTCTACTATCAAGTTTGCAGAGGATGAGCTTGGTCTTCCCTACTCCACGGAGAAGAAGCGCTCCTTGGCCCAGGCCGCCGACGAGAAGGTCCTATCTCTTTACCCCGACCTCAAGAACCAACCCGAACTCAACGTCAAGCCCAAAGAAGCCAACCCTCTTCGCTACTACCGCTTCATGATTCCCTCCGGCATGGTCAAGACCCGCGACTTGGCTTTCGCAGGTATGATCTCAACCGTCAGCACAGCCACATGCGCAACTATCCAAGGCCACTGGATCGCCGCTTTCCTCGCCGGCAAGATTGATCGCATTCCTACATCTGACAAGGAGATCACCGACGAGATTATGCTGCACACTCAATGGGGCAAGTGGCGATACCCCTGTGGCTACGGCGCTGATCTTCCTGATCTTGTGTTTGAGGGACTGCCTTATTGTAACATGCTTATGAAGGATATGGGACTCGAGACACATCGAAAGGGAAGCCGCTTCCAGGAACTTACTTCGCCTTATCTCCCCGCTGACTTTAAGGGATTGGTTGAGGAGTGGAAGGAGAAGCATGAGGCTACTGAGGAGATTAACGGTGTTGAGGTTGAGCAACTTGCTGGTGCGCTGAAGAAGGCGTAAGGTGTATTACTTTGTCGTTAGCATATATCCATTAGTCGAGATTGTTCGCGCTTCTGTCCATTGGCAGTTGTCGCATGATAGCAGAATCAAAATAAATATTCTTTAGTAATCTTCTGTTTCTCTTTTCCCGATGATAAGAGTGCTCATGACGACTGTGATTGAAGGTCTCTGGCTTTGGCGGCCTGTAAGTTACAGTCTTCTACTGCATTCTAGCGGGTCTCACATTCCTGGAGGAGGTTGCTCACTTAAGCTTCAGCGCTGACGCCAACAGCCTATGCGTGTCGCCAAACCACTTCGCTGTCCATTGGCGCGGGCATAGCTTGTTATCGAGCTCTCATAAATGGCACTGCAATATTTAAGCCAAAGAATGCTTGGCGACTTTCTTACACTTACGACAGAACCAATTGAGTTATCTGAACCCTGTAAACTGATGTCATTGTCAGCGTGAAGCGCGCCCTTCGAATGAACTATGACGCTGCTTACCATCAATTGATGCGACCTAGTAGTATACTTAAAAGAGCTTATCTTGACATCAAACTGCGTGACCATCACTTAACACGCAGTGCGACAGCGCAAAATGGACCGCAGCTTCGATATCACGACCGGTACGGGCGCAGCGTCGATTCACGGCGGCATCATTCCCCTAGAACCCCTCAATCCCAAAGCGAAGCTAAGAACAGCCAATCAAACCAACAAAAATGACAGCGATGCGCAACTGAACCCTCCAGTTCCTGAAGAAGAAAATGCTCCAAGCGCACAGGACTCAAGCGGTCTGGGGATATCCAAGACAAGGGGTGTAATTGTCATCGTCACTCTTGCAGGCATCAGCTTTCTCAATACCACGGGCTCGGGAATCCTCATCGCTGCGCTTCCCAAGATCGCTAACGACGTTGGTCTCTCCGAGAACCTGATCTTATGGCCTGCAGCGGTATATGCGCTCGCAGCTGGATGTCTATTACTCATCTTTGGCGCCATTGCGGATGTCGTCGGGGCCAAGTTGATGTGGGTTACAGGGAGTTTTCTCTTCGTGGCTTTCACATTGGCTGTTGGCCTTGCTCAGACGGGCATTCAAGTCATTCTATTTCGGACTCTGCTCGGAGCTTCGATATCGATGTGCTTGCCTACGGCTGTCAGCTTGATAGCTAACACCTTCCCCAAAGGGCCCTGGAGAAATGTCGCGTTTGCGATCAATGGAATGGGCAGTCCTTTAGGCTATGCTCTTGGCCTCGTTCTTGGAGGTATCTTCACTGATACGATTGGCTGGAGATGGGCCTACTACATGAGCGCAATCATCAACTTTTGTCTATCCACAGGCGCAATCTGGTCTCTGCCATCTGTGTACACTCCTTCAGAGCGAAAGTGGACAACTCGCTTGATGCATGAGATTGACTGGGTCGGAGCTACTACCATGAGCGTTGCACTCGGCATGCTGCTCTATGTTCTTGCCATGATATCATCGTCTTACAAGAGACTGGATGATCCCCAAAATATCGCGCTTTTGATAATTGCTATTATCTTGCTGGCTGCATTTCCCTTTTGGATGGACTACCAGGTCAAGCGTGGAAAGCCAGCCTTGATACCGAACAGCCTCTGGAAGAATCGATCTTTCACCTCAGTTTGCATCGCTGTCTTCTTGTGTTGGGCTTCACTGAATGGTATTGAGTATTTCACAACGCTTTAGTGAGTTCACTGAAATACACATTTGATCATATACTGACCCCGGACCCCGTAGCTTCCAAAAGGTAGAAGGTCTGTCAGCTCTAGAAAGCTCTCTCAGATTTCTACCTCATGTCATCATGGGCGTAGCGGTAAACATCATCACTGGCTTCCTCATCGCCAAAGTCAAAGTCCGCACTTTGGCTGTTGTCTCAGCACTTGTTACAATGGTAGCTGCACCTCTGATGGCGACCGTTGATGTCGGCGAGAACTACTGGCTTGCTCCGTTTTGGGCCATGTTCCTTTCACCCGTCAATCCAGATGGTAGTTTCAACCGCACTCTGACCTGGCCAAGCTAACGTAAAATAGTACTGTTCACTGTGTCGAACCTCGTGATTTCCGACGCTTATCCCCCAGAGATGCAATCCCTCGCTGGCGGTGTCTTCAATGAAGTAGCTCAGTTCGGTAACTCAGTGGGCTTAGCCATTACCGCTGCAATTGCCGCTTCAGTTACAGAGCACTCTAATATCACGGAACGCGAAGAGGCTTTGATGAAAGGTTATCGGGCTGCGTTCTGGACTATATTCGCTAGCTGCAGCACTGTTACTATTGTAGTGTGGCTTGGATTGAAGAAGGGCGGTATCGTTGGAAGGAAGCAGGACTAGTTATGACTTTTGAAGATCTTAATCTCTTCGAGAGGTATATTCGCAGCAAGTACTCAATCAAGACTTTCTAAACAATCTCCTTGCAAATCCTCGAGCCCCTTCTGAGCGCGTGATCATCTTCTTACGATACTCCTGAAACTGACTGGGTGAAGTCAATACGCATTGGTTTACTTGCTCGTGCTTTGACGTCCTGAATCGTATTTGACAGGTCCAGACGCTCTTGAGGAACTCTGCTGGAGAGGGTATCACTCTTATCTCATGTTCTGGCAGAGACATTATGAACTCAGGCTTCAAGACCTCACATACTGCTGCAGCCCAGTTATATGGAAGGGCTGGTTTATCAGATGCCCAGTCCGTTTGAGACCATTGCGGAGCCACTGCAATTACTTGGAGTGGTTCAGTGCCCATGATGTTCTTGGCGCAAGCCTGCTGGGGACGAATAGTTGGCTGGACTGTATACTAACAAGATGTTAGATCAACAAGACTGTATCTCATCCTCGCATGAATGACAAACCTCGTGTATCGTCCCGCAGATCATTTTGCCAAAGACCTTGCAATGGTCTTTATGATAAGGCGGATCCAGTAATACGCCGTCGACTTTACTAACCAAGTTGTCTGTTTTGTAAAGTACACCGAGCTCTGTGAGGATAATCTCGATCTCCGGGTGAATTCCATACCATCTTGAAGGCCCCTCGATGATAATGATAATATTATGCCAGGGCGGTGGAACGTCTTCGCCGAGCTCCAAACGGCGAGTCAGTCCAACAACTGCAGCAGTGATAAATTCCCATTGACGTTTAAAAACAACAGAAGTAGTCATAGTAGTAACAGGGATGTAGAAAACAACTTTGATGTCTCTAGGCAGTAGGTATCGCTTAGGTCGTAGAGTGTCTTTCTGAGAGGGAAACTCTTGTGCTGAACATGTCAAAGCCGTGAAGCTATTGCAGGAGGATTCGGTGTAGTATTCTTCAGACAAGAGATCTGTGATTGCCGTTGGCATGGGCCAGTTGATTACCAATCTGCCATGGAAGGTCTCGACCTCCAAGTAGTAGAAATCTGGCGTTTCTGACACAACTTCATATCCGGAGAGGGGAAGGTGGTCAGTCTTTCTTTCTTTTGTTGAGATATCCTTCGTTACCTCAGGCTCGTCCTTTTCGTAACCGTGAGAGTACTCATCATCACTGTCAGATTTTGTAGGCCCCGGTCTGAACCGGCGTTGATGGCCGCCTCACTGGTTTCGGTTGATGTGTTTTGAGGTTTCTGCTTCTCAGAAACTTCCGCACGGTCTAGATGATGTATTCCACCGGTTCCTCTTGCGCCTTGCGAAGATGTAGACTGGGCTGATGTGGCCAAACGCTGAACCTCTCCCAAATATGCCTGATGTACGTGATCTGGCCATTCTCTCTCTTTCTTTTCCCAGTATTTTTTTTTCACTCCCTGCTGAAGACTTTTCCCATTCTTCAAGGTAAGCGCCGTCCGTTGGTATTACAAGCTCATCGTGTCCCTCGGAAGCCTCCTGATGTTCTGAATGGTGACAAGCGACCGGCTGTTGCGTGTTTTGTCGTGAAGGCTCGAGTAAACGTTGAGCTTCTTTAAGTTTTGTTTCCGCCAACCTTTCCTCGTGTTTTTTCCCTTCCCATCTCTTCTTCTTGAACTTGTAAGATACCGGATCGCTCGCTGCAGAATCCAGCTCCCAGTCCGAAAGATAAGCAGGATCTGATGGCCTATCGCTCCCTTCTTCTCTCTCAAGGACAAAAGACGGCGCTCTTGTGCTGGAGTCTCCTCCGTCGATAGATGCGCCATCTAAGGCCTTCTTAGTATATGTCGTCATTTCTTCAAGAAAGTTTTGAAGGATATAGTCGTTTCCTCCTTGTTTCGGCAATCGTTGCTGAAGGCGAAGTATTTCTTCCAGAATTTGCGCCGTGTCATCTTTTATCGCTGATGCCTGATTCCGAATCTATGTTGTGTCGTTTTTTATCTCTTTGGTAACGTGCCTACATGTGTTGGTCAGCCTGTCCCAAGTAGTTGTGTGGGTACTTACAGCGATAACATATCTAGAGCTAACTCTAATGCCGCCTTGTGAGCCTCAAGGTTTGAGCGCAATTTTGCGACATCTCCTTGTCCATTGATAGCCCAACCAGCCTTGGATTTGAGTCGATTATCACCGCCATACTTCGTGATACACTCTTGTAGCTCTACAACTACTGAGTTGCAGTTTGTCACGATACCCGAAACATGGCGTTCGAGAGTCGTGGGAAGTGTCTTGCTCTCATCAGTCACATCTTCTTGGATAAGTTCAAGGACTGTTTGCAGGGAGAGCAGCTCTCGTGCAACTCGGTCAAGATCCCCCCGAGCCTCGCGACAGGTGCGAACAAAGGAGTTGATGGACAGTGAGAGCGTGCCGATGGTCGAAATAAGAGTGGCGCAACCTGTCGCTATTGATAAAGGGTCCATCGTTCTGTGAGATGTCTAATCATTGATATGCGACAATGAGATTCTTGAGCGAGGGGCATTGAAACCGGATTTACGCTGACAGGGCTCATTCGAGCTGTGACGCCCAATTGGTCGATGACTTCGACGCATTTTGCTACGGCGCTTAAGAATTATGCAGTTTTGTGATTGGCCCATCAATATGCCAAGGCTCAACCGCAATCCAAAGATAACCGATAATTGAGTGAGGTTATTCGCATAATTTCACATCATCAAATATCGCTGCGCACAATTAATGTGTCATTAAAACTATCGGGAACTATGTAATGACGATGGAAAGGTATTCGGTAGAAAAAATTTGATTGGATGTTGCTATATGATGGTTCATTTAACAATGCACCGTGAGCATTAAAATGATTGATAGGTGATGCGTATTATTTCTGAAGAGATACTAATGTAACATCTTTAAAAACCATCATTCCTTTTTCGGACGTTAATCAACAAGTGCATTACCTTATAAAGATAAATTTACAGTTCAAGTGAGAATAGCTTTTGCAATATCTCAATCGGAGGCTAACGTCATGTTTAGCATCTGCGTTTTATTCCATGGTGTCGCGTAATTTAGGTCAGAGAAATCGCAAATCCACGAAGTTTTCTGGTGGCAGTAGCGGACCTCACCAGCTTCGAGACCTGGCCACCCAAAGATGAGTTGTCAAGGGATAATTGTTCCTAAAGTGCCTAAACCTTTGCCATTCCACCTTTTGCTACCTGCGTTGGCATGCTTATCTCGCTGTCCCAGGTAGATGGAGAAATATGTGACGACAATGGCATGATCAGAGCGCCTCGTTGAACTAATGATGCGCACACGAGTAATGCCTCAAAACAGCTTGCAAGGAGTTAATCCGTTGTCGCTAATGAATAAACTCTGGTGCTGTAGTGCTTGCATAAATCTAATCGGTCTAACGGTGAACGTCAGCCACCCGGAGGAGATGCACCGGACATACAAGTGTCATGGTGCATAACGATCGCCAAAATCTGGTTAACCATAGGGCTGTGTGAGCGGATACTTCAGGGGAACTGAGATCTAGCCAATCATAAGCTCCATGCTAAATAGTCTATGCCATCATAAGTATGTTTGTGAGATCTAACGCAGTGCTTTTGGACCAGTAGATCCATGCAAACATCTCCCTGATTGTCGTGAATGAGACTGTCTAACGCCATTCTCTCATCAATGACAAGCTGATAATTCATTTCGATCATTCTGAACGATAATTGTTCCATGATTTGACCCATACCCCAGGTTTGGCTGCTATTATTGTTAGTTACACCGCATCATCATCTAGCCCGAATGCGGGGTGAGCATTGGACGATCACCAATATTTGACCGTGAATTTCTTGTGCGACATTGCGTTGGGAATTGAACAAAGCAAAGCAAAGTCAATGACATCTACGAACATGCTTACGGTGAAGAACAGAGAACCAACAGCTCGATCAATTCGATCCATGACGTCAATGAGTCTGTATGTCTCAGCGTTTGCTGGATAGATATGAGAGGATTGATGTTTATAAAGGAAGCATGAATCTCCAAGTTGTGCTTCCAATTCATCATCACACACTCCATCTCGCCAACAATCACAAGCACTTCTACAACCTTTACAACTACCAACAACAACTTCATCATGTCTGACTACAAGCCCACTGGTACATCTTCCCTTCCACTCTCCCCCATGTCACAACCTCTAACAGCATATAGAGCACGACGGCCTCCGCAAGGACGGCCAGCCTGACGGTCGCGTCGGCACCGGCGAGTTTGCTCACGGCAAGGTCGATCCTCACAAGGCCGGCGAGCAGGGCGGAAAGACTTCTGGCTCCGGCGAGGGTCTTGGAAGCAGTGACAGCAGCGGTGGTGACTACAAGCCCACTGAGCACGATGGCCTGAAGAAGGATGGCAGCCCTGACCAGCGTGTCAAGGGTAACTGAGGCGTTACGGATTATGCAGCGATATCTACTACCTGAATGATAAAGCTTTAACACCGAATACTCATACCGAGTCTACCTTGGTGAACATGAATGTGATTGTTTGTGACTTTAAATGACTCCAAGTATATGTATGATCCACATGCAGGAGTTGGGGAAGCGCAAGCAGTATCGTGTGCTCGTTATTGAGCCAATAACGCCGACATGTATCGCGTCATGATGCTTTCATCCAGTGATGTATCGGGGTGAGATAATCTACCTAATTACTACTATTGTTAATGCCTAGCTTCATAATTCAAATACTCTTACCAATTGGAAGCTTTAATTAACATAGCATCCGGGTTCTATCCAAATGTTCCGATTAGCTTCATTCACAATGTTGGCTGAGCCGCAAAAAACCAACAGAAAACCATTCTATCTGAGCCGCAGACTAGGAAAATAACATTGCGATCTACATCTCGTATCGCAAGTATTTCCTCTTTCCCCGAGCGACATCTGTAACAGGCCAAACTATATAAAAAATAAGCTTCGATAGATTGACTCGCGTCTCACTCTCAGGGCTGAGGCCCGTATCCACCGCGGAGCCGAACCTCAGCATTTACCAGGGTAAGCACATGGTATTTTGACAACACCACGCGATGAGGCTTGAGCCACGAACTATTACCTTCTGTCCGGGATCAATTCGTCCCGTCTTTAATCATCCCAACACCACGTTTTTTTCTTTCTTTTTTTTCTTTTTTTTTTTTTTTTTTTTTTGAATTGGTGCTAGATAAGCCCCTTTTATTTAGTGCGAGTTGATCAAGGCTAATTTCTTGGGATCATGTTTCGGGCTTTTGGGTGTTGATGGACGCTAAGATGCGGAGCCGCAAAAGCAAATACTCGTCTGGGGTCTTGTATCGAAGGCTACCAATGATGATCATTGGGAATGACTTGTAGATACTGATTAGTGATTCAACTAAATGGTCAAATTCACCGTTTCCAGAAGATGGTAATGGTAGGAATGACGGCCAGATATCGATATATCCATTAAATCAAACAAAGAGCTATAACGAGAACATGAGGAACTTCGACTGACGACACTCCTTTCCCCTGAGGACACGCACGCCTGTAGCCAACATCACACATCGCAGGGTACCTTGCAGTCATAACACTCCCAAAAGAGATTGAGCTCAGGAGATCCGGACAACTGGGCTGCAACCTCCCACACAAAGGATCTTCAGCGGTCCGTATCCCGGTGCATAAGCGCATCATCCCAGGAACAGGCTCAGACGCAAAAGTACGCTCTAACGGATGCAACGCCTCCTCGTGGCCCCTGAGTCGAGCTAGCGTCTGCACGTTTTTCTTCAAATATATGCACCAAGGAATTCTCATCTGGAAGTCCCTGCATTCTTGTTCTTCTTTACATCGACATTCCTTGTTTGCCAACCCGCTAAGATGGGTGGTCTTTTGTTGTCAGATCACTATGAGTTTCATAAGCCTAGTACCAATGATATGAACATTGCGAGCATCGCTTGGGGGTTTTCCTTAGGCGTGTCGATATTTGCTGGCACCAAGGCTGCGAAGCAGACGATCAAGTCGTGGAAGAGAGGGACGAGAACGAATATTTATCTTATCTTGGTATGGATGGAATGGACGAGCAGTGTGATTATGAGTGCCATTACGTGGTTATATCTGCGACAATACATTCCACCTGGCTTTCCAGTCTTCTTCGTTATTGGTATGTCCCCATCATCGGATCCGAAGTTACCTCGTCTAAGATACCTGAAGTCCTTCTTTGGGCCATTCAGATCCAATCGCTGCTCCAGATTATCATCAACCGAATTTCGATCCTCATGGTCAACCGACATAATGCATGGAAGCTCAAACTTACAGTATTCTTTGTTCTTCTCGTTATCAATATCAGTGTTTTCTGTGTCTGGATCCCTGCTCGATTACAGATCAGTTCCAAATGGATTGCTGTTAATGCTGTCTGGGATAGAGTTGAGAAGTGCATCTTCTTGATTGTCGATGCTGGTTTGAACTTTTACTTCATCTACCTCGTTCGGTCTCGCCTCATCGCCAATGGTCTTACCAAGTATACACGCTTGTACCGTGTCAACCTGTTTATGATTGCTGTCTCGATGACAATGGATGTAAGTCAATTACCTATCCATTTCGCTCCACTTTACTGATATAGCAAGGTCCTTCTTATCGCAATGATGTCTCTTCCCAACGATATCGTCTATCTTCAATTCCACCCTCTGACATACCTCGTCAAGCTCCATATCGAGATGAATATGGCCGAACTTATCACCAAGGTCGTCAAGGCCAGCAACCCCAACGGCTACGACTACTCCGACTCGCGATCTCGCTCTGGTCAAAAGAGCGGGAAAACAACCACTGGAAAGAAGATGGGCTCCGTCTTTCCAGGCAATAACCAGACTTTCATCGAAGCTGGCGGCGACAACATTGAGTTGCCTCAAAGGAAGGAAGACGGTATTCAAGTTTCCAGAACTTTCAAGACTACGCAGATCGAAGTCATCAAGGAGAATCGGGATCGTACTGATTACGACGATCTGGAGAGCGAGTCAAGCTCTACACGACATTTGAAGCGGGAACCGCTACCATTCCCCGCTGAATAGCTCAAACCTTCTCGATGAGCCTTTTCTGAAGTGGCATTTTAGATTTGGATTGTCTTCACGGATACACCTCCCGGTTAGATCACAGCGGCACATCATATACCCGCCGCTCAAATTCTTTTTTAGTTTCTAGAATAATTAGACGTACACGATATTAATGCATACAATAAAGACAAATTCCTTACTTTGCAATTCGTTTCGTACCAGATCCCTGTCTATGGGCTAAAGGATGTCGTGACCCCTGTTGTAAATCGTGCGCTAAGATGCGGCTCCGCTCGACCGGTGAACTGTGGCTGTTTGACCTTGATACATGGGTATTAGTACGAAGGGCCTCATTGTCCCATTATCGGATGGCTTATTGGTGAGACGAGATAAAAATTGGATGTGGCGTTCGGGGAAGCGAGAGATTACCTGCGTTATCACATCGTGGAGAGAGTTTGTGATAACTCAGAAAAAGCAAAGTTACCCCAGAACGAGACCTAGAGAAACATGCAGTTTAACTCTTTGTATTTCTTGATACTATCTCACTAAAAGAAACATTCTAATGCAAAAAATAATTAGTCTTAAGAATTATATAAAATTTCTATTAATTAATCTTTTTTGTCAATAACAGGCTCAAATGAGCTACATATTTATCATGCCTGACCCATTATTGCTCCCCTGTCCAAGTCTACCTACCGGTACTTCCAGCATCGCTAAAGATCGAGCAGTTCCAGATACACAAAAGTTTAAGGCGACAGAACTACCTGATAGAACAATTCTTCGGCCCTGAATCTATCTATTGGAAAAGATTTTCAGATTACTGGAGTCGGTTCGGTGTTCATGAGAGGCGGATGCGATCGGTGGAACTATAGCCGGAACCGCTCGGACCCGATGCCATTGAGAGAACCAGCACTCTGGTAACGCCGATATACGCCGGAGCGGGTTCTCCTCGTAAGGAACTTGTTTCGGCGGATTAGCAGATGTCATCTCGGATATCGTGACGGTCGTGCATGAGCTATTACAGGAGATCGCACTAACAGATCTTGACTAACGGGACGAACTATATTGCGGACATTAAGAAGAGAGATCTTTCGGAGCCGCAATGGTTCCCACTTCGATTCTATTCACTGAGCCCGGATCATATATCCCGACTCTATACCATTTCCTGTTGTGTAAATGAGCTTAAATACGCAGACTTGTAAACCCGGATCGATTCCAGGTAAATGTCTTCCAGTGCTTGCACAACTTCCTGATACAGAGCCAATAGCACAATGGCAGGAACCAGAAAGAGAAGAGTTGTTGAGATACATATCCACAGTTCCTTGTCGTTAGGTAAATCGTACATGGACATACTGAACATGCTCGTGAAAAATGACATGGGCACAAAGAGGATGGCAATATAAACATTGACATCTACAAAGATGGATCTCCCTGAGTCCAAATGTTGAACCATCAATCTATTCAGTATGAACATCTCCTCAAACAACTGAGAATAGTCTTGGAGTTGATCTTGTAATTCGGTAATATCACTGAGAAGTAACTGCCAAGTCATTGTATCAGATCCCTGCTGAATCCGAAAGTTGACGGACTCTGAAAGAATCGTCAATCTGTGACGTCTCTGTCGGATTTGTCGTATCCAACGGAGTATATTGAGGATGTGGTGATTATCGAGTTGACTTTTAGTGTCCTCAAGTGAGTGCTTATAGTGCTTAGAAAAGCGGTCGACAAGACGTATATAGAGATTCCAATGGGTTAGAACTACAATAATAGGATAGCGGCAAAAGTGCGAAATAACTGAAGTCGCAGTTAAGTCTCCGGGAAATGTTGGAGTCTGGAAGTAATGCAGCAAATTGTCCAGCATTGATGTACCATCCAAGTACGCTTGAATGTCCTTGAAGGAAGTCATGGAGCGACGAAGCTCAGATTCCTCAAAGCCTGCTGGCAGACTATTAGCAGGATATCTTCGACGTCTTCCAGCTCTGGTAGCTTCGACAGCGTGTGTCACCGAAGGATCTAGTAAGATTAAACCTAGGAAATCAGCAAAGATCTCAAAAAGTCGCTAGTTGTACGTACATATCGAATAAGTATCGAACTTCTTAATCATGATGGAACATGTAGCATGAGCAAGACCGAACTGTCGACCTGATAGAGACGCCAGATTCTCGATATCTCGAGGAATATTTGATTCCGTATGTAGTGCATTTTTCATATCATGACATAGCTCTGCACTTCCGAGATCTAGAACTTGCTGGTAAGGAAGGTGAAAGTACTCTTCACCAGACTTCGATGATGGTAATGTTGTGAGCGATTGCGATCCAGCGTCTTTCTCGACGTCCAAAATTTTCAAGTTGACATATTCGGCGAAGAAAATTGGGTTAATATCGAATGCTTCAACCAACGCTATTATTATCTGAGGGTTGATGTCTTCAATGAGGAGAAGTCGCATGGTGTCTGCGGCTGGCTGGTTGACAATGTCGCCGATATTACAATCGCCCAGCACCGTCGGTTTGTGGTTAGATTCAAGCGAGCCATTTTGAGCGTAATCAATAACGGCGATCCTGCTGGAGTGAGTAGCCTTCCGGCGCATATATCTCTTGAGCCCCTTGAAGCAAGGGTCGGACAGAGCCTGGATCGCGGCGTAATCTGTGTACGATGTCGGCGGCATTCTGAACCAGTAAATTTAGTTAGGCGTTTGGTGCCTCTTTGTTGTAGATGGGGCTCTGTAGGCACATTTACCTGTGTTCAGTGGTTCGCTTTCCAGTTGAACGATACCCGCAGACCATGGCCTTCACTAAGTCCTTAGTTATTAAGATGACAGGCAGTGGAAGTCAGTGGAATCAGATAAGATACAACGAGGCATACCGGAAGACAGATTGAGCAATTTCAGGCCAGTGGCATCGAATTTATAATGGCTAGCTCAGCGTTCAGCTGAAGCCACTAAGAGGTTCTAAGCCAACCAAGTCCATGACGTGGCGTCAGCCATCTTACAGTACACACCATGGGAATGTATCATACTCGATGTATTATAAGATACACATGTGTTTGCGTGTAAGAGTTCATTAATGTTATCACTGGATTCAATGATCGCTAAACTGATCAAATCGATAATTCAACTCTAGTCAATACGGACTTGCTGTCCTTGGCGCGCCTACTCCTCTCGCCGTAGTGATTCCTGCTGAGCTAGTAATTGTGGCTGCTGCAGGGCAGTCGCAGGCGATCAGTTAGGTACTTCAACAAATACTGCTAAAAAGGCCGGGTGATGGAACAATCGACACCTCTCAGGTGTGTGAAGCGAAGTTAAAATGATGCATCCATTCGCGACTTCGTAGCGTTTTGCTTCTGCTATATCGATTAGCCTAAAGCAAATATATTAGATGGTCCTCTATTTACTTGTCTGGATGGCTCGATCATTCAATCCTTCAGCTTTGACAAGTCGATGTTGAAGCTGCTGATCACTCCCTTCTTGGTCTCGTCGAGATTCTGCTTCTGTGCTTCCCGCTGGAGAATCTCAGCTCGAGACTTTCTCATCGCCTTGGCAACGTCTGTCCAGTCCAAAGAGCGTTTCTTCGTAATATTCACCATGCTCTCCTCCACTGCTACACCAACTAGCTTGCCTTCACGCTTCCGAACAATACCATCCACAATGACTGTGTCAACGTTTCCGATACTGCTGTGCAGAACAACAGCTGCCACAGGATCTTGCTCAGCAGCGCAGATTAGTTCGGGAGTGTTGGCGTCAAAGATTACCAAATCAGCCAGTTTGCCTTCAGCAATGCTACCAAGCTGACCCTCCCTCCCAATCGCCCTTGCACCCTGGATTGTCCCAAGATTGAAAACATCCTGTACAGTCTTGGAGATCTTTCGAGGAGCCAGACCTTGGTCGATCAATTTGTGGTTATGTTTGGCTCTTGAGGCCTGCAAACCAAGTCTCATCTCATAAACGATGCTGGAGGCCTGGTTACTGTGACAGTCGATTCCAAGACTAGACTGAGCTTGTGCCTTGGGAAGATCATCGTTCAAGCAGACGGGATCTCCAAGAGCCATCTGCATTTCAGTGGAGGGAGTGCTGCTGATGCGTGCTCCAGCATCGGCGAGGTCCTTGACGCTCTCAGCAGAGTATCCGTTGAGATGGCTGAAGAGCATGCGATTGTCTAACAAGCCGAGACTCTTGATCTGCTGAACGAGGTCATAAGATCCCATCTGTGGGTTGCTAACAGCATGGGTTGTCGCCAAGTCAACACCGGCTTCTCGGGCACGCTTGAACAGTTCTTTAATAACCTGTTCCGGTAGGAACCAAAGATCAAAAGCTAGACCCATCGTGACTCTGCCGTTGCCGAAGGGCGCCTTTCCGCCCAACTCTTGTAGTTCGTCCATGACCCATGGTGCAAGCATATCCGGATTCATCGCGAAGGGTGACCACGATGCGACGCGAGCAGTTGCGCAGTAGCCATAGACGCATCGCAGACCAGAAGAAACAGTTGCTGAGATGGCAGTGGATGCTATAAATCAGATCTGTTAGGTCATATTTGAAGACTCAGATACTGTTTATCTCACCAGCGCCAGCAAAAACATTGACGTGTGAATGATCCACAACAGTGGTGGTGCCGGCATTGATTGCTTCCAGCGAACCTCCAAGTTGCCCCCAGTAGATATCCTCTTTCGTATAGTTGGAAGACTGTAGATTGCCGGAGGCCATGTAATCGAGGAGTAGTTCATTAGCATGTCGTCCCTTGAGCTGGGTTTGCCAAAGATGATGATGCGTGTCAATGAAGCCGGGCGAAATGATCTTGTCGGTGCAATCGATAACCTCAGCGTCAGTTATTTCGCTAATATTCTCAGCTATCTTGGAGATCCGGTTGTTCTCAATGAGGACGTCCCTTTCCAGAGCTTGGACGTTGTCATTGGTATCGTGGATAAGGACAGTGCCGCCTTTGAGTAACAGCCGGCGCGAAGTGCAACCCTTGAGAGTAGAGTCAAATACCATTGCGAGTGATAGTCAAGAGTTGTTGATTTTTTAAATGTACTTATTTTCAAAGCTTGTTGTTGAAATCAACGGACAGGAGAAAGAGAGACTCTTATAGTCAATGACGGTAATCCGATGTCATACCCGTTTCGTGCGCCATTAGAAGTTTGGAGGCTGCCTGCATGAAGAATCTCTGTGTTCCGTGGCCTAACTCCACGGAGTACAACAAATGAGGCCACGGCCGGTGTTATCACGGAGGCAAAGTTGTCTACCCGTCTCGATCTACACAAGTGCAACACTCGCGCCAGAAATGCCCATCGTCACCCGAACACCCGTAGCTAATTCTGGTGATGTTTGTCAAGATTGGTTTAGCCCGCTTTGACCTTCGGTGCTGGTGATTAATAATAAGGTTTCGCGGCTGAGGATTAAGCGCGAGCGGAGATAGCGAGGGATGCGGGAGAGAGGGTTACTAGATTAGGATGCTCGCTTTTGTCGGATTTGTAAGTTAGTCTCGGATTGATAATGTTGGAAGAAACAGATCGCGAGAATCACAGGGAATGACGAAGAGGAAGATTATGAAAGACCAGATTTTGATATCGAGAATGGGCATTTCTCGGAGGTGCACAAGATCGGCACCGTCGTTGCTAAGGACTTCGGGAATAGCTTCAAATTGTGATTGATGACATTTTTGAAGATGCTGGCCCAATTATTGGAAGTGCAGTCAGCCTAAGATAACCAACGAAGAAATAGCATTCAATCCCTTGTAACAAATCTCAAGCCCATTTCCATAACTCCATATAAGCCTTTCTATGTAAATATGCTCCATGGTGATTTTTAATACTAACCTAACCTATAGTTCTTTATAGCCATTTCGAGGTAGTGAAATTTAATGATCCACAGGTAATGATTGGTTGATAGTAGATTCACTCTTCATTATGCTGTACCTTAATCAAAAGGTCTCAAGCCTATATAATAACCTTCATGGCAACGAGAAATCGGAGTTCAGACTAGACGGAGGATTACTCGGAGTCGGATTTGAAGGTTGAGCCATGTTATTTCCGAATGGGGTATTTTTCGGTCTTACCTCAACAGGAAATACTCCCAGCTCCTCCACCGGTCGGAGACTCCGCTTCGAAAAGTTCCACTCATTCTCGAACGATCAATTCTCAGATCCAAGAACTTTCTCTTTTCCTTGCAACTTGTCAGACCGCTCGGCCGTTATTCTTAGCGAATTATTTAGCCATTAAGCTGCTGACATCACATCTTTCATCCACTATGTCTGTTTTGGACAAGTACGGTCCCGAGGTGCAGAAAGTCCCTGCAGATGCCCCCATTGAAGACATCATTGCACTTCTCAAGCGTGATGGAGGTGTTTTCGTGAAAGGTCTTATTTCTGAGGCAGATGTTGATAAGGCGTATGATGAGTGTCGAGCACGCTTAGACTCGGATGTTGAATGGGCGGGCAACTTCTTCCCCAGCAAGTTCTCTTTATTATACTTACTAGTATGACTGAACTAACCTGTGGACTCAAGAGGAGACGCAACGGGCGCCAAGCCTCCTGGCTCTCAGCCCTACATACGCCCGATCCCAGGTCATGAACCCAGTCTATCAACAAGTCGTCAATCATTTCCTTACTACGCGAAGTTGGTTCTGGTGGGGTACCGAACGGAAGGAGTCGGTTTCCAAACCTTACTTGCATTCTTGCACAGCTATGAGAATTGGTCCTGGAGGTAAGGCGCAGCCACTCCATCGCGACGACTATATCAGTCATAACGTCCATACCAATAATGAAAAATGGGATGATGAGCGTGATGTCAATCGTGAATCTGCCGTTGGGTTGTTTGTTGCTGGGTCGAAAGTTACGAAGGAGAATGGCGGTACGCAGTTTATCCAAGGGAGTCATCTATGGTCAGTACTGCTTGCCAGGTTTTTTAAGTATTAAATGTGACTGACGAACTACAGGGGCTCAGAACGAGGTCCTCCGCGTGTTGAGGATTGCATTTTTGCCGAGATGGACAAAGGCGATGCGTTCATCATGCTTGCTTCAGCATATCATGGCGGAGGAACTAATTCTACCAACAATGAGCACCGTTTAATCTTTGCTACCTTTTCTATCCGTGGATTCTTGCGACAAGAAGAGAACCAATTTCTCTCTGTTCCTAGAGAAACAGCGATGAAGCTGGATCAGGATATACAGGCATTCATGGGCTATTCGATGAGTGATCCGGCATGCGGTTATGTTGAACAAATAGATCCGATATACTTGCTTCGACCGGAACTTGAGAAAGGCCCATCGGACTTTTAAAAAAGCTGAATCAATTTCAAGACAAGTAATGACTTGTATGACTACAGTAGTTGAAAGCTGAGGTGGATGTCGAGTTTGACTTATCCGAGTGCGGTATTCCAGCCTTATAAATCGGCTCGGATGACAGCGAGGCGTGCATGACATAAAAGATTGAAAATGACCCCACTAAATAAATCGACAACTCCGAGGCCGACTCTCGTCTTCTCATTCATCTTTTCACTCGCTCCACAATCGTCTTTTACTTCCATATTTGGTAATACACACAGCAATAATGATAGGTAGTGATAATTCATCTTCAAATCGCCCAACTGCCCGTCGCAAAGGTGAGCATTATTTCCCTCTCTCATCATACCTTGAAATACAGTACTGAGACTTTATTGAGACCCAGCATGCGGGACATGCCGCAAGAAGTGTCGAAAATGCGATCGGAAACGCCCCATTTGCGATAGATGTCGCACCAAAGGCCTTCATTGCGAAGGATATCCTCCTCGATTTCAATTTCAAGAGACATTGACGGTGCTTCCCAATCAATCAAGCTCGCGAGACGTGACAGCAGATAGCCTTGATGCTTCGCCTTCACAGCCAGTGGTCTTGAGCGAGACACCTCCAGAATTGTCAATGCCATCTAATCCCATCGCTGCAAGACTGTCGGCTTCACTTTCGCCTGAATACCCTGTTGTCGAAACTTCAGCTTTGACTTTGACGTCTCCTCAAACTTCAGCGACTCTATCGGTGTCGCCAGACGTTGTGTCCTTCACTGCCTCGCCGTCTTCAAATAATGACTTCGAGAACGATATTGCCACGAACCGATATATCATCGACTACTGTAAGACTCTTGAAACAACGGAATGCGCACCCGGTAACAGATAGTCCAGTTGACCAAACACTAAGCGAGCATTTCATAATCCATGTACCGGGATTGGATAACCCATTCCGAGAATATGTTCTGCCCCTTGCCTACCAGCATCAAGGCATCCTCCACGCCTTACTCGGATTATCGTCATGTCATATGTATAACACTGGGCATGCAAACAACCAGAGGCTCGTCACGGTATCTCTTGGGTACAGACTATCAGCGATACGATATCTTGCTTCTCTGCTACACAAAGAAGACACCTCACGACTGACCCCCACTGAGGAGGAATATGTTCTGGCCATGGTGCTACTTCTCGTTCTGCATGATGTACGGCATACCTGCCTTCGATAATTCGCGGGGCGGCTACTGACATGGTCATAGGTCTGTGAATCAGGCGTCTCAACCCATGGAGCTCACCTGACAGGTGTATCGTTCCTCTGCAAACGGATCGCTTGCTTGGATACCTCGCCCGGGCGTTCGAAAACAGCCATGTTTCTTATTTCCGCATTATCCTGGTAAGTCCAAGCGCTGGTGGCGCTTACAATCGTTACTGATAGAAATAGGCTGGATATGCTGCGAGGCTTTAGTGGTGCTGAAAAGCTGTCCTACTCCACCGAGGTACGAGAATGTGTGAGAGATCACGGAAGTTTAAGCCTTCACACGTTAGTTGGCTGTCCGCCAGTCATGTTCTTCAAAATTGGCCAGGTACTCGAGGCAGGTAAAGCTTACTTGGCTGGAGACCTGCCAGTTGAACAGTTTGAGCAATTACTCGACGGAGCTGAGAAGTTCTTCCGCGGCTGGGATCCCGATCAAGCCGTGTATCCCACCAACCACCAGGAATGGCGACATCTTGCCGAGGCATACAGGCACGCATGCTTGCTCCGCGTGATGCGATTTCCCGATGCTTTTGCAATCTCATGCGACGATCCTCAAATCAAAGCCTCCGTCTCCGCAGTTCTCGATGTTTGTGCTACGATACCAAGAGACAGCGTATTTTACAAGCGTCTACTATTTCCGCTGTTCCTAGCTGGAGCAGATACGTGCTCCCCACATCAGATACACTACGCAAGCTGGTGTATCAACGAAATCAAGCACTCCACGGGCTCCCAACACCCAGCTATGACCGAACTCTTAACCAAGGTTTGGGAAGAACGTCGGACGAATCCTCGTGGATGGTCAAATGTTCCCTGGATGGAATTTGTACGTTCACCGCTTTCTACCCCAGAAATTCTCCCTTGGCCGGTACTGACATAGGCCTTTTCTAGACTTGTTCCGAGCTTCTTCGTTCTCAACATGCATACCTCTTCTTTTGACGGGCCGACGTTCCACTAGTGCTCCACCGTCTAAGTCGGAGTCGGCATCGGGGATATAATCGGACTTGGCGGTTCGCTAAGCGGTTGGGAGTATTTCTCTTTAAGGATTAGCCTTACCTTCGGGGAAGATGGTTTGGCAATTGATGGACATGAATAAAAGACGATATGAACCTCTGACGTTTTTCACGATGAGTTATACAGTTTCTCAAACTTCACCTTTTTCAACCTGCCGTTTTCCCATCTATCAACGACACTTCATATAGCATGGCAGCGCAAGAGAAGAACCAGGCCGAGTTGGAGAAGGCATCCAAGCTGGCGAATGTTCCCCACTGTGAACAATACGAGAGGATGATCTCAGGCATGCTGTCAGTAAACACATTGAGTTTGTTTGAGAGACTCAAATTTACTGATACCTATTGCAGATACGACTCACTTATCCCAAAACTCACAAATGCTCGTCTCGCAGCTCGAAAGGCCATGAACGAATACAACACCTGGTTTCCAGAAGGCGATGACTTCAATATCGAGACAATCACCAAAAGACGAGCTGAAATGCTCAAATCATTCCTTGGACACGTGGAAGACGACGAGGTCTTTATTGAGCCGCCATTCAGAGTTGACTACGGACCCAACATGTCTGTCGGCAAGAGATTCTATGCCAACTTCAACTTGACAGTCTTGGATTCAGCCATTGTTACGATCGGCGACAGGGTTATGATTGGCCCGAATGTTATGATCTCGACAGCGACACATGAAACGGAGGTCGCAAGCCGAAGGGCCTGCATTGAATATGCCTACCCTATCAATATTGGCGACGATTGTTGGATTGGAGGCGGTGTTACTATTTTGCCGGGTGTGACGATTGGAGAAGGATGTACAATAGGCGCTGGATCAATCGTGACGCGCGATATTCCTGCCTGGAGCGTGGCTGTGGGTTCCCCTGCAAGGGTTGTCAAAATGGTGCAAGCGCTGGGAAAATTTGAGGGATAACGACGGACGTGGCTCGAGCTGGAAAGAAAAGATGGATCAAACATGATGGATGCCCCTGTTTCACGAGCATTGGCCCTTGGAGAGTGGCAAGTAATATCGTGAATCGTTTCTTGAAGCGCGCGGTTGTACATCCCGACAGGTTGAACCAGTGTTATAACGCAAATGGCTATTATACCAAGCATTGAGCTATATGTATGGAATCCCCTTTCAATTCTATACAGATCGATATATACATTATTATAATTGAATAAATCCTGCCCATTCAATTGCAGAGTGAAATGGCAGTATGTGATCGAGGTGGTTGGGGTGGATCCGGAACGTATCGGAACTTTTGCCCACCCACTGTACTAGATCCCAACCGGGGCGGGCTACGAGGTGATAACCTAAAATAGACAAGGATGCTGTGACCAACATGCATTTGCAGAATGGTTGCCTCATGTTATTACAACCAACAGATCAAACCCCCTGAAACACCTCTGGCTTGAGCCTTTTCTCGCACCGAAATCTCTCATCTACCCCATTGCCTAGATTTGCGCGAAAAACACACCACATACCTCATTACCGATCATGGCGACTATAGAAGAGGCAGAGCGAATTGTGAAGGAGGTGACGGGATATTATGGATATTTGGATCATGATATGATGGACGATATCGGACGTTTTAACTCGGATTATCGTCGTAGGATTGATGAAAACTGGCTCAAGATGGAGAACGCCGCATCGCATTCCATCAAAGTGTGAGTATCTTGAAGAATAAGCATTAGCCCTTGAAGCTCACAAAGTGTTCAGTTTAGCAAGAAACATATACGGGAGCGGTGCCAGATTTGTGTTCGAGCTTCTCCAAAACGCCGAGGACAACACCTTTCGAAAAGCCAATGCGAAGAATGACCCCCCCTTTATCTCCTTTCAGATTCACCCAAAACATATTGTGGTTGAATGCAACGAGGACGGATTCAATAGATTAGATCTAAAGGCGATATGCTCCGTCGGAGAAAGCACCAAGACTGCGGCACATGGATATGTCGGCGCCAAAGGCATCGGCTTCAAATCTGTCTTTATCGCCGCATCTCGCGTGCATATCCGGTCGGGAAACTTCTCGTTTGAGTTCCGACACAACAGAAACGACCCGGGTCTGGGTATGGTAAGACCCATCTGGGTGACGCCGACTGAGACAATTCCTAGCCCTCTGACTCGTATGACACTTTATTTACATGACCAAGGTGACGAGGACGACATACAGCATCTTAAAACGGTCATTGCTATGCAATTTGACGACCTTCAAGAGACCTGTCTTCTTTTCCTACGAAAACTGCAAAAGATTAGCGTCGAGTTTTATGACGGAGAGGGAAATCTTCAACGCGGGAAGCAGTTTACGAAGCGGAAGATCGACGACTACCGTGTCTCCTTGGAAACTACCATAGCTTCAGGCAATCAGTCGTATACAACGAGCCAGATGTTTCATATTACGAAGCAATTAGCCACGGGCTTGGCGCAGAGTGAGAGTCGTGACCCTGCTACGACTGAAGAGGCACGGAGAGATCTTACTTCAGCGGAGGTTATCTTGGCGTTTCCTCTACAAAGTAACTACCAGCCTCATATTTCTACAAGGAGACAGGAACTCTTTGCATTTCTACCCCTCAGGACTTCAGACTACAAGGTTAGCAGTATAAGAGTTCCAACATTCATTCTGGAAGCCCGCTGACAATAGCTAGTTTCACATCCAATCGGACTTTGATACGAATGCCAACCGGCAGGATATTGTGACTACGACAAGGAGAAATCTGAACATTCGGGACTGGATCGCCAAAACATTTCTGCAAGCAATTTTGGAATTCAACCAACATCCAATTCTTTGCTACAGCTGGCCACTGTTCCTCCCATCCCAGGACAGCGGGCATGATTCGTTCTGGTCCGGATTAGACGCAAAGATTCTGTCTCTGATCCAGAACAATCCTATTGTAAGATCAAGGAACAGGAGTGACTTGCGTTTCCTTCGTGAAGTCGTGATAGCCTCGAATGGCATGATAGGCGATGGAGGCAAACTTTTACTCGACGATCCCGTCAAGGACCCCTTTATCTCGGCCAAGTACCCGTACAAGGCGACTGACCATTTGAAACCGTATGGGCTGCAGGTAGCGCACGTCTATTTGTTTGTTACTCTACTACAAAGAGACCTCAGCCAGCATAACTCCAAAATGCGCGCCGACACAGCCACCAATGACTGGCATTCTTCAGTGGCCCGGATGTGTTCCAAGATATGTGAAAACGGCTGGAATGGAAGCACATTGCTCAAGTCACTCGAAGTTCTGCCGATGAGAGGTGGCGAATGGACAGCATCTACATCAGGACCAGTTTATTTTCCGATGATAGGGGATACCGAAATACCCGAGGGCTTGGGTCTCAAAGTGCTGAGCGAATCTGCAACCACCAACCCAGACCGAAGCAATCTGTTCAGGCATCTTGGAGCAACAGAGGCCACATACGAAGATGTTCGATTCGCAATTTTTTCTTCCTTCATTCACCAGCCAAGCTTTAGCTTTGATTTCACTTTTGATTGTCTCCGCTACTTGTTTCTAACACACTCAAGTCCTACACATACGCGAGAAAGCTACAAGAGCTCGTTGACTTTTACTAAGGAATTCAAATTGTTTCGAACTCAAGACGAAATAATTTACCTGCCTGGGGAGGATCATCCCTTCAGTCCCAGCAGTCTCCTAGGAAATGTCCAGGTCCCCCCAGATTTTCCTGTCCACTTTCTCCATCTTGGCTATATTTCTATGGCACCGAATCAGAGAATCCCTCTCTCATCTTGGAAACGGTGGCTCTGCGACTCCATTGGTGTACATGAGAGACTGACGATCTTGTCATCTAACGGAAATCAGTTGTCGCAACCTTTTCAGTACGTCTTCAGTCATCATCCGGGCAAGTTTCTCGGCCTTTTTGAGCATCTCTGGCTACTAGACGGAAGGGAGGTATTGAAACACCCGACTATTGTGTCTCAGGTAAAACAACTCCCTGCAAAGGAGCTTTGCAAAGTAAAATTCTCCCCAAATCTTGAAAAGACATGGCTTCCTTTACGGCAGCTCAAAGATTCTGTTCGCCGGTACATGGAGCACCCGGAGCAATTCCCTTTCCTCATTATTCAAAGTGATGATGAGACTGAGCAAATTGGCTCCAAGTGGAATTTCCTAAGCAAGCATTTCGGCGTTGGGAAGTCCGACGACCTGGAGTTTCTTCTCGAGATACTCCATTGCATCAAGAGATCTTGCAGAGATCCTTTGTCCATCCGCCAATCGCAGAGGGTATTTGAGCTATACATAGCTATCTACGCTAAGCTTTCCGTTTCCTCGATACAGGGTGTAATGCGAGCAAGGATCAAGTAAGTATTAGCGCATATTCATGGCTTTATGTTACTAACAGTTTGGTAGGCAATGCTTTGATGGCAAGCACATCCTCGCCCCATACAATGAAGAAGAGTCGACATGGACGGAGCCTGGATCCTGTGTCTGGGATGCGCCATCTGATATGGTCTCGGTTTATTCTCTGAAGTCTCTCTATAAGAGAAGAGGTTTGAGTGATGAAGACATGAGCAACATTGCAAACCTTTTTCTTGGAACGTTAGGCATACCTAACGTCACGGTGGAGGGTATTGTGTTGGAACTCAACCGGCGTCGGGAGACTCGTGGAGACAACATAGATAACGGCCAGATCTTGAGTCTATACACATATTTGCATGAGCAGATGACTGTGACATCTAGTGTAAGGTAAGTTGTCGTGTATCTTTACGGTGCCAGAGCGACGGAACTGACCAGAGACCAGAACTGCATTCGAAAAACTTCCGCTTATTTTTGTAAGGCAACAAGCTGGGACAGGCTGGTACAAGACCTCTGAATGCTTGTGGACCAGCACAGCACCAATCCGTGGTAAAGTGACGCTTGATGAGACCTATGAAGACCTAAAGGCACTTTTCGTCGGACAACTTGGTGTTAAGTCACTTACAATGCAAATGGTCTATGATGAGTTGACGCAGTCTGCGCAGAACAGTGTAGAAGACACTAAGGTTGCTTTATTCTCCTTTAATGACTTCCTCCAAACCGAGAACGGCCATTGGGATCCGGAGCCTATGAGAAGAGCCGAGATATTCCCCGTCATCTATCCTGATGGCGATATCGTATTGCGTTCCGTTAACGTAGACTTTGTCATAGGAGATCGGGAAAACCTACGATCCAAGTTTTCCAACAGAATTGGTCTCCTGGACTTTGACTTAGAGGGTGTTCATCGATTAAGACCACTATTTGGCTGGCTGAAGATTCAAGACCGATACCTGTCCAAGTGCGTCATGGAAACAACAGCAATCTCAGGTGATTCAAGGTCGCCAATATCATCGCAGAAACGAGACCTAGGCCTCAAAGCCTACCATATATGCCGGTACGTGTAGCCGCTTACATGCTTGGCTGGTGCTAACGAGCTCCAACTCGCAGGGTTGCAGCCACATTCAGGAGTCCACGTTTTCAGCACGGCGACAAGTATCTTTACAACCAATTGCGTGCGATGAAAGTCTTGGAGGTTGAAGGGATATCTTCAGTCCTGAAAATAAGTCAGAATGGCAGACGATATGAAGCCAAACTCTCGACAGCCAGTGAGCACATCGACGAGCCAGCTGGAAATCTTACAATTTATGTCCCACGAGATCGAAGAGCGCAAGAATTATGTTTCGGTTCAGTTCTTCCCAGGAAGTTTGCAGCATGGCTCATGCGTAATCCCGATACTAATATTGACGGCAATGTGGAGGTTGATATCGTCAACGCCATGACTTCCATTTTTGCCAGCGACCGTGCCGTTCTTGGTGAGATTCTGGACGACCAGGGCGCTATACAGTTGCAGTTTGACGATCCGGACGAGCATTTGGATGAAGAGGAGGTGAACGGTGAGCAGGCCGAAGATAGTCATGCATCTGATTCGACCCCAGAACCTGGAAATGAGGTTTCTGACCTGGTTCTCACTCCAACCCATTCATTAATGAACGACGTCTCAATTAGACCGGCGGCGTTGCCTGACTCTGAAACCGAAATAGGGCTTTTGGAAACCGAGGAAGAGATAGTTGAGAGCCAAAGCAGCACAGCCCATCAAGTTCGACGAGGTGATGGAAGTACTTCACGACCGGTACTTCATTCTTCACCACCAGGCAGTATTTCTAGTCCTCAGGAGTCGAACAGCCACCACGCAGTTCTTTCATCTGCGTCCCAAACGATCGAGGACCAGCGATATCGCATGATCCTCGAAAGAGTCATCACGGCAGCTCGAAGAGCGAACTTCCCATCCGGGGGAGCATTCGACTTGAATGACCTTCGAGATGCCTTGCCTGATGCTGGAGGTCCGAACTCATACTTGAGTTACGATGGGTTAGATTTGTTGAGTAGGTTTCAGTCCACAAGCCATCTGGAACGTGACAAGAAGATCGGAGCTGCTGGAGAACTCTACGTAAGTATCATGGTCAGAATGACATGGATTATGAGGCTGAATTATCATTCACAGGTATTTGAGCTCTTATCGAAGCTTGAGCTACCAGACTGGGGCCGTGGCAACTGGCAAAGTACTATCAGAACATACGCAAATATTCATCCGGACTATGCCGACCTGTCTCACTGGCCTAATCGCGAAACAGCAGACCTGGTCTACTCAGATACCGAAGGGAACCTGACAAACCTTTTGGTCGACGCCGAAATCCTTAGTGAGGATTGGTCTACAAGACGTCCCAGATACTACATCGAGGTGAAGACAACAACTGGGCCGTGTGGAACACCATTCTATATGAGTGGAAACCAATACCGACTGGTAAGCCCTCTTGCCATGCATTCTGAGAACATGAACTAATGACGAACAGATGGACCGTATCCACCACAGTTCAGACTTTTCAGAAGTCTATATCATATTTCGTGTTTACTTCTTGCTGGACAGGGCCCAGATTAATTACTGCGTGTATCCCGATCCAAAGAGACTCCAAGGTGATGGACAGCTCATTTTCACTGGAACGACATGGTCTGTCACTCCTGGGCCACAAGTATAATCCCTGAATAGCAATACTATAAGATCAGATAGGAAGGCCATGATGAATAACCTGATCCTACGAATTAACTCCAACCTTGTCCTAGATTTCGAGTTTTTTGACCTTGGTCTTGACTCTGTATGAGGCGCCGTGTTCAAGACGAGTGCCGCTTGGCCAGCGTGCCCACTGGTCCTATTTTTAACTGTTCTATTTGGGCTCCGTTGACCGAGAACGACGGTGCCATTACCGGCGGCTGTGTCCCGAGTCTTCGAGGGTTATTTTGCCCAGGACACCACCGAGATGGCTTTTACCCACGCGGGCTTGGGGCTGTGGGACCCCCTGCAGAGGTTATCAAAAAGGTACAAGCCCTTAACACGTTCGAGGACCGATTTTAGGAACGCTTGAGCAGCTAACTGTATCAAACGCCCGAGAGTGGAAGGTCATTCCTAAAATGAGATAGCTTCAGGATGCAAGGCGCAGGGGAAGTGTTCAGCTGGTAGTAAATGACAGGGGTGGTGTGATAGGCTTGCAGCATAGGCGTCTCGGAATATGCATGTTGGTGATGTTCACTAGACAACCCTTGCCCACAGTAATCTCATCATATCATGGCCGTTCCTCATTCATCGTGTCCTCCCAAATCTTGACCCCTTAGTGTTCACAATCGCTTTTCCATCACGTCTACATCCTGTAACAACAACCTTTAACTACAGTTTATAACCATGGCATCCGAACAAGAGGCGCGAAGCTTAAACGGCGAGATTAAGTAAGTCAGCTCAGATAGCTGATAGAAATCGCAGTCACTGATCTTGAGAAGACTGGGAAAGCACATCGGCAATAGCACGAAGAGCTTGTTGCATGAGCTCCTCAGGTTCACGAACGGCAGAGTCTTCACGAAAGCCATCGCAGCGGAAAGACCGCGTTCAGTGGTATTCAGAATACTAGGTTCCGACAGAATCCTTATCGAATACAATGATGACGGCCTTACCAAGGCAGATCTGGAGGCAATTCGCTGGCCAGCCAGCGAAGAACAATTGAAGGCATCCAATTTCAAAGAAATTTTCATAGCCTGTAAGAAGGTTCATATTCAGTCCGGAAATTTCTCATTTGAGTTTCAGCACAACATACTTGACCTAACCGACAGCACGATAAGTCCTGTTTGGGTCTCTTCAGCTGAAATTGCCCCCATCAACTTGACTCGCATTACACTTCACCTTCATGACCAAGGAAGCAAAGAAGATGTTGAGAATCTGAGAAAAATCATTCATCATCAATTCGAGGAGCTGCACGATGCAACTCTTCTCTTTCTCAAAGAGCTTGAATTCATGAGGATTGAATTCTGCGACATGAATGACAAAATCCATCGTTCCAAGAGCTGGAAGAAGGAAAATGTTGATGAGTATCGAGTCCTCGTAACTGTGACCAGTATTGGACAAGGCAAAGTGAGCACCGACAGCCAGCTTTATCATCTTACAGAACAGCCCCTGGACCATCTGGCAACGAGTATCATACTGGCCTTTCCCCTCACAGACGACTTCAAGCCTCGAGCTGATGATACTATCGTAAGGAAATTATTCAACTTTGTGCCACTGCGAACATGGTCATACGGGGTAAGTAAGCTATAATCCGGCAAACTCAGTATACTAATCATTGTGGACAAGTTCCACGTTCACTCTGACTTCAGTATTCAAGATGAGCGGCATGATATGGCTACAGCATCATTAGCCCAGATGTTCCGCCTCTCCGATCAATTTGCGACAGCATTCTGTCAAGCCATTCTACAGTTCCTCGAGCATCCAACGCTTTGCTATCACTGGTCACTGTTCCTTGCGCCAAGAGGGATCCTCCCAGACCCATTTGGAGTTACTCTAGATACCTCTGTTCGACTATGTAAGGCGCAAAATCCTATCCTCGGATCCAGGAAACCAAAACACTGGCGCCTTATCAGTCACCTAGCCTTCCTTGGCTCGGATTTTGAAGACAGCGATAAGAAACCACTGTTGGAAGATCCGATGAATGATGCATTTCTTTCACCCGAATACCCTCCGACTGTCGCACTTGAGCTGAAGAAATATGGTCTCGCGGCTTTGACCAGTACTCAATTTCTCCATCTTTTGGAAATGGATCTGAGGAGCCCTAATTCAAAGATGCACACGGAAACCTCGAAAGATTGGCAAAATGCTGTAGCTCGTCTTCTCTCAAAGACTTTCACCCATGATGGATATTCCCGGATGAAATCACTTCCTCTCATTCAGCTCACAGATGGCAGTTGGACATCAATAACGTCAGGACCAGTGTATTTTTCTACTGCTGGGAACGTTTGTATACCTGAAGCTTTGGATCTTCGAGTGGCTTCTCACTTGGCAAGCCGAGAACCCGAACAGAGATCTTTATATCAGCAACTCGGAGTTTTTCAGGCGACTGTGATTCAAGTCAGACAGATGATTTTGGACTGTTTCAAATCTTCTAGTACCCTATCCCTTGAAGACGTTCAAAGTTATCTTCATTATCTATACCTCACTCATCAATCCTTTGATCCCGACAGTGAGCATCCTTATCAAGAAGTGCGGGTTTTCACAATGGACATGAAACTCCAGTGTCCCCAGAACACCGTTATCTACTTATCTGGAACGGGTGATCCGTATAGCCTTGAGAGCTTCCTCGACCCCGCCTTGTTGGTGGCTAACCTTCAAAACAACTTCTTGCACCCGGAAATATCGAACAATGGACCGAAACAACCCAGTCTTTTCCATCCATCTTGGAAATCATGGCTGTGCAAATGCGTTGGCATACGGGAACGATTAAGTCTATCAGGTCCAAAATCAGTTGCCAAGTCGAAGTCCACAAAAGATGATTCCTCAGCAGCTGACGAGAATGGACTTTTGTCCACTTCTCTTGAGTTTGTATCCAAGCATCGTCCAGACAAGTTCTTAGGCGTCCTTGAGCACCTTTGGGCGTTGGAGGGACCTGCAATACTGAAGAGTCCAGCCCTTGTGTTAAAGATCAAAAGCTTTCCTTCACCGACCCTGTGCAACGTGGAGTCCTCACAGGAGCTACAAGAGACATGGGTTCCATCAAAACATCTCAGAAGCTGCGTGAGCAATTTCATGGAGCATCCTAATGAGTTCCCATTGCTCAAGCTTGACGAGGAGAGAGATGTTGACCTAGCCCTCACATCGAAGTGGGGTTTTCTGACAAAGCATTTTGGTGTGAAGTGGAAATATGATATGAGCTTTCTACTGGAGATTTTGAAGTCTATTAGGCGTCATTCAGGCACCATCCTATCATCTTCGCAGATAGAGAAAGTCCTTGCATTGTACGCTGCTATAGGTGCAAGGTTCCGTCTATCCACAACCGATGAGAAGGAGCAAGCATTGTAAGTTTTCATTTGTAGTGCTCCAATTGGCTTTAACACCTTCACAGGGACTTCTTCAATGATTCTGCTATACTATACATCGATGATCAAGGACCAGCCTGGACGGGGTCTTCAAGTTGTCTTTGGGCGGCACCTCCTGACATGGTCTCCGCGGACTCCCTCAAGGTCTTTTATGAGAAGATGAGTTACGACGAACAGCAATTAACGGTTCTCACCGATCTATTTCATAACGAGCTCAACATTCAAAATGCTACAGCTGAAGACTTGGTACAAGAGCTATCTATACTACGAGATGAAGGCTGCGAAGATGTTACCCGCGTCGCAGGTATCTACAAGTATCTAAACCAGATGACTGAATCTTCTGACATAATGTGAGCACCCAATTATACTTCAAGCCCTTCTCATACAAAGGACTAACTAAGAATCAGACGAAGAATCAAACGTGGTTTTGAAGACTGTGAGCTCATATTAGTGAAGCAAAACGATTTTACGGAATGGTTCAGCGCTTCAGACTGCTTTTGGTCCGAGGCTAATACGACTGAGCTGAGTAGCAGCCTGAAACAGTGCTATCCTGACCTTAAAGACTTCTTTCTTGACAAGGTGGGTATCAAGATATCAGCCTACGATGAATTGCTGAACACGACTTCAAACGAGCCACATGCTATCAAGATGGCTGTCTTTTCTTTTATGCATGAGGTTGGCGAACTGATTCCGAGGTTCCCTGCCAAGCCAATCCAAACGGCAAAGATCTTCCCTGTCAGGTATCCTGACGGGACTGTTTCACTTTGTTCTGTTGAAACAGAGTTTGCCATTGCCGATCGGGAAAATCTTAGAAGGGAACTGGAAGAAAAGGTTAAGATATTAGACTTCAATCTAAAAGAGTCACGCTGTCTCTGGCCTTTTTTCGAATGGCTCGAGATTGAAGACCGATATCTCTCAAGGTGTGTGAAAGAGTTGGTCACCATATCTCCAAACGACTCTTCACTGCTACACGGCTCGAAAATATGTGATTTGAGACGTAAATCATATCATATTACTCGGTAAGCTTCTTCACTTGGGATTAAGCCATTTCACTAATTGTGTCCTGTCTTTCAAGAGTTGCCTCGACCTTTGGCACTTATGGACCGTGTGGAGACGCGGCTATGCTATTCCAACGTCTGAAGACACTACGTGTTGTCGAATTTTCTAGCATGTCTTCCACATTGGAAATGACTCAAGATGAAGAAATAGTCCGCTCTACGCCAAAGCCTACCATCGCTCATGTATCTGATTACAACATTAATTTCACGATCTACGTGCCTAAAGACAAGAAGGCACAACAACTATGCTTATTCTCAGTTTTGCCAAGAATTCTTGAGAAATGGCTCAGGCAAGACGTTTATACCCGGCATACATCCGAAGTGGTTAGTGCCCTCACTTCAATCATTGCCAGCGACGTTTCCGTTCTGGATGAGATACTTGAGGATCAAGGTATCATAGAACTGCCTTTCGAAAGACACGATCTCGACGACACCCAAATATCTTCCATAGGCAAGTCTACACGAAAGATAGTTGTGAAACTTCCCGGAGAGGACGAAAGAAAAACACTTGTTCTTCGGGAGCGTGAGTCTGCTTCTGAAGTCGCAAATAGGGATGCGAGCGTGTAGCTTGGTGACCTGGGTCTATGGTAACCTTGAGAAGTGTTATAGCATTTGAAGAAACATGAATAGAAGTCCATGCCGAATACTTTGAGTCTATCGTGCAGCTATTAAAACAACTTAGAGATATCATTCACTACAGTGCCCTCAACTCTACGAGTTCACCAGTCAAGATAATGGACTCTTATTCCGAAACAATGATACCTGGAGTCGGACTCTATTGTTTTTCTGGGTGCATATGTTATTCAATTATTATGATCTGTATACATTCTTATCTCAAAACTCTTGTGCTCGCCCATACTACCATCTGCCACTAGTGTGATAACAGTAAGTGGCTTAAAACGTGTTAGTCTATGACAATCTCATGTCCAATAGAAGCAAACCCTCTACAAACGAGCATTTAGAAGACTATCACCCATCCGAGTCTTCCATCTCGTAGTCCCCATCTCTGCAGACTATATTGTTTCCATTCGACTTTCATCCCAAAAGTACACACCTCGAGTCAAGGGGTCATGTAAAGAACCGATATCTCCACAGACTCTCCAGTTGCAAACCTAGCTTGTCATTGTAGCTTTTGGCTGCGCTGTCTGAAGATAGGCAAAGCCCTATCTCCTGTTTTACGAACTCGAAGTAGCTTGAGAGTACATAGTTCCGGAGCTCTTCCTCCTTCATCCGTCGCAGGTTTCGCAACACAGCGTAGCCATGCGAGCAAAGAGACTTGATATACCTCAGTTCTTGATGTTTTGTCCTGTGTAAGAAATTCCATGTTCGATTATGCTCAGAACATGACATGGTCGGTGACTTGTAGAGACAATCCTGGAGCTTTTTTGCGACTAGATGCACCAAGCTTCTGAACTTGTCAAAGACAAACGTGAATATCGAAAGGAGATAGACAAAGTCACGGAGTCTTTCCCAGGATTTATCAAGCCCGGAACCAAAGGAGTCCCAGCCAGGCCGTATCACGTCGCTACTGGCATATTCTTGGAGTGCATGCGGGCTACCAGAACACATGCCAAGTCGCCAAGAGTCAAACAAAAGAAAACCACGCTCAAGTCGGGATTTCTCTCCTTCAGACAGGGCCAATGGTCTGTCCAATTCTGGAAGCCACTTGGAAGCTGGATCCCGCCTGAGCCTGATCCTTGCTTCCAACAGGGACTTGTTCCATCCTTCAACTGCAAACTCCGTAATGAGATGGTCTGATTCTTCTCTCTGACGGTATAGTTCGCATATCATGGGTAGATGAGTCCCCCAGTTTATGTAACAGGAAACATCAGAAGGAAGCCATACCAACAAGCCATCGACCTCCTGTCGAACGACAAACCTGTAACTGTGACCCAGCAAACGGTACGGGAGAGTACTCGTAATTTGAATCAAATGATCTCCGGAGTCCTTGGTTGAATATGAGGCTTCAATTTGGTGTATGATGGGCGTTAGGATGAACGAACGATGCACACGATAATGCTGGAATAAGACGGGTGATGCGTTGATAAGGAATTGGAGGTCTACCGGGGATGAAAGTGACCGTATGATCATAATCAGTACTTCGCTTGGAAGCTTTTCGAAAGGTGATGCAGCATTCATGTTGACGATGAAATGTGAAGAGTGTTGAGAGATGCTTTTGGTGGGGCTTGCCCTCTATTTATTGCGGCGACAAGGAAACTTCGCATTGCGGATACCAAGGTATTATGCTGGAAGTTCCTCCAATGGCCGACTCAAAGTAGATTGTTTCGTAACCTTATCACTGGGGACGTGGGGTCTATCGAGAATTTTGAGTTGAAGAAGTAGTAGCTTTTGATCATGTGAGTTATGCTAACTCAGGGCGCAATCATAAGCTTTTGGCTTAACACTTTAAGAAATCTCTCAAGATGTCTCTACATTCATTTGGTCTTATTTCGTTAGCTAATCCAAATAATTTCTACAAACTTTTAATTCAAGGTCATGACATGTTGTTCATGTTAGCAAAGGTCGTCATCAATGATGCGCAGCAAATCACGAAGGGCGAGACCCACTACAAGCGAAGGATGACCCATTGCAGCTAGCTAATCCATCCCGTAACTTCCAACTCCAAAATATCTTGATCAACTATCGCCATCTCTAATAAAATGGCGTCGTGCTCCACCCGACCCCCAGAGGATACCCTTATGCCATTTTCTTGCTACCAGTGCCGTAACCGTAAGCTAAAATGCGATCGCCTCAGCCCCGAATGCAGCCGCTGTTCCGCCACTGGAACGAAATGTCAATATCCCGCGTCGCGTAAAAAGCCTGTTATAACAGCCTCGCGACCACGAGTTAAAGAACTTGAGTCGCGATTGGGTAAGTCAGTAGCAAAATGTTTGACGTATGCTAACAGAGGTAGTTGACCTGGAACATCGGCTCAAGGTGACGCAGGAGGAAGGTTACCAATCTTTCAGACCTTTTGAAACATCGGAGAATCAACTTACTGAGACGGGGAGATATGAATAACTTCCACCGCAAGAGATTATTGAGGAGTTGTAAGTGCAGATTATCGAGCTTCAATCTTGGGATCTGACATTTCGTAGGACGAATGTCTTTTTTACAAAGGTTCATTGCGATGCGCAGTTTATTCACCCTTCGCGATACCTTGCGTCGCTTTATCTTCCACCTCATATGCAGCCACCTATGTGTCTTCAGTATATAGTCATGGCGCGAGCTGCACTTGTTTCACCTCCTCACAAACATCTTGCGGATCCCTTTTATCGAAGAGCGAGGTATTATCTTGAAGCTGATGAGCAAAAGGTCAGTCAATCATCTCATGTGAATCATCTTAACTGACAACATCAGGGTGAGGGAGAGTATTTTGTCACTCTGGCTCACACACAATGCTGCGTTCTCATGTCTCACTTCGAAGTGCAAAACATGTGGTTCTCTAGATCATCCATGAGTACATCGAAGTCTGTTCGTCTGTCGCAGATTTTGGGCCTTCATCAACTCGATTGTAAAAATGACTGGAGGAGAAATGCAACGCTTCCGGAGCCCAAAGATTGGTGTGAGCTTGAAGAGAGGCGAAGAACGCTATGGGCTGTCTTTTGCAGCGATAAGAATACGAGCGGTACTACGGGATGGCCAAGTCTGATGAACATCAACAAAGTGAGAGACCAAGAGCATGATGGGAGTTCTAGCTGACTGTTACAGATCAGCACATTATTGCCCGCGTCGGAGGAAGCATTCCAACTCGACATGGAAGAACCTTCAACGACATTACCCCAAGTTCTCAGCGGTGACAACTCTCTCTGCTCGTCATTCGCATGTCGCATCATTACGACTCATCTCTTCCACGAATGCCTCGACCATACTTACCAAGACCATCAGGCCTCTGACCTTATAGACATCCAAAACAGCCAGTTCTGGAAACGTCATCGGGATCTTGATACAGGCCTTGCAACAGCTTTCATCACCCTCCCCGAAACACTCCGCGGGTCACAAATCCAAGAGGCCACCACTCTAAACCTCCAGCTTCACACGGCGTCAATATGCATCCATCGGGTCGGTGCCGCCCAAGCCAGGAAACACAACATTTCGGTCGACGTACTCACTAGTACGCAGGCGCGTCTCGTCCCTTCTGCCGACGCGATATTTAATGTCATCGCTTCACAGCCCGACGTGACAGCCATGTTCCGCAATCCACTCGTTGCATTCGCGGCATATATGGCGACATACGTGTTTCTAGAAGATTACATGTCCACACAAAATCGCACCAGCGAGATGAAAATGACAGCGCTCATGGATCTCATGATCACAATTGGACGTGAAAACCCTGTTACTGCATCTGCAGCGATACAAATGGCGCATGAATTACGGAAGACTGGGATTGATGCATCCGCCGTTGATAAAGTCAAAGATCTTATGGAGGAGAGGAGTGCAAAGGGGCCGCTTTTGGGACAGCAGAATACGGTTGAGGGGAGCGTCGTGTTCTGTCCTTTCGATGGACCTTCTGGGCCTGCACCGCCTGGAGTACCAAGTGAGATACTGAGGGGTAATCTCAGTGGGTTTCCTTAGCTTCAAGTACCTGTCATTCGCGAATTATGATTCGCTACGGATATAACAAAACACTTTTGGGCAATCATTCGCATTGAGCGACATAAACGTGAACACGAGATGACACCTGTCATTCAGCGACCAAATCCAGATCGGGTAATCAATTCACAAGGACCTCACAAGCTGACGCAAGTGGCAAACGACCAGTCAAGAAACTTGATCCGCAATAATGATTGGCTTGTCATGATCAATCATTGACAAACCCTTTACCATTTAAAGAAATGTATACCCGTCGCCAACAGTGGAGAAATGCTGCGCATCACGCCGACGGCCGATATTTTATACTCCGCATTGCATTGAAGTTTCCCTAGATATGCATGACATTTCTGTTCACTTTTGACATACTTTCTTGGTAACCAACAGTATTATTACACTCAAAATGGCGCCGGTTTACAAAGTTGCTGTAATCCAATTTGAGCCAAAGGTTGTTTTCCAAACGTCACTACTGCATCTGTATTGCTGTATCTGATGTCATTGACTTACACAATCTCAGGCCATCGTTGTACAAGAAAACTTTGCAAAAGCAGAAAGTTATCTTCGCTCTGCAGCCTCGAAAGGATGCGATATTGCAATTCTCCCTGAATTCCACTTGACATCATGGGTCCCTGAACATCCCGAATTCATCTCCGCCAGCAAGACATCAACAGGCTATCTCTCAAAATATCAAGCTCTAGCTAAAGAGCTTAACATCAACATCGTCCCTGGCACAATCTGCGAAGTACACGCTGTTCCTGATTCCAAAGATGAGGAGCTCCGTAATATGGCGTACTTCCTTGCTGCAGGAACAGGTGAGATTTGTGGATCTTACCAGAAGAAGAATCTCTGGCATCCTGAGCGTCCGCATTTAACTTCTTCAACGCATACGCCGCATACTGCTTTCGACACACCGCTTAAACACGCTGATGGGAGACCTGTACGCGCTGGTATGGTTATATGCTGGGATTTAGCATTTCCTGAAGCGTTCAAAGCGCTCGTCAACGATGGTGCAGACATCATTCTTATACCATCATATTGGTTTATGGATGATAACGGCGAAGAGGGAGCTGGTCTTAACCCTGATTCGGAGCGGCTGTTCTTGAACTGTACGCTCACGGCACGAGCTTTTGAGAATACGGCTGCGATTGTGTTTTGTAATGCCGGAGGATTGAGTTGTGTGAACATGCCGATTCTGGGAGCATTGGGAAGAATTGAGGTCGGTGAGGAGAAGATGGAGATTGTTGACGTGGATTTGGACGTTTTGAGGGTTGCGGAGGAGACGTACAAGATTAGAATGGATATGAAGAGTGAGGGATGGCATTATAAGTATAGTATGAACTCGGGTTCAAAGGCATAGATGTGTTATATATGGGGTGCCCATATAGAAGAAAACTGGACTTTATTCTCATGAAGCTTAGGCATTTATACGGTTGTTTCATAGGATCCATGGATAATGAATGGTGCTCGACAGATTCTGGTGATTATAGATGGGTTTGGTATCTCGCTGACTCATCAAAACATCCAGCGTCATTGGTCTAGGGGTTAGGATTCAACTCTTCCATTGAGAAAAGTTGAGGCTCGGATTCGAATTCCGGATGACGCACGATCACTTTGTTTTTGTTTTGTTTTCTCTCTGTCGTTAACTTTGTTTCTGCCCACCTGATATCTTCCAGCCCCAATTAACTGACTGTCCAGAGTGATTCTTGCTCCAATGCGGTTGGCTTGGCTCCCTCGTCACGGAGGGGTATGCCTGTTCTGCAAGACATTTGACTCAGAATTGCAAGTAAAATTTTACTACCCCTAGTTTCAACTCAATCGTGCCGAAGGCATGATCTGACTGTTTAACGTTTTTGACTCCCGATCTTGATCGATCAAGATCGATCTTGTCTCAGACTACATATCGACATCTCAGTCTTTGTAATGAAGGCGCTGGGGAGTTTCACTCATAAAATATGATCTTACCTCTTGAATTCCCCCGATCTGGAGAAGGCTGCATCAGGCTGAAGATGTCATGTAAGGGATGACACAAGCTTGACACTCTGCAGCTGAATGGTGCTCCACAAACGAGATAATCATTGGTTGTGAAGAGGAAGTATGACTCATGTTACTTCCGTCAGGTTACACAAAGGAAGGGATTTTGCTCCGTTTTTCATTTCGATAGTCTCTGTGCAACACACCTTGAGCCGCTTGGATATGTGACTTGGGTATCAATCACAAAGCTCTGTAAAGCTAGAGGTACACTGCGACACTCGAAATCGTAATATGCGAACTGCACTGCTATTGTGGCGACGGTCGCAGTTATGCCACTTCCAAGCATTTAGGCGCTGACTGTCAACCTTGTGTCGGTACATGATATGGTCAAGTGATTGCTTTACCGTCACACGACACTATGTGTTGGTGGTCTCAGTAACTATGCAGGGATTCAGCCATCTAAAAACGGAAACATTGACATTTAGCAAGAGTCAGAAGTCCTAGGGCACCTGCAAGTGGTAATTCAGGGGATGGTCTGTGGTGCCGCCATCGCTGTTCTCAGACGCAGGCTCTAAGGAATGTGAGGCAGAATATGCCAAGCAATAAATATCAGAGACTCAACCCCGAATCACCCACCATTGGTATATCAGAAAACGGAACTCTTCGTGTGGTTGAAGAATTGTGAGCTACAAGTGACATGAACATAGCCCCCATGTTTCACCGAGCTGCCGAGATCCGGCCATTACAACATGGCGCTGTCGTAATTTAAACCGTAGCGTCCGTTAAGCCTAAAGTTTGACTGTCTCGGTTACTTCGAAGACCGAATGTGAGGGGCACGAATACGCTGTCCGAAAATTAGCGGCATGTCAAACTATAGTGGTTGCAACCTGTTTCACTAGAAATCCAATCAAGACTTGATAGTGATTCTAGCTGCAAGACTGGCCTTATTCTTATCAGAAAGCAAATTTCAGCATAAACAGTATTTTAGAGAATATGTAACTGTGTTGTCTTAGTCAGATCTCGAGTGAATTGGTGCCAGTCCCAGGTTTGTCCAGAAACTCGGATCATGAGACTGGATAGAAGTTCTTCAATGAAAAACTTATTCCATCATGTCAAGTAAAAGCAGGATTTGCCGCCTGTAGTGAATCGCCTCATGGGACTCTGGCACTGTTAAACAGCACGGTTTGTACAAATTGATAAGATCATCGAGGTGGCCCAATTTCAAGGGTAGGGAGTATTTGGCAGCTGTCAAATATACTCAATAAAGCGTCACGCACCTGAGCCCAGTAACCTCTCAATAAACTCTCGTTGATGTCACCGTCCTTGTTGATGGGACCTGGGGCGTCTCCCTGATTAACTGTTATGGAGGGGATAAAGAGCCAAAACCCCTGTCAAGTACTCACACTAGCAGATATTGCACATAGATCCTAGTGTGGCGACTGCAGCTGGGGAGAGAAGAGAAAAGACGTTGAAAGTCTAATACGTAGGTGGCTGTTAGACGGTGATATCCGTTGCATGATCTTATGCCGGTTGACTTAGCCCCAAACATTGGCAGCAGAGTGCACCAGCCACTATGGAATGCCGGCTTTGATTCATGCTGTTGGTTCTGTCAACGAGGGGAGAATTGGAGCTCTTGCTCCTCAGAATGTGCTTTCTCTCTTCTTTCTTCCTGAGTCTCTCGTTGTAGTCTCTCGTTGTCAAACTCAAAAGTCAAACCCTTCCAATATTATCATCAATGGTACCGTACCGCAATTGCGAGTATGAGAAAAAGGCTACCTGATACAGAGGTTCGTATCTCGCTCGGCATCGTGACCGACCGCCCCTTATATTGATGGTTTCACGTCAACGGGGCTTGTAATCGATCATAAACAGCCCAGGACTGGATCCAAGCCCATCAAAGATGTTTTGTTTGAGATCTTAATGTGCCAAAGCATGTAGTACTACGCCTTCATAGATCTGGAATCACCTGAGCTGCCATTATACCGAGAGCCCTCCTCATACCACATACCAGCGATGAACAGCACTTGGCATTACACAAGCCAGCCTAATCAAACATTGATCCAGGATGTATCGAAGACCGGTATTTCACAATGTTGTTTCTCACGAGCAGTCAATTGCTTGTTTATTGTGATGATAGGTATGTTGAGATTCGTCTGGTCAACAACTACCGAGATATATAGGAGGAAGATCCATCTACTCTGTAACTCGACATCATTAACAAAAAATCATCAAATTATCACATCATAGCCATGACTCACTATCTGAGCTGGCGGGCCCTCGTGGTTTTGGCCCTGACAGTTTCAGCTTCTGCATACCCCCATCAAACATACCCAGACCTCCTCCCACGTGCTGGATGTCCTATTCCTAAGATTTGCACCTGGGGAAGTTGCACCAACACCACTATTGGTCTTGATCCCCGGAATTGTGGAAAGTTTGGGAACTCTTGTGAACCTTCAGAGATCTGTGTTGCTGGCGAATGTCTTGCACTTGATCTCGGCACAGACGATTGTCCTACCGCATGCAAGCCTGGTCAATTGTGTACCAATGGCGAGTGCATTTCCATCGAAATCGCCGTGGATCCTCTTCACTGTGGAGAGGAGGCTTGTGATCCTGCCTCTCTCTGCATCAACCAACAATGCCAGAAACTCGACATCGGCTCAGATCCTACGTCCTGCGGTTCTTCTAATACGACTTGCGACGCTGGAAGCTGGTGTCTCTACGACACCTGCGTTCCCTTTATTCTCGGTACCAACGTTCAAGCCTGCGATAAGACTACTTCATGTTCTATTGGTACATCTTGCCAAGACGGATACTGCCGACAAGTGTTCCTCTCGACCGATATAAACAGTTGCGGAGATACTTCCCAGAACTGCACTGCTGGGCAAGTCTGCGTTTCTGGGAGATGTCAGTCCCTTGAAGATGAAGATGCAAGCCAGAACTGTGATGGGCTCTGCGAGCCTGGCTCATGGTGCTTGGATAGTGAATGCGTGCCGATTAGTATCTCTACAGATACTTCTCAGTGCGGCAGTAGCTCCAAACCATGCGGCAAGGGACAAGTATGCGTCTCAGGGCAGTGCATTAGCAACCTGGTCCACCAAGAAAGCATCCCAAGGACAGCTTGTAGTATTTCTACACGTCCAGGAGGATTTGTTTCGGAACCGGGTCAATCTTCAGGTCAAGGCAACAACCGTGGCGGTCAAAAAGGATCATCCAATGGCTCCTCTTCAGGACAAGGTGGAAGTCAGCAAGGGGGAGATTCTACCTCGAACGACAACGGATCTGGCGGCTTCCCCAGTGACGCTTCAGGTGGAGGTGGTCAGAATCAAGATGGCCAAGGGAGTTACCAGGGCGGGTTCACCGGCTCACGTCCAGGCTTTAACTCTGGCTCTGGTAATAACCAGGGTGGCACCAATAGCTTTGGCGTTCCTCGTCCAGGTCCAGGCGAAGATGGTAAAGGATTTCCATCATCGGCCTGCGAGCCGGACTGCCCTTCAAACTTCATCTGCGTTAGCGGAGAATGCCTTTCGGTTTCGGACCCTTTATCCTGCGGACCCTCCACCAATTTGAACCGTCTCTTCCATCGGCAAAACACTGTATGCCCACCAGGGTATGCCTGTATCGACGACCGTTGCGTTCGTGTGGATGGACCCGTCAGCTGCGGCGGCTCTATCTGCCCTGCCAACCATGCCTGTATCCAGGAAGCCTGTGTGCCTCTTGGAGATCCCACTGACTGTGGTGGTGAGACGTGTGGCAGTGATGAGATCTGTTTGGGTAATACCTGTGTTTCGAACCCGGCGTTGGCCAGCTGTGCTGGTGTTGTATGCCCTGCTGGGCAGGTATGCCAGAACGGAGACTGTGTTGCCGCTGGTGGTGCACCTGGTGCAAACGGTAATCCTCAGGGCAATGGCGGTAGACCCGGCAGTAATGGTGGTTCTCCAGGCGACGGCTCTGGCAACGGAGGCTCTGGCAATGGCGGATCTGGCGGCGGTTCCAATGGAGGTTCCAACGGTGGCTCCAATGGGGGAGGTAATGGTGCGTCTCCTGGCGATGGATCAGGCAACGGGGGCTCCGGTAACGGTGGTACTGGCGGTGGATCCAATGGGGGATCACCAGGCGGCAACGGTGGTTCTCCAGGGAATGGCTCTGGGAACGGACCAGATAGCGGTAACCCGGAAGGAAACGGTGGCCGACCCGGTCCCGATCGTGGTGATGACAGCTCCTCTGCTGGCAATGGTGATGGAGGTGGCAGTGCTACTGTAACCTCTCCGGCTGCAAATACCGCTACCCGCTCTGGGGCTGCCAATCTTTCAGATTCAACAGCAACCAGTGCTGACGCTAGTGATGGTGCGCCTATTGTCAATCCTGGCCCTGGCACGACAGGCACGGATGGCCTATCGGCATCAACCACTACCATTCGAGGTCGTCCTGGCGGTAACGGAGGCTCAACTGCTTCAGGTGACGGTGGTGGTGGTTCTCCTACTCTGGCCTCGACTGGGGTGACAGAGACCAGTGCTGCTACATCTGATGCAGGGCCTATCGTCAACCCTGGATCTGATTCAACAGAGCTTGCGGGTACCAGCACAAGCTTGAAAGGTGGTCCAGAGGGCACCGGAGGTTCTGAGATTACACTCAGCGGGACTTCTTTGCCCACTGACACCAGCAGCGGGTCTCTTACCAATGGTGGTAGCTCCACAGCCGGAGCTGTTGGTACTGATACAACAGATATTGACAATCCCGCTGCGTCTAGCACAGACGGAGGTGGCATTTCAGCCTCTGCATCCGGTGTCACTGGTACCGATGTTGATGGGCAGACAGAGACAGCCTCCACTACACAAGCCGCAACTGCTGCGCCAACGCAAGACACGCCATGTTCCACAGACGATGATTGTCTTCTCAATGTCGCTCTTTGTGTTTTCAATGGCCTCAATATTTGTACTTGCGTCGACGGAGTTTGCACACAGCAGCCCGGTGGTCCTGAAGGTACAGGTACAGGAGTTACTGGTTCTGACCTTGGGACATCAACTGGAGGTAACGGAGAGCCAACTGATAGTGCTGGGTCGACAGTCACGGACGGTAGTGGAGAGACTGCTACTGCAACAACGGGAGAACCAGCTGCAACATCGACAGTATCATGCTCTACAGACGACGACTGTCTGGCAAATACTGTCTTGTGCTCAGATGGTTTACTCAACCTTTGCATCTGCGTTGACGCCATTTGCATTCTCGATCCAGCTTTAGCTTCGACCTCTGATGCCAACAACGGACAGACGACCACGATCCAGGATGCTACCACTACGGATGGAGAAGCAGCCGCAACTTCATCAGCTGTTGCGTGTACTACAGACGCTGATTGTTTAGCCGATCTTGGCCTCTGTGTCGATGGCTTGGTTAATCTATGCATCTGTGTAGATGCCGTCTGCATCGTTGACCCAGCCTTAGCCACGACATCTAGTCTTGATAATGGACAGACGACTACAGTCCCAGCTGCAACATCCACAGCAGTGTCGTGCAACTCAGATGATGATTGCTTAGTTGATGTTGATCTTTGTGTCGACGGCTTGCTCAATCTATGCGTCTGTGTAGACTCCATCTGCGTCGTGGACCCAGCTTTAGCCACTACTACTGCCGATGCTACTGTCACAGCGACACAGCCAGCACCAACAGAGACAACTGCAGTTGCTTGCTCCACAGCCGACGACTGCACTGTCGATGCAGACCTCTGTCTCATTGGAGGGCTCAACCTTTGTGTCTGCCTCAACGGAGTCTGCGTTGCTGACCCTAACGGTCAGGAAACGACAGCTACGAACCCTACTGAGACCACCGGTGGACCAGGAGCTACTTCAACTGCCGTTGCTTGCTCTACGGCTGATGATTGCGCTGTCGATGCGGGCCTATGCCTCGACGGATTGATTAACCTTTGTGTCTGTCTCAATGGCGTCTGCGTTGTTCCTGGAGGAGGCAATGATCAGACAACTACAGAGACTGGTGCTGGAACAGGACCTACGACAGCACCACTTTCATGCTCTACAACTGATGACTGTGTTGCTGATGCCGACCTATGTCTTGATGGTCTGTTGAACCTCTGTGTTTGCCTCAACGCTGTCTGCGTCGTAGCAAACCCTGGGGGTGATCCGACTGAAACAACTGCGGCACCACCTGAAAACACTAGAACTCCATGCGCCACCAATGGTGATTGTACGGCTAATGCCGCACTTTGTCTAGACGGCTTGATCAACCTATGTGTTTGCCTCGAAGGTATATGTATCGTCAATGGTGTTGGCAATCCCACTGAAACGACTGCTCCTGCGCCAACAGAGACTTCTACGTCATGCAATACTGCCGATGACTGTGCCGCCAACGCTGGCCTTTGCTTGGACGGGCTTCTCAATCTTTGTCTCTGCGTCGACGCAGTTTGTATACGATCACCAGGTGGTGGTGGTAACAATGGCGATCCCTGCACTGACGATGGTGATTGTACAGCTGCGGGAGCTATATGCCTTGACAGTGGTGTTTGTGGACCTGATCCAGGCAACACGCCAACTTCATGCACTACAGCCGACGACTGCACGGCTAACGCTGCTCTCTGTTTGGATGGCCTGTTGAATCTCTGTGTTTGCGTCAATGCTGTCTGTGTACAAGCTGGCAACGGCGGCGGTAACGGTGATGCTTGCACAGACGATGGCGACTGTACTACTGCAGGGTCAGTCTGTCTTGACAGCGGTGTCTGTGGACCTGATCCAGGCACCAACCCAACTTCATGCTCTACGGCAGATGATTGTACAGCAGATGCCGACCTTTGTCTCAATGGTCTTCTCAATATCTGTGTTTGTGTCAACGCCATCTGCGTACAGGGTGGAGGTGGTGGGGGCAATACTGGCGATTCATGCTCTGTCGACGCTGACTGCACCACTCCAGGAGATGAATGCAGCAACGGTGTATGTCAGGCAGCAGGAGGCGGAGGCACAGACGCTTGTGTCGACGCCAACGATTGTCTCCTCTCCGTCAATCCTCTCTGCGTTCTCGGTCTGTGTGTCTGCGTTGATGCAGTCTGTACTACATCCCCCGACGTTGACGAGTGTACCTCCAACGCAGGTTGTAGCGCTGGAGCTACATGTCAGAATGGTGTTTGTGTTGATAATACTGAGTGCAGTGGTGCAGCAGATTGTCTCGCGAATCTTGATCTATGCGTTTTGCCGGGCGTTTGTGCTTGTGTCAATGGTGTTTGTGGACTTGTTGGTAATGGACCTACGCCAGAGTGTACTGCTGCTGCGGATTGTCGAAGTCTGACGAGGTGTCGTCTGGGATTGTGTCTTTGTGTGGCTGGACAGTGTGTTCTTGGGTAACGGAGACGAGTCTTGGAGCTGGTGAAGTGAAGGTTGTGTTCATGTATTATACTTTGGTGGTTCGGCTGGCGTGCTCTTAATACTAATACTCATTTCGATTCTTCTTCATTATTCATGCTCCTTAAAGTCCGCTTCTTGGACCAGCCACTATATATTCTAGGCTACTAATGGAACAACTTGACTTTCACTCCTTATTTCTTTCATTTCTGGATCTTCTCTTGTCATAGCCATATTTTTATAATTCATTATGAACTCTAACATGTTTCTTGAACCGACCGCTTGTCATCGCTTGCTGTTGTAGTTCAATATCGGGTAAAATCCAATTCGGGGTCGTTTTGCTTTATTATTAGACACGGTGAGTTACTGATCAATGTGAACTTGCATAATTTGCATTAATGATGCAAAATTCCAAGCTCCGCCCGATTATGAACGATTAGGGTAGCTTACCCTGGACCTAAGCGCCTTCAGTAGCGTTGGGAAGAAATATTGAAATAAGGAGAGCCTATTTTCACATCCACTATTATAGTTATCGGGAAATAAATTTGTAGACGTTAGAAGATATAGTCAATGAGGGTTTAATAATGTCTTCTGGATCAATCACTCCTGAGCCAGTATAAAGAAGATGTTGGTGATATAGATACTTTGAGTTTTTCTCTTTCTTTGCCAAGGAACTCCGGAGCACGATCGCTACCCGATCTCTGCCAGCCCTGTCGTCAATTTATGAGATCTACGAAGTCAGATTAACCAACACGGGCTAATGGCTGGTGCAGACTATCAGATTGTCTGATATGCCAGTAGCCACGAGGAGGTATGATCCACCTAGAAGACGGGGAGACAGTAGTCGTGAAATACATTGTCCGTCTTGTGGCTTGACCCTGTGGACATAGTGCACAGTATGTAGATAAAAGATGACTGTCCGGAATGAATCCGGCGCCCCTGACTTGTCAACTATCTGGGCTGGATATCGAGTGAGGCCATCCAGGCCAATGCTATCAACAGGAAAAGGTTTTCCCTACAGGAACATAATTGCCTAAATCCAGTTACCAAGAACACTACAGCATGGTTGTGTGAAATGCATTGTCTCGCGCAACTTCCTGGTTCACAGCTTGTTCAAGTTGGCGGAGGCTTGGAGCCGTCGCCGCTCAAATCAAGAAGTACATTTTAGTGCTAAAAGCACGCAGGTGGCGCTAATGCTTGTTAGACTAGGGTTCTTCCGGCGGTTGAAGCCTTGGAAGTGCTATCCTTTACGAACTTGGGCGAACAGGAGCGGACTACTTTCTCCGGGGGGAGGACACTACATTCGCCAACTTGATAATTTGAAAACAGGACAGGGATGAGGCCTTTACACGAGGCTTGCTTGTATGTTAGAAAAAATCTCACCTTCCATCTCTGGTGGTGTTATATCAAGGGGCTCAATATATTACCTCCCGTTGGTCTGGCGATTGCTCCGCTGCTGGTGTCTCCCTAAGTGGAACTACAACGCAATTTGCCTCAGAAGAATGCTGAGGGCTACAGACGACTGTATCCTTTCTTACCGCACTCCGTTGTTGCTGAGGCCAGGGAAATACGGTCGCTCTGCAACTTGCCCGAGGTCCTGTGACTGGGGGATTTGCAGGCTACCGAGTAAAGGTGCCTTGATCAACTAGGAAGGGTTGACTGATTCCCTCTAGGTTGGCACTTGCGATGGCTTCAAAGCTTGAATAGAGGGAGTGTAACTAGTCGGTGGTTGTTTACTGTGTTTCAGCTTATTCGAAATGGTGAATGTGCAGTTTCGCTTCGTACTCGTACAGCAAACTGAGCAAAGCCGCAGCAAGTTTTGCTCAAGAGACTTGTTTGCCTGCATGTCTGACTCGAATCGGCATTTAATTTGAAGCTATCACTTCTCGGCGTGCTCGTATTGGTTCTCGGTAATATGGTCGGTCGGTATCGACATGCATTATCGAAGTGTACTCGTGATTGTGTGTCGATCTTGGTGAAAGTCCCTTTCGTCCTGATAGACAGTTCATTCCTTGCTCTTTCTCAAAGTCTTCCCCTCCTAGTTCAATTTCCTTGAAGGTACTCCTTGCTTCTTATGTTCCTCGGTCGACATGCGGAATCGTTCGAGATTTCGTTGCGTGGATCGGTGACGAACTGGGAATATTTACGCACACAGACGTATCTAGATACGAAAGGAAGAGTGAATCAAATCAATGGGAGGAAGCCACTTTTTTATAGAAAGATTTTAATAGTTACTTACGTAGTATTTACATCAATGTTACCTACCATATTTTACATTTTTCGCTGTGGATCCATAACGCGCAAGGACGCGCTCAAAGCCAATTGAAGGGCTGGATTAACAGAATATGTCGCAAGGCTATCGTCAGGGACAACACTTTTGCTGTCTGTCATATATCCAAGTTTCGCCTCAGAGGTGTGAATATAATCGTGAAATTATGGATTGCGTCTACTGGCTTGGCGAGTGAGGTCATGATTACAGGAGGCTGAGCTTGACCTTGAAAATAATAGACTCTAAAAATAATACTTGGCCTTGGGTCTCTGCATTGCTGCATATTTGCCACAGCACATGGTTTTATGATCTGGGTCAAAGTTCTCCACGGAAAGGAGCAGCAGCACAGCGGTACTACGACATTTCTGATCTCCCTTTCGCCAAGGAACAAAGTCACACTGTCCATTACAGATCTTAGGAGTGGTCGAGAGCTATCGATGCATTGGTAGCACTCCCCCATGTTGCTTGTGCAGAAGTTCCATTACACAAAGCGCAATCCATGTTAGCTAGGAACTAACTGAATCGCACTACGCTCACAATAGTTTTTCAACACCGTTTACTTCCTTTGCTTCACTACTCGTTTTATTTACTATTATATGACACAAGAATGATGTGTTATCTAGAATAATGTAATAGAATTACACTTCTTGCTGAATCTGTTATTCATATTGACCAGCCGGACGCTGAGAGACATCATCTGTAGATCTGATGTGCTAAGGTTCAAGGATTATGATTGGTCACGGACGCATCATCCGTGTCACAACGATTGGCCACATCAGTCCACGGAAGCATCGTCCGCATAGACATGATTGGCCAAACATTGTGGCAACCGATCCTCTAGCTTTCTGCAGCACATACGGCAGCTGCTGCATGCGCAAGAAGGGTATCGCTAGCAAAACCCCAACATCATCTGGGCCGGTGCGGTCAATCGTACACTTGCGCTGTGCACATTATCGTTCCATCTCGATCCAGTAGAGTTGGTCATAGCTAAGATTGTGCGTACGTGTTTCGATGCCCATCGAGGCATATTAAAATCTCTTGTGTTCTGTCTAGTGATGTTGTCATATTCAGTGTTTCTGTGGAATAGAGTGAAGCTGGTGATGACAGAAACCATGCGGTGTCGAGGGTTCCCTCTGATTTCAGGCTATACCGGAAATAGAATAGAACGAAAGGTCTCTCTGGGCTGAACGTTGGGTTGGCGCCGTGGCGAGAAACTTGGAAGTGAGACTGAGCCCAGCCCAAGTCCATTCAGACTTGGTAGAAGCATGTAAGATTGTTGGTGGTGGAACGAGAACATGCATGTCTGTGATTGCACTACCATTCCACTCTCAATTGGTATGCCCTTAGCTCGTCAATAGGATAACAAACTGCAGTGGTTTCCGAGAAACAATTCGTGTGACCCCCTAGTCCCGACAATCTACTCAACGCGATGATATTTCCGAGGACCGTTGTAACCTTGTGGCTTTCAGCCCAGCCAATCGTTACGTTAGGGACGCCTCCGAGCTACGCAATGGATCGATAATGACAGGAATTCTGTCCACTCAAATCTCTTGGGAGTCCCCGGGTGGCGAGAAAAGAGTTCATCGTCGCGAAATTGTTTCCATGATTGTGTGCTCATTTGAGGTTGTGGCTTGGAAAAGATACGCGCGACCGTTGGATTCTGGTACGGGAAACCTTCCCAATTGACAATCTTCCCCTTTGACAGGCCCTGCAGCAAGAGTTGACCTTGTGTTTGGTATGATGGCCAGTCGTACCATCTTGGAATTTGACTAGTATGATGATACAACATTGCACGGTCAGATACTGTGATACAAGTTAGAACTCACGACATCAATCTATTGATGCAGTGAAGTAATATAAGCAAGACAGTATAAATTTGCGTGTGGCCTCTGTCATCTGACAGAGCCAGCTAAGCCCAATGGCTTTTTGCAGTAATATCTCCCAACGCCATTTTCAGAATGTCAGTCCCAGAATGTCAGTCCCAGAATGTCAGTCCCAGAATGTCAGTCCCAGAAAGTCGCACAGAAACAAGATGTGATAAAGAAAGACCACAAGGGGTGTAGCATATCATCCCATCGTATTCGATATCTTCCTTGGGTCGGACAAATCCCACTGACTCCTTCGCTGCATTTTAATCAAAACTTGTAAACATCGACCGATCCTTCATCGTATCGACTCGTCATAATCATCGTCTTCGTATCTTGTAATCGTACATAGATCCCCCTCTCAATTGTGCTTGGGAAGAGGGCAAAGCGGCAGGGTCGCATGTTTCTGTTTTCCATCGCCTAGGTCTTGGATGTATCGGTGTGCTTCACTCGCGATGAAGTCTTGAATCAACTGGCATTCGCAGTCGGTGTGTTGTAGGAGTCTCATCTTGAGTTCGTAGACCTGCATCGTGAGGTCGGACACGCAGCCTGACAAGTCGCGGTTTGCCCGTTCCATGTCGTGTTCGTTAGCTCTAAGTTTCTTGGCGTTCTCGCGCTTCTTGACGCGGAATTTGTTGGAGGCGATGCGGTTCCTCTCCTGGACCTTTCTGTTGTACTCGTGGAGTTCTTCCGGTTCGGGAGACGGCGATTTCGTAGGTTGGGGCTTGGCGGCTGCTTTGCCTTTGCCGCGTCCTCTGGGCTTTTCTGAGACTGTTTCTGGCTTGGTCGTCTTCCGAGTTGACGCGCGTCTTGGGACTTTTGAGGCTGTAGATCGACTCGCACTACGCTTTCGTTTGTCGGGCTGGGTTGATGAAGAGCCCCGGCGGCTTTCGGAGTCACCGGTGGCATTCTCTACGCTTGTTGACTCGGTGGAAGGGGATGGAACAGGACAGCTGTGCATTGAGGTTGAAGGAGATGCCCATTCTGTCGAGGCATCTTGATCGTAGGCGTATTGGGGGTATTGTTGTTGCTGTTCTTGCGCGTAGACATTTGGAGCGGCCATGTCTGATGCTTCGGCAAAGGCGGCATTCTCGGGAGACCACCATTGCTCCCAAGGCCCCTGGGGAAGCGTGCCGTATAGATTCATGCCTGATGGATCTTGGGCCATGAGTTGCATGTTTGGGTCATAGGGCTGGTTGCCATCACCAAGAGGATGGGCTTCTTGTTGGAAGGGGGGGTAAACAGTACCCATCTCTGAAATTTCGATGATGATGCTGTTAGATAGCTTGGTTAAGTCAGACCTTGAAGTTTTGGTCAAGTCAGGAACTGTAGTGGAGATAAAAGATGCTACTAGAGGTGAAGCTTGGACCCTACAAATGGAGGCGAGGAGGAAATGTTATAAGTAAAAGAGGCACAAAGGGAGGGTGGAGGACCAGGTTGAGGGGACAGTGCGGGACCCAGGAAGGGCGAACAGCATGATGTACTTGGCTGGGTGATCGTTAAAGTCGGGACAAGACAAGACAAGAGAACAGAACAGAGGGGACGGAATGAGTTTAGCCTAGGGACAGATGCAAGCAACTGGGGTCTGGAGTCAGGGGTGTGAGGGGGTCGATAAGAGTGGGCTTCAAGCCAATGTGTCACTTTTGAGTGAAGACTCCAGCTTAAGCTATGCTCAGAATACAATCCTGACAAGGCAGAGCAATGCAGAGCAATGCAGAGCGTTACCGGCGGGGATAGCAGAGATGGCATTAACCGAACGTGCAAAAAGGAATGAACTCCTGCGGTACATAATAAAAATGATCAAAGTTCTCGCGGCAGTTGAGCATGACATAGAGATCACCGAGGAGAAAGCTGCATGGACATGAGACATTGGGGCAAACAGAGGGAGACGATTGCAGCAATATCCGGACCATATCTCCCTGCCTGAAGTTACTCCCGAAGTGCTAGACCCAGACGAGTAAGGAAGACAGTGCTGAAGGATCGTCATTGGATGAGACTTGTCGGTTCTGGGTCCGAAGGTCTTCATTGGTGAATAAGGTCCCGAGAGTGGGGTTGGGTATGAGCTTTTTGGCTTGATAGGGGCGTCACGCCAAAACAGCCCAAGCATGAGAAATCCATGGCTTGTTGGTTGTTACAAGAGGGATATAGTAAGAGAGAAAATAACAAAAAGAAAAGAATGATCAGCATTATCCACAACTTCTCTCTCACCTTGTTCAAGGCGACCATGGGTACTATCATGCATAACATATGATATCCATATCAGCATTCACTACCGAACACCAAATGGCCGAACAACATGCAAGTCTACAGTACAAAAAGCAAATAACAATACCATAGCACGATAAGAAACACTCCGCATATCTGCCGTACAGTACAGTACCTTGGCTGAAAGGTTTTGCGTGGATGGTTGCATCAATCTTCCGCAACCAAGCTCCCATTGGTCAACATGTATCAGCACCCAATCAGCGTTAACGGAGGACCCAGCCGCTCACAGGAGACCAATGGCTTGAAAGGGACGAGATCAAGACTTTTTTTTTTTTTTTTTCCCCAGCGGGGGACTACGTCTGCGAGATGCTGTCCCTTTGGCATCACATTCTTTACGTTGTGTTGTATCTGTTACTCATTTTGAATTGACTTTTTCGTTTTTACCCAATGCTACTTAGCATCTCATTCTACACATGAGTCCTCTTTGGAATCGACAGATCGTGCAGATACCATGACGAGGCGTTTGCGACGATGCTTGCAAGTCATGCGAGAAAACAACAATGTGATGCTTGATCAAAGTTGTGTATCTTGTTGTGCTCCATAGCGGATGTCTTCTCCCTCGGTGACAGAAGTCTCATCACACCATTGATGCATCTGCAGAGCAAACAGTAGACTGTGCGCTGTGTGAAAATGCTGGGGTCATTCTACAAATACTGTAGAGAAAGAATGTCCAGATCTACAGGATGGACCCTAAATTCTTGGAATGGGCGGCCGTTACCTTGTTTTGTGTGTCTTGGACGGGGATATCACATACCGGGGCTATCGTGTACATCCGCGGATGGTCACAAACACCCTCCAATATGGATGGAGTGCATGACTAAGTTCCCTTGCCTTGATGGAGAGAACAGTTTCTGCTCATCGAAACGACAGGCCATCTAAAAAATGGGTTGAACGAGATCATGTTGTACAGCCAGGGGTTTGGGAGATAATCTTGCACTGTATTGTAAAAAGGAATTGCCGACGGAACACCCCCAGTGGCTCTTAATGGTTGATAATATTTCTGTTAAACGTGACCAAGTCCTGGTTATTTATGGCAGGGAGGAGAGATATCAGATACAGACATGGTACTACCGTGGATATCGAAGAATCCAAAGAGTCAGTATAGAAGAAGGATCAGTTATGTATTCATCCCAAGAATGACCGAATTGTCATAATGGCCATAATTCATCATACAGGTAATTCACAGCCTACTAAGCTATAAAATTGGCAAGGTTTGCGAGTAGTGCTGGTGGTCTGGTTACTTGGAGACAAGGTAACTGGTACTCGGTACCCATGCAGGCTTTGTCGCCACCAACATCTAACTCCCCATCCAACGAAAACCAAGATTGATCGAGATCTTGGGGCTCACAGCTCAGTAACCTGAGATCGAGTCAGTCCCTGATATCAGAACCAGACGTGATGGCGACGTTCAAGGGTCATTGACAGTTGGTATCAAGTATGTTATTCCCGTTGACCACAAAGATACCGTACTTTGAAGGTTCGTGGGACGTCCTGCCCAAGTCTTGGTTGGGCTGTCAAGAGCGTTGAAATGAAATTCCCAGGTCCGTGCCGAGGCTTATCCCCCGATGCTAGGAATTGCTCCCTTGGCTGGCTTTGTTAGTTCCCCCGGAGCCCGGGCTTTTAATGGCAGAGAGCAGAAATGAAATGCCCAACCCTTTTTCCGTAGCCAGTTTCTCCGGCGTTTCTTATTGGTCCCAGTGCTTGATTGCTTCAGTGATGATTGTTGTGCCGTGGTTGTTTCGCCGACTTGTTCATCCCCTTAGAGGTCGTTAGGCACATCTGCAAAATCCTTTCTTGCTGCGGCCACGATGATTCACTGCAGCAGAACAGGATCTAAGAGCCTCGCTTTATGGGCAGTTCTCTCAACGACATGATCTCTTTCATTCTTCCACAACACTCCTCGGCATCATGTACGTACCACCTTCTTCAGCCCCCTTCTCCCGTTCCGTTCTAGATCCTCCCGTTCGCTTCGTACCACCATGCACAGCTCCAGCAATCGTGAAGAAAGAACCAGATGATGCGGAACCAATACTGATCGACAGCAACAGTCCCTCGCCCGAACCTCGATCCAGCGTCGAATCTCGCAATCGCCTCTTCGCTTCCCTCGAACTCGGCGATCACATCTTTCGAAATCCACGATCCATCACGACTCCCGACGATCTCGACGACGCTGAACTGAAACGATGCTTCGATATACTCCACGCTTGCAGTCTTGCGACCGAGTTCAACGCGACGCTTTCGAAGACAAAGGACACAATGGAGGACTTTCTAAAGGCTATCTTCAAGAACTGGACGGGAGAGACGGGTGAACCGGACAAGCCAACTATGGACTTTGTGGTTCGCGAATACATTAGCGTTGGAAACATTTGCAGTAAGAGAGATGTCAATCGCAAGGTCACTTGACGTGACGTTAACCCTCCCAGGCCAACCCGCCAATCATCGAACCAGCTCCTCATGCGCCGAATCACCATCATGCCGCACACCAGTCTTCGGAATCGCCACATATCGAAGTCGGCCAGCTCAGCTCAGTATCAGCTTCTCCACCACAGAGCCAGAGCCAAGTCCAGGCCAAGATGCGCAGGACTTTTTCTGTCCGATGGAACGTACCGATGTGAGATGGGAGGAGGGCGATTGGATGGCTGATTTACGACGGAGCATGAAGAAGACTTGTATCAACAAGGTGCATCGCTACAACAAACATCTTGCGATCTGGTACGTTAGATGTTTAGTCGATGGTTGGGCGAAGGGAAGCATTTGGATGGGGAAGGATGCCACGGTCTTTTCGTTTGTGGCGAAGGAGACAGTTGACGTGGCGTTTGCTATGATGGGGTATATTTGATGGGTCTTTGGGAAGATGGTGCATACTAGACTGGAAGACAATGGGCTTGGGCGTCGAGACAGAGGCATCGAAGGCACGATGCTACGCAAACATGGGAAGAAGACGTTACACGGCAAGGAGTTTTGGGGGTTTACAAGGGACGATACCATGATCAACAAAACATTGACTTTTCTTTGAGATCTTTCAACTCTAGTCAACTTCTTGTAGGTGTTTCTTTATCGACCTCAAACCATGTGGGTGATCATGTCCTTCATGATCTTCGTGGTCTTCATCCTCCGGCCAATCCGGAAATCCATCATCAAAAAGATCCTCCAGAGCCTCACGCTTCTCCTCATCATTCTTCGTCTCATCTCTCATGACAGCCTCCCACTTCTTCATCTCACCATCAGTAAGCAAACACTCATCCAGCATCTTCTCAAGCGCCTTGTGGTCCAAGTTCTCTCCGATAAACACCAATTCCTGACGTCTATCTCCCCACTCGCCACCTTTCTTAATATCATGCTGCACTAGCTCATCAACCTCTGGATCACCGGTCGTATACTCCTCTGCAGGAAGGGTGCAGAACCATGGGCGTCCGCCGGTCAGTGTGAGCATAGCTCCGGCTTGGGACCAGTCTCCTGCGCGGTGGGGACGTGTTGCGAGGAAGAATTCACCCTTTGAACGGAAGAGACGTGCAAAAATGGGATGTTTCCGCTTGGTTTCGAGGATTACTTCGTTGGAGGGTGTGAAGAGATCCTCTGCGTCGTGCATTTCCGAGTCATCAAACTTTTGCTTCTTGGACGCAGGCTCGGGTGAAGGAGCGGACTCAATAGTTGAGTGCGAGCTGTGGGGTGATGATGGGGCAGAGCGCTTTCCTCGTGATGAAGAGGAGTCAGAAGTGTCTTGATCGACGACAACAGCTTCGGTTGAGTCCTCAGCATCTGGGTAGTCGATCATCTCAAGGTCTTCATCTTCGTCATCTTCCTCTTCCTCCTCATCGTCCTCGTCAGGTTGCTCAAGTTGTAGGATAAACTTATCATACAGGAGTGCCCAGAGACGGCGAGGGTGGAATGGTCGATGACGACTGTAGATGCAGCTTCGTACAGAGTACTCTTCAGTCTCGGGCTTTGGTGTAAGCACATTACGACCATTGACCTGGGGCAATATCAGTATACAAAACCCACTTCGTCATTAATACGGGGACTGATGTATCATACCTCACGAACAGTCATGGCATGGAGATCTTGAAGCCATCCATAGCCTGCCTGAGCAACCTGAAGGTTGAACATTCCGGTGTTGACGATCTGCTTGACGTCTACCTTGCCATAGCTCGACTCAAGGATCTTGGCCCGATGGTTGAGCTTCTTGATCAAGTCTAGCAAGCGAGGCTTTGTCGACGAGTCAACCTGATAATATGTTAGCTCATCAGGCCCTGGAGAGGTGGGGTTCCTGAACTTACCATGTCAAGTTTGTTGAGGATGATGACATCCGCAAACTCAATCTGATCAACCATCAGATCAGAGACGGTCCTCTCATCTTCAGGCGTGACATCATCACGTCTTGAAGACAGTAGATCACTCGTGTCAAAGTCATGCAGCATAGTGAAGGCGTCAATCACAGTGACAGTAGTGTCAAGTCTGGCGAACTTCTCAAGACCACCGGCATCCTTCCTATACAAAAGTCAGCACCTCTCCCCCTCACTCACAACAAAGTACTCACAGTTGCTTGAGAACCTTGATCATGTCAGCATCCAAACCAGGTGCACCCTCAATCGACCCCATAGCATCCATCTGCTCAGCAAGTCTCGAGTCGAATGTCTCAGCGACCTGTTCTGGCTCACTGATACCGCTGCTCTCGATAATGATGTAGTCAAACTCTTGAAGTTGGGCTAGACGAACGAGTTCTTCTAGGAGATCACCCCGTAGGGTGCAGCAAATACATCCATTCTGAAGAGCGATGATTTTCTCTTGCGTCTTTGAAAGATGGTGTGTTTTCTTGATGAGGGAGGCATCGACGTTGATACTAAAGGGGTCAGATTTTGGGATCGTTGAAAGGGAGTGGGAACATACGCTCCAATGTCATTGACTACCACTGCGATGCGGAGACCATGCTCACTCCGGAGTATGTGTTGAAGAAGAGTTGTTTTACCAGAGCCCTACACAGTCAGCAATAATTACCTAGCCAGACATCAAGTAAACCTACCAAGAATCCAGAGAGAAGTGTCACAGGTAGAGCCTTTGGAGGAATGCTAGGCTTCTTAGCGCCCTTGCTCTTGTTTCCTTTCTTAACCTTATTCTTAGCCATTTTGAACGCCGAGAAAGACAGTGAAGAAGAGAGAAGGCCCCGATGAGAGGTGAAAAGTGGGAGATGAATTGGGTTCAGAAAAGGTGTCTTTCTCTGAACCGCTGGTATTTCTACTTGTTGTGACTTACACGAGATTCTTGCTTACGATCGTACTGCTCATCAAGGTATGGACCCTGAGGCCATCAAGGTGATGCTATCGCGGGTGTGTGTACCTTGATGACAATTTGGGTCAGTTTATTGGCTACCGTTGGCAGGAACACGGAATCGGGTTCGGAACTAATGATGAAAGAGTTTAGTGGGATATGCAGGCAAAGACGGGAGATGCGGAGCCTCCAAAAGGTTTGATGGCTTCTCTGGCCATGTGAAGATAGGGTCGACAGAGTGAGAGGCTTGCGATTCCAGTATTCCTGCGTGAGGCTATGAGTGACTTCACAGTAAGTTAATCACAAGGTTCATTGAAATTGGGGTGTTTCCTGCCGGATGATATGTGCAATGGGCAAGATGCCACTGCTCAGTGATGATGGCTTGATGCACTTTATTACCAGGGTGTCTGGCGCATTATCAATTCTCTCAAGGTCATTGGCTTAGCCAGCCACCTGTTTGAAACTATCACAGACCGGGGAATTGTGTAAGCGGCTTGAAATAAAATAGTGTTGGCATCATCACGACCTTGTTGGTCGCTGAGAACCTTGATGTCTTTAGTCATGATACCTCGAATGATGCCATGAGAAACTTTGTTTATTTCTGCTGACAGTGGGTTTCCAAAAGCCTCTTGGGGGCTAATTGATGCTAAAGTTCGAGCAACGATGATTTTTGAGGGAGTATCTGCGGCTTGTATATAAAATTGCTAGCCTAATGATCAAAGCTGATATCTTGGCTATATTAGTTGAGGGATAAGGACTTCGGCAAAACTTGCCCTTAAATTAGCTCTGTATTGTCCTTGATCCATGACATGTATTGGCACTGCACCTAGACTTTGGCCGGCTGAAATGCTAAATGAACAATACTTCGAAGCTTATTAAGTTTGGTGATGATTGTGAGCAGAGCTTAACTCTTGATTGACAGAAACAAGATCTAGATACAAATAGCATGATCATGATATTGCAACATACTCTACGAGCATGACTATCTTGGACAGAAGTTGCAACACAAAGGGCTTTCGCGAAACATCGCTAGTAGGCTTTAATCCACTGTCCCTAATTTGATAGTTACATCAAGTGCGACCTCGAAGTTGAAAATCACCAAATTTGTATGATCGATGTACTGATGAAGTTATGACACTTTGGATAGATAGCCACGTCGCCTCCGATCTTTCGGCCGAGCATCTGGAGGGGCGGCCCTAGGGTAACCAACCATGATGGGTGGGTGTTGTCAACGATTCGCAAGATGGAGACGGCTCTGCCCGCCTGGCGGGAGACATGGACATGGCAGAGGATCGTTCGACTAATTCTCTGATAAGCGCAGACACTTTTGAGATCTTATAATTAGACTCATGGCAAGCATTCAGTATCGCAGCGAGAGCCGCGCTGTTTGCTACAGTCTCTAGGTTAGGGCGCTAAGAGAGCAAATCACATACGGACCTCGTACTGCAGGTGTTGATGAATAAAAATAGGATGTTCTATACCGAGGTGAGGAATAAATTGATCTTCATCGATATAACTATAAAACGGCAAATGTTAGATCTGATTGAAGGGTAATTACAGTGTCTTTGTTACGGGGCTTAAGCCTCGGGTTGCCTAAATTGGTGATGATCTGGATATTCTTATACCCGGTCATCTTTAAGCAGCAAGATATTAACAGCCTCAGATCGTAACAAACGTGATAATTACTTCATTCTAAAATCCCTCGTTAATTGCACTAAGATGTCTATATATGACCTTGTCTGAAGCCGAATATTTTACTATGTTGTCTGTATTATTTATTACAGAATCTGCTGATATTCACATAACGAAGCATATCTCAGCCGAAACCAACTGCCGCAGGATAGAGCCGCAGCGCTCCCGTTTCTCATGCCCGAAACCGAAAAAGACAATTCTCAACGCGGGGTCTCCGCAATCTCCACGCCGGCCCGATCGTTCTACCCAAGGTAAACGGTAAACGACCTCACTCACCTCGATTATAAGATCAATTCCAACTTCAGGCCTTGGTCTTGTCATCAATTCCTCTTCTTCACATCAAGCCGTACCCCCTGCGTGTCACCCAGCAACCGAGCAACATCAACAAAACAAAGCACAGCAAAGCAAAGGGCAAAGGTACACCGACACAAGAGACACAATGGCAGACACAAAGCCCGCTTATGCAGGCACACCCGCCAATGTCCCAGGCGCAAACGTCTTTGACTTCTTATTCAGCAATCCTTTCCAGCATGAAAGTCACTTTACGCCTAGAGCGAGACGTGTTCCAAAAATCCATGATGATCAGCCCATTTTTGTTGACCACGCCAGCGGTACGTTGCAGTCGCAAACTCAATCTCACTTCACCTCACACTCAATCTTGCATGCTCACTCAACCTTAACATCATATCATGACAACACGTACTGACTTATCCAGACCGTCCTCTCACTTTCTCCCGCGTAAAGCGCGATGCTCTCACTCTAGCTACAAACCTCCAGTCTCTCGGTCTTGATCCCAATGAAATCGAGACCCTCCCACCGACGGCATCATGTGCAGGCCCAGAAGTCGCACCAGTGGTACTCATCCAACTACCTAACTGCTTACCCTTTGCGACACTCATGATGGGCGCCATCGCAGCTGGTTTGACTACCACGTTAGCATCGCCCTCACTATCGGCTACTGAACTCTCGTGGGTCATCAAGAATTCGCGTCCTCGCGTACTCTTCACAGCGAAGGCGTTTCTC